GCCAACAATCTTTCAATAACACGGCCCCCTACAACCTTTTCCCAAAATTTTTTTTTTTCTCAAAATCCGGGTTTTTTTTTTTTTTTTTTTTTTTTTTTTTTTTTTTTTTTTTTTTTTTCCATAAGAGAAACAATATACCTTACTGCTTTAACGTCCCTCTTGTCCAACTAGTTCCCTTCATCTACAACTGCTAACGAGTAGCAGTAAGCAAGACTATCTTGTAATTGCGCGACTTGCCCAAAGAAGGCGACAAAATTATGAAATAGCAGGATTACAAAAGCTAACACAAGATGATATCGGCGTATATAGAAAGACGTAAAAGAAGCATTGATGAGTTACAATATAACGAATGTTCTCGAAGAGTCGCATACCCCTGAGGAGCGGCGAGCCTTCCTAGGCTGCAAATACCTTCTTTCGGTGTAAGCATACCGCAATGCGTCTTGTTGTGTCACTATTCAACATATGGACTGACAAGACTAGGAATGCGTCGCAATTCGGGAGAGAGGGCGTGCTGAAAGGCGACTATGTGAGTCGCTGTCTCAACTCGTTGGGACACCCGACGGACTTCGGCACAGACTTCATCCTGGACAAGATTGTGAGGTTCCAGAAGATCGTGGAGCAGATATCGGAGAAGTTACCGATGCCTCGCGAGGGCGATCGCTCAAACGTGTTTACTATATCCATGAACGAGGATATGCAGTCGATCCGCAAGCAACTGGATCAGTTATTTGCGAATATGGCTCGAGAACATAGACACTTTGGTAGGCATTTCCTTGCAGTTTGATGTCTGGTACGCCATGGGGTTGACTGTTACTTAGTATTCTTCTGGGCCATGCACAACTACGTCCTTGTCCGGTTATATCTGCCGGCGTCAAGCCTATCTCCACCACAAGACGAAGTAGCAGCGCACCTCCAACGGCAGTGTATGCTGTACTGTCTACAAGCAGCCCAATCGTTCTTCGCAACTATAGTCTCGATAGGAACGGAAGGGTTCTTATACCGGTCTTTTACCTCCTTCGCCGAGATCCTTTTCGTCCTGGTCGCCGCCTCGCGCCTTTTGTTAGTGGAGATCGACGGCTGGGACCTTATCGAAGCACGGAAAATGCTCGATTTCCCGGCGGCGATAGAGAGCATCATGTCGGCTTTCAAGAACGTGATTAACTTCGAGGCGCAGAGGGCCGCGGAGTCGGCGGCGAATTTCGGGGTGAAATTCACGCCGGACACGGCCGAAGATCTTAAGGGCGATCGCCTTTATAGGTATGCGACGAAGCTCGAATGGATCAAGCACTGGTTCTCGACTCAATTGACGCTAGTCCCCGGGGTTGGGCTCTCGGGCGAACCGCAGATGGCCGGTAGTTCAAACATTTGGGCGCCTTGGGCGCCTCACAATCAATCATGGGGACCGTTTATGTTTGGGTTTTTAGGAGATGATAATTGGAATATAGATTTCTAACTAGAGGTTTGTTATATATAGTAAATTCTATGGGTTATGATGGGGGGTTGCTGGTACCACGCGTTAAGATTGTATGGAATGACTTTGGGAAGACTTCTTTTGCTTTATTGGTACTAAAATCTACACTCGCATTTTAGGGGGACAAATATGGACCTACTACCTATGTAACTTAGCCACCTTAGGTATCTAGTACCTGTCTTTTAAGAGCTGAACCAATTCAACTCACTTAGCTCCAACTGAGAGTTGTCTTGCAAGGATTAGCGAATTGGCCAATATTATTGGTCCGTACGATGACAGAGCCCTCCATCGGATCGGGAGGGCGACAAAAGCTAGCGAATCATCTCTCGCCTATCTCTCTCTACCTTTCGTAAGCAAACTCAATGGCATCAAAAGACCGTCGGTTTGTCTCATCGACGTGCCGGTGCCGGCCTAATCTCATTGGTCCCATATTTTCGACATTGTATTCCTAGCGGCGATAGAAGAACTCCTTCGGCTAGATCGGTCTCAGAACAAGAATCGGCCTACCCGGCTCCCTGCGCACATGACAACGACTATCTTTTTTTTCCCTTTTGGCCTTCTGTTGGTAACACCATAGATAGATGTGGTGTAATCTATAACTGATTTTTTTTTCTTATCTTCGTTCGGTTATTCGGTTGACGGCGAACTTTTCCATCTGAATTACTTTTCAAGTACTTCGTAGTTATCGTATTATTTTATTTCATTTTGTTTAGTCTTACCGAATACTCTCAGCGTTGAGTCTTAACTCCCCGTCACCTGTGACTGCTTCATAGGATTTTCTTCCTTTCCGTGACCACACATAACATAACTCTAGAGTGCAGGCTAGATACTTCTGTCGGCTGGTTTAGCTGTGGGATAGCCAATGAGCGATCGCAGATACGATGACGTTGACGAAGAAGACCGGGGCCCTTTGAGCGACTTCAACTTTGATTCCGACGAGGAATCCGCCGTGGTTGATCCCGGACCCGGCGTCCGAGACGAGAGCGGCCAGGATGGGTCCCGGCTGGTGGCGTCCCGCGGTAGCGCCTTAACCATCGACACCAGCGCCGCCGTTGCCGACTACGAGGAACGGAGACGGAGGCCGAGCGACTCTAAGAAGGTAGTGGCTTGGACGGATCTGCCCAAGAAGAAGCAGTTAGTAGTTATTACGCTGGCCCGTCTCAGTGAGCCATTGGTCCAGACGTCGCTGCAGGTATGGCGTCAACCCCTTTGCACCTATCATCATATTATAGTTTAGGTTAGGTACTCACATAAAACAGTCGTACATGTTCTACCAACTACGATGGTTCGACCCGAGCTTGTCGGACTCCACTATCTCGAGCCAAGCCGGAATTTTGCATGCGAGCTTCACCGCCGCCCAGTTCTTCACTGCTATGGTGTGGGGCCGGGTCGCCGATTCCACCTCGGCCGGCCGGAAAACTGTTATCATGATAGGACTGTTTGGAACTCGTATGCCTTCCCTCTTCCCCTTTCTATAAGAACTGTCTTAGATGAGAGACACTTGCTAACATAAGAGTAAGTTATTTCATGTCTTGGTTACGGATTCTCCAGATCCTTCGCCCAAGCTCTATTCTTCCGAGCTTTAGGTGGTGCAACCAACGGCAACGTCGGCGTTATGAGGACTATGTAGGTCCCAACACCTCGATCATATTGACTACTAGCAGTATTAACGGTGGAAATTGTAGGATCAGCGAGATAGTCCGTGAAAAGAAGTACGTTCCGCACTTTACTCGTAGCTGGACAGTACCTCCTACGTAGGCTAGACCTAACAATTTCGCAGATATCAGTCTCGAGCATTTCTAATCTTACCCATGACTTTCAATATTGGTGTCATCGTTGGTCCCATCCTCGGTGGCATCCTATCCGACCCAGCAGGCTCATACCCCGATACCTTTGGCAACGTAGAGTTCCTCCGAAAATTTCCCTACGCTATGCCAAACCTTGTTAGTACAGGGTTCCTATTTATTGCTTTGTCAATGTGCTGGATGTTTTTGGAAGAGGTAATTATGTTTTATTTATCCCCAGATTTCGATTGCCATGTTAGAACGGCCATCTCACATATCCATAGACGCATGATGCTCTTCAAGATAGGAGAGACTTCGGAATTATTTTCGGTCAGAAGTTGACGTCGCTATTCACATCACTTTTCAAGAGACGCAGCACGACCATAGCATATACGCGCCTTCACTCGAGAGATTCTAGCATAAGCACGGACATGGAGCTGTCGCCCGTCACTCCCAGAGACTCCTCTGAAGACGTGCCGACGCCTTCGAAGCGGCGTTCTAAGAGGAGGTACATAAACCGGCTTCCTTTCCGCCGCATATTCACCTCGAACGTAACATTCACCTTCATCGCTCACTTCTTCCTCGCCTTCCACATCGGCACCTTCAACTCGCTCTGGTTCGTATTCCTCTCGACGTCCGTGTACAACCCGTCGGAGCCGAACCCGCCGGACTTCAAGCCGCGGCTCCCTTTCAGATTCACCGGCGGCCTCGGCTTGCCTCCCCGTTCCGTCGGGATGGCCATGGCGATCCTGGGGGTAATCGGCATTACCATGCAGCTATTCCTATACCCCCGTCTGTCGTCGCGCCTGGGCACCGTCCGCTCGTGGCGCATGTTCCTCTTCCTTTTCCCTATCGCTTACTCTCTGATACCGTTCCTATCGGTCGTGCCATCGAGCACGCCGCCTCCGAGCCAGAAGACCGGCGTTTGGATATGGGCTGCCATCGCCGGCGTGTTGTTCATTCAAGTTACGGGGCGTACCTTCGCACTACCCGCTCAGACGATTCTAGTTAACAACTGCACGTCGCACCCTAGCGTATTAGGCACTGTCCACGGGCTTGGGCAGAGTGTTAGCAGCTTTGCGCGAACGGTTGGCCCAGTATTATGCGGGTGGCTCTACGGCCTCGGGCTGAGCCACGGTGTGGTCGGCGGGGTATTTTGGGGCCTCGCTGGAATAGCTGTGTGCGGATTAGCTGCTAGTTTCTGGGTTAGAGAAGGGAACGGGCATGAGATATGGTTAGAAGGGGACGAAGAAGAAGAAGAAGAAGAAGAAGAAGGCGGGCATACGTAAACGCATGATACCTTAGGTACCTAAGGTAGCTTTTCTTTATTTTATTTTCTAGATTCCTTATACGTGTTCATGATTAGAAACGCTCAGGAGTACTATGGGTTACGATATATGACGAGATTTTCATAGATGAGATGGGTCAGGTTAGAATAGAGTTAAGCAATACAATACGTGCGTGTACGCCGCGCTCGTATGCTACGCCCTCGGTGAAAATATAAAATTGAAGCAATCTATATATCGAATATAAACACACTACACGTCCCACTGGCTTGGATACTATGGTATCTTGTAACTTAGATGGTAAGGATACCTGTTATATTGAGAGGGAAAGTTAGTTCAAGACAACCCTTTACAGGAGTGACGTATAAAACGCATAGACATCTCCCCGCTCGTCTGTGTAATATATTTATTTATTCCAACGACAATTTAATCGGAGAACATTATAGATGATGTAGTAGTAGACCAGGGCCCTCTTTAGTATGGAAAGGCCTTTTCTCCACCTAGACCAATCAGGCATTTCATAACCGAAGGTCAACGCACGATCACGGCTACCTACCTCTACCTGCCCAGCTAACCTCGCGCTTTAGGAGATAGCAGAGGCCGAAGCGATACTACCTACTCGCTTTTAACGGTCTAGGTTCGCCATGGCATCAACCATAAACAAACGTTAAGTCCTGTGTGCTAGGATATACGAATGGAGTTGTGTTCGGATTTAAATGCATGCATATCATATAAATCCGCTGCAGAGGAATATTCGGAGCAACTAACCGCCGAATGGGTTTCCCTACTAACTTCAATATCCCAAACTTCCTAAGAGGAGTCACGTAGTTCGCGCAGTATAGGGGCGGAGATTACAGAACGCGAGTCGAAGGGAATGGCGAACGTGTACCATATCGCCTGATCAGAGAGGCGAAGGGGGAATCGCAGTGCGTATATAGAGTTGCTTGATGTAGATAGAGAAAGAACATATTATCCTATTGTATCTATAATTCCACCACGAAGAACACAAAACAGAACCTTAGCATACGAAGAAAATGGCGGCCCTAGAATTGCCTAAGCTTTCTATATATCGCTTCTCGAGCAATGACCCAAGTAGACGCTTTACGGTCACGAATCCCGCCACGGGCAAGGTTCTCACCACGGTCCAAGGCGGAGACCCCGCCACCGTCGACGCAGCCGTACGCGCCTCCCAAGTAGCTTTCGAGGAGCGCTGGCGGCCCTTAACTCACGCTCAACGGTCGGCGTATCTCCTTCGCTGCGCCGACGAGCTCGAGAAGCATATCGACGAACTGGCCACCCTCTTATGCATGGAGAACGGGAAGCCCTTCCTGGACGCCAAGCTATTCGACTGCGGCATGCTTGTGCGATCGTACCGATACTTCGGAAGCTTAGCGGACAAGTTGCCTTCCGCGTTCTACGACAGGGGCCCTCTATATACGACTGTGATACACGAGCCATACGGGGTATGCGCCGGTATCCTTCCCTTCAACTGGCCGCCCATCTTTGCGGGTAGCAAGCCAGCGCCAGCACTCGCGGCGGGAAATACGTTTGTGATGAAGCCGGGCGAGCAGGCACCACTGACGGTGCTTCGGATCGTTGAGATCCTCGAACCTATCTTGCCGAAAGATGTACTGCTAGCCGTGCCGGGGATCGGGCCCGAAGTCCCGCAGGCCTTAGTCTCGCACCCGCTGGTTAAAAGAGTTACCTTCACAGGGTCGACAGCTGCTGGAGCTGCTGTGGCACGGACCGCAGCCGACTCCATCACGCCGGTAGCCCTTGAGCTGGGCGGCAAGAACGCCATGACTATTTTCGAAGACGCGGACTTCGACACCGCAGTGCGCAGCGCACTCGAAGGGGCCTTCTTCAACAAGGGCGAGGCGTGTACGGCGAGCTCGCGAATGCTCGTGCAGCGCGGAATCTACGATAAGTTCGTGGAGAAACTAGCTGAAGGGGTGAAGAGAATTAAAATGGGCAACGGTCTCGATCCAGCGACACACGTTGGGCCGCAGATAACCAAGGCCGCGCAGAAGCGTCTGCTGGATTATATTGCCCTCGGGGTGGAAGAGGGTGCTAGGATCGCTGCGCAATCTGAGCTTCCCTCAGACCCCGAGTGTAAGGACGGCTTCTTCATACCTGCGACTCTTTTTGCAGATGTGACCGAGGATATGCGCATCGCCAAGGAGGAGATGTTCGGCGCCATTGGTAAGTTCTTTTTTAGCGAAAAGGGGGATTTTATTTTAGTTTCCTACTAGGTTAACCATCGAATAGTGACAGTCACTCCATTCGATACTTTTGAGGATGCAGTTCGCATCGCGAACTCGGTAGAGTACGGCTTAACAGCTATCGTCTTCACGAAGGATCAAATAAAGGCGAACCGTTACGTACGCGCAGTTGAAGCAGGGATGGTAAGTTGCAGATATTGCGATACATACCTAATTTAAAATAGGTAGCTACAGACTGATAAAATGAACTAACTTAGATATTCTATAGGTTTGGGTAAATAACTACCATAGGAACGTGATGGGCACACCGTTTGGTGGAGTAAAACATTCCGGCTACGGCAGAGAACATTGCATAGAAACGTTGTACGAGTTTACTCAGCCAAAAGCCGTACATGCGCCGTCAGGTTTGATTGAGATTCCGGAGTGGCGTGGTGTGGTCGATATCTACGGGCGTGATGGAAGTGAAGCAGTTTGATGTTGTACGTTGGACGGTTTTGAGGTCTAGGTACTACCGATATAAGAGGTGTGGTACTATTAACTAAGGTAGGACCTAGGTACCTTAGGTACCTACAGTGTGTACACGTACTTTGTGTAACGGACAAGAAGCTCTTATAGATACGCCGATAAGTCCGGTATCGCTTTTATCAATTATGTGGAGTATATTAGGTATCTCTACCTCTTATCTTCACTAACTTCAATGTTGGAATCTAAACTTATACCTATGTGCTTACATCCAACACAACAGCCACGATTGACTGCATTTTATATCTACCTCATACCTACACTCTCTATATCGGACCATATACCTACATATAACCAACTGAATGATAGTTACTAAAGCTATACTTCCGAGGCTTTTGTGGTAAGTTGATTTTTGGACGTACTTCTTTTCCAACTGGAGAATAGCACATCCCAAGAGTGTGGTCCCCGTCCCCGCTCTATAAACTTCCACTACCCATCTTTTTTGCTCCCCTTTTTTCCGACAGTCCGGCCAGTTTGTCCAGCGAAGCAGAGGTTCCATATGCAAAAGCCTGACCTAACGCCCAGGTGGTCCCTTAATGCAGTCCCTTAATGCAGCCTTATAGCCAATCAGATACGGCAGCCTATCGGCGTGGCGTCCTGAGCATTCTGCTGCGTTGATAGCAACTGCCATTCCATCAGACCGCAATAACGTTGTCCTACCTACCACTTATAAAGCAACCTATCCTGGCATTAGTTTAGGAAGCTATCGCGGTCCTAGCGGATGCGGCGCTTTCCTACGCCTGAGCATCCACTTGATTACTGCATTTATTGCGTCCACCGCATTTTTAACTAGAACTGAGTGGTAGGAGGCTGGATGTACGTTGTATCATCGTTCATCTTGTTCCTTATTCCAGAAACTTACCTACCCTATCATTTATCATACCCTATCACGCCAAGCAAGCCTAGATCTATCATAGGTCTGCATCTACCTTTATCAAAAACTGCTTGAATCTACCCAAGTATCCAACATGGCAATGGCCGACTTATACAAAGAAGTACCTAACTACCCTTATTCCTACCTAACCTTAGCTTAGGTACCTCTTACCTAACGTTAGGTACTTTACTCATCCTCAACTACCTACCTAGTGGCAGCAAGGTACAACTGCTTAGGTAGTCGGCATGTCCCACTTTCTACCTAAAATTATTTGATCATTCATTATTTAAGTGTTATAAATGATTTACACTAGGCATATCCACAGGTATCTATCTTCAACGTTGAAACTTGAGCTAGTTAATAGATATCTATATGCTAGGTACCTGTCCTGTATAACTTGATCCATGTCTCCACCAATTCTCCGACGCATTCCTCTCTATCTTAATTGTGGCGCTTGCTCACATCACACCACACCCTTTGACCCCCTTTTATTTCTTTCATAAGTAGACAGTTTACAACTCCAACCATTTCGTCTATATTAAATTTATCCCATTCCTTGCTTTAAATACCCTATAGCAACCTTCAAGCGAAAAAGAAATAGCTCTTAACATTTATTAAATAAGTATGGATGCTTACTCGATCTCTTTCACCAGCGTTTCTCAACGAAGCTTCTCACGAGTTTGGAGAGACCTCAAATCCTGTCGCCAGTACAGCATCGTAGAGATGACTGAAGACATCTCAGAGACTCCAAGCTTAGGGCAGCGGATAGGAGAGGTATAATTCAACCTTAGCGATGCTCTTGGGTGTATCATGTGAGCGAGGCACCCCATCGGTGATTATTATCTAGTAAATTGGCTAGATGCGGCTCAGTCTCCTCATAGTGCTAGTACTCAGATGAGTGACCCCAAGCGTTTGGCACACAAGACTCACACGTTTAATAGCGCCGAGCACGCAGTTCCGGTCGGAAACCTCATGTCGGAGTCATTGGTGCGGGTTTAGCCGGCTTACGTTGCACGGATATCCTCCTCCAGCATGGCTTCGAAGTAACTTTGATTGAAGGCCGAAATCGACTAGGAGGACGAGTGCATCAGTCAACTTTGCCGTCGGGGCATAAAGTGGATGCGGGGCCCAACTGGATCCATGGTACTAACGAAAATCCCATCTTGGACCTTGCCAAAGAGACCAAAACTATAGTTGGAAAGTGGGATGAGAAAAGCTCAGTCTTTGATGAGAATGGCGAACTAGTTCCTCTTTCCGATGCTACGGTCTACTCGACCATCATGTGGGATGTTGTGGCCGATGCATTTGCTTACAGCAATAAGCATTCTGTCACGATAAGTCCGGATGAAAGTCTTTGGGACTTCTTCCAGAGAGAGGTCCCTAAAAGGATACCAGAAAGCGAGTCAGACTTTGAAAAGAAGAGGAATATCGTATATCAGCTTGCCGGCCAGTGGGGCGCGTTTGTTGGGAGCCACATTTTCACGCAAAGCTTAAAGTTCTTCTGGCTGGAAGAATGTATAGATGGAGGTAAGCTGACAAATAACTATATATATGACTTTGCTATAATCCTTCCTAGGTGCTGACGAATTACAGAGAATCTATTTGTTGCGGATACTTACGACAAGATTCTCCAGCTAGTCGCAAAGCCAGCTGTTGAAGGAGCAGAAATTAAATACGAGACGATCGTCAATAAAATACAAACCACCAATGACGACGGTGGAGTATTGAAAGTCTACACCGAAGGCGGGGAAAGTTTCGAATTTGATGAAGTTGTTTTCACGGCACCGCTCGGCTGGTTGAAACAGCACCCAGACGCCTTTGAACCTGCCCTTCCGTCTAGATTAACTAAGGCTATCAAAAACATAGGATATGGTTGCCTTGAGAAGGTAATTACTTGCTGAATACCCATTACATCCATCTGTTTTTGACGTTTGTTTAGGCCTACATCAACTTCCCGAAAGCATTCTGGGCCTCCACTCAAACCAAGGATAGTGCAGTTCAGGGATTCTGTCAAATGCTTGCCCCAAGCTATACCGCCGACTCGAACCCGCACAAGTGGAATCAAGAATTCGTCGAACTAGCTTCTTTGGAACAATCTGCGGCTCAACCAACACTCCTTTATTACTTTTATGGCGACCAGTCGAAGTTCATCACCGGCGAGCTGGCAAAACTTCACACAAAGGAAAAGCAAGACGCGTTCCTAATCGATTGGTTCAAGCCGTATTATTCACGCCTTCCTAATTACGACGAGAGCTCTCCGGGCTGTCAGCCGATAGGCTGCTACGCCACTGAGTGGCTCAACGACGACCTTGCGGGCAACGGCAGTTATAGCAACTTCCAAGTAGGTCTCGAGGAAGGCGATGTGGATATCGAAACCATGAGAAAGGGTCTTCCAGACCGAGGTCTGTGGCTAGCCGGCGAACACACGGCACCTTTCGTTGCCCTAGGGACAGCTACAGGTGCATACTGGAGTGGCGAATCAGTTGGGAAGAGGATCGCCCAAGCTTACTCTAGAGGAGAAGATGGTATCATGGTTTTGAACTAACCCAAGTGAGGGCTATACGCCACGTTGAGAAGCATATTTGGTTATTAACGCTGAGAGGCATTAGGAATTCCCCACCCTATCTGGTATTTAAGTTAGAGGAGTCGGTCTTGGCGGGTTGCATATAGGTACCTCATAACTGCATAGCTTGAGCGCCTCCTATTACCTCACTTAGAGTAGAAGCACATTGAAACAGCGCTTATGAATAGGTAGTTAGTTTCATTAGCAATATTACACTAGGTACTTAGCGAATCTGAGCGGAGACTTTCTTCACGGCCTCATCCCCTGGTAACTAATAGATACTTACCTATGTGGCTTCTAAGAATCACAGAAGTGTGGCAGGAGGGATATACCTTAGGTATGCGATGAGCATGAAGCTTTTATTACATTGCACATAGGAAAGAGTATACCTAAACTAAAGCTGAGAATCATTGCATTGGTCGCAAGTAGGATCATGTTTTTATGTGTATTTACTCCAAGAGTGACCACTAACAAATCGCCACCTAGATTATATTGTCTACCTACGTTTCTGCTGCTATTTGCTTCTCCTGTCTCAATTGGCTTGTCTCTAACAGGCTTACTGAAGGTTATATGATGCTGTGCTGCCGTTGTATCCACGTATCACCTACCAAAGTACAATAGGTAGCTTGAATTTATGGAATTATAGATCATTACCATTTGACTATACATAAGGTATAGTCTCTCAGATTGCGATACCTATCACCGCCAATTCGATAGACAGAAGAACAGAGTGAAAGTTGGCAAATCGAGATATCGTCCGCTCTGTTGGCCACAACTCGTTGCACAGTACCCATTATTATTTCGCCTCAAACTTCAGGCTACTTTATGAACCTCTGAGCGCTTACCTTGGCCAATCGGAGCCTCTTGTTATATTGCCTTATATGCGCATAATAACCCTCTCTCATCCTAGTACCTATCCGGCCTATGTAGGACGCTTCAGATTGCAATGTATCTGGGATATACCGATCGCCTCTTTAGACTCGACTAGATCCCTCGAGGTATACCAATCAAAAATGCGAATCAGTATGAGAGTCGACCTATATATATATATTAGCTTATTTAAACTAGCATGGAAACATCGTAGGCTTTGGTTTCCGTTGGTAATAAGGTGGCGGCCCAACTTCCAGGCAATTTAGCGATTTGATGAGTTCATAATTCCGGCTTAAATTTCAATTCCAGTACTTTTTGGCATTGTCTCATGACTACCGCGCCGGTATAGTCCACGGGGGCAATTGGCGACTAGGAAAGTTTTACGATATTGGGGCTGAACAGCTGACAAGATGCCCAGGAGTACATAGCTCCGCTTGCTATTAGATATGCAGGCATTACCTATGTTGGGGAGCTCGGGCGTTGGTAGAGCCACGCGTATGAGAGCTTTTGTTATGAGATTTATGCCCTCGATAGAAAAAAGACCTCAAATTGCCTCGGGTCGCGAAAGCAACATAGGCATGATAACTGAACAAGCAGACCGACGGCTTTACATACCTAGGTACCTAAGGTAGATAATCGCCTGCGCTATTGAGCTAACTGCAAGATCATCGTCCATCTTTGACGTATAAGGAGCTTTTGACATGAGGAAATCTCGCGGGCGATTAAGTGAACCGCAGGAGTCAGTGTGTCTCCCATCGGACAGACCCTAAGCAGGTGGCAAGCTTAATGGGTTGATTATAATGCGTGCTCGGCAACGAATCCTACTCAAATTTGCTGGTTACGGAATCCCCTCGGAGTCGCGTTCCGGCACACTTTACCAGATCAAAAATGCCCTTTCACGCGGCAACATGCTGCCGTCTTCGCTATTTTCTAATTCCGTCAACGCAGCCAAGGCGCTCGTCAACTGAATGCCGAGATGTGACATCTGCTCCCGGAGTTGGAGCAGATTTTGGTTGTTTAACCGGTGCCTCTGATTCTCTGGATGGAAAACCGTTACCTCCTTTGCGGCTAAATGGGGAAAGGACCCCTGGGCACTGCCCGTTACATATTGTCTCCCATGGGGAAATAATCTATCTTGCTGCAGATCACTCCATATGGGGAAGTCTTGGCATTCTCCGTTTATACATGTCGCCGCGAGCGAAGTTACTATAAGCCGCTAGGGTTGATTCATTGTGACTTTGTGTATTGCCTATCCCGGCGAAATCTTTTGCAATGCTTGTCGTCTACCAGCATTGAGAAGTAAATGGCACCATACACCGGCCCCCACGGATCTTGAAGTTTCTATGTAAGTTGAATAAGCTGGAAACCCGTTGAGTAGCTAGCCAGGATCCGACCAAGGCTGGATGAGCAAGAACCTATAGCATAGATTGAGATTTTCAGCTCTCTTTTCTCCACAAAACCTCAGTAGGACCGAACGGGTGGTAATACAAATGGTAAATTAGGATTGCAGCAGGGAGAATATACCAGAGAGGTGTCTAGTTCGGGCCATGTGGTATTCACGGTGGCCAACAGGACCCCTCGCAGTCTTCCCCCCGCGACGAAAAAGGTTACCAGTAGAGTATGTATTCGGAGTAGACATACCGAGACCTTTCGCATTTGACGGGCCTAGTTCCTGATTGCCACTTCATGCACATCTAGTAGAGATCCATCCATATTGAGATCTTGAGGACCTGAGGTGGCCACTTCCGCCACAACGGTTGGTATAAAAAGCCCAAAGTCCCCGTCCCGAAGATGTTGTTGATTCCCTTCTCACCGCACTCGCTCATTACAGACTAAAAGGTTATAACCGGGTCGAATCAAATATGAAGGTCACTACTGCTAGTGTTGCGGCTTTGGCCGCCGGTGCTATTGCCGCACCCTCGAACACCACTCCTCGCTCACCTAGCAAGGCTGCCGCAGCTTGCTCATCAGCCGTCAAATTAGACGCCAGCACCAACGTGTTCAAGAAGTACAAGCTGCACGCCAACACCTTCTACCGCGAGGAGGTCAACAAGGCCCTTGAGCAGATCAGCGATGCCGGCTTGAAGACACAGGCTGCGAAGGTTGCTGACGTCGGTAGCTTTCTATGGCTGTAAGTCCTGGAAAACATCAGTTAGCACGAAGTGTCCGAAACTAACAAGGAATTCAGCGACAACATTGCCAACATCGCCAAGTTCGACCCCGCTGTTGCGGACCTTCCTTGCGAGGAGATCCTTGGTCTCGTCATCTACGACTTGCCCGGTCGTGACTGTGCCGCCAAGGCCTCCAACGGTGAACTCAAGTACAACGAGCTCAGCCGATACAAGTCCGAGTACATCGACCGTAAGTTCGAATCAACGCTTGTTGAGGAATGAGCATCCCAACTAACCACACTGCAGCTATCGTTGCCAAGATCAAGGCCAACCCCAACTCGGCTTTCGCTCTTCTGATCGAGCCCGACTCTCTCCCTAACTTGGTCACCAACGCCGACCTCAGCACTTGCCAGGAGAGCAAGACTGCCTACGAGGAAGGTGTTGCTTACGCTCTCAAGAGCCTCAACCTTCCCAACGTCGTGATGTACATCGACGCTGGTCACGGTGGCTGGCTTGGCTGGGACGCCAACCTTAAGCCCGGTGCTGAGGAGCTTGCCAAGGTTTACAAGAACGCTGGCAGCCCCAAGCAGGTTCGTGGTTACGCCACCAACATTGCCGGATGGAACTCGTGGGACCAAGAGCCCGGCGAGTTCTCGGACGCGTCCGACGCCAAGTACAACTCGTGCCAGAACGAGAAGACCTACGTCACCAAGTTCTCGGCCGCCCTTAAGACCGCTGGCTTCCCCAACCACGCCATCGTCGACACTGGCCGTAACGCCGTTACTGGCCTCCGTGAGGCGTGGGGGAACTGGTGCAACGTTAAGGGTGCCGGTTTCGGTGTCCGGCCGACCGCTGACACCGGCCTCGAGCTGGCTGATGCTTTCGTCTGGGGTAAGCCCGGTGGTGAGTCTGACGGCACCAGCGACGAGAGTGCTACCCGTTACGACTCTTTCTGCGGAAAGCCTGATGCCTACAAGCCATCTCCCGAAGCTGGCGAGTGGAACCAGCCCTACTTCCTAGACCTCCTCAAGAACGCCAAGCCCCAGTTTTAAACGACTGGCGTGGACAATGGCGGCATTTGCGTCCGACCTGATGATGCAGCTGGTGGCACGACGTGAGATGAAGCTTCTTTTGCCTAACCTGTAAGTAAGGTTAAGTGAGTTTACGTGGCACGGTGTCGATGTAAGTAAAGGAAACCTGGCTGTCCGGACCGCAGACGCTCTTTTTCTCCTTGAATAAAAATTACTGTACTGAAGATTCAAACTGTATATAGCTTTTGTGCAAGTACATACGGCAATTTACACCATTTTCTTGCAATGAGTTTAAGGGGGTAATATTGACTGATGAGATTTGATGAGATTTGATGATAGGTATTAACTTGAATGATATGATGTATTCAATCCGATTTGTGGGTTGATGGGTTGACTGGTTGACAAAAGGCCCGTTTGATAAGACGGTTGTACCCGTCTAGAATCCGCATTAGAATCTGCTCGCATGGGACCGAAGCCTGGACTAACGTTAAACAATTTGTTAGCGCCTAAATTTAGCATGTGCGCGTCGTTATTGCCCGCTCCTATTAAAAACCGCGAATGGATAAGGAAATTGCAAGTAAATGCAACCAACAAACACAGCAGCTACAGCAGCTACAGCGCTCTTTCTTAAAATATGAAGTTCGAAACAGACATAAGTGCCTTATCCTTATGTCTTACATGCAGGTGCTTAATGCACGTAACTGCCCTCATTACATACCACGTGTATGGTATACTATAGTAGGAGGGGCGAAAGCTTGAATCAAGTCCACTACAACCCTAGTTTCTACAAAAATGTGAGACCACAATGACTAATCTCGCCTGTATAACCACTCCACGTATGAGATGAGATAGGTAGATACCTAGCACGTATGAGATAGGTAGGCCCGAGATATCGCCTTGTACATCGATTTGTACACCAACTTGTACATCAACCTGTGCATACTTGACCAACTTGGAAGCCCAACTTCGAACCCCTCAAATTCTGAAGTTCTGAACTCGAAAATCCAAACTCTCTTACTTTGTTTTGTTTTACTCTGTCTTACTCAATGATATCCTCAGGTCATACCCACTCGCAATCTCACCGCCATACTTTGTAACGTCTTTCACGATAACCTCAATCTTTCCCAGGGGAGATTCCTTCCAGGCAAAAATGATGGAGGGGCAGGAGAGCTCTTCATCTAGCAACTATGGAGATGTCCAAGAGATCGAAGGCCCTCAAAAGGGTCGATGTTATGGTGTCGTAAGCGATTTTCTCGCCAGGCTTGAACACTTCACCTGGGCAAATTACACGTTCCCCATGGCCACCGGCGGTCTTGCTTTGCTTCTAGCAGAGCAGACTCAAGGCTTTACCTTCACAGGCCTTCAGACAATCGGAAAAGCAGTTTACATATTTGACCTTGTCGCTTTCACACTTGTTACTATCGCCATCGTTTATCGCTTCGTCAAATTCCCCGGCACTTTGAAGGCTTCGGTCAGTCACCCGACAGAGGGCCTATTCCTCGGAACATCGACGCTCAGCGTAGCATCTATCATCTGCGGCATTGCCCGTTATGGAATCCCCGCCTGCGGACCGTGGCTTATCACGGCGTATAGGGTCTTGTTTTGGATATACTTCTTGATCACATTTGGAATTGCGGTTGGCCAGTATGCTCTACTGTTTACCTCACCTCGCTTGAAGATTCAGGATATGACTCCAGCATGGGATCTTCCTATATTTCCCTTTATGCTGTCTGGTACCGTTGCCTCCTCAGGCGCCGCTCTCCAACCACCGAATGAAGCCGTCCCTATGATCGTTGCTGGCCTGACCGCTCAAGGTCTTGGGATGTGCGTATCGATCATGATGTATGGTACGTATCGCCGCCTATATTAGGTACTTATGTTACACGTCATAGACGGATTCTAATCATTTTATAGTAAGTATTAACATTCATCACTATTTTATCGAAGATTTCGTTATTCGTTTTGGTAACGGGATGTTCGGAGGGGATTAGAGCGTTACAGTAGTAGAAGTGCTAACGCAGAACAGGCCAGCTATGTACGACGGATGATTCAGTGGGGATTTCCATCGCCCAACTCACGACCTGGCATGTTCATAGCAGTTGGGCCACCTTCATTCACCGGCCTCGCCATCATCGGTCTTGCGAATGATTTCCCCCGGCACTATGATTACTTCGGGCCCGACTCCATCACTATCCAGATTCTACGAGTCTTCGCAACATCTACGAGCATATTCCTCTGGTCTCTCAGCTTATGGTTCTTCTGTATTTCAGTAGTGGCTAACCTTGCCGTTAGAAAGCAGTTGAAATTCCACTTGAATTGGTACGCTTATGTATTCCCCAACGTTGGGTTCACAATCACGACCATTTCCATCGGCAAGAGTTTCCAGAGCCGGGGAATTATGGGAGTTGGTAGCGCAATGACACTGATGCTAGTCGCGATGTGGATATTCGTGTTTATCCACCACATAAAAGCTATCATCAACCGAGAAATATTGTTTGAGGGTAAGGATGAAGATGTATACGTGAATGAAAAAAAGCACGCCCACGTCAAACCTACCTCCAAAAGCGGGAGCGACGTAGAGAAGGAAGCATGATTAATGTTTTGCTTAGGTACCTGGTATTCACCCGTCCAACCTAAAATCGTCCAGCTTCTCCTAAGGAGGTTACATTCTTAAGGGCACCTATTACGCCAGGGCATATGTCTTCATGACTATAATGAGCTTACGATTATTAGACTTTTAATTTGTTAAGATGGATAAGATGTTACTTCATGGGAGCATAGCATCAAATAGAGGTTATAGATGGAACGGTTTGTCAGTCGGTAGAAATAGTAATAATTTATAATAATACTTCAATCAGGAACTACATGAAAGAAGGTACCTAAGCTAATTCTAATGTGACACGTTAATTTAAGCTTTCCTGTCAGGTTGCATAATTCTTCGATATGTATGAACCTCATGCATGACTTTTACGAAATACTTCAATGCCGAATTTTAGTAGCGCTAGAACCAATATGTCAACTACTGGTCCAGACTGGTCCATTTCAACTATCTTTAACATTCTACGGCGGTTTAATAAGTACGGTTTGTACCGCGATCTTATAATATCAAAATCACGCGAGTATAAGGAGATGTCTCGTTATGCTCTTGTCTCACTGTCGAATGAGCCCGCATAACTTTTACCATTTGGAATTACGTATATTTCTTATGGGATCTCTTGGATGCTAGAAGATGAGCTGATTCATGCGAGAGCGAAAATATTTTTTTTCCCCTTTTATTAACCTGCTCAGCCGCATAGCCTCATATAGGGTCGTATTCCCGCTCCAAAACTTAGCCCAAGGGGTCAACAAGTTGCTTTTGCCCCCCTGATAACCTCTCAATAGGCGGTCTATGAGCGAGTATTAGATGATCCTCAGCTGGACAATTAAATGTGCAGATGTCGCGATGTTAGGGGGAGAACTCGTGTTAGAAACATCGTAGGCGTTGTGGCTAGGATGAGAGAGGGGGGGGACAAGAATCGAAGTTAATTCAACTATTAACTCCTAAACTCACAATTATCTCATAAAATATCAACTTGAAAAATGCTCTTCACGACAATACCTCATCACCAGTCACATCATCCGTCCCCGGCCCCTTGTCTTACACAGCTACCATACCCGATCTAACTAGTCGCCGGGCAGACCTTATCCTCTACTTTTACAGGTCACGAAGACGCGGCCGAACGAGGCTAGGTGACATTTATCTATTATCCCGGAGAACTAGACAGGGCCGTGCCAATCTAAGGAGTTAGGAATTGCGATACTTGCTAGGAATACCACAGTAAGGTCTACATCTACAAATTATAATCACTACCCTTAGGTACCTAGGTTAGGTACCTATGATTAAGCACGGCTAGCGAGTATGCATATGAAAGAGGCGACGGGGGATGAAGCGTCCTAGTAACGCTCCCTTGGATCCGGACTTGCGACGATAGTCTACGTTCCACAGGGGCGTTGGAGGAGATTCTAATAGTAATGTGCTGGGGAGTTTACGATTCACAGCTTCTATATATCTGTTAGTTATCTGATTTGAAGACAATTTGCCAGGAGTTACAACTTCTCGTCACGCCGTACTACAGCCAATACGCCAACCAATTCACCTAAGTCTAAGTCTTGACAGTAGTAGTAGTGTTAGTAGTAACAAGCGAAAAGAGGCTTCACGGCGGAATGTTCAAGTATATAAACCTCCCATTTCTACTCCGAACCTGCCTTCCATCCCTTTTCCGGTTCACCATCCACTTCTTCTTCCTCCCTCCCTCCCTACGCTCCACGAATACCAACAATCATCAATCATCAATCATCAATCCTGTAGCAAAGGTCCCCTACCCCCTACCCAGGTCCAACCCAACAACCACCATGTCTCCCCCCACCATAAAGCAGGAAACCCCCTCCAGGCAGGAACTCAAGGCCCACTGGTCCGCGCATCAAGCCCAATTCCTACGTCACTCCTTCCCCGGAGCCGAGGAGGTCGAGTACAGGCAGCTACGCATCGTCCTGATGCCGCGCGACTACGTCGGCAGCATCGCGGACCGGGACCGGGACCGGGACCTGCCGCGGCTGCCCAAGATAGAGCTCGCCTTCAACGACGTGGATATCACCGTGCCGCAGCATGCCCTCGGGGACTGGGAGCACAACTGCGAGGCCCTCGAGCACGCGGCGACGCAGGTGCTCGGGTCTTGGAAGAGGTACTATTGCTTGCGGGTGGCCGGGACTTGGAAGGGGAATTGTTGCCCGCATGTCTTCGAAGAGAGGAAGAGAGGGTTCTCTTTCGAGCCGGTTGTTGATAAGCCTGGTCCCAGCTCGTACGAGGGGCCGGAGATCCAGTTTAAGCTCAAGGCTCCGAGTGTACTAGCGGACATTATCCACGTCAAGATCTGTAGTCACACGCCTTATGTTAATTACGATATCACAAGACTGTGAGAAACCGAGAATATATATCAAGCAAACTTGATTGGAAGGTATGCTTGATATACCTTAGATAGTGAATTTCTACGGGGATGATGTTTACCTCTTATGAATAATACACTCTACATTCTTAGCAAACCTCGCGACTCAGATTCACTTTCCTTCGTGCGCATATATATTATGCATGTATTAGCTATAAACGTGTCTATGCACTCTAATATACTTTCGTATGGTAGTATTCCACCGGAGCACAAGCTCCTTGTATCCTGTTAGTTTTATATAGCAATATCTACTACTTGGAGAAAAAAAAAAGGGGGGGAGGGGGGGAGGTGCGCCGTACACCTAAAAATTTCGACTTCTCTCTGCTACGGCAAAGCATATAAAATATGACTTCCTTCCGATCCAATTACGAACGGCCTGCCCTGATGGTATCAGTACCATATCCCTCCTCCTATCGATCACAGAATGGAAATTTCGATGTTACAACAAAAGGGAAAAAAAAAAGAATTCGCTCCGCTCCTTTCTGCCCGTCCTAACAACCGCGCGCATGCTCACTTGCTTTTTTGGGCCCTTTCCTACGAATTCGAAAATTCTGAGGGTATAATCTAGATAATACAGAGTTTTTCTCTGTCCGGAGATGCGACAGAGGGTATTCTAAAGCAAAAGGAAAGAGCAACGCCATCTGTCCTCAAGTATCCCAACCAATATATGCTTTCATAATGATGCCTGAAGGCAGTCGTAACTCATAGCTTCCTAAACGAACCAGACTAGCTAGCCGCTTTGATTTATTTATAATGAGGTATTAGATGTCTCAATTAGCGTCCATGGTGTAATTTCTTGGTTGCGGGCTCACTGCACCGCTACCGCTCACGCTCACGCTTGCGCTGCCGGAATAGTAGCTTTGGTCGATGCGAAAGATCCAGTCAAGCTTTTCGCGCTCACTACGAGCTGCAAACAGCCACGTATTGTCTGTTCCGTAAACAGCAAAAACGCCCGCCTGCAGGCGTTCGCTTAAGCCGCCAAGACTAGGTCCCGAAGACTTGGAATTTCCAGACCAAACTGTTGAGATGGTCCGACCTGACGGTGTCCTCTGATGGCCCGGCTGAAAGTTCCCTTGGGTATTGCCATTTGTTGGGGTTAAACCATCTGGTTCGTCGTCGTGGCCACCAAATAACGACAAAATCTCTGGCTGGCTATCAACCCTGGAATTGCGAAGACTGACTATCGCCATTTCGTCGCCATTACTAGCGTTATGGATATGGAGATAAGGCTTTCGAATTTCCACGAATCTCTTCACCCATTTGCTGTAGTCATTATTAGGGACTAGAAGATAGCCTCCTTTTGAGACTTTTGGGTTCTTCGGGACTCGGATGATGGTCGAGATCAACCTGGGCGGTTCCACAGATTCAGGCGCGACGCCATCCGAGGGGGGTGTTGTATTTGCTGGGCCAAGGATGCGTGCCATAGGATCTGGATGGCGCAACCAAAGTTTTAGACATTTGTTAAGGATAAGGGCTTCATGCTCGTTATACTCCGGTTCTTGAGATTCTTCAGGTTCTGGAGGCTGCTCAGAGGGCTGCTCAGATGGCTGCTCGGGTTGTTCTACCTTTTCGCCCTCCACTGATTCTGGCTGCTTCGGCGTGGATGGCCGCGATGTATCCGGGGTATCATTAAGAAGTGCGTCAATCGAATCTTGATCATCATCACGGGCATTAAGTTCCGGGGATATGTCGTTGTCGAAATTGTCCTCTTCAGCAGGCTTGTTCTTAGGTTCAGGTAGGCCAATCTTCTTAAGGAACAGCTGGGCAGCCGCAATTTCGGTAATCCGTCTCTTTTTCTTTCGTGCCGTGATGTAGTCCGCTATTAATGAGACGCCCCTTGGTCCCCAGTTGTTCAAGTTCTCTTCGCCCTTGACATAGCTATGCAAACTGTTCATTCTCCATAAATCACCAACCCGCTTGATAGGCGCAGGTCGCATGCTCAAAGTGAAGATGGCTGTAGAAGAGTGTACGATCCTAACATGCTGGAACAGGGACGATAACATCGAACTCTGTCGGACGAATGTCCTGCCTAGAATCTGGCAATATACATTCGTTGAGAATTTCATCGGCTCGGCGAGATTGTCAGCGGTTATATCCCAGGACAGGGTCATCTGCACTTTGTATTTGTCTGCAGTGGTGCGATCGAGTAGCAGAGAATTGTGTAAGCTTGAATCCCACTGTCCTGTAATAGCCATGCTTCGAGTGCCATTTGCATTCTGGCGGCGATATGGGGTTGCGCTTAATCTCAATGGGATGTCGGGAGTAGCCGACCCCATATCAGGATTTTTACCAGCGTGGTCAACAAGCTGAATCTTACCGACGCGAACCGATATAATGTCCTCCCAAGGTAGCGTATCTCCTGAACTATGTGTGAGGTTGATCGCTACTCGTCTTTGAAGGCCTTGGTGTAGTTGAAAAGTGCCAGTATCAAGCTCGCTTGTCTGTGTGACCTCTACAGGGACATACTCCCCGTTTTCGTTAAGTTCGAGGATCTGGATCCGGGCAAGTATATCGTGCTTCTCCTCGGTGTAAAACTGTGTTTCGTTGATTCGCGCGCCTGGAGAATTACGGTCAGAATTTGGAGTCGCATCACGCATCTCATCCCAACTCAACAATTTGTCAAGATGCATCGTAGAAACCTTAGCGAATATAGCAATCCTAAGGTTGACGTCTCGAGACCCAAACAATGGAACGCTCATACTATGGACACTATCAAATCGTATCGGACCTTCATCGAAATCTTTGATCATCTGAGTTGTAGTGACACTATCCGAAACACCAGGGATGAACAGCTGCGCATGTACGTCAGTTCCCTCTCGCTCGGCAAAACCAATCATGTCGTGCATAACAACATTGTACTTCAGAGTACTTGACGGAGCTCGGGCGCTAGAAGGCTCTAAGGATACTTTAATAATCCCAATGGCATGAGAAGTATGAGGCGATAAGACGTCCAAAGCAAAATCTTGGACCCGGCTATCAAAGACAGCTCGGAGGGGAACGTCAACCTCGCCAACGAGAGAATATTCAGGCATGCAGGTCTCGACAAAGGGATTGTCTAGCTTAAAATGTTGAGAGTACTCCGGCTGGTCGAGATATTGGTGCATCTGTCGCATTTGCCGCACTCGGTCGTGAAGCTTTTCTAAGCTCCACAGATGAACGACGGTGTTCTTGTAGTCGACCACGCGGACCCCTACACACGGTTTTTGAGCTTCGTCGAGAGCTGGATCTTCTCCCTCGCTTGGGACGTCATTCAGGACCATATCGTAGGAAGAACAGCGTGCGTGACCAATATCCACAACGGTGAATTGGAAGACAACGTTCTCTCCCAACTCCTCGCTCATGATCTGCGCCTCCTTCAAGGTAGTTGCATGCTGCAGGACAGCTTCAGCCATCTGTACGTAATGTCGGCCTCTCCAATGCGCAATAGCCTTCTTAGCCCTTTCAATCTCCTCTTCGGATAATTTCGATTTTGCCTTAGGTCTTTTCAACGGGTCCAGCTTCTCAATCTTAGCCTCAAACTCTTGCTTTTGGGTCTCCAATTGCTTTTGCATATCTGCTTTTAGTTTGACGAGAGTTTCTTCCATTCTGGCCTTCTCTTTTTTAATCTCTTCCACCTCAACGTTAGCTATTCCGGCGCTCTTAAGCTGCCCTTGGTATTCCTCCTTTTGCTTCTCTAATTGGGTTTGCATGGTATCTCGCATTTCCTTAAGACGATCGTCTCCTTCGCCGGCCTTTGGAGTAGACGGCATTGTAAGCGCCGTATCCAACGAGAGATTGTCAATAGTACCAGTCGACATATACTTTTCTCTGATAGGATAAGATGTGTTGGATTCTAAATCGTCATCGCCTTCACGGTCATTGACACGCTCAGCTCGAGCCCGCTGCACGTCTTCGAACAACGCATTAAGCTCCTCGTCCGACAAACTTTGAAGGTTCTTATCTGTTCCGAGTATGGCACCAGCGGCTTCTCGTCGTGCAAATGACCAATCTGCATCCCTCTCGCTTCGAGACGGAGCGGGTGAGTCCGGACGGCTGTCAGGTAACTCGGAACCAGCTTTGCTTACGGATCGCTCGTGACCTAGCAGAGGGGATGGGGATGTCCGTTCTAACTCGCGCAACTGGCTTACGGTGACAGACTGGCGCAGTAGACTTTGCCGGTTCTCGTCTCTCTCCGCCCGTGCCTCCATAGGATGATTGAATCTGAATATATGAAAGTCACCCAAAATAACACGATAACCAGAGTGTAATCTTGTTGTCCCTGAAATGCGTTTCCCGTTGACCATGATAGACGCGCCTTCGTTCGGCGTTATTGTCACAGTACCGTCTGAAGCATTATCGAAGTAACAGTGGTCGTGAAGAATTCGAGTGCCGTTGAGGCGGATATTTGCTTGGTGCTCTGAGTTCGATTCCACATTTCCTACTGTTGTCCTGCCCGGCTTAAGGTTGTAGACCAAACACTCCGCAAGGAGAGGATCATCAGATAAATTGACCAAGTGAGGCATCTTCTTGGGTGTGTGCAACCCCACAAACCCTTTTTCAATACTGATACCAAGTTCTTCGAGGGCAGCTTCTCGCTCTTTGTGGATCTCTTCCGTCTTCTGAAGTTTTTCCTCCCAGGTTTGGTTAAGATCAGTCAACAACTTCTCGCTCTGGCTCAGCTGCTCAGCAATTTCTGCCTTTGATACCTTCTTGACGGAGCCATCTGCCTGGGTAATGCTGACAATCTGCTTCTCTAGAGGTGTCCCTTCAGCGTAGACCTCCTCTGGGGGTACAGCTAAGCCGCCAGTGCCGCCACCGCCACCGCCTCCCAGCTTGCTCCGCAGTACTGCTAACTCTTCTTTCAGTTCTCTTATCATGCGAGCATTCGCATCTTCGTTGACGACAGCGTGGTTCTTGATTCGCTTCGCGGAGTCGGCATATCGTAGAGTACTTAAAGTTTCATCGTAGTTGATGTCAGCTGGGCTGATTGCTGCAATCATAGCAGTCATACTGTTTCCACCAAGTGAGTCTTTCAGAAGCCACGTCAAAACACTGTCTCGATAAGGAACGGTTCCTCCCGGTCCTTTCTTCTTTTTCCCGGTTGAGAGGTCAGCCAATGCTGCTATCACACGGCCAAGCGTCGAGAGGGACCTATTGATTTCAGCACCTTCTTTTAGTCGAGCACCGGTAGCACCGGTTGATGTTGCTCTTTCTGAACCAGCTAGATCGACCAAGCTAATTTTCGCCTGCTTCTCCATCTCCATCTTCGTCTCCGCATCGTACTTCTTCTGCGTGAGCATGAGGGTAAATACGGCGTGACTCCTACTGGATGTTTCGTTCATGTTTGTCGCGGCGACTGTTCTTGCCTTGTTGCCTTCGTCCATAAGGTTTTCGATCTCTTGAAAGCTGCTGACGACCAATTTGGCGAGATCCTCCACGTAAGGGCCAGTCGACGGGTGTTCTCGGACCTTCAAATTGCCCTTGGTGGCAGGATTTAATAAATCCCGTACCCTTTCATTGTAAATCTCGAGATACGACACTTCTACAGTACACCGTGTCGTCTTGTCTTTCTGTAGTTCTTCAATTCTCCTAAACATATCCTGGCAAATGTGAGGTATGATACCGGCTTCTTTGCCATATCCCATCATGGAATATGACTTACCCGAACCCGTCTGTCCATAAGCAAAGATACAATTGTTGTATCCTTGAAACGCATTGTCCAAAAGTGGTTTTCCAAGATCACTATGTAAGCTTTCTTGGCCAGCGTAGTTAGGATCATTCTTATTAAAAGACCAATACGATTTGTCAAAGGCGAAAGTCTTCACTGAATTGTCTTTAGATCCCTTAGGGCCATGAGCAGCATCGGCGGGTGGTGTCAGGACCGTTTGGTTGCCTTTCATTTCAACAATGCATTTTGACCCACGGTCAATTTCTATATGCTAAGTTAGCATCTATCCAGTCTGGGCGCAAGAGTCTAATAAGGGGGCTATCCAAGTCATATGAACCTGGCGAATAGTCGCAACCGTACCTCTACTGTTGAAAGGCCGACATCTCACCACCACCTTAATATTTCCTCCACCGGCGGGAGCCATGGTTGCTAGATGAAGGAGATACTCTCCTATCCACTACAGCTATTCACCAAGTATAAAATAGAGTCGAGGCATCCGATAGATAGGGGCGCGCGGCGATGGTCTTTAGTGGGGACTTTGGGCGTAGACCTCGCGCGCGTCACAAATAACTTTTGAAGCCCCTCACTGATTTCGAAAGTCGCAAGCAGATAACCTATCCAGCCTTATAGTTTTAAAAGGTCCTAATCTAATATTGGTCTTTCTAAGCTTATCATCCTCCCCTTTATTACACGGGAACGGCCGCGAAAACGAAATCCGTAGCTCCCGTTGAAGGTGAAGCACCTAACACCGGACGGCGGCGGTGGAGTCGTGTGAATGCAGGGAGCAGATCGCTAAAAAGCAGCCCAGCGGCTGCGCGTTGCTGGATAATGCGTATAGTGCGTATAGTGGGACGGCCAGATCGTGGGTTTGCGGAGGTGGAAATGTGATAGGTTAGGCTTCTTTTTTTTGCAGCAAGAGTCTATGATAGAATGTTGGGCGTCGTCGCGGAGATAGTTATTGGATTTTGGTTGGTGGAATTTGGTCAACAACTTGTTAACAAGTAAATGGTTGTAAATGGGTTCCAAGATTAACTGGAGAACGCGAATCGCGACCGGCGGCTTGTCATTCGTCCAAAAAAGAGATGAACTATGGGGCAATTTGCCAAGACATTCACGTGTCTGTCTCTTGTACTGGTATAATCAGTGTGAAGTAATTAAAACCATTTCAGGTAGCTAAAATTAATGGTTCTTGTCAGCTGCCTTCCCTTTAAATCAGTTGTGATCAACTGACAGCAAGTCTCTTTTCACCTTATTAGTCCACTTTTTATCTAGCCTGGGACCTCGGAAAGTCAAGTTACCTGTAATACATATGTCATATGTACCTTAGGTACCCAAGCTAGAAGTCTGCCAAATCACTAAACCTCAGCAAGTTTGAGGTTGCAGGTACCTTTTCTTTTCCATCTTTTTTCCCTTTTTTTGTATTGAAAAAAAAAAAAAAATTTAAATTTATGCAAGTGATCTAAACTTCAAAGATCTCATAGTTACTAGGTACCTAGGTACCTAATGCACTATGTAGAACTATGACACCATCTATTTCAAGCCCAGGTCCTTCTCCAGCTGGCCCTTGGTAGTGGATGGATAGAAGTCTTTGTTCTCCTTAAACGTCTTAACCGCGAGGTCCCTATCTAGCTCGTTCAACTTCCTGTACAAAGGTCTCACAAACTTCATGCGGCCGACAGAGCCCAGAAGGTCCACTATCCCAGGCAACTCCTGCTTATCTCCTGCCTGGAGAGCAATCAAGTAGTAAGCCGATTTCAGCTCGACGTTCTTCGAGGAGCTGATATTGTAAGTAGTTCCTAAGAGATGAGACCTCTCAGCGCTCAGGGGCTTAGGGAAGCTTTGTACCGCTTGCAGGAAGACAAGTGTCTGATTGGCCGTAAATGACTCGACGTCTTTGCTGGTTGGTTGGTAATCATCGCTCTTCCATTTCTCTGCCAGCGCAAGGCAGCTGTCCACATAAGCCGTGTTGAATTCGGGTTTCGGCGGCAAGCCTGGCTTATAAAACCTCTCCTCCCAGGGGATCTTGGCAATTTTCTCCTTAATCTCCGCATTGCCGTAGTTCTCGAAGAAATCCAGGAAAGTTTGCTTGAACTCAAAAGAGTCCAGCGACTTGTTGGCCCACGTCTTGAAGTAATGAGGGATAAACTTGTCAAAATGTTCTCTCCCCACAAGCCGGTCGAGGTAGTAGAGAAAGTGGAAGCCCTTCTCGTACGGAATTGTGCTGAAAGCATCCTCGGGATCTACCCCTTTATGATTAATAATAAGTTTGGTAAACTCATGTTCGGGTCCGAATAACGCGACCGAGTCCTCTATAGCTCCGTTAGCACTAGACAAAATACATACACCGAATCACATACCCAGTGCCTTCCAGCCGATGATAGCTGAGAAGTCGAATTGAGGTTCGCCGTGAATAGCCGCGCCAATACGTCGCTCAAGATACGTTGTCCATCCTTCATTAAGCCAGCTACAATTTTTTTTGTTCTCTTAGTTTCCAGTCATAAAATAGGTAGTCGTCCACGGGGAAAACTTACAAGTGTTCCCAGGATGCGCAGCCTACGAGATTGCCACTCCAGCTATGGCTTAGCTCATGTGCAATCACATCGACATTCTGGCGATCTCCACTGATGATAGTAGGGGTAGCAAAAGTGAAGATAGGATTTTCCATTCCTACGACCATGAGTTAGCAGGGCTCTCTAAGGCTACTTTGAAATTCACGTGGAACTTTACCTCCGTAAGCAAAGCTCGGGGGCAGCACTAACACGTTGTACTCTCCCCACTGGTAGTCGAAGACCAGCTTCTCTGCTACTTCAAGGAATTTGTCCATATCCGCTTCGAGTTCCCATTTTGCAGCCTCGAGGGCTTCAGGGCCAGTAGTGACGACAGACCGTTTCCCAATGCGTGCCGTTTCCAGGTCTCCAGAGGCTAAAGCAAATAGGTACGAGGGAATAGGGACCTTCTGCTCAAAGCGGAACAGCTTGTCGCTGTCTCCTTTATTATCGGAAGGCACAGGCACTCCGCTCGCAACTACAGGTAGCGGGGAGGTGATGTTGAAAGTAAATGTTGACTTGACATCCGGAGTATCCTGGCAAGGGAAGATAGATCGGGCTAGGATAGCTTGGCATTGCGAGTATACATATGGGTGCTTCTTGTTACCAGTCTGGGCTGGGGTCATCCATTGTAGACCAACGCATTTATCGGTAGTCTCTAGGGCGATATCCAACTTTACAACATCACCCTGAGGTATCCCATTCGGTACAGAGATATGAAGTGGTGCTCCATAAGGCTCGACTCGATCCTTGACAGCCCATTCCGAGTCGGTCGAATCAAGCTTGACGGATGAAATAGACAGGTGATTTGTATCGAGTATGATCTCACGGCTTGCCTTATCCGTAAGCGATTCGAGCTCCAAAAGCACAGAACCTTCAAGGCGCTGCTTCTCAAAGTTGACCTTAAAGTTTACGGTGGTGTGCTTGATGCCCCATTCACCATAATTGGCCAGAGTGTTGGGATCACGAGGTGCCATGGTTCTTTTCGGGACGAGGCTAAAGTGTCTTAAATGGAGATGCACTGATAATTTGCAATTTGTGAGTCGAATACTTCTGAACAGAAGACTGCCCCTCACGATGCTATTCAGTTCTCGCATCGAACTGGAATATTAGCCTCCTTCCGGATTAAGCCAAGCCTCTGCACACAAGTTGCTTAGAGTTTTGTCTGCGGGTTCGTTCGGATTAGAACTTAGAAGCCCGTAAGCCCGTTAAATGAGAAGGTGGTGGGTCCCGAAGCAAACCTTGGAAAGAATCTGTGGAATTCATCTAAGAGAACGAAGTTATTCTTGTCATCTGCATATGTCTATATAATTGAATGCCAAACTTTTGGATATTTCCAACTAGGGAGATAATGATATAGCGATATTCTATCTACGTCTAGATCATAGGTACATCACAAGTCGTCCTCTTAAGATCGATTCTTCTTGAGCCACTTGTATCATAACATAGACGTAAAAATCAGCACTAAATAATAATAATAATTTTTTTTTAAAAAAAGGGGGGGTTAGTTTGAATCTAGAAGATACCCAAGGTAGGTCTAGGTAAACCATCAACTTCCAATCGACTTACAAGTTACAGCAGGGCTGGTAGCCTGTAGGTAACTTGAAACAACGCTTCCTGATGGCTTACTTACTAAGTTGTGACTAGCTCGTCACGACTTGCACCATCCTTCTGTTCTGAAACAATCTGTTAGATACCTGCCATGCTTGTTTTCTTCTTATCTACTGCCGGAGGCACGCTTCAGGATACCCGTCCCCACACTTGGGATACTTGGGTAAGCAGGGAACATGGGACGGAAATAGTGTATTCCTAGAGATCTACAATGACTTACCTTAGGTACCTAGATATCAATACACATAAACTTTGAGGTTGTGGTGGTTGACTTAAAACTTGCAGTAGTTGCTAGAATTCGCCCAGAAAAGGGGGAAGAATCAGAAAGTAAGCAAGCCTCTACATACTACGTTATCTCATCTGTCAACCCTGCATAGCAGTCAGAATTTTTTATTTTTTTTCTCTCTCTTTCTTTCTCCAACCGTTCCATCGAAGGATACCAGACGGCAAGTTTGGTGAGAATGACTACTACGGCGCTGCTTCGGCGTTCGTTACAGTTTGTCACTAGTTGGTTGGGCAACGTGACATGTATGCTTCCCACCAAGTCGGGTAAAAAGTTGGCTGCCATCTTACAAAAGTAAAATCTTCAGGACGTCCGTGCTCAGATCTTGGCATGACACAGCATGCAGCTCGACAACTTGAGTTCTTGCCCTTCACGATAGCTTCTTGGCAGAAGAATTTCACTGCACGGGTTTGGTCATAAAGCGGTCGGAAGCAGTCCAAGTTGGCAAAGGAACAGCTTCTCCCGGACGTCATGGTGATATTGCATTTCTGCATTAGTTGTGTGTAGTATACGCCCTTCGTGTTTTCAGAGCTAGCTACCTCTACATATTCAAGAAACTTCCCGTGTTTATTTAAACTGACGGGTATGATTTCAAGCTTGATGTTACGTTCGCCTTCTTGAATAGCTCTCCCGAGGTCTTTCTTATATCAAGAAATTGCCACTTGTGATTCGTAGCTCCATGAATTCTGGGGTTCGAGCCGACAGGATTCTCGATGCTGCATAAGAGTTAAAGGCTTTGCAATATGTCGGGTGCATATTATGCATCATGCATAATCACGTCTGCAAGTGAAGTTTTCTTTCTTCCCCAACCCAGCGTTCAGGATCTAGCCTTGGAAATTACCTCGAGGCAGATATTTCATTATGTCCGTACATGGCAGGTCATGTGAGCTAGGACGGGACGGGAGATAGCATGGTCGAATAAAAGGGGTTGCAAAACCCTTCAGATCATGGGTACGCGGGGAAGACCAGGATCTACCCGACACGGAATATCAATCACCATCGCATCATTCACTAGGTATTGTTGTTAGATGCATAGGTCCCAAGCAGCAGGATGCTGTAGAACCCGTTCCTGTCAAAGCGAACCCTCTCTCCATCGAGATCCGTTTTAAACTTTTAGTCTCCTCGCGTGGCTGCTAAGTTTAACACTTCTACACTAGCTTCGAAATCGTGAACGAATACGTCCTAGCCTCATTTTTGACGGCTCGGAAGCCTGGCTGAAAGGTCGAGGTGCTGCTAAGGTTGGTACTGAAGTCGGAAATGAGGCCCAACTAACAGCCCTGTCCAATTTGCCATGTGCTGATACGCCGCGCAGTGGATCTCGCGAGCGTTATGCGTGGGGAATAAGACCACTTGGAAAATCATTCGCTAGGCAAATTTTGTACTGCTCAGAGTTGCTCTGATACGGGCCGGGTCCTCAATGCGGCTAAGGTTATTCCATAATAAGTATAGCAGACCTGGAAAGTTCCGTTGAACAGAGTCCCGTGTTCGGGAATGATAGCCTTAAAATTTCCATTTTCAAATACTATGCAATGTTAAACTGATATCATATCGTGAAGTTCGTTTTTTTCTTATACATAATAACAGACTCTACTAAGGAACACGTATTAATATTAATATTAACGAACATTTTTCGGACAAGGCGGAAATGGAATGTCTTTAGAACATTCTTAGAATTCGATAAGTATAGATTTTCATATGACAGTAATATCCGAGACGATTTGATATAGTCGATAGCAGAATATGTGAAGTTTATGAGTATTGGTACTATTTTAGGGAAGTCTCTAGTGTCCGGGCGCGTCAGATGAACCAAGATCAGTTTTCAGGTCACTTAACTTGTTGCCATATGGCTTTAGCTTCTCTATGCGGCTATTAACTTTGCTAGAGACCTTGATTATTTAGGTATATATTGCATCCATCTCGAAAGACCAAGTCATATATTCGTATTTAGGCTTAAGCAATACATTAGGTAGTATTAGACAAAGGCATTGTCTGAGGACGACGTAGGTTATGGAAGTTGAGTTAGAACTTCGAATTGATAACGGTTGTTAGCCCAGGATAAATTGGCTTGTAAGACAGCATTACGGTCGCGGCGGCGGATATGGAAGACCTCCTAAAATTCCTTCGCGTTCCACAGCAGAGATGGACTTTATGCCGATAGGCTGTACCTGAAAACCCTCGCAGGACCCTGCCTTGTTGCCAGGAACAGGTAAAAAACCCATCCGGGGGGGCCTTGTCGATATCGCAACCTTTTATCGGCTGGATGCCTTGGGGTGCTGATCGTTTAGATCCCGGGCAACTTCCAGGCCCATGGCAGACGGGAATGGTGATCATAAATTCTGCGTTAATTCATTCGTAGAAACATATTTTATAGTTGTCTTTATTAAGCTTTAAGACCCAGGCGGACGAGTCCGAAATTTGCTTTCCAATTCTGTTCAGTTGTAATTAAAGAACTTGTTGTTTGCGAAGTTACCTTAGGGGGGTAGTTACGGGAGATATGCAATGCTGTTAACTCCGAATACCTTCCTGATCTATATGTCTTAAGCCGTGTAGTAGTCCAGGCGCTTTTAAAAAAAAAAAAAAAGGTAGGAGCCAAGTCCTAGAAGTCTGGAACATCTGGTCGTTCATCGCGTTTTGCCATTCGACAATTGGTCGTTTCGGGACGTGAGACTCCCAGGTTGAAACGCCAATGATAGATGATCATCCCGATCTTTTAATTCGGACCAAATTCGGATGACGTTGTGGATTGGTTTGAGTCGGGACACAGGATGTCTCATCTCAGCCTTGTTTATTCTGTAGGCGCCGATAGTTCGGTTGGAAACTACATCATCTATCACATAAGTTAGTACCGTAGATATTGTTGTTTCTTGTTTCCCTACTTCGTAGATCACTGGTCTCCAAAGTCCTCATCGCAGATACGCTAAACGGTAATTTCTCCGTATTCCTTCTGCAAGTCACCACATGCATCGTCTCATAGTATAAGCTAAGAGTAAAGCCAATTATTTCATACCTAGGTAGGTAGCTTTGCTCGACGTCAATCGGTGACAGCGGTAATATGTCTGAATAGGGGTGAAACGCAAAGAGATGTACATCCATACTTGTCTCGATCCCCACCCTCACCAAGAAATAGCCCCTTGTTTATCTGCTATCTCGACATAATACTGATATGGTAAGTAGGTCTTAGAATCCTCGCGAAGAACAAGTTTGTTTCGACTTCAGGTTAACCTTACGTATCTGTTAAAACTCCCTGCCAAACCACATATGCTAGAGAGATAATACGAAGAAAATTTTGCCAATTAACTACAACGAAAACAAGGTCAAGTTTTGTTAAACCTTACTGCTATTAGGGCCTATTCCCCTTTAAGGCTCGGTTACGGGTGTGTGCCGCAAGTCACAACCAGTTACGCCGCCGCTACGCCACCATAATGCGCTAACATCTTGTGCACAGACAGTCCCAAATATAAATGAGCTTTGATATGTGAACGCAATACTATGTAAGTTCAACGTATTGATCGGATATCTCAGTAGCTGAATTATTTATATACCGGGTTGGTCCTTCTTCATATACAACTTTTCAGCTCGGAGACGACAAGTACGACGACTGATACTAAGAATCCCTCATCCTCTAACGGTGTGTTACTATACATATGCTAACTAGGTGGGAATAACCTCTTGCCTCCTTGTATTTACGAGCAATAGCCAGTACCTACCTACCTAGAGCGGAAGCATCGCTTCTATCAGAGAACTTATATGGTACGTTGATGCTGTGGCCCCCATATGTCGAGCAACCTCTCAACTTAAAACAGATTTCAACCCCTATTTGGTCATTCAGTGGGCAAATGAGAAGGAAATCAGTTATCTTGAATCCCCTTCCGCCCTCAAGTAAGCAATAAATGGCAAAGTTGTATCATGTCTTTCTGACTTTTGAGCTCCAAAGTCGGCGGTTAAAGATGTAGTGCTTGTGATCATGTATACCTTATTGGTGAAGGCGCGCGGTAAGCTTCACCGCATCGTATGCAACTTTAAACTCAGATCACGGGGTTAGTACGCATAGAGGGCTCTATAGCCCTCGCCCTCTGCCGGCAACGAAAAAAAAAGTCTAAAAAAGTAGTAACCCAAGATAAAAAGCAGTAGGACTTAATCTATTTAAGTAGGTTGTTTACTATAAGGTAGATTACATCCATTGCTACCACGGCTCCTCGTGCATCTTGCAGAGAGGAATTGCATATAATATATATTAGGTGCGTTCGTTTAAATGTGGGATACGTAGGATTTCGTGATGATGGAAAGAAATGGAGAGAAATGCAGTCGAATATATTCATCCCATGTCGTAACTATTTCCTGTGCTTGGACCGGTTGATCAACGCCCGGTCCCAAGCTTCACATCTGACTACTACCATTATATCAGTATAAGATATTTGTTGAAGGCTGTCATAGCGACAATATAAGCTGCATACGCGCCGGCACGGACATCCAGTGGCAGTCAAGCTAGTTGAAAAACAGCAGAGTATCCTTCCCGACTTTGCGTTTCGATGTCACCATCTCCGCAGATCAATGTTCAGAGAGATATGTAAGGTAGCTAGTGTTTCTGCGCGCTCGGTTATGTGATGAGGATATCACAGCACATTTGCCGGATATACAGTACATATTTTGATAAATCATTCAGTTATTACCCAAGTCGTCTACCGGGTTTATGCGGTTAACGACGCTTCTCCACGTTTTCTTTAGCTTGCTTATGCTATCTCACTAGGTGTGTTGTCGTTTGGAAGTTATAGGGGATATTATAGATACCTCCTAAAGGAGAATACCTGTTTGTAGCAACCATAGGTAACTTTTTCGAACAGCATAACCTCGGTTAGCGGGAAGAATTGTCTTACACGCGCGTTTCCCAAGGTCCGGTCAGTCGGATCTATATACATAAAAATATGACATCCCCCAGTTGAAGTCCTGTTTCTTAGTAAGATATATATATGTCGATAACATACATTGCTGTGAGCGTGAAAGTTGAGAACTTATTCGACGTATTCTGTAGCATGTGTCACAGAACAAGTTCCCCCGTTTCAATTAAGCAGTGTTGAAAAGCTTCAACTAACTTATTACAAGCATCCCTACCATCCATGTTCCCGGCCATGGGCCACCCCTGTGATGCCGGGGGTCAAAGCTCTACCAACCTAGCTCTAGGTACATTCAGCAACCCTTGTCAACAGTGTCAAGGGCTTAAGCGGTTTCAACACCCTGTCGAGGCAGCATTTCTGGGCCTCGACCAGACGGTTTCCCGATGTACCTAAACCCTTTTTCGCATCTTGCCCCGATCCTGAGTTCAACGAGTGTTGAAACGCAGGCCGGCCGGCTGGCTGGCTCGCTGGTATTGGAGAGGGAGGGATGCAGTCTATTCCAGTCTATTACATACCTTAGGTACAGATGCGAGTACAGTCTCATCGATCCAAATTCGTAGCTACTATCCAGTATCGTCATGCATGCGGTACGGTATCATGTCTCGCTTCTAAGTGGAGGTTGCATCCCAACCTGATGCATTTGGCCTTACAATTCCCTTATTCGCTTCGTTATAGGATACAAAATCAGACAACATGGTCCTGGCTATACTTTGCGTATTAAGGACATGCATGGTCCTGCTTCCCTTGCCTCTCCGTTTTCTCCGTACGTCTATTACATATGTTAATCACTATGAAAGCTCCAGCTGTCTCTTAATTCTCTTAATTGTGTCCGTTGGGTGTCATCTTGTTGTTGTTGTTTTTTTTTCTTTAGTAATCTTGTTGCTCTTTCGTCACGCACATATATGACTTCAACCCGCCACTTCGCCCGCCTGCCGTCCGCATGAAAATAAATCCTATTTTATTCCCCTGCTTATGATAATCTCTTAGTGTGGCTTTGCAAATCTTCTAGGGACCCCAGTCACGGGATTCAATGGCTCATATAGCTACCTGCATGCTTGACAGCGATGGAGAAGTCAGTAGCCTCAGAAGTTATATAGCAAGTGCCTTCTCAGCTCAAGCTTCCACCGAATCGGTACGACCTTTTCCCTTTCTTATCTCCTTTAATTCCAGGTGGCCGGTTCCAACTAACTGTCTTTACTTTATAGCTATCGTCTACAAGCTCGTCCGAGGAGAAAAAGCCATTTGTTTGGAGGATGCAGAACCCGGAGAGCCGGAAGTATCAGCTGTTCCCAAGAGAAAAACAGCTTCCATCAGCCACGAGTGGAAAGCAGTTGGATCCGGAGCAGGCCTTCGCGATGGCTATGGGACAGACGGAGAAAGGCTCCGTAGGCAACGGCCTCCGGATGCGTATCAAGGAGCACAACATGACTCGGAGGAGGAAAGTCAGCGTGCCTGAGTTAGGCCCAATGACGACAGTACAAGAGGTTGCGATGGATTCACGTAAGCGCCCATGATACAATTCTTAGAAGATACATCTAGTATTAACTAGCAGTAGCAACGATTCCGGGCCGGCCTGCGTTGCATGAACGTTCCATTAGCTCTCCTATCAACTCTTGGCGCCAGCGTCGCGTCTTTGACTCTACTACGACCTCCCTGAAAGAGTGTCCGGAGGAGAGCCTAGAGAATTCTAATGATGTACAGAAGTCTACCCCGACTTTAAAGCAACCACGCTCTCCAAGGGATCTGGCGCCCTTAACGATACCAACGCAGTACGGTCCAATTCCGCGGCTAGCCCGGCAGCTATCGTTAAGCCGACTTAGATCTAGGGATACGCAACAGGAATCGACAATTCGATCGGCAAGGGCTGAATCACCGAAGACACGTACTCTATTGACACCCGCCTCGAGCTTGGCCTCAGCGACGACCCCTATGTCGACGACTACTGCTGTGACTAACTCGACGCTTCCAACACCGTTATCAGCGCCTGCGGAATGCCGAAGTTCTCCAAAGCCATGGGATAGGCTGGGTTCAACCACACCTATCACCACTACGCAGCAGACTGTTGATCCCTCGGCGACACCAAAAGTAGAACCCGAAACACAACCACGAGCTAACCCAAGCCCATCTCATAGACGTGGTCGATCCGATTCTGGGAGCATCATGGATCGCGGACGCCCACGAAAGCGAAGTGATGGTACACCAATTGGCGGTGGTGGTGGCTTGAAGCGAAGCAATTCTAAGAGGAGTGTCAGCGCTGAACGTCGAGCCTTTGAGAACTTACCTCAGGGGTGGAAGCCAAGCGACGCCGTAAAGAACATGGACTCAGCTGAAGCTGCTTTCTTACAGAAGCAGGCCTTGGGTCAGACTCTAAGATTTGAGGTACTCAAAAAGGACGATGTCGAAAACCTGTCCAAGGTAAGTCATATATCCCTCTCCAATCATTGCCACGACGCCGTAATCTAATCATTCATAGGAACTGCGCCACCTTGATGAGCGAACAGAGTATCTTCGCCGCACGTACACATCCCTTCGTGCCGGGCGCCGAAACCTTCACAGTCGCATTTGCCAGTACTTACGGTCACCTCGTGTTGCTAAATTTAGCTACGAGTCGATGTTAAAGCAAGAAGAAAGTCTTGCCGAGCTCGATGCTTCAATTGATGATTGGGTGACGAAACTGGAACAGGCCGAAAATCGACGGACCCGTGTTAGGCAAAAGCTCCTGGAGCATGTCGCCGCCGCCTCCACACTTTCTCTGGTTAACGACATTGACGGTACAAGCGATATCCTTCAACAAATCATGGGTGTTCGTCTACCTGATGGAACTTCGGATATTTCGACCCCACCTCGTAGCCCAAAGACTACTTCTTCTACTCAGTCCCAGTCCCCATCGCCGTCGCCTCAGCGCGTCGTTGCCCGAGTGCCTTCAATGATTCCTGAGCTACCATACGAAGAGACCGAGGATGATCTAGCGGAAGACAACCGAGAGAACTCAGCGGAATCCACTCGGCAGAGGATGGAGAGCATCCGCATATACGCTGACAGCGATGTTTACGCTCTCCTGGCAGATGTGGAGAATGAGTTCACCAAATTGAATGGTGGTGCCGCAGGCCCCGAACTTACCGGATCACCAAAATCAGAAGAGCAGCGCAGGATCCTACATCGTGCCCATAGCCACGATATCATCAGCAACCAGAGCCAGAACCACAACCTGTATCCGAAATTTCGCAACAAGACACCGCCTGTCTCGCCCCCTGCACCTGCGCCGCCGATGAAGAACTCTCCACGAGCCGAAGTTTTTCTATCGTCCGCCGTTTTCCAGCCGACTCGAAATCATTCACCTAACTAAATCATATTGCTTTCTTTTGTACTTCGTTATACTGTTTATTAGTATTGTTTTAGACTTGCAAAACCCACTCCTTTGTTTTGCCTAACGACTTACTACGTTCCTTTTTTTTTTTCATCTATATGACGATCGACGATTTACGGCCGGCCACAGCGATCATTTGCATTCTTATCCTACACTTCTAGTCATTCCTTTAGACATATTGGCATTTACGACCTTAGACAACCAGGCGTTTTCACCCTTTTTTTTAACATACCTTAATCTGTTTTATTTTATCTGGATTTTATTCATTCATTACTTTCATCTACTAGACTTTCTTTATTACTCTCATCTCAAGGCGTCATGGTCGTCCTCGGGTTTTCTCGCTACACGGCTCTGATATTAACGGACACCTCTATACCCAGTGCGCTAGGTACCGTTCAATGCGTTATCAAGGCCGAAAGGCATTGCTGTTTAAGAGTCTGTTATTTTTCCCGTCTTGTTTCGGAATAAAGGGATCGTTGGTTCGAGGTTGTATGGGGGTTAGTGTGTAGGATTCGTTGTATAGGAACTGAAGAGGGGGTTATCGCGGTGATAAAAGTGTAACATGGTCCTAAAGACTCAATTGCCAACGACGATCTAGGCCGGCTGGGGACTTGAGAGAGCCCCAGGACGAGATAGATCCTCCGCCTACAAGCGGTCCAGTCTTGCACCATAGATGTACATCATTGCTATCAGACTACTGGTCAATGAAAAAAAAGACTTCTGCTACAACCCTCATGTTCCGCAAATCCATCGTGAATGCATATCTTGTAACCGCAAATGACACCCGAATAGATTCGTTTCGAGACCCTTTCGTTTCAATTCCTTCCGACCTGGATCCTAAAGATCATCACTCCTCCGATAGACAAGCTACATCGATCTCTCTTTATCAGGTATTTGGCAGTTCGTTTGAGCTGAAGAAAAAAGCAACAAATCCTTCCCGCCTAACTATACCGATCAAGCAAAAGCTCCACCGAGAGCCAAGATCCTTCGAGACGACACGACGCCGGGGCACAACACATAACGAACAAAATAATCTCCCTTGATGTATTGTCCATAAACTAACTCCCTCTTACCTCTAAGTGGAGTAGCAGCGTCTCTTCAGGATTTCGGGTTTTGCTGCGCCGCCACGAGTCGCACCCACTTATTACGCTTTTATTGCCTGCAGACGCCCACGGGCCCCCCTCGGTACATCGCGGATCCTCCTGCTCCTAAAGGTCTAGCTTAGGCAGGCATACAATCAATACCTACCTACCTACCCTATCCTTCGTCCCTATCCCGAGAACTACTACTACTACTACTACTACTACTATCCCCCCGAGTAACCTGACCGTATCGCTCAGCTAGCTAGCTAGCTGTCCTAACCCGGGGCGCCCTTCTTCCTACGCTGCTCCTCCCGAGCAAAAATCCTTCCGGCGATACGAAGGGGGAAGTGGAGCCAGCTCTGTGCTTAGGTAGATACCACGAGAGGAGTAAGAAAAACAAGAAGAAGAAGAAGCAAAGAGAGGTATACCATACCCTTAGGTACACATCCTGATGTAGTAAGCTCCCATTTTAGGAGGTAATCTTTCTCTTATGCTTCTTTTCGTGCTATCCCGCCGACGAGGCGAAAGCTAAGGTGTAGGTCCGACGGCGCTGTTTTTTTTTTTTTTTTTCCACGTGGTATCTGCAGGGGGGGCGGTTTGCGGGTGTCAGAAAGCCGTCGGTCTAGACTGGCTAACTGGCTAGGCCTATTACATACCTTGCTTGCGATCTGGCCGGGACAAGCTCAGCTCGCACAAGAAACTCACCTGCTTTAGACGGAGTAAGTTTTGGTTTAGGATGTGTGTGTGTGTGTATGTGTGTATGGTATTGTGTCAGTCAAAGACAAGAGAGAAAAAGAGTATGTATGTGTGTGTGTGTGTGGGTTTCGGCCACAATGTGCACACACGACGACCTACGAACGCTTAAGCTGGCCGATTTACACTCAACGGGCGGATGGAGTAAAGGATAGATAGAGTCTACCAAGGTTAATCTACAGAAGACACGCCTCCGGATCATCACGAGGTCTATTGTGACCTCTAGGTACTCTAGTTTGGAACAATGCCATTTGCATGGGGCTAGTACGTGGGTTTCACGTGCGAGTAACCGCATACTATACCCTATCAACACCCGTGCCTAGAGTTAGCTATATACTATTGATCAGTTTAGTCCCCCTCCGGGGAAAGTCACTCGCCTCGCCGCAAACTCCCACTCCCCTCTCGCATCCCTCTCCCGTCTCGACACCATCAAGCTACCCGCAGCCGGTAGGTTATACCTTACCTGAGCTTACTCCACCACAATCTTGAGGGGATCGCTCCGCGGCCGCATACACCGGCCGCTAGGAAGCCCGCCACGCCCCGGATCGATCCCGAAGTGTCTCTCTCCCTCTCCCTCTCTCTCTGTGTGTGTGTTTCGACTTATAGCGTCGCCCCGTTGCGGATGCGGTCCCGGTGGTGCAGACAACCGTGCAATACAAGGCAATACCAAAGATCCGACATTAGTGCGGTTAGATATGGTAGGCAGGCAGGTAGTATAGCGTACGGTATTTACTCTCCGGGGCTTGGCTACACTAGGGAGATCCAAAAGTTAAATATAGCTGGTACCACCGTACCACATGACTACATACCTAGATAGCATTTAAACGTACCTAAACTAAGGCTCAGGTTGAGGTAGTGTAGGTGGTATCGGGCAGGTCACGGCAGGCAAGCGTATGCAGTAGTTTGTGAGCGGGACCTACATACTACATACCTTGTACAATACATTAGGTACATACAGGTTTGTATGGAATCTGGATGTTGTGCTGGTTGGGGTGATATACATACTAACCTAACATGACATGTGCGCAATGTAAAGTCCCGACAGGGCCATACCCAAGGCGGTCTAAACCCCTGATGCAGGAGCGCGGCAAAGGGGGGTGAGGGGTGGTGGGGTGGTGATGGTGGAAAACCCCAGCTACGGGCTTTGTCACTGGACAGCGACGTTTGACAGTATGCATCTATGCCATCTCAAGCGGAGGTTAAAAGATTTCGTTTCGTTTCGTGTGGCGGGCCAAATACTTCCCAGGGGTGCCTATTATGTACCTAGCCATAATGTAACCTTAGCTGGGTACATACCTGGTAGTTTCCTACCTGATGCAAGGGTTTAGGTAGATGTCTTCAACGGCCATACCGGCACGTGTCTCACGCTGCCTCCGGTCTGGGGACCTTGACGTTTAGGGCTATTACATTGCAGGAAGATGCAAGTAAAGCAAGCAAGAAAAACAAGATCTGCCGAAGATAATGATCTGATTATCGTCGTTGATGCATAGTATATGAGGGGTTAGAAATCATTACCTGCCTCCTAGATGTAAGGACCAATTGAAATTGTAAGACATGTAATTCATATTCCGTATAAGAATATCTGCGGTAGATACAATGGTTTGTCAATTCGTGTAGTATCATAGGATTCGTTCGTCTTACCGCAGCTGGGAGGAGGAAAAGTTGGCCTTGAGTTACAGGTACTTACTATAACACCACTAAAGCCGCTCCTCGGTACCAACCTACGCGAGATCACGAATCACCCAGAGATTTTTCTGCAACAGATCTTTGTTGGCGAGGTCTACTCGCCTACGTCACATACGGGTTGGATGAATTGCCCGCATGCATACCATCGAAGTGCAATATGAAAATTTGCTAGAGGGAGGTGGCAAAAGCAACCCGACAAGAGAAGATAAAAATAATACACTTATTAATTCAGCGCTGCAAGTAACTATTACGCCGAGTTTAACAAGACCTCCAATCACTCGATCACTCGAGATCAGATACTTCACTTCAGGATCTATGCACAGGGTTTGGATCATGCAAATAACCGAAGTGGCCATTGTATTAATCAGAACCATTCTCGAAATGATCAAAGCTAATTCCCGGGACGTAAAGTGCCAGAGTCTACTAGGCTCGCCCAGAATCCACTCATCTGTGCTGCAAGGTCCTCTGCCGTCCGGCCTTGGTTATCTGTAAGTGCCCGGATGTCTTCTGACGCCAACGTGCTCGGTCGTTGGATCCCCATTGCTTGCGCCATTTGCACGGCCTGCCCAGGGAATGACCCCGTCGGGAGGGTTGATGCTATCCACAAAAGCAACCACACGACTTCCTCTTGCCCCCTTTCCACCGCGAGGTGCAAACCACTCTTGGAATTTGCCAGCGGGTCTTTGTAGCGAATAAGGCTTGCAACGCTCATCGTAGGCTCTTCTCCATGCGCTTGCGCCGCATCACGGAGAAGCTCTACAATGCCGCCTACGTCGCCCTCGCTACACATGATATGGAACGCACGAGCAGGACGAGCCTCAGAATTAGCTTCCAAATAAGCTTCCTCGGTAATTGCAGGCAGGATATCGTAGTTCTCCTGAACGCCACCTTCATTGGTATATCTGGTCAAGATAGCCGCGCCGGGGGCTGATTGGACGAACGAACTGCCAGAAGAAGGCCCAGCCGTGTTCGTGACAAGTCCTGTACCACACGAGGGACACTGGAGGGATGCGGCCAACTCCGCAGCTTGGTCGAGAAGGCATTGCCAGTGGTAATGGCACCCGCAAGTAAGTTCTAGATCGTCGGGCACCAGCTGTGGTTCAAGATTGCCGTCATCGTCATCCAGTTCTAGCGTCAGGGGATGCTCGCAAACCTTGCATACAGCCATCTTTTGCCAGTGTTTAGGTGATTGTTTAGGTGATATTCGGCAAATATGATCCAATGAAAAAAAGAGAAATGGCTAGAGAGCTAGCAGGAAAAGGTGTGAGAATGTGGTCCAAACCCAGGTGTCTGTATCCATCAGACGTGAGAGATGGTCCAGAAAAAAGATTGGGTCGGAGGACGAGATCGGTTCATCTCCGCCATCCGAGTGAATCCACGCACTATGTTGGAAAAAGTTGCTGGATGCAAAGAAGATGGCAGCGTTGAAAAAAGCTGAAGATATTTACAAAGACTTACTTACCACTACTAATTAATTGATTGAGATTATTGAGATATTGTCAAGCGGCAAAGCCTACTTGCGCCCTCTGCCGAAATTGGACAACGACGTATTGTAAAGTATTGTTAGGTGATTCTAGAATGTACTATGTAACATGTCAATATGAAGATGTTATTGCATCACTTCGGAAGTCAACTTACTATCAGGTACCTAATGTTAGGTAATGGCAGAAAAATAAATAAAGCGGGCCACGCTTTTTGAATGGATTTATGTGGTCCCGGACCGAATATTAAGTGTACCTAGGTAGCCCGTGCCCAGGTTGGAGGTACATGGGTACATTGAATATCAGCTATTACGATACGGTTTAATGGATCCCCAGTAACAAAATCGGGGGCCTTTGATCTCACATCTACGAAAACTCCGGAGCCAGCGGACTAAAAATCATTTAAATCATTGGCGAGTTGCTATCCAATAGTTCCAAAGTTAATTCAGCTGGACAAGGGGGACAGAAACATTCCAAAAACAAAGCAACTACAATCTGTGGTCTATAGGTAACGATGACATGGAGTACAAGAACTGCTTATTCTTCTTTCAACAAGTAAGATAGATATCCGTCTTGTTTCTCTTAGTTACTGGGATGTCAGAGAAAAAAAAGGGTTCTCCCTAAGCCGAGGTTTCGGTCCAGGAACTGAACCTAGAGATGAGGGAGCACGATGTTATACCCATAACCAGCTGAAATTTGGCCGTTGGATTCTTGATCTACGCCGAAATATTTTTATACTGTTCTAACTTCTAAAGTGAGAACCGTCGGTTGCGCGGGAACTCGGCATCAGATAGACCCTCTAGGAGAAATTTCTCTTTGCCGAGTCTTGTAAAAGGCTGAATCTTCAGGTTTATCTTCTAGTAAATATACGCTACAGAACTAGTTGCTATTGTGGATAGTGGCTATCGTCATTTTGTGAATGGTATCTGAGGCTAGAGGTCTCCAACTGTTGGTTAGCAGCTTTCTATTTAGACATCTAAATTCATGATCAACATCTACATACGAACGTACGTAATCTACCTATCTATTAAGGGTAGTTCTTTCGGCGATCAGTGCATTCGAGGCAGCCTAAGGCTGGAGAAAAGCTATGGCTTATATCACTCCTATTTCACTCCGAAGTTGTCCTCATTACTGGCTTATTAGCCTTCTGAACACTATTACTCACGTAACTAAATAATAAAATTTTAGGTAATGCTAGAGGGTCCAAGATATTAGGTATAGATGAGATCTATTGAAACGATTGCTCTTCTTGTGCCCTGATAGCACTCTTGTTGGTCTAAGTCAACTCTATATACCATGTCTGGTATCAGACGTGTTATTTACATTTACCGGTGCTGCACCTGGCAGCCTCCTTTTCGGCGGACCCCCTTTCTTGGAGGGCTCCTATGAACGAACGATTTTTTTTCTTTTTCTTTTTCCTTTGAGGGTGACCAATAAGTCTACAGCCCTAGATGTGTACCGTAACGACTGTGCTTCCCATAATATCCCAAGTTTAACTCCTTTGATGTCCTGATATCACCTGCTTGAATCCTCCGCTTGCTATTGGCGACATTCGTAAAAAAATCCTTTCATACCTGTAAGAAATGTTTCCCATCGTACAACTTGTCTCGTAGTCTCGCGCCAAAGTTGAAGCTAACAGCGAGCCACTAGCCTCCAAATAGTATGATACGCCGTGTGCTTGCGTACTTCGCCTCGCCGTGGCGATTAAGTTGTTAAGTTGTTTGCGGCCGTGCCCGTACCCATCTTCGAACCGCCGACAGACTTGGGTCTTCGCCCGTCCAATGGCTCATGCTGACGTCGCAATTCTGAAGATATTGGTAAACGTACTCGTCTGTGATCTGTGAAAGTTCCTGGAAGATGCTATTAGCGGAAGGAAGCATAGTAGTAAGCACAAGGGGATGTGTCTATCGCGGAAGAGGGTAAGGGGGTAGTCTTGACTCGGGTGCTATCGAGGAGAACGTGGAACGTACAAGTCGTAGCTGTTCATCACAAGCTCTCAGTTGGTGTCGATGCGCAGAGCTCGGCCGCTGGCCCTGGAGAACTGACTCTCTATTGTTAATCCATCTCTGTGCTGCGTCTTGTCGGAAGTAGATCTTCTGGGCTTCGTGTCTGCGGGAGTAGGCATCTAAGAGGACTCTGTTGGTAATGGTTTCTGTTAGCGGTATTTCTTGGACGATGGGATATCGATGCCGGCATCGAAGAAAAGGGTCAAACGCACTGCTTCAACTCTGCCTTTTTCTGTTCCAACTCGCCACCTCTGGTTCGGGGCACTGTAACGTCTGCCGCACAGTTAAGGATGTGTTGGCCATCCAGAGCGCATTGGCGTAAGGCTGCCCAGCCTTCGGTATGATAATCGCTTTGGTAAGGAGGGTCTACTGAAACGTCGGCGATACAACACTGTATGGCTCGGAATTCCTCGAGCAGTTCGGCAACCCGTGCCGTTCGGAAGTCGTTAACTGATTTTATCGTTAGGGGAATGTCTTCATGAGGCCGTCTCCTCTAGTTTGACCTCCGGAGGCGTAGAGTATTTTAGTGGCTTTTACTTACGTCCGTCCATTATGCCCCTTTTAGGAAGTGACCTGTAATATGCTGTTCCCGCAATCGGATGCTCAACTTGACAGCACGATAACTAACGAGAATACGTAGGAGTTTGGGATGATATTGTTATGGCGACTTGATAGAAGCACTGCGACGAAAAGGGAGAATGTCGGGTCTTGGGCGAAAACGGGAGAAGGATGGCAAGGTTGCGTAAGTGTATAGAGACTCCTTTGGACTTGGTTGATGAGAATAGAGCGTCATGTTGAACATCTCAAGCGGCGACTTCACTTGGCTTTTGTAGGGTAAATGAACATATTACGGATCAAGCAAAAACAACTCGAAGGCCTCACGATACAGAGAAATTTCGCAAGAGGAAGATTTTCGCCGAAACTCCCTCCCCTTTCGAAGCGCAAGTCACAGTACACATGATTATCAGCTCAGTTAGGTACACTCTGCTCACGTTCCCCATTGCCGAATCGGAGTTTATTATCGACCAACTAAGCGGAACAACGACTGAAAGCTCAAACCTGTGAGATCCTAACTGAGCTGGACAATACCGGCATCTCAGATTTCTTCCGTCGCTCTGGTAAAGAAACCCCTGATGCATCCGGGATGTTACTTGTAGCCTCCTGGGCAACCGACGCCACTACCTGGGTTACTAATGCAGGAAATTCAACGCCCATCGTCACCGTAGGGCATAGGATGGATCTATTAGTGGAAACCTACCTGACCTATCTGTAGGAGAGGGGGGGCTAATGCCAGGGGATATGATCGTAGGGTTAAGCGAGTAGGAGGCTCTTTCATAGGGCACACGGGTTGGCGGAGCGGGAAAGCTAGGGGGAGAGTTCAGCGGCGCCACATATGACACCAAAATTCAAATGCAGTATAGACTGTAAAGTTCTCAGGTGAAATAAAAATCAAAGTCGTGGAACTATTCAGACTAAGGTGTTGAGTGTTCGACCAATAGAGAATCGCCGTTGGACCTCAGCCACTTCTCGGGCTGAGCTGAATCAATATTATTTTCTACCCAAATTTCGTAGCTTATTATTTTGCAGAGGGTTGGCCGAAAAAAGAACCTTCACGCTTCACGACCCAGCTGCAAGATGCCGGCGATCTACACAGGACAGTTCCACAATCTTCTGTGTTCTCTCATTAAACACGACAGTTGAAACAACCTAAAAACAGAGTGACTTGTAAAGGAGAAGAAGAAAAAAAAAATTAAAAAAAAAAAAAAAGAAACCCTTGTGCTTCCCAGCTTTTCAACGGGTTGTCATCATCCCACGCTAGACCCCTGTTTGGCTTCCACACCCTCCCTTGAATTCCCACGAGGTATTGTACCATCCTCGTGGGTCGGTCATTTTGAGGTTAATGTCACCTTGGCGGCTTACGTTTGCGAGGTTCGAAAAAAACAAAAACAAAAAAACCCCCAGCCTTCCGGATGACATACTATAGATGAACGTATGCCCGAGATACCCGTATTTGGGTAATTGTTGACAACGCTTAGTTCAGATGCTTATGGCTACTTACGTGCTGATGCGCCTGATGCGTCGCATTGGTATTTCAAGATGTGGTTCTTGATGACAATAATTCACCGCACGAGCTTTATAACCCCCCCAGATCATCCTTCTCGCCACCACCTGAACATCCGGATCCTTAAAAAGATAAAAAATGCGCATCTCTAATACGCATCTGAACTTCAGCTATGGCTAGCCCACCTTAACCGAGCTAAGATGGATTTTTTATCTGGATTACCAAGACCGACCCAGATTAGAATAATGATCAAAGGTCCCTGTTGATGCGAGATCTAAACTAGTGACACACGGAGACAAGGATATAATGATGAACCCCAAGCCTCCACAACATATTGTTGTAGTCAGCATACACGAATCAGCTGCGCTCAACCGACTGAACCGAACCCCAGCCTTACGCCACGAACCGCCTTACCCGCTAATCTTTCTCGGCAATGGCCTGTAATCGTTCATCAATCTCGTCCTCCGTCAGGGTTCTGAAGAACGGATCTGTACCCTCCTTACCGTCCGCTCGGGGGCCTCCAACTATTCCGATCTCAATCTCACCCTTCTTGAAATCCATGCTGAGGACGGTGCTCAACGTAGTAATAGCTAGTTCCACAACGTCTTCCCATGTGCCATCTGCGTGATCCTTGTTCTTGAGCTTTTTCTCCAGGTGGTTAAGCGCTTCCTGCTGCTTGGGTCCCGCAGCCGTTCCTTTGTACCCCACGTAGTATCCCGCTGGGTCGCACTTGTAGAGCTGTGGTCCGAATTCAGAATCGAGCGATATCAGCGTCGTCGCCACGCCGTAAGGACGCATATAAGCCTGTCGGGACGGGTCAGCTTCTCAACGTCCATAGCCTTACTATTGTTTTTCTTTTTTTCTTTTTTTTGTGTTGACGGAGCCTTACTTTCTGAGTATAAACCTGGCTGATATTGGCAAGTCGCTTGGCCAGGGCATCACATGGCATCTCGTATCCGTAGTTGTACTTGAACTCGGCAGCTTCGCCCTGGGCGCGCTGGGCGAACGCCCGAGCATCAGCGATGGGTCCGGTTATGACGCAGCCGACCGAGGGCGAAATCTGGAAGAGGTGCGAGACGGAAGAGGGGTCAATCAACTTGTCCTATTCAATATCATTAGCTTCGGGGTGGAATTCAGCAATTTGCTATTGCTAGGGTAAAGCTGAAAGTTACGCACGGGAACCTTTTTCTGGGAGAGAACCACGGCGCAATCCTTGCCTCGGACCCCAACTGACATTATGTTTGCTGCGGTGATCGCTTTGAACGCATATTCTGAACGATTGATTGTCAGCTAACATAATGTCCCCCACGTTGAACTCGCTTTCGCTTCAACGTCTTATGGTTCTTTTTTGATACTCAGGTACCATGACGGCTAGACAACATACCGACTTGGTAAAGTCTTCCTTGCTCGGAGAAGATTGTGATATGTCGGTCGAAACCGGCGCTGCCTGGAAGAAGCACAAATAGTTAGCATTTAGCTCAGATCATGCGGCCAGGTTTAGGGAAATGACGAACGTACCTCCCGACATGGTGAAGTCTTGTTAGAGGTGAGAAATGAGAGCTGATGGCTGACAGTTTTCGGCGAGTTTCGAAGGTAGAGTCGGGGAACCTGTGCTGATTGTTCAAGGAATAGTATTCTGCTTTCTTGGTCTTCTTTCTTTTTTATGTTTTTTATGTGAGGAGGGACAGTATGTGGAAGTGAGGTCGAATCGATTGGCCCAGCTCTATTATTAGCCCGAAGCTCTGACGCGCCAGGTTGGAGCCTTGGGGGATGCAAAGTAACGAAGCTATGACCTTGTCCCGCTCGAAATGATTACCTAAGGAGATAGGTACAACCTCGCTGCTAGTACTTACGGATATTACTAAGGCCGGTATCCGAAATACCTAGAGCGGAACTTTGCCTAGGTACCTATGTACCTAATCTTTATCGATACTTTTATCTGATTAGGTACTTGATAAGATATATACCTTGTACCTTGTCTCTACTATGTACAATGTACATAATCCACCACCCGTTAACCCACCTTACTACCTTATCAGCTTATCCACTAAAAAGTTCCCAATCCATAAATCCATGTTCAACCAACTAGATGAGTTCTCCACTGAAAAGATTCAATGTGAAGCCTTCATGAAATTTTTATTGGCAGCAATTCCAACCGTGGAATCGGAATCTCATCTCACGTATATGCTTGACTGGTACAACTAGCACAACTTGGATTGCTGGTTTTGCATTGACAGAGGCAAATTCCTCAACTCTAGCCACATTTTAAGACAAGACAGCAACTAACAGCACGTGGATATCACACGGCAGCGTGTTGATTTTGCTTGGTTAACTGGTTCTCATCACACACTTGAGTAACCATTTATTGCATTACTATTCCCACCCCTTACTGATTGACTTTATTTACCTTTGTCTCTACGCCTTGCCTTTACCTCACCTTTACTCACCTTTGCCCAATGTCTTCCACCGGGAACGCGTCAGCCCAACGAGTTCCAGCATGGAAACGATTGGGCCTTAAGCTTAAGGCTGCATCTGAAGAGAGCCAGGACGCTACCTTACATACCGGTACCGTTACTCCGTCTGTGGCCAACCATCATCGGGAAAAGCCTGCCGGGCCTATCAATGCCAATGCGAAGAGGAAATCTTCTGGCGTTCCTGCATTAGACCATTCGGCAAAAAAGCCGAAACGAGACAACGCTCAAAGCCAGACTGCTTCCACTCATTCACCACCGAAAAAAACAAAATCTGTTTCGTTCGCTGCCGAGTCCACCCAACAGGCCGGGTCCGCAGTAACGAAGAACGGCACACAAGTCACAAACAAACAAAAACAGTCACCTAAGAAAGCCTCTGCTGTTCCTGCAAAGCCGGCCAAGAAGCAAGCTGCTGTCAACTTGGAGCCGGCGCTTGCGTACTTACGACAGTGGCACACATCCAAGGACACCTGGAAGTTCAACAAAAACCACCAGACCAGGCTGCTGGAACAGGTCTTTGCCGATGAGACTACTATACCGGCAGCTGATATCAACATGTTCTACGAATATATCCGGGGTCTGAAGGGAGCTGTTAGAACGAGATTAAGGGAGCTTGCATCTGGCACTAAGGCGCAGGATATGGAATTAGAATCACAAGGTTTCCCTACCTCTAACAAGGAGATGGCTGAGAAAAGGCAGAGGGAATATGAGGAGATCATTGCGGCTTTTCTACGTCAGCCAAGGATAACAGGAAAACGACGTTTTGACGAAGTAGACTATGTGTTACGAACTTCTGACATAGAAATGCAACGCCGGGTTGTTAAGCGGATGCGTTGTGAGAACGTGCTGGATGAATTGTCTGATAGCGAGACCGAGACAGTATCACCAACTACGACCACCGCCGAGGAGTCAGAGGGAGCTACTAGCGAAGGAGCTACGGTTGCGACTGAGGATGTTCAGCGACTAAGACTGAATGATGGCCCCCCACAAAGGGTCAAGCGGAAGAGAAAGACGCGGACGGCAGTCGTTGACGAAGATACAAGTTCAGAATCTGACTCTAGCTCCGATTCTGATTCTGATTCCAGCGATAGTAGCAGCTCTGATGACGGATCAGGGAACGAGGTAGCGCAACCCCAATCGCGTGCGGGCGATGCCGACACTTCTTCTAGCAGCTCTTCGTCGGAATCCGAATCCACTTCCGATGATTCAGATGACGATTCCGAGGATGACGATTGATAGGACTCGAAAATCCCAGGTGTATTGCAACCCATCACAATAATAGATAGACGCGCACGTTCTACGCACAGGATACCCAATTTCTCTTTTACGATAAAGATCATATTGTAATAGAACCAATTGTCAAATTTGATAGGGATCGATACGTTCTTCCTGCTTCAATTACTTAGATAAATATGCCATTCAAGCGTCCATAACCATAAACACTTGATTCAAACACCAAATGCAATTTAGACGAGTGGCTAATGCGTCTTATGCAACCGAAGAACAAAACCTTTGAACGCCGCATGCCCTATATATCGCACGCCCGTATACTAAGAAAATACGGTATTACCGTTCATCAACTAAGACCGTCATCGCCAATTGTATTTAATCTCCTGATTTGCTGGTATAGGGGTTGCTTATATGGAAACCTCATACTTGAGCTCTGTTCCCGGTTCGTCACGTATAAGCTATTCTAGCCTGTCCTTGGCTGTTTCCATTTTAGGCGTCAATAGGATCCTCGAGATATTCGTAGTCATCTTCCGGCGGCAGCAACCAGGCAGAGGCAGCTAGACTCGCGGCAATTAAAACAGACACGGATCCACTGATGGTACATATGATCCAGGACCAATCCAGGGACCAGCCAGGAATGATAAATTGGGAATCAGTATCAAAAAGATAGGCCTGATCCGCAACGTTAGAAATAACTCGACAATAATATTTACGCATTCATGTAGCGATACGTTTGGCGACAAGGAAAAAAAAACCTACCACGATGCCCATACTCGCGAATTCGACGGCGGCGTCAGCAAGCAGCAAGAAGCCGATAAGCTTCCAGCCTGTCTCGCGCTTGTACTTGCCGCCGGCTATGACGACGATGAAAGTGATAAGGGTCGCAAGCTCGACAATAGTGGCGAAGGAGATAAGGAAACCGCTGCTCCTCCACATAGAGCAGAAAAACTGGTCGTCGCGGCAGTCATCGTCATTAGGGAAGGGTCGGCATGAGGGATCATCGACGGAGGAGCAGCTCTGGTGAAGCCCGATGTATTTCTTGAAAGTCGAGCCGGTATCCGCCGTGACAGAGTATGTGACCCAATGCGGTGTGAGGATAGACACTATGGTCATAATCGTTGCTGCGATGGGCGGTTTGTGTTAGCCATAATGAAGCTGATACTCGGAGGACGACGATGCGATTCCCTTCCCCCCACACAGTTAAGCCAGGTAGTATAGATAATTGGCATGTTCCACTTGATTAAATATTCCCATCAACTAAAAGTAAAGAATGTCTCTGATCCATTTTCGCGATAAGTTCACTTCTTAGAACGAAGAGTAAACGAGATAAAATGACCCGGGTTGGGTTGTCGTGAACACATTGTGTCGTTTCTGCCTGCGTGGGACGATAAGGAGAAAACAATGACGTACTACAAACAAAGACGCCGAGGGCGACGCTATAGACAACCGGGCGCGTCATGGCGATTGTGTGGACCTGGGGTAGAGAGAAATAATAAAAAAAGAACAATAAAAAAAGGATTACAAAATTGTTTTGAGACGAATCTCGAAATTCGTCTTCATAAATTGCACTTTTTGTTGGAAAGATGCGTTGGACTTTGAAGGCTGTGGGAAGGACAGCGGATTTCATTGTCGGAAACTGATGCAACTTGCACGTTTCAATCCAATGCAGATCATGTGGTTGGCATTGCTCTCTAAGTGGTCGCATTGGGAATCCACAACAGCTCACAAGCTTTTTTTAAGCCTTCCCCCTACGGCTTGTACATTGTCTGATTGTGCGCTGTACTTCCATTCGTTAGCAGCTACCCAATTGGCTAGATTGGCCTGTAACTTGGTGCTTATCTTATCTGGCTATTCCTCAACTGTTCCACTAGTTCCACTCAAGGTCTCGTCCTCGAATTATATTCTGCGCAACTTACTCACACTCATCTTGTACTTCCAACCCTCCAATTCGAACTACTGTGTATTACCTACATCTACCTATGACCTGACTCCTGAGCTATCTATTCTCTATCTCTATCTCTACAATGGATAAGTCGAACAAGCTGTTCGTTCAATACCATTTAAACCGGAAGTCCATTAAACCCACAAGTCTTAAGATAGTTGTCTTGTGACTGACTACCAACTAACGAAGTTGATGTGACATATGCTACACATGTACTTAAGCGAGAGCATCACGGCTGTCATATGTTTCAAGATTGCCTACCTACCTCCTTACGAAGTAGGCTTCTGCAAAGCATTCACAAGTATGGCACACCGCGTTTTCGTGGGATCTACATCGCTCTATCTTACCTGCGGTAGCGAGTATCTAGTGGAGTGGTTACTGCATATGAGCATCCCACGCCATTAATCAACTTTCTCTCCCAAGGGGGGAGGGGCTTCGCTTTACTATGTGGTATTACGAGATTTCACAAGCGCCTCAACGAGAATTGCTTTTCCGTATTTACGGCCAACCCTTACTGGCTGCCTGAGAGTATCTTTCGAATACCCTTTCTGTCCGGATGCAGACTGGGAGATACTGCAGAGATGTTGCAGAGATGTTGCAGACCATTCAGCTCTAAAGTTACCATGTAACAAGCTCGACATTTTGTCTTCCAAAATACCAACTCGAGATTTGATTGGAGCTTTTGGTTTTGCTTCTTACTTTTTACCTTTTAGGCGTGGGGTCAAGCAAGCTCTGGCAAGCCAATAGTAGGTAAAAGGTCTCCTTCAAGGGTTTTAAAGTAACCTGATTCTTACTTGGAGGGCACCAATCGTTAGTCCACAAACGGGAGGCGTGCCTTAGCTTCGACTCTGGAGATTGAAGATCTCTCCTCTTCAATCGTTACCTAGCATTTACATATTGTAGGGTTGCTTCTACCACCTTCATCGATATTCAACGTTACTATTCTCTTTTAGCTCGTGAAAAGGTTTAAAAGCTACCAAAAAAAGAAAAAGAAAAGGGGTCCATTAAGAAGATTACAAACCTTAAATACTAAAATTCCGTGGCTCTCTTCTAGTACGTCTTGGTATACGTTTAGTGCCTCAAGTTGTATCTAAGGTAGGGGATCTACCTACCAAGATTGCACTAGATGAAGGAATCTCATGCGGGTCATCGCAGGAAGCGAACATCACTGGATTTTTATGCTTGCTTGTACGCCGCAATCGGCATACTGCAAACAACGTACCTAATGTTAGAGGTACTTACTCAACATATGTGCTCACAGTATACTGATATACTCCGGGTATCATCAGTGCGAGAGAAGTAGATGTAGGTAAGGGGAAAGGAAAAGAAGCACGCAAGATTCGATTCCCTATACGTCAACATTTAGCCTTCCCTTGGTGCATTATCTTACTCCTGTACCAATCCGCATTCGGTCAAATGATTCATCAGATAACTGAGATAATCGGCCCTCCTTGCAAGCGTCGGACTTTACTATGTACTAATGTCTCGGCGTTCGCGGCTGCCGGGCTATCCTGAAATCTTGTCGATTTGTAAAGATCTCTTGGCTTCCTCTTCAAACTTATTTTAAAAATAAAATAAAATAAAAATGGTATCCTTTCGGTAACTTCTCGCCAGTGTTTCTGGTTTACTCGAGAAACAACATTGACCCTGGAGGTCGCCGTGTCTCTCTCTAGAGGTCCTCCTAAGGCGCCAAATTTTACTGATAGCGCCATTCGATATTATTTAAAGAGATCCCAAGTATTCTTCTCGATATACCCCGTCGCCTTCGTTGCTATGGACGGCTGAGCTTATATCTCGTGGTCTTATACTATGACCACTCTCGATTCATTGAACTGGGCGAATTTGTCTCTCATAGGTGCAGGGGCTAAAGTCGTCCTTTTTAGCAATTCCTTGTCTTTATTAGTTTCACGGCCTATCAGCTCATGGTAATGATATGTTACAATGGTTGAACACCAACCTGTTCACAACAGCGAAGTCTATCTGTTAGGATTAAGACCGCGCCCTACCGAACCCCCTCCTTCTCCGCCTTCGCCTTCGACGCCGAGAGAAGCCGAGCCGAATAGCACCACTATCGAGGAGCTTTGCTTAGATACAGTCGAAACCTATGAGGATCCTGAAGAGTCCACCTCCCTTACTAAACAAAGGATATCGGGTGCCGTTCATGTTTTAAGTACGGAAGCGACCGCTCTTCGAAATCTCACCCATTTATACAGGACTGATGCGACCGCCATACAGGGCTTCAGTGCCGCTGTTGGAGCTATAACGAAACATGAAGGCGAACGTGGCAAATTAGTTATAATAGGAGTTGGGAAATCGGGGCATATCTCAAAGAAGCTAGTCGCGACTTTCAATAGCCTCGGGGTCCATGCGACTTTTCTACATCCGACAGAAGCTCTCCATGGCGACCTTGGAAAGATTGGGAAGCATGATGTTGTTCTCTTCATCACGTTTTCGGGTAAAACGCCTGAGCTTCTGGCTTTGCTACCACACCTGGATGTGACGTTACCAGTGATTGTGCTCACTTCGCATACCCGACCAGACGGGTGCGAGATTATACAGCAGCGGCGGGATGCAATTCTTCTCCCGGCGCCTATTCACGAGTCTGAGGTCGTATCGTTCGGTGTGTCCGCTCCTACGACATCTACAACTGTGGCTCTCGCGTTAGGAGACGCGCTTGCGGTAGTGGCATCTCAGGAGCTGCATCCGACTGTCGCGCCGGTTTTCGCTAAAAACCATCCTGGCGGAGCCATCGGCCAGGCCTTCAGCCAACCCCGCCAAATTCGTGATATTGCTATCCCTCTCTGTGAAATCCCAGAGTGGCCGGACTCGGGCGGCGAGGCTTGCGGCGCAGACATACTCAAACTGGGCTACAACTCGGAATCCGGGTGGGTTCGCGTTAACAATGCGATAGCCTCCCCGAGACGCATCAGACGGCTTGAAACGGCACATATGGCATGGCGGGTATCTAGTATTCCTCAGTTACTAGTCGACCGGGGTGAATGGATTAGCATTCGCGCGGACACGAGGATATCGCAGGCCGCAGAGTGGCTTAGAAAACTTCTGGTGTCGCCTAACTACAGCGAGGCGGCCGTTAGCGAGGATTCGATTTTGGCGGTGTTGGAAAACGGAGAGATCATTGGTGTTCTTGAAGTCGGTCATCTTTTAAGCCTGCAGGAGTGAAAAAGGGGGGGAGAGTTAGTAGCTAGCTATATTTCGCACGGATATTCGTCAAGTATAAACTGGCGTACGAAACGAGATTTACATGTAATCCTGAATAGATAGGTACCTAGGCAAGAGTCCTATATACCATAGCCAAGATTATCATTAGATACTGGAATGAAATTACGAATGGAATGGATAGAGGACCTAGGTACCTATTTTGTGTCTTTAAGCTACTAGACATTGGACGCCTGGTTTATTCCATTTAGCCCCTGATTTCTCGTGACTGCCTTAACTCGATAATAGCAAGCGAACTAAATTCTAGAAATATTTTTTAATCTAGTTAGATGTTGCATAGAAGTTAGAGGACGTTCACCTTGCTGGCTTCTAGAAGTGGAAGTACCTACTCCATCTCATAATGGGTATTGTCTTAGGTAGAATTAAGTATAAATCACTCTTGATTGAACGATTCCAACGAGTACCTAACCTATAAGAAGAGCACCATGATGAAATTGGACTATTCCTGTATTGTATGGTTATCTCCGGGAGATGGCATGGCATATTTTGTTTTCTTCTAAGCCGATACCTATTGGGACTAGGCATAATAGCTGTGGAAGCAGCCTTCCCTTCTCCTTAGTGTCGTGGACTATAGGAATATAGATGGATATTAGATGAATTTCTTTCCAGTTATTGAAAACGTAATATACCTATTGATAATTCCAAGGAGAAGTCATCACCCAGAACGCTGCGGTTATACTTCACCCCCTCGAACTGCCATTTTCTTCCGCCCACTGCCTTCTAGAGTATTCAGGAGATGATCTTTACTTCTATGGCTATTGCTAATACACGATTCTAGTAGATATCTCCTTGGTATTTTGCAGTACAACCCGCCTGGGCGGCTTATTAGAGGAAGCTCTAACTACCTGTAGGCACGGTACCTATTTGTCTGTCCAAAGCATGTAAGTACCTTAGAGAGGTAAGCAATAAAATCTTGAACAATGCAACCACCCATACCTGTCTCTATATACATTCCCCATATGCCCTTCTCCATATGGTGGTATAAATATGGTTGATATTACGAATAATATCAAATAAAATACAATGCGCGTCTGATATCCAGGTAAGGTATAATATTGACCATAACGCCAAGCACGCTCACTCAAAACAGATCCCATATGTCTTCATGATCGTACCGTGTTTATCAATATGTCGATACTACTATTTGCTCCTCGACTATATTAGTGAGGGGGACAATAATTTGACGACTCGGATGACGACGGCGGTACGGGCCTGGCTGCTGCTAGCCACGGTGTCGACAATGATACTTTTACGTTTCGGTCAAACTCTCCTTCTAATTCCCCCCGCCTCCTCGTCTCTTCTTCGGAACTGTAGTGGGAGGACTGTATAAACCCTGCTGCTCCTATCGTTCTGCCATCCGTATATTGGGATGGCGTTGCCCCTAATTCTGATGTCGCACTTTCCTTTATATGTTGATATGGAGAACCCTCCATCTCCCCGTGGGGCACTGTTCTGGCGTGGGTATGTGTGTCTGACGACTGCGGCGGTGGTAAGCACGGTGTCGAGGCGTCCCAGGCATCTCTTTCGTATGAAGGGTATCTCTCGGGTAAGCTACTTGGCGTTTCTCGGCCGGGCGGGTAGGTTGGCAAGACATGCGCGCTGGCATCCATACCCTTTCCTGCTTCCCTTCCACTACTATTCGCGAATGGGGTAATGTCGCTCGTCGATGCTCTCTTCCGAGCTGGCTTCCGCGTCCTGTACATCATGAATATAGCGGCGCCTAACGCCGCGAGTCCGGTGACACCTAAAGATACGCCAACGCCAATTCCGGCTGCTGCACCCCCTGAAATCCCGCCTCCATCGTACCCTACGCAGCTGGCATTCCCCGTCGCTACGTGATTTGCCAACGCATTGGCCACGGAGGCGTCGCAGTTGCTCGCACTATTCGTCGCCGATCCAGTTGGCGTGGCGAACGTCCAGCCGTTTACAGGAATCGCGGCTACTACCGTATCTGCCGTGACGCTGGAGCTGGTGATTTTCCAATCGGGATCCCTCTGAGCATAGGTGACCACGCTTCCCTTTTTGAGCGCCGACGTACACTCGCCCGTATCTCCCGGTTTCTTGAATCTGGCAAAGTCGTATTCTCTGCGGACAAGATAGTTAATACAATAATACACTGGCTCCAGAATTGCGTGTTACGGGAACGCACAATGGGCAACATGCCACATAGGTGCTCGAAGCATCTTTGGCAGACATCGTGGCGGTATAGTAATCACTGGGACACGTAACAGGTCCTAGACTGAATACCGTCTGTCGATTTGAACCGAGATGGTCTTGGAGCCACCAAGTCGTGACTGGTTTGGGGTGGCAAGTAGCATCAGTCTTAACCGACACTCCGTAGCCCGGGTCCCACGCGGCGATGACGTTCGTTGCCCATTTCCAGACGAAATTCTCGCAACCGGGTTGGTGAGGATGCGCCGTCGTAATGGGGATCCAGGAAGTTACAATACCGCCATTCGTTTCCGGGAGCCGGTTCATTGTCGGTCACGAAACGGCAGAACAAATACGACAGAAGATCAATTATATATTGGAGGGGGGAAGAAAGAAAGAGGAAGAAGATTAATTAACCAAGTCTGGAATATGCCGGCTTGGGTACTATTTTATGAGGATTCCCCGGATGCTGACCCTCATAAGGTACGTTCAATATATGCTAGACGTGAGTTCTAATTGGTGGGTTTCTATTTCTGTCGCGAAGGATCCGAACTCGAAGGGGGTGTACTATGGTAGAAATGGCCAGTTAAACGCCTTTTCAGGACGCTTGTTACTGTCTAATAACGACTCTCTGCCTCTGTGCCTGTATCGATAGTCGTATTTATGAAGAAGTCGACTCCATTTCCCTCCGAGGTTATTTCGATTGATACCTTGCACGCTCTGAAAACCTTGGGCTATAACTGGGAACGCATAGCCCTGTGTACCTCCTAATCTTGTGAGCCGTGTAAGCCCAGCCACTGTGTCAGGTCTAGGTTCTGAGATGGCCTCCCGGTCTCCTTTGGATGCGGCTGCTTTCGCTTCAACACCTGGACCTTGTACAAGTTTATTCCACACACTTATTGAGAACTACCTAACTTATCCGTCTTTATTCGAATTTCGATAGATAGTGGTAGATCTCCCGAGTCTAACGAGGGTATTACCTAAATAACTTGTAAATGTACTTCGGGAATTATGCTGTTATGGTAGGACTGGCCAAGACTCTAGAATTACATAGTACAGAAGTAAATTGGTTTCGTTCAGCTTGAATCTGCGGTCAGCGATTAATGGGGGCCAGGGAGTATCCGCCGAGATCCAGCGCCATAATAATAGGGCTGAATCTATACAACGAAGCAATACCTATACCTAAATAGTAGGTACTCCGTGAAGTTTGAATATAGGCTGGTTATAAAATAAAATGAAGGGCTAGCCTTCCGGAATTGTCTCGTACGCAGAATATTATCAAGTTTTGTGAATCAAGATACTTCAATAGCACCTATTCCTGTAGCGTAACGATACCTATCTAAAGGCGGAGGAACAGTACATAGCACAGAGGAAATGGTGAAAAAAGGCTAACATTTTTGGAGGCTAGGATGTACCGAGATGGGATGATGCTGCGATGCACGGACCACATATGATGAGGCCGTCCATTACAAGCACCGGCAAAACGATATATACTAAAATATCGCCGGTCGGATTCAAGGCCGCTTGGCCCAATGGTAAGGCGTCTGACTACGACCGAGTGTATCCAACACACTTGGATAGTTATCAGGAGATTCTGGGTTCGAGCCCCAGGGTGGTCATTTCTTTTTTGCGCTTCTGGACAAGTGATTGTGTGCGGGTGTAGAACGCTCGCTTAGCACTGAGTTAATTTTTTTTTCTTTTTTTCTTTTTATATTTTATTCACACTAGTACCTAAACAAAGTAAAGTAAAGGTTGTTTCTGGTTACGTACTATTGAACTTGCTACACCACCTCGGAATAAACAGTGCGCACTACCAGACGTATCTGTTTGTAAGGGCTGTTGGATCAGGGTGTCTTATTTAGAAGGTTATTTATTATCTACCTGGTATTCATAAATGAGAATAGACTTGTTGCTAGAATATTTTATAGTATGACATCTCCGAAGAATAGGGAGTCTTTGGTTGGTTGATATTAAAAGTAGTGACCTTACTGACGATCATGGCACTGGCCTAACTTGGGCTTATTCACATCTTTCGGCGATACCTATTCAACGGAGATACGAGCCGACGTCATACTTATATTATACATTTACTTATACTAATAAGACCATGCATATTAATTCATTTAGAGTTCTGCCATTAACAACGGAGGAAATATAATTGGCCATAGGTATTTCAAATATTGTGTCCACGGCGCGGTCCGAGAACTTGCATCTTAAGCTTAAGCCCGGGCCGCCGATCTCGGCACCAATTCGGCCGTCAAGTCCGGAACTTGGCACGATTCGAATATGAAAAAAAAAAAGAGAAAAAAAAATTAACTACCTACCTAGACTGGACGTCATTGTTCCTTGGAATAAAATTATCTTGTTTCCCTCCTCCCCTCTTTAGACTCTGATGTAGCCCAGCCCGTACGATGGCGGCTGACCTCAAGCAGAAGCCGGCTGAGACCAACAAAAACTATAAGGGTTTCGTGGCTGGCGTCTTTTCCGGCATCGCCAAGCTATCGGGTAGGTTCTTCTCTTATCTTCTCTTCACCATGTACCCAGCTTTCACGACCAAAGACAATATGAATATGAATAGGTTTTAATGTGTAATGATATCTAGTCGGCCACCCCTTCGACACGGTCAAGGTTCGTCTGCAAACCACCGACCCGACGCGCTTCAGCGGGCCGCTGCAATGCGTGGTGCAGACGATCCGCAACGAGGGCGTGCGCGGGCTGTATAAAGGCGCGACGCCGCCCCTCGTCGGCTGGATGTTCATGGACTCCGTCATGCTCGGCTCGCTGACCGTCTACCGCCGCCTGCTCGCCGAGCACGTCTTCCACCGGCATCTGACGCCGCATTCCCCTTCCTCGCCGCCGCCGCCCGTCGACAACAACAAGAACAACACCCGGCCCGAGGAAGAGGGCCCCATCGCCGCGACCTCCCACGCCGCCGCGCACCTGCCGTCCTACGGCCACGGGCTCGCGGGCATTCTGGCCGGCTGCACGGTGAGCTTCATCGCGGCGCCCGTCGAGCACGTCAAGGCGCGCCTGCAGACCCAGTACTCGGCGAAGAAGAGCGAGCGGCTGTACGCGGGGCCCGTCGACTGCGCGCGCAAGATCTACGGCGCCCACGGCGTGCGGGGGGTCTACAAGGGGCTCTTCTCGACGCTGCTGTTCCGGTCCTTCTTCTTCTTCTGGTGGGCGTCGTACGACGTGCTGTCGCGCCTCCTGCGGGACCGCACCAGCCTCGGCGCCCCCGCGGTCAACTTCTGGGCCGGCGGGCTGAGCGCCCAGGTCTTCTGGCTCACGAGCTACCCGAGCGATGTCGTGAAGCAGCGGATTATGACGGACCCGTTGGGTGGGAAGCTTAATGATGGGACGCCGAGGTTTAGGAGTTGGTTGGAGGCCGCGCAGGCTGTATATAGAGAGGGTGGTGTTAAGGGGTATTGGCGTGGGTTTCTGCCGTGCTTCTTGAGGGCGTTCCCTGCTAATGCTATGGCTTTGGTAGCCTTTGAAGGTGTTATGAGAGCATTGCCATAATATACGATATACCACGCATTTACGAAGTTACGCTACTAGTTAAAGGATTGGAAAGTATGTATAAATCAAATCACATGGGCGAGTCAGTTGAGGTTATACATTGTTGGCAATGGCGATTTTATTCCGGAGAATTCAAGTCTATGTTGTCATGCATAGAATTGAAGTGCCTGTCCTACGCATAGTCCCTGCACAATCGCCAATATCCGCCATGGGTCATGATTCCGGGTCCATTTAGTCCTCATCCTCATCAGCCTCGTCGTTAACGACGTTGAAGAACTTGAGCTCGTAGACACCCTTGGAAGTGGAGACGACGCGGAGCCAGTCACGGAGCTGCATCTTCTTGAGGAACTTCTTGGTCCTGGATGTTTGACGACGAGTATTAGAGATAGTCGTATTTTACAATACAAAAACAAGCCCTGATGGACTTGATTGATTAGGGGAAAACTCACAGGTACTTGAGGTATCTGCCGGAGAGCTCGTTGTGGGCGATGATCTCGATCTTGCCCTCGCCAGCCTGCTGGATGGTGATGATGTCGCCGAGGTTGCCGGTGCGGCCGTCAACCTTGATCTTGTCCTGGAGGAACTTCTCGAAGGCAGCGGTGTCGAAGATCTTGTCGCTGGCGGGCTGCTGGGCGTTGATGACGAACTGATAGAGATTGTAAGTAACTGACCGCATTTGTTTTTCCTTTCTTTCTTTCTTTTTATATTGGGATTATATATTATGAGCAGTGCTTACCTTCTTCGTCGTCTTGGCCTGCTTGCCGGACTTCTTCTACATGATGAAAAATTTGACCTTAGCCTACTGCTTCACGCCGTGATCTCGCTGATAGCCAGAGAGACTGGGCCAACAGCAAAGCGATGTCATGTGATACATACTGTTTGGGGAGCCATTGCTACTGAGTATGAAAGAGGAACGCAAAGAGGTCAAATCCTGCGTCTGTCGGTTTGAGGTGATTGAGGATCGAGTGTTGCCGGCGAATCGTTGCGATTGATGCTGAGCGAAAAAAGAAAAAAAGAAAGAAAAAGTTCGCGGATTTTTGATACGAACTTTTTTGGTGTATCGAAAAACGAAGTGGGGACTCTCGTTAGGCCGATAGGGCAAGCTAATAGTGGTCTGTGCTCTGTGGTTTTCCTGTTTTACGTAATTCGTACAGTATAAATATAACAGTGTAAATGCATACTTTGTACTTCCCTGTATCTCTAGCCTGTGAAATAGGCTGATAAATACCGAAGGTCTTGATTCGGACTCGGGCATGCCCGTGGTCCTTGCCCAGGGTCGTTCTACTCGGCAGCTATTCTCTTCTAAGATGTTTAAGACAGAAAAGGGTAAGAACCTCGGCCAGTAGTAAATAACCTTAATCTTTAACACCGATTTCATGTAGCATAGAGTGAAACTTGGGCGGCTTATTATGAATACAGAACCGCCAATAATACACTTACATACTTTCACAACTATTATCCATTGCGTCAACTTGTCTCGTGCCTCATTCGTGCTAACTTTTTTTTTCACTTTTCTTTTCTTTCCACCATTCCTGCATCCTCGATTTCTATCATTGTATTATAACTCTATTATAACTAACTTACCTCTATCATGGCCTCCGATATCAAGATTCCCGCCTTTGAGGTAACACCAATCGACAGCATTCCCAAGATTGCTGCTACAGTCCGCCAATCATATCAATCCCAAAAGACCAAAGATGTGGAATGGCGGCTTGTGCAACTTCGAAAGCTATATTGGGGTCTCACGGATTATACTGAGAATTTCCAGGCCTCCCTGAAGAAGGATTTAAATAAGTCACCTCACGATGTCATCTTATCCGAAATTCTCCATCTGATCACCGACCTTAGCTTGGCCCTCAAAAAGCTGAAGGATTGGGTAAAGGACGATAAAGATATCGAGTATTCTTGGACCTATTCATCTATGAAACCCCGTATCAGAAAGGAGCCCCTAGGTGCCGTTCTAATTATCGGCCCCTATAACTTCCCCCTTATGCTTAATATCGCTCCGCTTATCGGTGCTATTGCGGCTGGTTGTACTGCTGTAATCAAGCCCTCTGAGAGCGCCCCTGCGACCGCTATGGTGATGAAGGAGATGATCGAGAAATACCTGGACCCCGAGTCATTCATCGTTGTTAATGGGAGAATTCCGGAGAACACCGCTTTGCTCAACGAGAAATGGGATAAGATTTTCTACACCGGCGGTCACAGTGTTGCCAAAATCATCGCAAAAAGGGCCGCAGAGACCCTTACGCCGGTCACTCTCGAGCTCGGTGGTCGAAACCCTTCGTTCGTCTCTAAGTCTACTAACTTGGCACTCGCTGCAAGGCGTCTCATGTGGGGGAAAACAATTAATGCCGGTCAAGTCTGTTTATCGCAAAATTATGTGACTGTCCAGAGAGACTTGGTCGATGACTTCATCAAGCATCTCAACGCAGCTTGCAAAGAATTTTATCCGAACGGTGCTAAGGCAAGCGCAGATTATGCCCGCATCGTTAATGAGCAGCAATTCGACCGCATGAAGAAGATGCTCGACACCACTAACGGCAAGATTGTCCTGGGAGGAGAGACGGATAGATCTGATCTTTATATCTCGCCCACCGTTGTTCTCGTGGACTCTATCGATGACCCCATGATGAAGGAAGAATCTTTCGGTCCTATCTGGTCTATCATTCCTTATGATACTGTTGATGATGCTATCAAGATCATGAACACGGTCGACCCTACTCCTTTGGCGCTTACGACATTTGGATCCAAAGCCGAGAACGAAAAGAGTAAGCATCTAGACCTTCGCTGCGACTTAAAACCATGCTAATTATACCCGGTAGTCCTCAGCCATGTTACTTCTGGTGGTGCTACCATTAACGATGCCTGGATGCACGGCGCAATATCCACACTGCCTTTCGGAGGTGTTGGAGAATCTGGATCGGGTTCGTACCATGGACGAGCGAGCTTCGACTGTTTCACGCACCGGCGTACGGTGCTCGAAGTGCCGAACTGGATGGATAAGCTGTTGCGCCCGCGATATCCACCCTTCTCGGAGCCCGATTTCAAGCGGCACATCTGGATGACCAGTCCCAAACCTAACTTCGACCGCGACGGCAAGCCTATTTCCGGTCTCAGGTACTGGCTGTGGATTATCTTCGGCCTCGGAGGCCCCTCTGCCAAAGGTGCGTTACTACGGTGGATCGTTCTCCTTACCTCGGCGTATGCTGTATTTTCCCGCTACCGGTCTGGACGCGGTCTCGAGTTTTGGAAGTGATATATATATGTGTGGGGGCTGGGTTCTATTTAATGTAAGAGGTTGTCCGGATGTAAGGGAGACTCACTTCTAACCACCCCCGGTTGTTATCGAATCTGTTGAATTGGAGTTAACTAATTGGTCAGGTTAGGTAATACCCCGCGAGCAAAGCTTTGATTTGTACTCTGATGTGCGGAATCAAGGTATATACGTGTAAGATAAGTTCACAGAGGACAAGTCAATGCCGGGTATCAAGTTGCACTAATCAAGTTGCACTACACTTTCTATGTGTTTGGCATCTATGCCTCATGTTAGCGTCTCCATCAAACTTGAACATACCGGAATGTCTCTATGAGGGGAGGCAAAGACCAAGGGGGTATAATTGGAATGAAGATGAAGATGGTTGATGAAGTCTTTCCAAAGAGTAGTAGCTTATGTCCTAATAGGTAGTCCAGTTATATGTCTAGGTACCGTGCGTGCACTTGGTATCGACTAATGATAAGCAATGATGCATAAAAGTATTGTAACCGTCTTCAGCGTACAGCTCTTATGAATTTTTACAGCACGTACCTAGGCATTCTCTAAGATGTATTATTTCAGAGGTGACGATCCTTAAGATTCATCAATCATCTCACGATGTGGCAGACTCATAGCCATTGTCTTTATCGACGACCATCTTTATTAACATTAGACCGTCACTACCGTCCCACTAGGCTGTCTGCCAACCTCTTCCCCCTCTCGCCTCCCAGGTACAGCGTCTCTTCGCTGTCGCCGTCGGCCCTCGCCATCTCGACCGCCTCGTGGTAACCGGTAATCACCATCTCCTCGTCGACGCGCAAGCCATGCTCGACAAGCGCATTGATGACGCCCCGCACGCGCGCGATCTCCCGCATCGTCCCGGCCGGTATCGCGTCGTTCTGGCTCGAGTACACGTTCAGCCCCACGCTCTCCTCGATCCTCGTGATCCCCGGCCCCGTGCCCTCCGCCGCCGCGCCCTCCCCTTCCACGTGCTTGCTCACCCAGATGTACCCGTTCACCCCCAGAACCACGTCGATCTTCTCCGAATCGTCGGCCGCCGCCCCGCCCCCTCCCGCGGCCCGGCCCACGTCCAGGACGAAGGTCTGGCGCTTGGCGCGGACGACGCCGCCGCCGCCGCCGGTGCCGCTGACGGTCATGAAGACGCCGTTGCGCAGCTTGCCGAAGCGCAGGCTGCGGGTGTGCAGGACGGCGCCGCCGTCCGAGTACAGCTGCTGGACCTCGGCGACCAGCAGGTCGCCCTCGCTGAAGAAGGTGCGGATCTGCAGCTCGTCCGTCTCCGTGCGCCGCCGCTGGATGCCGCCCGGCAGGTTCACGGCGCTCAGCGGCAGCTGCGCGAGCAGCGAGGCGCCGACGTCCACGCGCCAGCGCTTCGCCTGCACCTCGACGATGCGCCCGACCACCAGGTCGCCGATCTCCGGGGTGTAGCGCGCGCGGAGGGGCCGCACGGACAGGAGCTTGTTGGTTTTCGAGAGGGTTCCTGCTACGGAGGATATTATCGCGGGGGGGTCCGCGGTTGTGTATGTGCCGTGGCCGCTGCGGGGAGAGAAGGGGGGGAGGGTGTATGTTAGCCTTTTTTTCCCTTTTTCTTTTCGTACGTCCGTTCTGGGCGTATGGTATGAGACTGGGGAAAAGTGAGATTGTGGCTATGCGTACCGCATCCACTGGGGATCTTCCGTGATCACTTCGCCGGGCGTCACGATCGAGTCGTCGCCTGTTCGTCGAGCTCGCTTCGCCGGGCGCATGGAGATGTCTCCTTCTAGATCAACACCGCCGTCCGAATCGGACTCGGAATCGTAGCTTTCATTTCGGTGGCTGTGCACCGGAGCTAGCGCCGGTTGGAGAATTGTAATTGGCATCTTCTCGGTGGTGGTATGTGACAGGTCTACGGTTGGAGAATGTTGATGTTGTTTGTTAGGTTGTTTGTTAGAAACATTTTTGTCTGGCAAGTCTGAAAGCTCCAGGGACAAGACCCCTGTAATTCCTAGAAATGTTTATGCCCCGCTATCTTTTAGCGCTATCAGCCCTGTTCTATCGGCTATCGATACGCTAATACAAAAAACCCACGGTACTGGTTACGTATTTCTTAGGTAAGGCTAGGTACTGGGCTGGTCCAGGCTGTTAGGTCAGCTTTTGGCATGTGATCAAGTCTCAACTTATTGTAATTCCCATCTCACTCGCTACATAATATCCCCGTAATTTCAGCTTGTTCATCTTTATAATGCAGTACCTTTCATCAAGCTAAACGTCGTAGTATTAACATACCTATCTCTACGATAGATAATGCTAGAGTATTGTATAAATTCTCGTAGCCTTACCGGCTAAGGTTCATGCATTTTTGAAGCCATTTTCGAATCTCTAGATCTTTGCTTTACGTCATCGTGAAGCCTGGCCATAACACAAACCGGCAAGTCGTATCAACAAATATTGCAGTAGTATCGATCCTCTAAGGTGAAGATGGATGAAGATGGTTCGGATGTCTTCGCCAACCGTGACGAGCCGGTCCCATCCATCATTCTTGAAGGTTCCTCACCACCTAGACCACTTACACCTTCGATTTCGGGAGATCATTCGGATGGCGAGACTCCATCCCGGCGTAAGGGTCTCCGCGGCCGCTTTTCGGCTTTCAAGGAGAAAACCAAGATCCAAGACCAGCTAGTCGAGAAGTTGCTATCTCAAGTGGTGCCGCTGGACGACGCCCAAATCCCCCAGGATGATGCTGCTCAGGAACCCAGCACTCCGGGCGCGGCCCGTCCCAATTTTAACCTGACGACCATGTCCAACAACTTCCGTCGCTTCAACGCCCGTATTGGAGTCGTCTTCGTCTTTCAAGCCCGCGTGCTCCGTTTACTGTCTTGGAGGAAACCTACCCACACCATCTCGTTTCTCGCCGTATTCACCTTTGTCTGCTTGGACCCCTATCTCCTACCAATTTTACCCCTAACAGCTCTCCTCATTGGCGTCCTGATACCAAGCTTTATAGCTCGCCACCCGGCAGCCGAATTCAGCTTGTCAAGTGAACAGGCGATAGGGTACTCGCCCCATGGGCCCCCTCTAGCCCCCGCTCGCACAGTGAAGCCTGCCAAGGAGCTGAGCAGGGATTTCTTCCGCAATATGAGGGACTTGCAAAATAGTATGGAGGACTTCAGCCAGCTCCATGACAACATCATAGCCCTAGTAGTACCACGGACGAACTTCAGCGACGAAGCTATGAGCAGCGCTTTGTTTGTGTCCGTGTCCGTCGTCTGCATCTTCATGAGCATCGCGTCGAATATACTACCGTGGCGGTTCATTTTCTTATCAATCGGCTGGGTGATAACATGTAGCGGCCATCCTGCTATTCAGAGACAACTCCGGACGGCACACGAGAAGCACATACATCCGCAGGAGGAGAAAGCTAGAGGTTTGATAGAGCAGTGGATCGAACAAGATGTCATACTTGACAGCGCACCGGAGGTTAGGGAAGTAGAGATCTTTGAGCTGCAACGCCTCTCAAGTGCAGGGGAATGGGAGCCGTGGCTGTTCAGTGCGTCACCATACGACCCGCTGTCACCACAGCGCATCGCCGGGGATAGGCCAGTTGGTACACGGTTCTTCGAAGATGTATTGCCTCCTAAGGGATGGGAGTGGAGCGAGAAGAAGTGGGCGTTGGACCTCTGGAGCCGCGAGTGGGTCGAGGAGCGCATCATCACGGGCGTCGAAGTCGAAACTGAGGGCGAGAGATGGGTTTACGACATATACGACGAGCAAGCTGCGGAAAAAGTCGGGGTGATCGAGCATCCCACACCACTCAAGGGAAAAGAGAAGGCAAAGATTCCACAAAAGCCTAGCTGGGAAGAAGGAGAGGATAGCGACGGCAGGAGAGGCGAATGGAGGCGAAGAAGATGGGTACGATTGGTAAAGAGGAAAATTCTCGCTGGAACGCATACGTGACTTTTTCATTTTACTTCGAAGCGTTCGAAACATTCAATAAGTGTTAGGTGAACAATTGCTTTATTTTCTCAGTCAAGCTCCTAGTATATTTAAAGAGGCCGTAGCCCCCTAGGAGCCCCAAGGAGTAGCGATAAATATTCTATATTGTAAAAGATACCATTTATCTCAAATAAGAGTTGATCGGTTAATCAAATAAGATGAAAACAAACATAATTACTAGGTTAGGTTAGGTAGGTACCTAAGTTACGGATTACGTCGTATACAAATCTAACGAGGAGCGTATCATCTCCCTCAACGAACTCTCAAGTTCCGGCAAAGTCACGATCACTTAGATCCAGAATCATGGGCCTAAGGAGGAAGACTACTACTACCGCTACTGCTGACTTACGCTTTGAAAACTTACTAAGCGGTCCGTATCACTCACTACTACTATCGTCTTCCTATTCGCCGTATTAGTAGTAATCATAGTCGTCCTCGGAGCTTAGATTAACGCCGCCGGACCGGTTCGAAGCGTACATAAAATAGTGCCACTCGGGCGACCCCCAGCGAACCAGCCTCCTATTGTGCAGCACGAACATGTGCCTAGGCCTGACGCGAACGCCGCGGTCGACGAGCCAGCGGGCGACGGAGGCGTCATCCGCGAGCTCGACGGCCCAGGGCCCCCCGCCGCCCCCCCGAACCTGCGCGCGCAGGATCCGCGCGTCCCGCAGGATGCACGAGGACAGCACGTCCGTGTCCCGCGCCCATGCCCCCCGGCAGGTTATCGCCAGGTGGAAGTAGTCCCGCGGCGAGACCAGGTGCTCCTGGATCAGCTGGAAGATCTCGACGGGGAGGTCGATGAGTCGGGATCCGGTTGCCGACATGGTTGTGCTGCTACCTTAGGTAAGATTCGCTTGGGCTAATTTAGGTACCTACTTTGGGTGGGTGAAGTTCTCTTAGTGCTTCTTTTCTTTGTTTTCTTTGTTTTGTCGTCTCCGGCATCGAGAGGACAATGGGGGTTTTCTCTTTTCTCTTTGCGTCAGGATGAACCGGGGGGGGGGGGGGGGGGGGGGGGGGGGGCCGCATGCTGTTAAGTACGACTTAGACGCAGCTTGTTGTTAATATCATCTAGCAACAATCGATAGGGGCATGGTCGTGTTATTGTGGATAAAGCCATTGTATAATAGCCTTAGCATACGACTTAGTTGCTAAGGCACATAGTTTGATGCACGTTGTTCGATTGCGCATTCATCTAATGTATCGTCGAGATCTTACATAGGAGGAGTATATAATAGGGGCGAAACAATTTTCTATACGTAGTGTTTTTAAATTGTGGTGCAGTGACATATGTATGTTGCTGTTCTGGCTATTCCATTGAAAAGGGGCATGTTAGAGTGGTAGAATTTTATACAACCTGGAGATATAGGGTAACAACTTGGTCGAATTCGATCTCTTACATCGTGATATAGTCTTACGTTAGGCTGAGAGGGAAACCTAGAAATGTTAACTCCAAATCTGTGTTACTACTTGGCTCTGTTAGGTAAACCTGTTCTATATGAAGGGATATATGAGTACCTAACCTAACCTATATTCGACTATAAAACCACTTGTTCGCACTATTATACATATCATACCATAGCCTTCATATCTTAAAAGTTTTTGTTGGGAATTCGTCCAAACCTTCGCTATTCTAAGGACTAATAATCGCTAAAGAATAGAGATACAATAATGTCAACACATTTCCATATCTCCCCTATCTTGAATAAATAGGAGATGAGGGTATCCTAAATCGCGCCGAGCTCGCCCCCGCAAATCTCTCCACCCTAATAGGAGAGAACGCACCATAAACCCCCTTTATACAGCTTCGCTACTATTCCTTCAATAGATATTCGCCGTCTCGTCTTCTCCTCAGGACGTAGTGTCTTTAGATCACTAGCCTATCTAAGATTTTGTGGATCCCTACGCTTTTTCCATTACCAGCGTCAAGCTCATCTACCATCTTCCTCGCCCTTTCGACCAGAACGCCTATTACCTTTTGCGTATACTCGAAAGTCCCCGTACTTTCCATGTATTTTACAGCATACCGCTTCACCTCGTCGTCTGTCGTCCTTTGCTTAAGGATGTTTAGAAGCTGGAGGTTGGACGGGTTCGAGCGTATGCTGTGGATGATCAGAAACGAGAATTTCCCCTCCGTTAGATCTTCGCAGAGCCCCTTATTCTGGCCGTACTCCGGGCTAGATAAGTTCTTGTAGTCGTCTTGGATCTGGAAGATGATGCCGAGTATATTGACTAAGGGGACGCAATCAATGGGGGCGCTAGATTCGGCCTGCATAAGTTTGATAGCCAAACGGAAGAGCCCGCCAGTCTTGTTGCCGACCATTTCGAGATATTCTTCCTCCGTGGGACAGGTAAGGGTGTCGCGCCAGAAGAGATCCAACCCTTGACCGCGGTGGAGGTTTAGCAATTCTTCCGTGTACACACTAATCGCCTTCGGATTCTTCAGTTTCTGTAGTTCTTGCAATGCGCAGAAGTAGACGTAGTTGGCCGAGTTTATGGTTTGGGCCGTACCGAAGATGCTGTGAGCAACGGGAAGACCTCTTCGAAGTAGCGAACTGTCTTCAACGTCATCGACAAGTAAGGATGCGGTATGTAGCATACCAACCACTTTTGTAATAACATCGAGACTTTCTTGAGGTACCTCCAGTAAGGCATTGAAGGAATTGACCATCAGTGTACGGAAGTCCTTCCCGGGATGGGCAAACAAGTAGTCAAAGGGACCCATAAGCACCCTTTCCTTTTGATCTGTCCAAGTTTTCCTCGAAGTATAATTCAAGTCTTCTGTCTCATAGCGCGCAGGGTCTTGTGGACCTGTAGTATGCATACCTGTCATAGGAACGGCAAAATTGGAAAACCCTCTTTGATGACGGCTGCTATTCTGACCTAACCAGTCGGATTCAGGAACGGGACGTAGAACGGACTTGACAGGCGAAACAGGAGTGATATAACCTGTTGAGGAAGTCCTAGGAGGGATAGCATTGGGCGACTGCAGTAGCCCAGAGCTGTTTGATATGGGACTGTTACTGTTGGCGTTAGGAACCATAGTTTCAAATTAAGAGGATCCTCTTTCTTATTTAGAAGACAAAGTTTCGAGTTTTTTTAACGTTTCTTAACGGGGGAGGCGATTTGTTGTAAAAGGTAGTAAAAGGCAACTTTTGATTTATAGTTGCCTAGCTCTGCGCCGGCGCAGACTGTAAGTGGACAGCCTGAACGGTCTGGACGGGGTCAACGGGGAATAAGTGGGGGGCGAGCCGTGTGGAATGCGGCGCAAAATTGAATAGTAAACCAATTAACTAGCTCTTTTGGTATGTTTTGCTTTTGGGGTTTTCATGTGAATGCTGGTTACACCCGAGATGTGTATAAATACTTATAAATATGTATAAATTCTCGTCGTCTGGTATTTTATCTACTTAGGCCAATTTTCCTAACTAGTAATAATGAGGCCCTGAAGGGTGAGTTTTGCAATTGATATCAATAAAGGGATGGGAAAAGAAAGTCAGGTTAAGCTTGTTGGAGGCATGGCGGTTAAAGCTCACCGGTACCTAAAGGCACACCTAAGGTGCAAGACATACTTGAATGGGGAAGTTGAAAGTGACAGCTAGTGGGATGAAAAAGATCGGTACAATTAAGGTACTTGGAAGCATGATTGCATATCTCCAATCTGTCAGTAATAATTACCCCGCATCACTTACAACCCCCAGCTTCTAGTTTGTATCGACTTTGTACCTTATTTAGGTACTCATTAAACATTATAGGTCCTGTCTTAGACATATAGTGGATAGATAGGAAAGCACCAATGCATCCAATAGGCTGGAGAAGGCACACATCTGGGCATGTATGCTCGTTAGATGACCAGACAGCTGGAATGTAGCTACCTTAGGTACCTAGGTATGTAGCTAACCGCCGTTGCTGTGTTAACGGAAGCTCCCCACTTAAACAGTTGTCAACTCTTGTAGCTACCACTTATCGCATCAAGAACCACTTGATCCAAAAAAACGAGACACCGGTCTTGCATATTATTACTTACCTACTTTTCGTCTTCTTCTTTTTTTTTCTTTCTTTTTTTTTATTGTTGATTTCTTCGAGGTTGGGAAATCATCCCATTGGTGATGCCCTCAATCGTTCTCTTCTTCCTCTTGTATTAACAACCTACCGCCGTCGCAAACAAGCAATTCTTGGCGTATTTCTTATTTTTTCTATCTTTGGCACAGAGCTTCTCCGAATCCTTGTTATTAGAATCGCATCTTGTCGCATTGCATACACTACATCATACCCCCCTCCCAATCCACGTTAGCCTCGTCATATTATCGTACTGAAAAGCCACCGCAGCCACTCGAAAGTGCAAGTCGTCATTAAAAGAAAAAAAAAAAAAAAAAGAATTATGGAGAATCTACTCTCCCTCGCGTTCGATAATCTCTCTTCCTACGACAGCTCCAAAATTCGCAAGGGTCTACGTCAGGTCGAGGGTTTACTGGCCAATATCTGCTTATCGCGGTCCCAGGGTAAAGAACGCCGCGGCTCCGTCGTTTCGCAGCATGATGACCAGGAAACGCTGCCCCCCAAAACCCTCCAGGAGATCACCGACGACCCGGCTTTTTACGAGTTCTTCAAGCTGCAGGAAGGATTCGAATGGAACGTCGCTATGCGCCTAGTTAACACCCTCGACCGCCTCCTAGCTAGAGGCGGTGACGGTTCTAATGACCTTCTCATCTTAAGCGCTTTGGATTTGGTTCAAGGTGTCATGCTCTTACACCCTCCGAGCAAGGCTCTATTCTCGCGCGAGATGCATATGAACGTACGTCTTGTCTTGTCTTGTCTACCTTAGGCACCTTTCCCCTACTTCTAATTGTCCGTATAAAACTAACTTATACACTCTTCTTCCTCTCCCCCTCCACAGCTCCTCCTCGACCTCCTCGAACCTGACTTCTGCCCGGCAATCCAATCCGCGACCATCGTGACCCTCGTCACCGCGCTCATCGATGCGCCGCGCAACACGCGCACCTTCGAGGCCCTCGACGGCCTGCTGACCATCACCTCGCTGTTCCGCAACCGGTGCACGAGCCGCGACGTCAAGCTCAAGCTCGTCGAGTTCCTCTACTTCTACCTCATGCCCGAGGTCCCCTCCATCCCCAGCGCCCGCGCCGCTGCCGCCGCCGCCCACGACCCCGCCGCTGTCCTCCCCCCCTTGCTCCAGGCGCGCAGCCCCAGCAAGCTCGCCAAGGCTTTCGCTTTCGCCGGCGTCGGGAAAGGGGCCGCGGACGGCGCCGCGCGCCCGAGGTCGTCGTCTGCCGGCGTTGGGGACACGCGGTCCCAGGAGGAGAAGCAGGCCCTGCTCGGTCGCCATCTGAACAGCGTCCAGGAGCTGGTCGAGGACTTGCGGCTGAATACGCCGTTTGGGGGTGTTGTGGTCTAGTCGGGGCGGGCTCGAGGCTGAGACGAGACGAGACACATTTAAATAGTCGTTATTCTGTTGCGAAATGGTCCATTTTCGGGGAGTTAAGGAGTGTGGTTATGCTCGGCTGAAACGTGCTTGATCCCGATTTTTTTTTTATCGGGACAAATTTGGCTGCGATACCTAGTGGAATGAATTAGGTACGTTTTTAAGGAGTAGATGATAGTAATTGTCTGCTGCCGTCGCATAGTGTTTACGCTCGGCGTTAAGGGGGGGAGCAAAGGCAAAGCAAGCAAAGGCGAGGAGAGGCGTTTTTGTCAGTAGACTGAAGGGTATATCCAGTCGTGTTCATTCAAAATTAAATTGCATATGCATTCGTTAGTTACAGTTAGGATCAGGGTAGTAGTATACCAGAAGTCCATCACTTTTTTTTTTCTCACATGCTCATTCGTGCCCACTCTTCTCTACTGTGTGATCAGGGGGTCTCCCGCCTCTGTGTTGCTCTGCTTCTTCAATGGTCATCGGTTCCGGCGAGGTCACGGGGCCCCCGTATAACTCGTACGCCTCCTGTTTCTCCTCTTTAGCCGCCGCTGCGGCGCCATTCGCACCGGCCACGTTTTCTCGGACGGGGGATCCGCTGTCACCAAGCTCTATTCTCCTTTCCTCCTGCATGCCCATCTCCACAGGCCGCACGATATTCTGGGGCCCGTCCGGGTACCGGTTAGCGGCTATCGCGGCTTGGTCAGAGAACCCCGGACTCGACCTCGACTCGATGCCGTAGGCCCTACTAGGCGTGCTCATATCCCCGCGATCCGTATAGGGGCCCGGCACGGCGTCGGGTCCGTAATAGCTGTGAGCGAGCCCGTCATCGTGGAGGCGCGGCCTCATGCCCGTTCTGCTCGACGGGCTCGTGATATCCGACATGGTGCCGACGCCGCCGCCGGGGGGCAGGAACGGGCCCGCGCGATCCGGCTCTTCGGCCCCGGACCCGACCAGCATGCCTCCTCCTCCTCCTCCTCCTCCTCCTCCTCTTCCTCTTCCTCCTTCGCCGCGCGAGTTGGCCGCGCGCCGGCGGTGGATCCAGAACCACGTTATCCCGCCGATGATAAGCGACGCTCCGACCGCGACCCCGACGCCTATCCCCACCCGGGCTCCCTCCGACAGCCCCTCGCTGCTGACGACGGTTAGGTTCGCCGCGCAGAGCTGCGCCGTCGACGTCGCGGACACCACGCTCGACGTGCAGGTGCTGCCGACGTCGCAGCACCCGCCGCCCGTGGGGCAGTTGATGCACCCCGTTGAGGCGGGGGTAATCGACGGTTTCGTCGACGTGGGCGGATACAAGCACGCGCTGTTGGAGCCGCAGCGGGCGCCGAACGGGCAGCACTGTCCGCCGAAAGGCGACTGGCACAGGAAGAACGTGCTGTCGGTACACGGGCGCGCGCAGCAGGCGGCGGTGACGCTGGTCTCGTCGAAGAGCGTCGTGGCGGGGGACGTGGCGATGGTCCTGGTGACGGTGGTCGTGCCGTTGCAGTACCTGACGTCCTCGCCACACGGCGAGTTCGCGCAGTCGACCCCCAGGTGGCAGCACTTCGGCGCCCAGCTCGTGTCCAGGTAGCAGTACTGGTCGTTCAGGCAGCAGAACTCGGCGCCTAGCGGTCCGAGATCCAAGCAGCCGTGGCTGCCCGCCGCGCACGGCGCTGCCTGGTCCTGACGTCTGGCCTTGCCCGGGGACAGGGGCAGGGGCCGTGCGGGGATGGCGGGCGTGCCGTATATGATGCGGCGCGGGCCAAAGCCGGGGTCGTACATGCTGGTCGATTGGGGGAATAGCGCCGCATTGTCTAGTGCAGCTAGGTTATCATAGACCGCCGCACTAACAGTGGTAGCGAGGGCTGCGATGAGCAGCATGGCTGCGGCGGGGGTAGGAGGATGTAAATAAGGTGCCATTGTGTAGGATGGATGGCTGTCGCTCTGACAGCCAGTCTTGTAAATCTAATCTATAACCGTGCCACTATACCTGCAATGTTAAAGGGCATATGGTATATCAATTAGACTGTTATGTTACACAGGCATATACGGTGAAGAAAAGAAAACCGCCGTCTAGAAGCCGTGGTTAATCGAGATGATTGAGGAAGAATTTTTGTTTGAAATCTTTCACGACAAATTCGTACGGCATAAAATGGCGGGCGAAAAGAAAAAAAGAAGAAAGAAGTCAGCATCGATCACAGCATTTGATCAAACCCGAGCTGGACCATCGAATACGAAAATCGAAAAGCTACCTCCTACCTACCTAAGGTACCTAAGCCAAGTACCTATCGGCGACCTGTCCACACAGGTTCCGCAGAAATCTATTTATCTGCGCAGAATGAAGCCCATTGGGCCGGGCGCATAGTGAGATTTTGGGGGTCTAATAGTTGCACCAACAGCTTCGGTTGACAAATAGGTCCGTCATATACCTATAAGAGGTGGCCAACCCGCAGTGAGACGACAAGCCTGCAGGAATACGGTTACAATGCTACCACAATCGGGTTAGCCAGCAGCTGGTCGATGACCGTAGCGCCACAAAGAATATCGGCTTGGCGGACGACGAAAACGACGGGTTCCGTAGCTGATGCTACTTGGGTATTTGAGATAGCTTTGCGGTGACTGGTTATCGTGATCGATAAAAGTCGTCTAGATATGATCTAATGCAAGGTACGGCTTCTCATGTAATCAATAAAATATCCATTATAGCTGCAATATAGGAAGCCGGGTATGATTCAGCTTATATTATATATTATATATTAGAAAGTAAGAGTACAACTTTAGAAAGGTCTTGAAAGGAGAAAGCTACGGAAATAACAGCAAGTATCGATCCAACTCCTAGTCTACCTATCTAGTCTCATATCCCCTATTCAAGTGCGACGAAAGTACAATAAAGCTTCCAACGCTTGTATGTAAGGAACCAGGTACCTTTCAATGTATTAATACAGAGAGATCATCCATGCGGAAGGGTAGAGGAATAAAATCCCACGACCGGTAATGCCCACTGAGCTCCTATATCGCAGGGTTCCAACGCACCAAAAACCTTAGGTACTTGAAGTCTGTTATACAATAGATGCATCTGCATCTCGTGTTCCTGTCTCAGGTTTATCTATGTCCGGTAATACAATTGCGCACTGGCTCTCGCTGCCCGCCGCCGCCGTCGTACAACTCCTCCTGCTTCCTCGGCACCCTCTCCTCGTCGCACCAGGCCCGGTCGCAGTTCCGGTCTTATTTTGGCCGGCGCTGTTTATCGAGCTGACAGCGTTGAACCTGTTGGACACGCAAGGCGCGAAGCGCAGGAGTGGCTGCAGCGCGGGGAAGCATCCGCACCATAGGCCGATATGGCCTTCAAGAGTGGTCCAAATTCCTAGGGAGTGCATGTTGGCAATCCTGTACGCCCGATGGGGAGAAGTATTAGTTATGAGCTTTGAAGGACGAAGATGTGTGGAGGATAGGGAGAGTGCTGCTTGAAAGAAGAAGAAGAAGAAGAAGAAGAAGAAGAAGAAGAAGAAGAAGAAGAGGAAGGGGAGGAGGAGGAGGAGGAAAACTCACAAATCTCCAGAATCAAAGTCTAGTCTCGCTACTACGGACAGACGGATGGAACCTATGACCACCGCACATACCCCGACGCTGAGGACCAGTACAATCTGAAGCATCTTCTTGGACCATATCATCTTCTTGCATATCATCCAGATGGGTAGTATTAGGAGAACCCCGTCGATAATGACGCCAACTATACCGTGTCCTATCATCATCGTATTATTCTTAACCTCACCGGCACAGTGAAGCCCTGGAAGCGCCGGAGACTTGAAGATATCCCTAGCGTCAGCATACATGTTAGCCTTTGGCTTAGGCAAGTCACAGGGGGGTTTGAAATATGTAGGTTAGGCAACGTACGCAATTGGCTGACACTCGAGAAGTCTATATATGAAGCAAGCGATCGTTTGCGCGAGGATTACCGCAGCAACAGCCCATGATACATTACTAACGAATCCTAAACGCCATGGTCTTAGTCCCGAGCAACAGTATCCAGAAGTCGTAATCGAGAATACGTACTGTCTCTAACAATCCGAGGCAGGAAAGCAAGAATAGCGACCCTCACAGTAGCGATAGTCCAAAAGTAAACGAGAGTCTCGATCGTCAACAACTAGAAAGACCCATCAGCGTTAACCAACGCGATGCCACGACAGCGTCTAACGGTCTAAGCGAAGAAACGTACCCTGAAGAATCTTACTTGGATAGCTTCCGGTGCGGTGCCTGTTTGAACTATGTTTCCAAGCAACACAGCTTAGCAGCAGCGTTAGTTAGCATGGTAGTCTAGCACCTCTCCTCTCCGTCTTATATATATGTATATAAAGAAAGGGGCCCTACTCTGGATATCCATCCCAGATTGCATCATAAGCAGAAACTAGCCACTCTTCATCAGTACATGTATTCGCTTCCTAGAAGGTACGAGTTAGGACAATAGGGAAGGTAGGTTAAAGCTTACGCAAGCGACGCCCGCGAGTACGTCGTCGAGACCGGGCGATTTCGTGATGCGTATGCGAACGAAAATTCTCAGGCCGTAGACTATGGCCGAGAGCGCAATCAGCCACCCATTGATACTGATTTCCCTCCGGCTGCGCTCATCTAGGTTGCTGGTGGTTCCCATATCAAGTTTGAGGGTGGTGGTGGTAGTGGTGGTGTAAGCGAGCGTCTATCCCCCAAATCCACTATATTATACATGGAGAGGCGCGGCTTCGAGTCGAAGCCCTGGGAAGCAGCGCGGTTATATGTACGCTTGGGAATGAACGTGATCCTCATCTCATCTGACCAGCCGACGAGGCTTGCGCTATGCCTTAGGTGCCTAGGTTAACGGCCTGCTTCCATATTTGGTTGGTTGTCCTAGGTGGAATACTCTAAAAGTGTTGGTAACTACCTGGGTAATAATTGCTTGCTTTTGCAATTACAACGCTCCCCCGTGCCAGCTACTGTTCTTTTCTTTTCTTTTCTTCTTTTCTTTGGATCCCTTGCCGCTAGTCCCTCTTTATCATACACCTTGTCTGTCTAAGAACGGCTGATCCGCCGTCTTGGGTCTCGGATCGGTGTGGTGTCCTCGTGGAGGCGGATCGAGGGTCCTAGCACCCGGAAGGGAGAGATTCTTGCTTCTTCAATGAACAATGTGTTGTTAGTCAAAGCTAGTCCCCTCTATCACTAAGGGACTTTTAACTTTCAACTTTTAAGTCATCACGGGGTTTTACGACCCGAAACTCTGGCCTTTTTGAGTTCTGAAGTGTATGCCAGGTAAGATTTAACGTCAACGCTTCGTATCATAAACTCTTTACTTATCAGTCTCTGGGCCGAAACATTGGTGTAGGTCCGGTTCTGATAAGAACTAATATGGAGACTGCTACCACTAGTCGCTGAAGGAAACAGTCTGTCGGGCTCGTTACCTCAACCATAGACGTAAGGCATATTGTCATTCTTATGGACTTCGAGTAGATATTGGATCAAAATCCACTGGTTGGAAGAGGCACCTGCCTACTCCTCCCCCCTCAGGCACTCATTTTCAGCATTGGGTCGCCCCACACGAGGAAATTCGGGAGATGTTAGGCCTTATCATCTTGCTTTTGCTTATTCGCCGTTAGCTCTAGATAGCCATTCCAACCAACGTTTAAAATTGTTCGCTCGGACATCCCTTACGTTATTTGGCATATAATTTAGGAAAAGCAGATCTCTAAAAAGTTAATGTAGAGCAACGCGTGTCTACGAGGTGACTCACGTATTTTAACCCGGTGTGGTGGTTTATATAGAGTGGCTTGCTTCCAATTCCCAAGATACCGGGTGCTCATTATGCCTAAATTATGTATCTGCAGATCGCGACATCATGCGGACCTTTACTTCTTCTTCCCTTTCTGTTTTTTGTATTATCATAAATATTGTCTTGGGTCAAATACGATTGAGGCGATCTGAAGACCCATGCGAGACATCTTATGTTAGGAATGAATGGTCTGTCCAGCCACTAATTACCTTTTCCAATCGTGGCGTGAACGAATTAGCGAGTAGATCACTAGCTAATGGGGGTCATAATTCAAAAAGGAGAACGTTAACTCAAGACGAGCGACTGGGCTTCATCTCAGCTGTGAAATGCCTTCAATCTAAACCAGGGGAAACGTCAGGCACATTCTCCGGGGTTCGGTCTCGATACGATGACTTCGTTGCATTGCATATTAGCCAAGCAGACTATATCCATTGGGTTGTGAGTTGTCGTCTAGATTATTATACCTAAAGAACCATATTGATGGACTTCAAGGGATATTTCTTACCGTGAGACAAGTCCGCCCATGACGGCTCCTATGTGTCGTTAATACAAGTAGATGGCATCGATCCCTCTTATGGCTCTTCGAACAAGCTCTTAGGAGCGAATGCTCATATGAGGGCTCCGTACCGTGGGTAGTTCCTCATCAGAAATATCGAACATGGACTGATTAACTTGTGAAGATATTGGAGTCTGTGATGTCAATCTCCACCGCAAAGGAAGAAGACGGCTGACGAATGAGTGCGATAGACTGGACACAAGACGTCGCTAACGTGGAATCTCTCTTGGGCTCGCCAATATTCGACTCCGAATACGGATTTGGAGGTAAAACATGAAAATTCCGACATCCTCTGGGAAAAGTAGACTAAGAGACTATAAGGAAACGGCGATTACATCGCAGACATTAGCGGCTTCCCCGACGAATGGGTAACCGACATAGATATACCCGGGAGATCAGGAGGCGGTGAGTTTTTTCGTATATGCCGATAAACGCTTCCCTTGTAAGAAGTTTATTTAACAGAGACTAATTCAAGGCTGTCTGACGGATGGGCCATTTGCTGGAATTAACGCGTCGATGGGACCTGGAAGGCATACCGAATACACCCCTCATTGTATTCGACGAGATATCAGCCCCTGGCTGATGTTACGCTCATTAAATGCAGATACGGTCAATTTCGTTCTGAACTCAAGCAGCTTTTTCGAACTCGATCACCGGATCGAAGGTCTTGCCCTTGGCGTCCTAGCAGTGTCAGTCCACGGTGGTGGACACCTGGGCATCGGGGGTATGCTTGGCGACGTAAGAAACCCATAATTAACAAATTTCTTCGTGCAGCTTATCGTGTATTACTCAGATGGCGAATACTTGGTCCTCGACCGTCGACCCTATTTTTTGGGTTCACCACTGCGCTATAGATCATCTGTGGGATGTCTGGCAACGAAACGGTATGCGATATTGTTAATCAAACTTCCAAATTACTAACCCACGGGACAGACTGGGAAAAAAGGAAGTCGGAAATAGGGGGCCCTGATACACAGTGGGCGTATCCGTACAACTATTTTCGTGATAAACCTTATAGGAACGTCACCTTGGACTTTGCTATGAACCTTGGTGAGGTAGGAGGAATGGTGAACATCAGTGAAGTAATGGACTTACAAGCCAGCCCATTTTGTCTTACGTACTCGTAAGCGAGGGGAGCTAGTGGTTGGAAATGAGACCAGACGCGCCTTTCATGATTGCTTTTCATGAAGGCGCCAGTTTCTTCTCTGCAGAAAAACGCATAACAGCTACCTAGGTTTGACGAAAGTCTCTCTGGTATAGATAGGGTTTCAAATTGTAATCCTAGAAGGCTATGTGCAAACAATATATAGGTAATAGCAATAGCGGGAAATGGAGCAAATATTAAGGGGTTGGTAAGCTGCTAGAAAAGGCATCTTCTTCGTCCCACCACTTGAGGAATTCTTGCATCTTTTCGGTTTTTGCTCTAGCAAGCTCTCGCCCGACGTCTGTCTTCATCATGCTCTCAAGTTTCAGCAGCTTGTCGTGGAAATGCTGGATGGCATTATCCATGGAGGCCTTGGTCCGAGCACCAGTGAAGGTAAAGACTCTTCCAATACCGATTGCTCCAATAGCATCAAGCCTGTCAGCATCCTGAACTACAGCTAGTTCGGGGTGAGTCTTGATGAGATCCTGAACTCGAGCCGGATCCTTGGTCTCGCTCGAATAGCTGACACCTAGGCAGACTACTTGAACCCGCTTCGCAAGTTGCTCCGCTGCACCTAAAGATCGAAGGAGCTCACATACCAGGGTTGAAGCATCTTCACCCGGCTGTAGATATTTCTTGTCTCCTACATCGTGTAGAAGGGCGCTTAAGACGATAACCTGCGGATCTCGCGAGTTGGTGTCGGGTGAGTGATGATGGATGTATTTGGCAAGTCCTACAACGCGTTTGATGTGGTTGAAATCATGAGAGCCGTCGTAATTCGACATATACGACCTGACGTACTCCGTGACCGAGCTGACGAGGTCTTCCTCTACGGAATATTCCGTTGCGGCCATGATGGCGTACTACCGGGGCGTTCGGTAAATGCGCTTCGACTTGTTAGCCTATTATGTCGATACGCGCTTGTTGATACCCTACGTACATATTCCTTATCCACGGGGACACTTTACTACTATGTACAAGTCGAGATGGTCTTCTCATAGCATTCGGAAGGATTTACAAGGGACTAATAAGCGCCAGAACCGCGCTAGACACTGTAGTAATGGGACCCGTGCAAGGCTTGTTACCCGGTTTGGCAGACCTGGCAAACTTCCTAAGAGAGGGATAAAATACCATCAGAGGTAGCCATCCTTGCTTCGGAAAAGAAGAAGGGTGGGAGGCAGATGGGTACGATCTTGGTAAAGAGCCGATTTGTAAGTGTATGTGTGTGTGTGTAGGTGTGGATTCTATACCTAAGTGGATCCCCAAAGCGGAATCAATAATTCTTCCAGGTTCCTGCATCGCAAAAAAAAACCAACTTTCATGTTTTTTTTATGCGTGATCGCCAAACTGCATGCACGAAGCTGTTGCTCTGCATCGACGCGCTGTGCCAAGGGGGGTCATGTGATTAAGACAGGCTCTCCGGACCATTCAGAGGTTAGAGACGACCCAGATAAGTTATTGCATACCTTGAGTTATCCTTGAGTTATGCATGACGCTAATGCATGCACTATGGCATTAAGCGCTATCCGGGATTTTCCCGTGCTAGGGAGATCCCACTTTTTCTTTCCTGCACTCTGGGAACTTTGACCACTTTTCACTAGACCCAAATCCTCCATTCTCAAATTTCCCCTCTTTCTACTCTTCTGCAATAGGGCTACAGGCAGCATGCAGCATTGGAATCACCCCAACCAAGATACCTAGTAATAGCGATACTTGATAAAACAAAGTCGATAAACAAGTCCGAGATGGACCGTTACTTCGGACTTTCACGGCCGCAAAGGTGGATTCATTCACTATTTATCCCGCCTATCCGCCGGAGCTAGCAGTGATCTGACCTGCATGAAAGATCAACCCTGGATTAACATGGACTCCGTCGCCGTCGCCCGGTTAAGCAGCAGCGTTAGGTACCTAGGTAGCAATAGTTAGCCGATCCATCTGACATCCGCTTGGTAAACTACCTAGGTACATACCTAGGAATCGTCCAAGTTCTAGATTGTTGAATCCTTCCCGACCGGGCAGGGTATGGCAGAAGGCAGAAGGCAGAAAAGTGTACTTACCTCGAGGTACCCCTACCTACACGATCCTTCATGCGCGTTCGTCATCCCGTTCGGAGGTGATGAAGGTGATGAAGGTGACAGAGGTGACGGAATCATTAGTTAAGACCTGGGTAAACACATAATCCTAATCGTGGTTTCTATCCAATTGCGATATACCTTTCATTATATTACACCACCTATTATATCATCAAGTCGAATATTGCCTTGTCAGATTTGCACATCAACAATCGTTCTCTTTTACTGGATGCTGTCTCTTTGCGAAGCTAACCTGAGCTGAGTAGGTGGAATTGCATCACCTCGCTAATGAGACCTTCATGATGGCCTGCAGATGAGAGTGCAGGAAAATCCACGCATTCGTCCACATGGAGCTAACCATGCTAGTTTGTTGAGACCGACGTTGGCTTACTGGCTTCTTTGAACAATTTGAACAAACAAGGAAGAACATCTCGATGGAGAAGAGCCTTCTTCCTCTCTGATTCGCCTGCTGCAGCACCTCGATGTGTGATATGTGACTGGCGATAACTGGTATTGGCTGCCGGCATGTGGCCGTCGTCCAATCATTGCAGGGGTTTAGACGCTCAGTCGCCTTTTCCCGATTAGCTTGGCCCTGTTTCCCGTCCAGTTTCTATTTATTGTTCAAGGTTAACATCCTTGTACCCACGTACTCTTCTATCAAGTCCCTCCACTCTGCGCTTAACCGCCAGCATCCAGTCCGGCACACATTATCTTCGTTGCACCGAAAGACTGGAATGGCTTAGGCCGGAAGATGAGCACTCAAATGACATTATATCGAATTAGATGTGTGTTACCAGCCAAACAGAGGCCACGATCCCATCCCTCTTATCCTTGATGGGCGGCCCCGCACACCCAGCTGCCGTGACCGTGGTGGCATCTTGTCCGCACCGCAGGCAGGCAGGCTGGGAAACAATCCAAATCCGTTGGTCTGGATATTAGGCCGCACCCTGGCTTCTCTATACGGCCGCCATTCATATAATACGGCAGCCTGCCCTCTGTCTTTTTTTTTTCTTTCCTCTCTTTCTTCTTCAGCAAGCACTCAAACACCAAAAGCTAGTTCTTTGTTTTTTCTAATCCCTTTTCTTTTTTCCTCTTCTTAATACACAAGAGCTGGTCTCTTATCCCTTAATACTTACCTAAAAAACAAAAATCTATACACCATATTACTAGTTGCCGGTCAACTATACGCCTATTCACTACCGCTATACCCCCTAATAAAACGAAAAACTAGTTTTTACTTGCTCGAAAACGCCCCTTAAATTTTTTTAAGAAACGACAATTTTTGCAATAACATATTAATCAAAATGGCGACCTTCCAACTTTCATTCTCTCTTCGCGTTTCTTCCGGCGTTAAGTCCGTCCACCTGCTCGGTTCTTGGGACAACTACGTTGGCCAGATCCCCCTTTCCAAGGACAAGACCTCCAGCAAATCAGGTTCGTGGAAGGGCACTTTCCGATTCCAGGGCAACCTCGAGGCTGGCCAGCGATACTGGTACTACTACATCATTGATGGATACCATGTCTCGCACAACCCCAGTGAGCCGTCAACCGTCGAGCCCACTACCGGCCGAGAACTGAACATCCTTGATGTTCCCAAGGACAAGTCCAGCAAGTCTTCATCCAAGTCTCACAGCTCCAGCAAGAGCTCGTCAAAGAGCACATCGTCGTCCAAGGACAAGCACCGATCTTCCAAGCACTCCGATGTTCCTAAGGGCCGACCTCTCTCCGTCTCGCAGATCGTTGCCCCCAAGCCCAGGTCTCCCCACGCAACCCGTCACATCCTGGATGCTGACTACTGCGACGATGAGACCATCGAGGAACTTACAGCACGCTTCGGCAGCGCTGGTTTCGACGAGGAGGACATCATCACAGACTTCTCCACCTCCCCCGTCTCCTCGTCCGGCTCCAGCCTATCCTACCGCTCCGACAGCTCGTCGCCAAGCTCCTCGCTTTCCGGCTACAGCACACCTGCCTCGGACTGCAGCAACTGCACTTGCGAGCGATACGGTATTACTCGCAAGGGCGACCGCGTCAAGATCGACTGCGGTGGCAGCCGATGTGGCTTCAGCGACGACGACTCCTCTTGCTCCAGCGGTGACGAAGAGAACTACGTCCCCCGCAACTCCCGCCGAAACGGCATTGTGGTCCGCGCGTAAAGACTTGCACCCCTTGGGGGGTCCCACGAAGCAGCATATAATACGCCAGAAGGCCGAAGATACGAGATATCGAGGCCGTTCGCTCATTAACGGGCATAGAGCAGCAATTTTTTCTATTCGCTCTGCCCGTCTAGTTGTTCCATTGCATCAGCACGGGTTTATTTTGCGGCAGACGTGATCATAAGCTGGTTCTTATTGATCGAGCCCTGTCCGCACCCGATGCGCCCCACCCATCAGGGTCGATGCTACGGCCCCCACGATTGAAAGACACCGTCGAAAGACGGGAGATCCGCATCGTGCGATCGTTCCGTATGTTTCCGACAACATTACCAGAAGCACTTAGTCCCTCCCCCGCTCGAGACTAAGCCTGCTCTAGCGAAACACAGCGAGACCGTCCGCCGAGGAGCTGAACGGCGACGGCTTTTGGGGATGTCAAGAAGGATAAATAGAAGTGGTCTCGGATCCGGCCTACCTTATGAAGGTCCGAGCAAGCCACCATTACATTACAATGTAAATAATCATTCGTCTACCTCTTAACAAAGAAAAAAAAGAGAGAGAGAGACTACGGATGGATTGGGAAGGCAGAATCTTGTCAATTAGGTATAGCTGCCACCGCTGGGTGGATAGAGGACTTTTGAATCTATTCATCGAACTGAAAACTACTCCTTCTAATGGATCGTGAACTTGTGAATGTGACAGGCAGTACTAAGTGCCCGGATGGATAGTGAATGAGCTTAGCATGATGGTTATGACCTGCTGTAAATCTACCTATGTATTATCTTTGGGCTGTTGGCTTGCTCTTCACAGCATCAACGACTCCGTAGCATAGGATAGAATATTATGCCCAGTGCCTTGACAAATCCCGCTACAGACGGCCATGTTTCTTCTGGTGGCTTTAGAAGGTCAGCAGTATGTGTGTCACTTGCACTACACATAGTAGGTTAGGTACCTGCCTGCGTTGAAGATTCATCGAGTACCTACGAGGTAGTCATCATCTCGCGTAAGAGGGGATGGTAGGATGGGGGATAAACGGCAAGTTCCTAACCTAATAAAACTTGAAGGTAGAGAAATCAAACAATAGTATTCACAGTGAGAATTCACTGTGGGAGAGAGATCACTTTTAAGTAAGGCTACGTTAGAGGTAGGCACCAAACCATTGACTGTATTGTCTGTAGTCTTAAACTAAGCTTTTGCGTACAATTCACACACACATCGGGCGAGGAGTAATCAACATTCAGCGAGATCATCTTCGATTCGTACCGTCTAGCTTCCGAATCCTGCCATCTTGAAGTCTTCTCTACTGTAACTTTTGTATCCTTTCCTTCCCTTTTCCTTCCCCCCCTTTTTCTCTTCTATCCCGAAGAAGAACAAGCCCGTGATCGCACTGTATCGCACCGCACCGCACCGAACCACAGCACTCCCAAATGAGACAGTATCATGATCGTATCGCTCCGGGCTCATGCAAACCCGGCCCTGCTGGAACCAAAACCAAAACAATAGACAGCACTAATACCCGTCCACCGTCCGCCGCCTTCCTAGCTCTCGTCCCTGCTGCCGTGGCAGCTCCGATAATAAACAAACATCATGCCGATGGTGATGCTGAAAAACACCAAACGCCGAATTCCCTGATGGCTAGTCCTCCCTTTCTTGTCTGTCCAACCGTGGACTCCCTATTGAACCAACGCCTGCGTGACTGACCCTATCAATCGAGATGCAATGAGGTGTAGTTGTATAATGTACAGTCGTAGAAGAGAAAATTGCCGATGTGGTTGTATAAAAAAGGTCATATGCGTCGTGTGAAAAAGGACGAGATATAATATCCTCGGTATGAGAGATATCGGTTTCAAAGTTCCCTATAGTCACTAGGACGAACTCTGCGTTGCTTGTTCTGGTGCCGTCCCGGATTGACAGGTTTGCGGAAATATGCGTCGTTGTCGTTATTTGGCGTCGTGAAGTTGGGTCTGTAGGGTTGCTGGTTCTGACTGTTGTAGCCACCATTCATTCCCATTCCATTCATATTACCCATACCACCATTCATTCCTCTGAAGTTTCCTCCGAACATGCCGTTGCCGCTCATGCCTTGGAAAGCCGCCGGGTTCATCATTCCGTTCATACCCATCATTGGGTTCATCATGGGATTGATTCCCATCATCATGGCCATGTTCATGTTGTTCATGTTGGGCTGACCAAAGCCACTCATAGGGTTCATCGGGAATTGCATCATGTTGGGCATCATGCCTGCCATGTTGTTCATGCCCTGTGGCATCACGTTCTGCACATCCTTGGCTGCTTGAGCCTGTTGCATAGCCTTTGGTGCTTTGGGGATCTTGGGATTCTCTAGTATATCCTCTGCTGGTCGTTTTTTAGAGGCTGCCTCCTGAGGTTTGGAGAGATCACTAGAACCAGGTGACTGAATAGGGGTAGGTGACTTCGATTTCTTTTGTATCTCGGCGGAGGGAGACTTAGAAGCCGTGGCCGAGGGTGTGGGTGACTTAGTCTTCTCCGAAGTAGCTTTCTCTGTAACTGATGGTTGGCTCTTTGGCGAGTCTAGCTGAGCTGTCTCCTTTTTCTCCGATGTTTGAGATGGAGAATTTACCGCAGCTGGGCTGTTCGATCGCTCTTTAGTTCTAGAAGATTCCTTTTCTTTAAGATAGGCTTGAATCTTATCAGACGTCTCATCATCTTGTTTGAGGTCATCAATTAATACCCCTTCCGTCTGGCAACCTGGACAAACGAAGTCGCTCTCAATGAGGGCATTGGTAATGCAGTCATTGCAATACGTCTTCTCACAACATGGTGTCTTCATTGGGTCTATGAACATCCTTTTGTCGATGGTGCACAACAGGCCCTTCTCTTCAAGATCCTTATCCTCAGCAGATGCTGCCTTCTGAGCAGCTGCCGATGACTTCGTCTTTGCCTGGTACTGTTCCCATGATGCCTTGTCAGGCTCTGCGATTACGAATTCACCATCTGCATTGACCATAACACCAGCCGGTGGCTTAACTTCCTCGCCGTCCGTACCAGTTTGTTGCAGTGTTGACTTGTCTACAGTTTTGAGGAACGAACGAGGGATTCCTGTTGTTCGCTTAACTCGAGGACGGTTGTCGAATTCGGGGTTATCGTTAGTAGGACAGACTTGAATCCAGTGCCCCTTCTGTCCACATCGATAGCAGATGTAGCCATTCGGGGGTTCGTGATCGGGGACATTGGCAGGTTTCTTTGAACCTGGCTTATACACCGCAGTTTGGCTGTCACTTGTTAGGACATATACAAAGACTATGTTTTACAGATAAACTTACTGAGACATCTCTTCCTGCTGGACGTTCCATTGGTCTGATTGTGCCTGAAACATTGCCATCATCTTCTCTTCTTCGGTCATAGCCGCGTTCATTTGAGTAAGTCCGGTGGAGGCAGGTTTGGTGGCCTTGGTGGCGTTCTCGCGTCGTGACGAATTCTTTGCGCTTGCTGGCATTTTTCCGGAGACGTAACGGGCTGCTCGGCCGGCACCCGGCTTCTGGGGTGGAAGTCGGCGAGCGATAACTGTAGTAGATCGAGGTATGATAGTTGTGTCATCGTCATATTCTACAAGTCAATTAGCACTATCGCGCAAGGTTATCTAGCATAACAACATACCTTCACTCCCGTCTTCTGAATAGATAGCTAGATCGAAGTCTGTTCCATCACCTAAACCACTCTTTACGATTATGTCACGTTTGAGTTCGAAGACTGAGATACCAGTGCCGTCAAAATCGACACGCGATGGTTCCTTTTGGGACTTGAACTTGAAAAACACAGAGGAAGCCATGATGAAAGATAATACGCCTAGGCGTGTCACAAGACGGGTAGAGGTGAAGAGGATCGCAAGAGATTGCGAAGAGGTTAGAAAACGGGGGAATCCTATGAAGTTGAATGATATATGATGCAATTCTGGTGTAAGTTGATCGCACAGACTTAGAGAGTGTTTTTGTATTTTTTTTTGTTGTTGTTTCGGAACAAGGTTTGCGCGACTATTGTAATCTCTCGTTTTCTTTCTTGTTTTCTTTTCAAGGACCAACTGGCAAGAAAAAAAAAGTAGATGGGTATCAATTCAGTCTGTACCTGGAAGAACAACGATTGCTCAAGCTCCAGTAAAAGAAAAATGGAGATGTACAAAGCCAAAGGCGGACTTGACCACCAAATCAGCTCCAGTAATTGAAAAGGCAGAAATGCCACCAGAAGTCCACACCACGACCCAGAGTAACCGTCAAAATTTCGTTAGCCAGAGACCTCCTGCCTATCCTACCAGAATTTTTTACCGAGTATAAGATAGTTCACAAAAGATTAGCGAACCATTGCTTGTACTGTGGATTATCCTGTGACGTTGTTGATCGAAGGCGATTCAAGGCGACTGAAGGCGATCTGAGAGGGAGAGGCGACGGGACGGTGGTTGATCAAACTTCGTTAGAATTTCGGAGTCTACGGTCGCAGAGTACGAAAACAGCTGAGTGAACAATGTCAAGTCGTCAGACTGAAAATTTGTAGCAACAAGATGCGTTGACTTGATGCAAAGAAAAAAAAAAGTAGGAAGATGGAGAAAGATGGATGATGGATGATGGAATGATGAGGAATAACCGTAGTTAAAAAGCAACGGAAGAAGAGGAAGGAATCATTGTTGTGAATCAACGGACGCTAGCGCGGGAGGAGGTGGCCTTAGATTAGGTACCTGGTACAGATATTAGTCAGATAGGTAAAACTTGGGCATTGTGCGCACGTGACATCTACCTGCTCTGACTTGTCACCCCACTTCCATCTACACATGTATTCACATTTTTATGCAAACGCCTGACACATGTACAAAGTAGTATAGTATAGGTACCTAGGTATGGTATGATACATTAAAATCAATCAGCCATATTATCCATGTCATCATACCTATTGTCTTAATTATTTGATTGATAAAACTATCTTAATAATAATATATAATTTTCTAGAGCTGCCTCCATCCCGAGTCCCTAGTCTATACCCAATAATTATCCTGGTGAAATATCAAGCATGAATGAAATGAGTATCTTTTAATTTCCCCGTGAGAATCTCTGCAGAAATATTTGCTTTGGTCGTTGGCTTAAATTTCCCACGGCTAACCCGAGGTGGCCATCGTAGTCCTACCCTTCTCCTTAGAACCAACGTCCTTGAGATGCCTTGCATTCCTTCGTCCAGTACGAATGTCTCGGCGTGAGGTACAGAAGCAACACAAACTGGCATGGATTATAAAAGAAATCAATGTAAATCCCGTCGCTATCCACATAAACGCAAGCATCTTTATACCAACATCCGCCTTGACGTTGAGGTCCGTCTGTGATGTTAAAGCATACTTGAAAACGAGGGACATAGCTGTGCCGAGGGCGCTAGCTATTAGAACTAGCAGTGTAGAAAGGAAGGCCAAGAAGCCTAGAAGACCACTCCACCATCGCGAGAACACAACGACTGGAGTTAGGCACATTAAAACAAAGTCCAGAAGTGCCCCGGTAATGAAAAACCCAAACATAATGTTTGAGGCGATGCGTAATATATTCAAGATTTCGTTCACTTGGGAAGGCAATGCGATGGAAGCCCCAGCGAACAGTTCGCCCAGAATGATCTCTACCGGGTTGAACCAGTAGAGAGTAGCCGGGGTGGAACAATACGTAATTCCACTAGGCGTCTTGTTAGTTAAAGATTTCAACAGACAAGGGGTTTTCACGTACTCGGTATTGTATCCTTCACAGAAGCCCCAGAGACCGACCTGGTAGAAATCGTGTAGACCTAGAGTCCGTGCGATCGAATTCTGTAAACTCAAAGTTGTCGGTGCTGATCGGGGAAGAATATCGGTAAGATCAAGCTTGAAGAAGTAGATGTCACGAATCACCGGCGCGTTTCTAGTGTTTCCTATCTCGACCTAGAATAATATGAGGATAATTAGTGTTCTGTATAGTAGTTTGGCTAATTATATAGTATATAAATAAACCATTAAGTCTTACCAGAATTAAGAAGATAATAGCCATTAGATAGCAGAAGCATGATATCCAGATAAAGACACGGCGTGCTCTGGTCTCCCGCTTCAAGACTGCCGGGTCTTCAATGCTGGGCTGGTGGCTTTCCTTTTGGCCATCGTTAGAAGAAGATGTCGCTGTCGCTGGTCGCCGTCGAAAACTAGAGAAGGACATATTCGACAACTCCTTGAATTCAAAATGCTCCTAGTTTCTCCAATCTTCAGCGACTGAACTTGGTCTCGGGAGCTTAGGTAGATGTAATTAACCAAAGATTTCGTAAACTGGCCGGAAGATGTAAATCAGATTGGGTTTGCGGAGAATGGTGGCTGAAAACAACTGACGGTTGAACCGCACGAGGTCCCAACACACGTGGGTACGTAGGAAGAAAAACAAGGTAACATAGAAGATAAAAAAAAAACCACTTTTGAGTTGTCGCAACTTGCAAGAGATCGTCAGCTAAGTCAACTAGTCAGCCAAGAGCGAGGGGGGAAAGCCTGATCCGAGCAGACGATCACTGCATCTGATGTGTAGTGCGTTATTGATTGACTAATACTGGGTTAATACGATTGATATCAATGAAGTACCAGTTAAGTACTACAATTACCTACGCTACAGTAGCTACAGTACAATTGAGATATGCGCACCTCATAATTACTCCTTTTTTGAGGCTTAGAGTTTGGAAGCTTTCCAAAGCAGGGTGACCCCCCCTGTAATAACCTTGCACATCTCATGTCGACTGCCGGGTAATGGATCTAGCTGCTACTTGCCAAGACACTTTGTGGACTCTCTGACTCTGTGGCAGTGAACCTAATGTATTGACTTAGCTGCTTAGGTATTGTACCGATGTATTTTGAAACAGCATCTGAACTTGTCCAACCAATTGTGAGGTTCTTTGGGTACCTAGAATTAAAATACGAATTCTGTATACCTTGTAAGAGAATGCATAATTTGTAAGCGCCTTATTTTATTTCGACTACGCTTCACCCCTAGTTGCATTCTGGGCGACCGCGCTTAACTTCGAATCCATTATGTTTTTCTATTATAACCAGAACTTAGGAAGAGAAAACAGAGATGTAATCTTAGGTAGGCACATTGTTTTCATAAGCGCCCTCTCCGCTAGATACGGGCTAGATGCAGCTGGACAGACACTAAAATAATGCTTTAATTCTGATCGACTCGATAATGAAAACCGAGCTTTATACAAGGTTTATAACTCTGCTCCATATTTCTGACCTGCCGCTGACATCACTCCCTAGCGTCAGCGGAAGCAGCTGCTGCCAGCCACGGCCGCGTGTAAACCCTGTCGCCTGCCCTGCAATGTCCACGGGTGCTTCAGAACAGCTCGTTACCTATCCACCACTTGTCAGTTCCGATTAAGCGGTGCCTACATCGTATAGTAAATACCATTAGTAAGGTACCTCTCAAATACATGCAGCTCAGCCTCCGACGTTATTTTCGGCTTGAAATCTGATCTCCACATCAAAGTTAATTCTCATGTACTTGAAAGTACCTACAGTACCTACTTACAGCCCACCAAGTGACTTACCAGCGCTGAAGTGACCTAGTCACCAGGGGCGGGCACCTGTTGCCGAAGCAGAGACAGTATCGTCTCAACTTCTCCAGGTCCTTTTTTAATTTTTATTTTATTTTAATTTTTATTCATTTTTTTATTTCTCCATCTGATGACTAAAACAAAGTTAAGCCCTTCTTGCACTGCGATATCATTTCCTCTATATCCATAATCCTTACCCTCCCTCAAGTGACCTTTTCCATGTCTAACTACGCTTGATTCCCTCTCTACGATCTTCAGAAGCTATGGCACCACCATTAGGAAGCCTGGCACTGTTAGCTGCGGTCGCCGGCGTGCTTGGACAGACTTCGATCAAGGACGATAGAACTACCGCGACCGACTCGACAGTGACATTAAGTGAAATTGAGACTCCAACCGGCCCATATCAGTCCTTTTCGACTCAGATTACACTCGGCACTGACCTTGGTTCAATCGACACTGAATCTACTTCGGTAGCTTCCAACAGCACAAGCGGGGAGTCTACCGTTAAGTCCTCGACGAGCCAAACAGTAACCTTCTTGACTGGATCCGCTGGAACGACAACAGCGACATCGGGAGGAAATGCTACTTCAACCACTGCATCGCCAACGCCAGAAGTAACCAACACGCGACCTTGTAACAATTACCCCGAGTTTTGCAGCCGGAAATATAGCAATATTACCTACGTCGGCTGCCATAACTCCCCCTTTATCACTCCAAACAACTTGGCTGCGAACCAACAATACGACGTCACTTCGCAGTTAAACGACGGCGTACGGTTTATCCAAGGTCAAATACAATGGCCTGCTGGAGGAAACGAACCTCATTTCTGTCATACCAGTTGCGATATCCTTGACGCCGGACCGATTACCGACTGGCTCACTGAGGTGAAGAACTGGGTCGCAAGCCACCCATACGATGTCGTTACCATCCTTCTGGGCAACGGAAATTAGTAAGTGGCTATGATCTCTCTACTAAAGACGCGAGCTAACCAAATTCCATAGTTCGGTTCCCAGTCTTTATGTGCCATACATTGAACAAACCGGTATCTTACGTTATATTTACACGCCACCGGTAGTCCCTATGACCTTGAATGATTGGCCAACTCTGAGCGAGATGGTTCTGAAAGGCCAGAGGGTCGTCATGTTTATGGACTACATGGCAAACCAGACGGAATATCCGTGGCTCCTGGACGAATTCTCACAACTCTGGGAAACTCCGTTCGACCCGGTCGACAAGAAATTCCCCTGCGTCGTGCAACGGCCACCGAACCTGCCCGCGGAAGAAGCCAAGAACCGAATGTACATGATCAACCATAACCTCAATATCGAGCTGTCTATCTACGGCGTTGATATGCTGGTACCTGCCCGGACCGAGCTAAACGTGACAAATAATGCGACAGGGGATGGCAGCCTCGGCCTGTCCGCTAATAACTGCCGCTCCGATTGGGGACGACCGCCAAACATCTTGAACGTGGACTACTACAACATGGGAGGTTTCCCAGGCTCCGTCTTCGAGGTGGCTGCTCAGATGAACAACGTCACTTACGACCGCCAGTGCTGCGGTATGAACACCAGCGGAGCGGAAAGATTACTCAGCAGTGGATTGGTATACTCATCCGCGATGCTGGTCATATTTTGGGCGTTACTATGTTAAATACCTACCTACCTACCTAGCTAGAGGCTTTTGCATTCATGGGAGTCATTGCGTGGGGGCGGTTACTTTTATATATAGAGGGGCGGGAAGTTGTATGCTGCGTTAAAGTATACGCTTCGGTCAACGGCATTTGGAAACTGGCACAATTTCTCCTGAGGATTTTAATCTATAATATAATAGTAGCCATTTTTTATATAACATATATCCAGTTCATATCATTTTTTGTGTGTGTCTCCGTATAGTTAAGACGAACCTGTAAAGTCTTGGGGACTGTAGGTAGGTACCTACCTACATAAGAAGAGTGCAGAAATATTTAGTCACAAGGATCGCTATTCATGTGATACCTATAGTCCTACTCAAAACATAAGGCGCACGAGGTACCATATCGTGACAATCATAAACAATGTCTTATAATAAATCATCAAGACAGTGTGTCTCCTATATACCATTTTTAGTAGTTCAACCTATTGCGAGACAGCCACACAATAAACTACCTAGGTAGGTTAGAAATAAATTCCTATACCCGCGCCGACAACTTTCCATCAGACCTAAGCCTGTGTATTTATACCATATGCGTATCACGAGACACGGGGGATGGATGTAGCATCAATATTCCCCCGTCTATTGAACCCATTCGCCAACCACCGCCCAACCACCAGCCTCAGCACTTCAAGCCTCGATACCATAAGCCTTAAGCGCAGTGCCCCCCCAGACCAGGCTCTTCTCTTCGTCGCCGAACGAGGCCATCCAGCACAGGCGATCGACGATCTTTTTCCACTTCTTCCAGGCGCCGCCGTCGGCAGCGGAGCCGTCAGCGGGGTCGTCCTCGAGGCCGAGGGTGCACACGGGCCAGTCGCTGGCGAACATGATGCGGCCGGCGCCGAAGGCGGCGAGCACGACGCTCAGCCACGGGCTGATGGCGTCGAAGATGTCCTCGGCCGAGCGCCGCCGCAGGGACTCGGGCATCTCGGAGAAGCCGCCCGACAGCTTCATGTACGTCCGGCTGCACTTGCTCAGCGTGAAGATCGCCGTGCGCCAGGCGATGAAGGACGGGCTTGTTTGCACGTTGTATACGCTGAGGTCTGGCTTGCAGAGGTGGTCTGCGAGATGTGTTAGTTATAGAACTAGTTGGCTTGGGTGTGTGTGGTGGTGGTGGTGCCTTATGGAGGAAGGGAGGGTAAAGGGGTAGGCAGGTAGAGTAGGGTAAGTAGGGTGCCACGAACTGATTATAAATGTGACTCTCTGGTCCTCGGGCACGCCGTCGTGCGCGCGGTCAATCATCTCGACGACCTCCTCGAGCTGGGTCCTGCCGCGGTTATGCTGGTCAATACCCAAGTCGAACACGAAGCCGCGGCGGCCGAGCAGCTTCAGGCTCTCGATAAACTTGTCCTGGAGCATCGTGCCGTGCGGCTTGTCCTGCAGCAGGTACCGGAAGCCCCTGACCTTGGGCCAGCTCTCGCCGGCCTCCCGCTCCGCCAGCTCGAGGTACTTCTCCATGGCCTCGACGCCGCTGGGCAACGGCGCCCAGGGTACGTACGCGGCGCACAGGGCGGCGTCTTCCGCGACGTGGCCCTCGCCCGGCTTCGGCTGGCCCGTCGCGATGCGCTTCAGCCACGAGATTTCTTGCAGCGGGTGCTCCCAGCCTTTCTCGCCGGCTTCCAGATCGTTCTTCCGGTCTGTCTCTATGAAGATGAAGCCTTTGGGCGTGGAGCCCTCGGTAGCGGCTTTATATTCTTCTAGCGAGTGCTGCTTGTGCAGCGGGTGCTCGGGCGTGCACCATGATAGAGTTGAGAGCTCTGATTCGGGATAGAGGTGAATGTGAGCGTCGATGATTGGAATATCGGCAGCCATATTTTTTTGAATTATTTCTCCAACTTTTTTTTTCTCTGTTTCTTTCTTTTCTTTTTCTTATCTTGGACGTAACTAATTCAACCTAGCTTGGGAATAATATAGGACGATATTAATAACTAATGTACCTAACCTAAAGAATTAAGATAGTAAAGTTTTAATTTTAAGATTAATAGAGGTGTAACTTAACAAGCTTCTATCCTAAAGCTTCATACCTCCTTCCCTCCCCCCAATGGAAGCTACCTCCATACCTCCTCTCTCCCCTGCTTTTACTTCGTTGTACCTTACCCCGCCATGACCCTCCCTCAGGTCTGAATGCCCACTATTTCCCCTGAGACGGGTTTGCACAGTTTGGTCTGTCTCCACCTGCCACCCTTTAAAGGTCTGGCCTTCATTCGCTCTGGAAAGTGATACCTCACATGTTTGGATGTACCGTATTAGGTATACACTATGGAAAGCTGCATATTATTGACCTATGCGGTGGTCCGAAGTAATTTCCTATAAGTGTTGAACGTAATGTTACGTACAGACGTCATGAGCAAAAGAAAAAAGCGGTAAAGCAACCGTTGAGTACGAAGATTCTTCACAATGTGCTACACTACGACGATATACTGTGCCGCTGCCCTAACCCTAAAAGCGTTAGATCAGCTTCGAAGGTTACTCAATTAGGAAACCGGCTGTCTGATTCGAAAGTAGTTCTCTACCGAACGGCTCAAAGGTTGATACGAACAGTTTCAAGAATGTCCAGTATCTTACAAGAGGTATCTTCTGTACCTAACGAAGAATTTAGTCGCAGGAATTTAAGCTAACAATTCAAAAGAGTTCCGATTTTCTAAGCTTGAAAAACCACTATCAGTCTTTAACTCCCAGTGATTTCTCATAAGCAGGTAATTTCCTAGCGTCCTTCTGCCTCTCGACAACCTGATCGCCGGTATCCTTCATCGTGCGTATGCCCTCTTCCCTAAGCTCGAGGACCTTCTTGGTGGCGGGCCGTCTTGCCATATCCGCGTGCCAGCGGAAGTACTCGGGGAACTCCTTCTCCAGATCCAGGGCGCCGCTGGGGAAGATGGTGCCGAGGAGGGTGTTCCAAGGCACGAACGACAGGTCCGCGTACGTGCATTTGTCGCCGACGAGCCACACCGGTTCGTCGGCAGTTAGCCTTAGTTTCTGCCGCTGCTTGTGCAGTGAGTCGTTGATGACGCCGAGGATGCGCTTGCACTCGGTGCCGTACCGGTCTATGGCCGTCTGTAGGTTCTGTTCTATGTGAACGTGTGTGAACCATACTGTTTTACATACGAATTAGCTGTCTGTTTACTTCGAACAATTAGAAATATATTCGGTTTTTTTTTCACATTGTAGGTCAAAGTCGAAGCGCAGGTGATAGAAGGAGGTCATATTCTTGAATACACACTCTTCTGGCCAAACATAGGGCCTTGGCCGCTCATCTGGAACATCAGCCAGCTCTGAAGCAGCCACTTCTCCTCGAGCCTGTCGTCTCCGTAGGTAAGCTTGAGGTCCTTATCGTACGTGGCGATGAGGTAGTTGATGATAGCGCCGGACTCCCAGAGCGTTACGTTCTTGTTCGGATCGACCATAGCGGGAAGGCGTCCGTTAGGGTTCAGAGATGTGTACGGTTCCGATTTTATTTCGCTGTACGGGATCCAAACAATCTCATACGGCAAACCAAGCTCCGCGGCCATGATAATGGGCTTCCATGGGTTAGGACCTTGGCCGTGAGGTCCGTTATAGATCTTGATAGGTTGCATAGTAAGTAGTAATGTCAGTCAAGAAAAGTTCGACAGTTTCACGGTTTAATCTTAGAAGTAGGCTTGTCGTCGTCTTACAATCCTAGGTTACCCTTATATTTATTATCTGGAATTCAATCACCCTTGGATTGATCACCTGGTTCTCGAACTCAACACCGATATCACCAGCAATAAATCCGTAAACCCCGTAGATATGCATTGATTTATAAGCAGCACGATCGTTGTCTTTATTTTTTTATCATTAGCTGAGGGAATTGGAGAGACACTCCAAAAATTGAGAATGATCGACGTAGTCATCCTCTCCGTCTCTACATATCATACTGATATATTGTGTGCTATGGGGATCAAGATTTAATGAGCAAGCTTGTCCCGTGCTAACCCTAGTTTTTGATCAAAACTTGAAGAATGCCTCAACAGAGGAGTAAGATCGTAGCGGCTGACAAAAACTTTGTATTTTCATATCATAATAGCATCATCTCGTTCGTGATGTTTACTATATTACACGCTACCACCAATGCCCGAACCACACACAGGGACATAAGAAGCTTAATATCGACATAATATCTTCCCACTCGAATACACGTGCCAATAGCACCTCCGCTCTTATTCATGCCTCTATTTCCCCTTAAAATGATACTCTTAATATTGCCTAAAGGCATCGCAACGCCACGCTACCTAACCCCAGACGACTCAATGGAATTCGCGCACGCCTTTACTCAGGGGGCGCATATGGATGGATCAACATCTCGCTGAACTGCTCGAGTTTCTCCTTGCCCCGGACCTCTTCTACTAGAAGCGGCATCCTGACCACGTTGAACTCGTCGTATAGCTCTTCTATTTGATCTAGATACTTCTTCTGCATTTTCCGTCGGGCGTTGCACTGCTCGCAGTTGCTACCTTGTTTGGGGAATAGCAGTTGGTTCACCACGATACAGTGCGTGTCGATGCCGTAGCTGGCCAGCTCCTGTATCATGCGTTCTGTCTCGTACAGACTCAGGAATTCGGCGATGCAGACACACACAAACGTGGTCAGGTTCTCATCCTTGAACTGCGTGTTGACCTCGGATATGGTTTGGCGGAGACTCTCCAGCTTCTCCATCATCTCGTTTAGGTTCTGCCCGTTCGGAAGCGTGCCTTGGTTTCCGAGGAAGCCGTTGAGTAGCGGCCCGTATTGGGAGGAAAGCTGGGAGATCTTCGCGAGAGCCTTCTCGAGGACGGATGGGAACTGGAGGAAGCGGAGCGTGTGGCCCGTAGGTGCGGTGTCAAAAATAATGACTTCGTACGAGAGGGATTTGACTTGCTTGAGAACCTCGGCGAAGGACATGGCTTCATCAATACCGGGAATCTGTAACAAAGGGTTAGCTTTTGTAACGTGCAATCTCAGGTGATATAGGTAGATATAGCTGTACTCACTGCAAACGCCAAGTCCTGCATCATGCCTCCCATGCCACTGAGCGGATCGCTATTTTCCTCGCCCTGTCCAGCTATTAAGTCCTGAATGCTCCCATTAGGGTCGATCTCCATAGCGCTAAGATTAGAGAAACCCTCGACTAGGCGCGCCTCTTTGCCGAATTTCTGAGAAAAGGCATCGGACAAGTTATGAGCAGGGTCGGTGGAAATAAGCAAGACCGAGCGGCGGACTTTGGCAAGCTGTATGGCGAGAGAGCACGAAGTGGTCGTCTTGCCCACACCTCCCTTCCCACCTACGAAAATCCATCGCAGGGTCTTCTGGTCGAGGATGGACTGCAAGGTCGGCTCAAGGCCGTCGTCAGCGGAAACTACAGCGCTGGACATGGTGGCCGGGAGTAGTGAAGATTGAAAAAACAGCCGAGCGTATGACGAGGAGGATTCGGATGTAGTATGAGAAGATTCGAGAGGAGCTTAGGACCTAACTGTACGAGTATAAGTTGTATAAGTTACCAAAAAGGGTACAAAAAAGGGCGTAACTAAAGGGTGTAACTAACGTTCGTGGCATAAATTTGGAGGTAGGTTCTGGAAGGCCAAGTGGAATTGCGTCGAGCTTCTAGGTTAAGCAAAGTTAAGCAAGGTTAAGCAGGGTTAAGCAAATCAAAATTGCCCCGCGGTTCTAATTCCCCAATTTCCACTGGGAGATACGTATATTTTGGTGGGGGATAAAGTACCTAGGTATCTAATCTTATGTAAGTATGATGATAAGTGTTCAATTAGGTACCTGTCTCCCCTGTCCTCACAAGCCACAGACAAAAAGGGGGCGACAGGATGCTATGTACTATAGTACCTTAGGTACTCTTCACATCAATCACACACACCAAAGATAGACTATACATTTTCAATGGCATCCTCCAAAAAAATATTGCGATTTAATAATATTATAATTTTAGAGCACTGTTTTCAATGTTTGAACCAGTCTCTGAGTCATCATTTATATCTATGTCTTCCGTCGCTCAAGACATTACCCATCACCCATAGATCTATGATGCTAACATGGCTGATTTATTTATCTCCAGTGTTATGAAGGGCATTAGGCACAGCCCGTTCAATGCTCTCCGGCACCTTCTCCTGTAACTTCTTGGGGAGTATTGATTCCTCTCCTCCGCCCATTGCGTGAGTCTTGTTGGTAGATTCGCCTGGGTTTTTTCCCGTGGGATGAACCTTGAGACATAATTAGCATAGAGTACAGAGTACAGATGTGAGTAAGGAGAAGATATTCTTCTCAAGCTTGATTCGACTCACGCTGTCGGGCAAGGTCTCTTCTAGCCCCTTGGGTGCCTTCTCCTGGACTTTTCCGGGCACCTTGGAGGGGCCGGTAGCGTGCGACATGTCCGAGCTCGACATTCTTGCTGGAGTGATAGAGAAAAATCTGGTTCTATATGCCGACTGCTTTAACCCGAAGTACGTACGTGATCGAAGTGATTGCAACGACATTGATTATTGGAGGTCTGAAGATGATATCTCGGGAGTGATGTTTGCCTTACTTATATTCTGTTGCTAAACAGATGTGAAAAGGAGAGTTTGAGAGTTTACTTCCATGATGAATCACCAGTATTAATACCCTTGAGTGTGTGATGGTTATATTACTACATGTCTGCTGCTACGATGAGCTCCGATGACGGGCTAGAGTCATGGACGTAATACTACGAACATCCGAGGAATGTATACACCTAGATTTGAGTGGCGAACTTAAATTTATCCAAGTCTTAATTCCGTCCATGTGAGCTTTTTATAGTGTAACAAGTCTCAAGCCCATAGCCTTCATGATAAAGTCCTGCATTCATGTACCTTGATCCTGAGACTGGAACTCTCAGGTTATACGCTAGCTACTTTCTGCACGTCATAGAAGTGCCACAGTATGGGATTTCGTTGATTTACTAATATACTACGTAAGTGGCTTATATACCTGTCATATAGGGGTATGAAATAAGTTTAATAGACCTTTTTATACACTGGCATTTTACCAAAAAAGCGGCAATACCGGGTATTAATAAACTGAGTCTGTATGTCTTATATACGAAGTTCTCTTACGGTCCCTCATGATTCTAGTTACGACCGTCTAACCACAAAGACAAGTTGGCATGCCTATCCGGAGCTCCTAGTTCAATGTGTAAGAATCTTTCAGGAGACGAAGTAGGGAGGCACAGCCAGAGAAATATACGAAGATGTTATCAGTTACGTGGTTTTTTGAGTCAACTAGTGTACCGAAGCGAATAGCGCTTGTTTCGTCAGCTCGTGATACCAACCTTTTACTATATATATCCGCTGTGTGTATAATTTCACGGTGCACTAGACCAGATGATGAACCGAATCTTCTCGACGCAAGCTATTAAGATAATCTAGCCGTGCTGGAACCAAAGTCAAGGCTTATATCATGCTATGTGGTTCTATCACTCGAAGTCTATTTCATCTATTTTACTTCTTCACTCCGGTTTCCAGGCTAAAGTCTCTAAGAGCAGGCTGTTCTAAAGAGGGTTACCATATTATTTATACACTAGGATAATAAAGGAGGTTTTACTGCTAAAAGCTACTACCGACTGCCATCTAAAGCCATTCAAGGAATTCAAGTAAGTCCCTTATATCAAAACACAGCTTGATGGCAAACGGTATCTTAGCCGCAATCCAGATCAAATCAAGCAAGCACTTTGGAGCTTCTTTGTTTGGATTCGATATACATGCTTGCCTAAATAAAGACGCGAAAGGATGCAGATGGATCAACTCATCTGGATGACCTATACGGAGCCCTTTACGGCCCTCTCAAAGTACTCGGCATGAATCAGGGGCGGTGCCTACGACAGAACTGTAGGTATAAAGGTGTGAATATAGGTGTATATAGGGATGTTTCAGTAGGAAGTAGCACCAAGGATACCGAAGAAGCATAAGCGTACCTTGGGTAGTCTTTGAAGTTACCTTTCGTTGACAGAACGCTTAGTGATATTGATAGTTGGTATATAATACCCATCTACCCATCCCCAACGAATACGAATATCTATTTCTGATTCAAGGATCGTTCACTCGCAATTATATAAATGCTCCACAAGCACCTGGGCACCTTCTTGTGTATGAAAAGGGCACCTACCTAGCCTACCTATCTAGGCAATCACCCCTGAGTTGCCAGTGCCATGCAGTTTCTCTAGAGCTTCAAGTCAGTCGCATATGCAACTGCCTTGTACCAGTTCTCGATTCTTACTTAAAACAGCCCTAGTTTCTTTCCTTCCAAGCTTTTTAGAATTTATTTCTACCTTAGGCATCCTTTTTATTCACTTGCCTTGGTGCTTAACTTCTTCCCAATCTGCTAGCTTGCCTTAGGTGCCCACCTACCTAACCTTACCTGTCTTTTTCCTTGGCCGCTTCAGCATCGTCACCATCGGAAGTCTTCAACCCTTTGCAACAACACATCGTGGGGTGAACAAGATCATCGCAACCTTATCTACCTAAGGTTACTTGCCTCATTCCAGTTCTGCTAAACTTTCATGGGCACTTAAGGTAAGTCATGATTATATTTTGTTGGTTTATTGTGAGGCGTGTATGGCTTGTTTTCTACGAATTTGAAATGTTTGCACATGTCGCACTTTGCTGCTGTCCCCTAACACCCATCCTGCATCCTCCCACACTTCTCATATTCCATCTCAACTCTCCTTCCTTATCATCTTGTTCCCTAAAATTTCACTAAGGTTTTCCCTAAGATTTTCTCTGCCTTATCACCATCCACGAGAGAGCGCCTACACCTACTATCACGCGTATAACACTCTCACTAGTGGATGTCACCAAGGCAGAGAAATCTCTTTCCCTTCGATTTGCATCGCCGTCATAGCGTATACTCATCTATCTGTAATTGTGCTGTCATATTGAGTCAATTACCTAGGTATCTAGAGGTAACTATCATTTGATGATACTTTTCCAAGACAAGGTTGAATGCATGTCTTGCACAGTCATGTTCTCTCTTTTCTTTAGTTGATCGCTGACTCTATACCTACACACTGCAAACACACAACCTTCTGAAAAAAAAAGCCCTTTATTCTCCTGCTATTCTACTTCATATCTACCTAATTTCACCTGTGTTTTTTCTTTTACTTTTTTCTATCTATTCATGGCCACTCTAACAATGAGCATAGAAACTTCCTTGACAAAGTCAAAATGTCTGACTGGGACGACGGCGCTGCCCGTGGTTTCGACTCTGCTGGCCCTCAGGATGGAAGAGGCAGGGTCTGCTTCAACTGCGGCCAAGAAGGGCAAGTAGTAAATTTATCGTGCTGAATATATGTATCTAAGCTAACACAGATCATAGCCACAGCAAGGCTGATTGTACCAATCCACGAGTCTTGAAGTGTCGCCACTGCGATGAGGAGGGCCATATGATCCGCGACTGTCCCACTGCTCCTCCCCAGGAGTTCACTGGAGAATGCCGGTACTGCAAGAAGAGCGGCCATATGGCCAAGGATTGCATGGAAAAACCGCCCCTGACATGTAAAAACTGCCAGGAGGAAGGTAAGAGAAGACCAAATAGCACTATTTTTTTAAAGGAAAATCCAGGCAAACTAAGAGTGTACTTCCACTAGGTCACGTAGCAGCCGACTGCAAGAATCCCCGAAAGATTGACCGCTCGTCAGTTGGGGAAATACCCGCTGAAGAGGCCTGGATGAAGATTATCGAAGGAGCCAAAGAGAAGGATCTTGATATAGTCAAGGAGGGCATTCAGGAGTATCTGAATTCTACACCGGGTATTACCTACGTCAACCTCGAGCAGGCGTTCCGTTCTCAACAAATTGACTTGCACCTGATTGCCCTCGAGAATCCATCGCTGCTGGCAACGCATACTCATATGGATCTCCAAGGAAACCTGGACAAGAAGTACCGTGTTCATTATCGCTGGAGCGATAAGCCATACCGTCCCCGAGAGGCTCAGCAGTGGCCTCAGTCGGGTGCGGAAAACCTGGAGCGTCTTAAGGATGCTGGTGAAACGGTAGAGCGAGGCTTACCCAAGTGTAGCAACTGCAACGAGCTCGGCCATATATCCAAGCGATGCCCGCAGGAGAAGATCGAGAAAGAGCGTCTTGTCATCAAGTGTTACAACTGTGACCAACCGGGTCATCGTATTCGTGACTGTAAGTGCAATCAAGTGTATTCCTGGGTCTGTCGCTTTCTAACACAAATAAGGCCCGGAACCCCGCAAGAACAAATACGGCTGTAGAAATTGCGGGTATGTATATACGTATCCCGATCTTATTCCTCTCCTATTGCTAACTACGCACCTTACTATAGCCAAAGTGGTCACATGGCATCAGACTGTAGGTAACTCCATTGCGAACTCTTTTTTTTAACCTTCTATTGACGTTTATATAGGCACTGAACCTCGCAAAGCCGGAGACGACGTCGAATGTCGCAAGTGTGGCGGAAGTGAGTGGCATATCATGGTCTTAGGTACTTACTCATGGGCAATTACTAACTTGACGCTTCAGCTGGCCACTTTGCTAAGGATTGCCCTCAGGCGGCAGAAGGCGGCGGTCGTAGTCGCGTGTGTTTCAACTGTGGCGAAGAAGGCCACAACTCTCGGGACTGTCCTAATCCCAAGAAAACTCAGTGTCGCAACTGTGACGAGTTTGGACATATGTCCAAGGAATGCCCTAAGCCACGCGATTGTGAGTGAAGTTGGGATGTCTGGTTATGTTCTATACAAGTACACAGCTAACATCCTAAAAGACAGCCGTGTCAAATGCAGCCAGTGTGGCGAGATGGGTCACACCAAAGTTCGATGCAAGGCAGAACCCGCTCCTGTTGACGAACCCACCTTTGATACACCCGAGGGCAACGGTGGCGGCGGCTTTGGCGATAGCCTTAGTCACCAGAATGGAGACAGCTTCACGCCGGCATCTGTCGCAGCCACAGCGGCCCCCGAACCCGAACCGCAGGCGGAGACGGATGCTAACGATAACTGGGGTACTAACGACAACGTCGACTGGTGAATGCTATACGTCGATATAAGCTCTTTGAGTTTCGGAATCTTGTCTTCTTTAACGCTTAAGTTTGCGTTTAATAATTTGCGAATGTTCGTTGACAATGAGTGCGAAGGTCGGTTTCGCATGATGGCTAATTAGCAGCCATGCATAATAATTACGAATGAGTTTGACACAGGAATGATTCGCGAGTTTCGGTATTCAGTTAGGTCCATCCATAATAAGTGGTATTTGAGCTGCATAACAGTCTCTTGCACAATGAATGGGACAATTCGTCTTATAGGTAATGGGAACCTTAGGTACCTGATTAATACATTCCATTAGGTACCCGTTATGAGTTCTTTGCTGCGAAGTTCAAACGGAAGCCCCTATTTGAACAAGTCTCTACTACTAGGAAGCTAATACATAACCAATAACCTAGCAGCCTAGGTAGTTCATTAGGTAAAATAATGTAACGCATGGCGTTTCAGCCACAGCGAAGCATCCTATCACAAGCTTGGTCTTGACAGAAGTAGGGCCCTGATAGCTACATGCATTAGGCTGCCCCGCAGCTATTAGGTGTTGTACCTAACAATACAAGGTACCTAAACAGAACCCCCTCTGCCCCTCCATAAACAATGCGTCGTCAGAAGCTCCCTACTACTACTACTACTAATAATATAAAGCTCCGCGGGATCAAACCTACACTCTAATTTGCTAATATTCTCATGGAGAACATTATCTAGGAAAATCGAGTATTCTATGGGAATATTAGAAATATATATAAAAAATAGTATTAACTATCAACCGCCGCAATGTCGATAACGATCGAGAAGATCCTAGCTGCTTCTCCTGTAACAGCTCGAGGGCAGCCGACTCAGCTGTCGACCGATGCTAAGGGGGAAAGGATAGCTTACGCTGTAGGTACCCCGGGTCTCAGTTTCGAATTCACGAAATGGTATTTAGATCTATCTAACCTTATATAATAAGTCCGGGAAATCAATATTCGTTCGATCCATCGACGACCCTTCCGTCAGTAAACAATACACCGGTCACACAGCGCAAACGACGGTTGCCAAGTTTTCGCCAAGTGGATTCTACGTTGCCAGCGGTGACACTTCTGGCTCTGTTCGGGTCTGGGATTCTATAGAGGCTGAGAATACTAAAGGTAATAATAATACGCTGCTAAGTTAGCAGTGTGCTGATAATACCTGTTATGATGCATTTTCAACTAACATGACGGTCCAACCTAGGCGAATATCACATCATCTCGGGTCGCATCAATGATATAGCATGGGACGGCGATTCGCAGCGCATTATCGCTGTCGGCGACGGGCGTGAGCGGTTCGGACACTGCATCACAGCGGACAGCGGTAACAGCGTGGGCGAGGTATCTGGACATTCTAAGGTCATCAACTCAGTCTCCATAAGGCAGATGAGGCCGCTAAGAGCTGCCACTGTGAGCGATGATATGGCCATGTGCTTCTTACATGGTGCCCCGTTCAAATTCGACTCAAAGGCTGCTGGCCTTCATAAGGGTTTCGTATTGGGCACCGCCTTCTCGCCGGACGGAAACACCCTTGTTACGGTGGGTGCAGATAAGCGAATTCAGCTTTACGATGGAAAGACTGGAGAACCCACAAAGTCTATCGGCGAAAACGAGCATACGGGGAGCATCTTCGCGGTTAGTTGGTCCAAAGATTCAAAGAGCTTTGTCACAGCTAGTGCCGACCAAACCGTCAAATTATGGGATGTGGAGGCAGGCACCGTCACACAGACGTGGAAATTCGGAGACGGTGTCAGCGTCCCAGACCAACAGGTCGGTGTGGTATGGCCTCATGGCCGCAGCGATGGTCTGATTATCAGTCTTAGCCTTGGTGGGGATCTAAACTATCTAGTAGAAGGTAACCCCAAACCGATCAGAGTTGTTCAGGGACATAATAAGAGCATCACAGCTCTAGGAGTTGGCTCGGATGGCAAAGGCGAAACTCTATGGACCGGAAGCTTCGATGGTCGGGTCTGCAGCTGGGATCTGGGCTCCGGAGCAGCTACCGTCGTTGACGGACAGACACACACAAACCAAGTGACTCAGTTCACATCTACTACCGGACGGGCTTACAGTGTTGGATGGGACGATACTCTTCGCATAGTTGACGAGTCTGCCAACACTTTCGCCGGCGAGTCGTTGAAACTATCCGCACAGCCCAAGGGGGTTGCTTCCGCCGACGGACGGGTATATGTGGCAACCATCAGCGGTGTCGAGATCTACGTTAAGGACCAACTGGCAGGCAAGCTAGACATAACCGAAGCCCAACCAACGGCCATCGCCGCCCAAGGGTCACTGGTAGCAGTAGGCCTGAGCAACAACGTGGTGCGCCTGTACAAGGCGGAGTCGGGCGACAAGCTCACGCAGGTGCACGAGGTGAAGAACTCGACGGCGCAGATCTCGGCCTTGGCGTTCTCCAAGGACGGCTCGCTGCTAGCCGCGGGCAACTCGGCGGGCAAGATCTACGCGTACCGGACGTCGGGTCTCGAGCTAGCGACGGACAGGTGGTCGGCGCACACGGGGCGGGTGACGAGCATCGCGTGGAACGAGGCGGGCACGCACGCGGCCAGCGGCGCGCTGGACACCCACGTGTTCGTCTGGAGCCTCGCGAAGCCCGGCTCGCGCGTCAAGGCGTCCAACGCGCACAAGGACGGGGTTAACGGCGTCGCGTGGGTCCGCGGCGGGACGAAGGTCGCGAGTACGGGAGGAGACGCGGCGATTAAGATTTGGGATGTGGAGGGGCTGCAATGAAGTGGAAGTGAGGGGAGATGAGAGGTGGGAAGCGAAACAAAGCACGGATGACTTTACGAAGTTATTGATCATGACAAATGGTAAATGATGACGATTGAGGGGGGTTGAGTACGTTAGGTTAGGTCAGGTAGAGATTTGAACTAAGCTCGGAATTGTTCGGCTACCTAGGTACCTAGGCAGGTAGATAGCTCTATCAAAGACTATATACTTCCCGTAGATGGAATTCCCTTTGGAGCGTACTAATATGGCTTTCGAGTACGACGGGAATCTAATCGTTGAAGCGTATTTGTCTTGTTAAGGAAAACTTGTTAAAGTGTATAATGCTGATAGCATTCCGTACATGCAGGTTATATGCTAGTAGTCATGAGAACTAGTCTGTAGTTATACATGTATCGAATTGCCTAACGGAACTAAACCAGTCGCGATTGGGGTATCTCCTTTTTCATTTCAATGTTCCTAATAAACGCCAAACTCAATAGTTACCAAGACCCTATTTAAGGTCGGAGTAGATAGGTACCTAAGGTACCTTACTTTCCCTATGACGGACGAAATCTGAAGCTACAGGATCAAAACTAAGGCATCAAGGCTCTAATGACGTCCCAGAGACCGCCGGGCCACTCCGACTCCGGGTCGGGATCCGGGGGCCACTGGTTCTTGGGAGCCGTGAGGATATCTTGGCTGAGGATGTTAACTAGCGAGCTTTTTGTTTTTGGTTCTGTTAGCACGTACAGTAGGGTATCAAATAGATAGATGAATGGAGGATGGATGGATGGATAGATATAAGAGAAAGTTTCGCATAGCTAGCTGTATATAGAAAAAAGAAAAAAGACTTACCCGACTTCACCTCGGATCAGGTGTCCTTGCCTCGCCATCTCATCGGCAATCTCGGATTGGTGATTGTCCATGAGCGTCGGGTTCGGCACTGCGATTAGAGCCGAGTCGAAGTCCAGCGCTTCTAGGATACTTCCGGAGCCTATGGGGGGATTATCAGCTTGGAACTAGGTAGTCAGGTTGAAAATAGGACTTAGGAAGCTGTTTCGGATTGGATTAGTTTATAACAAATATGGCAAACCTACCCGCATGAGTAATAATCAAGCCGCGATCCCTCAGGGGCGCGGTAGGACCGTCGTTAGCAGCAGTAAGCTCCATGAACGAACGAATATCATCATGGAAGGGAAAGCCCGCGACCTGCAAGTCGTTGGGGTCGTTGGGGTTCTCCTTGGGCTTGGCGTCTAGGAAATAATCGTAGTCCGGCCCGCACTGGACGTTCAGGTGGGTGAAGCCGAGGGACCGGAGCTTGGCGAGGAAAGGTTCCGAGAGCACCTCCTCGATCAGCAGCTTGAAGCTGGCGCTCGCGCCGATGGTGACAAAGGCGTACTTGCTGCGCCTGGCGTGGGGCGCGGACTGGGACGCCATGGCTTTCTTGTGGCGTTGGTGTGGTGCTGTGAATGGGCACCTATGTGGATATTAATTAATTCACGCCCGTTATTTCCTTTTGATAACGCTAGCGTAAGAAATAAAGGCATGGATAGAAAATGTCATATAATCAGAAGAGGTAGAGAATACCTTTAAAAATAGCACCTTATTGAAAGGCGCGAGTGCTAAAGTGTAAAAGAATGGGAATGTTGAAACGTGGACAGAAAATGATTGGTTGCGGAGCAGACTTCGTTACCAGATTAGGTGCCTGTTTTATGTGGCGTTACTGTGGAAGTGTGGCAGCAACAACAACAACTGTGGCGGAATAACTCAGGAAGAGATGACCCCTATTTCACTTCACAGCTCTCTTTGGGGGTTACATGTTCACGTTACACAAGCCATCATAAGCCTTCCAATCGCAAGAAAGCAACCCCTAACTACCCCTCACAACCAGGTAAATCTACTTCCCGAAAGAGAAAAAGAAGTCAGTTCTAATTTCTTGGCAATTCGGAGGGTATTGTTAGAGAGGAAAGAGAAAGATAACGAATGAAATGTAGAGGATGGTAAGAAAAAAACGACATTACATCCAAATAGGTTACTTCGGCAGGTTGGTTCGCCAATACATGGTTGTTATACGATATGCAGTTAGGACCAGGAAGCTTACTGAAGTCAGTAAGGAATAACCGTGCTCTCCTTCTTATTTATGATACCATGTTGTTCTCCTTGTTTCTACCAACTACTAGATACCTAGGTAGCTTTTACAAACTGACAAGTACAACATGATTAAGGCAGGACTGATTAGAACTCAGCTACGAACGGTGGCACTGACCTCCATTGCTATCCTTCTCAGAGCAGTATGGATGGCAAGGCCGTCGTCGTTTTTGTTTCCCCAACAGCAGCACGAGCGCCCTTGTCGTTGCTTTCCTGGTGATAATTGCTGGCCTTCCTTAGACGAATGGGCCGACTTCAATAAAACCATTGGGGGTAAACTAATATCTACGATCCCGGTTGCCAGCCCCTGCCATGATGACTTCCCCGGCGTTGACTACGATCCGGATAAATGTGCTCAAGTGAAAGGAAACTGGGAACGCCCAGAGTTTCATATAGAGACCACGCATTCGCCAATGGCCGCTTACTTCGCAAATCTAAGCTGCGATCCCTTCACGCCTCGCGATGCGCAGTGCATTGTAGGCGCTTATGTCCCCTATGTCGTTAATGCTTCGGACGCCGACGACTACCGCAAAACAATCGCTTTTGCGAAGGAGCGTAACATTAGGCTAGTCATTCGAAATACAGGGCACGACTATATGGGGAAGTCTACCGGAGCTGGTGCGTTGGCTATCTGGACACACAACATCAAAGGGAGATCGATTATAGACTACGCCTCGACGGGCTATACGGGGAAAGCAATGAAAACCGGGGCTGGCGTACTGGCTTCCGAAGCTATCGACACGGCTAAAGCTGAAGGCCTGGTTGTCGTCGGTGGTGACTGTCCGAGTGTAGGGATCGCGGGCGGTTATACCCAGGGGGAGGAACTAGCCCTCTAGGAACCAAATTTGGTCTCGCGGCTGACCAGGTGCTGGAATGGGAGGTTGTCACCGGAAAGGGGGAACTACTTACGGCAACGCCTACTGAGAACCAAGACCTTTACTGGGCTTTATCTGGAGGCGGTGGTGGTACATACGGCGTCGTCCTTTCTATGACTGTCATGTTGCATCAGGATGGACCGACTGCCGGTGCGATTCTTTCTTTCACCGAGCCCTCAGACAAGTTTTGGGATATCGTACAGGTGTTTCTGATGAACTTACCAGCTGTTTTGGATGCAGGTGCTACTTTGTATGCCTGGTATTTCCCAGGAAACAAATTCCTGATGCCACAATCCTACTTACTCGGTGGTACTTCGCAAGATCTTCAACTCCTCCTGCAACCGACTCTTAAGGCGCTCGATGAAAGTGGAATTCCTTATAGTCAGTATTTCCGAATCGCTTCTTTGCATCCCCCCTGCCAGTTCCCTTGATTCTTCTATCGGAATAACCTAACGTTCTGTTGGTAGCCTGGGAGGGCCATGACTACCCGACCTTCCAAGACTCTTTTTATGCTCAAAACCCCAAGCAAGACGTTGCGGAGATAAACCTTGGCGGCCGTCTTATTCCTCGTTCTCTTGTGAAATCTAGCGACTCAGCCGCTTCTCTTGCTGATGCTATCAAGTCAGTTTTGGATAACGGTGGGGGTATGGCTACTGTGTGTTCGGACACAAGCCGTCCACCAACCTTTCCAAACTCGGCTCATCCAGCTTGGCGCGAGACACTATTCTTGGTGTTTCTTTACACGTGCGTGCCTATGAATAAAAGCTGGAAACTATTCGAGTATTCGAAATTTGCTGACAAGAGTAGAATTTACGATCGATACAATATGACGACGAATATACTCAACAAGCAAAAGGTCACCGACGTGTTGGACCCAGCTTTCGAAAAGCTGACACCGGGAGGAGCTGTATACCTAAACGAAGCCGATATCAACCATCCCGACTGGCCGGACGCTTTCTACGGCCCAAACTATGCCACGCTGGCGGCTATTAAAAAGCTACACGACCCGGACGATATTTTCTGGGGGCCGACTGCGGTGGGAAGCGAGTCGTGGGAAGTTGCTGCGGACGGACGGCTCTGCAAGATTAGTTCGTAGATGATATCTTGGACTTATAACCGCAACTTTTGCGTATGTCTTTCCAAGTTCAGACTCATAAAGTAGTATATGAACTAATCGATAGGGCAAGGTATTAAAAGAAGCCTGAATGAAAGAGACACACATTAGATAATAATCCAACTTTCTGATGTAATTGCTAGAAATTAAAAAGTTATGAAGGGTTACGAAGAGTTGTACAATAATACAGCCCTGTGCCTGTATATGCAGCCCGCAATACGTACCCCTAGGTAGGTAGGTACTGCCCAGGGTACTAGTTCGCTCGTGCATGGGGTTTGAAAACCTAGGAGCCAATCAGAGGCAGCGCTTAGGTTAAATTCGAGATCCGCCCCGAATTTTTATCTTTTGCGCATGCAACCGATTATTGAATAAATCGATTACAACTCAATTGATCCGTAGCGTAGAAAGAATTGAAGAATTCCCTCTCCCGGACTCGACCCTCGACCCTCGACCCTCGCATTAAGAGCGGATGCTGGGACATTAGCCATTAATCGCCATGGCTTCTGGAGTACAGTCGGTGCGATTGTGCCTACGGGCTTTTCGACAACCTCCAACCCGAAAAGTTGCCCCGCGAATCCCAAGAATATACGTTCCTACCCGCGCCTTGTCCTCAACACCCATACGATCCCGTCGCGAGGCTAAGAAGAAAGAGGAAGATCCCGAGGAAGACGAAGAAGATGACGGTAGTGTAGATATTGCTGAAATGGAGAGATCTCTTCGCGCTGTGCTGAGAGATCCCGACTTCGAAGCCGCAACCCGAATCCAGGAACAAATGTCAAATACCGCCAACAACGCCGTCAGCAATATAAACTTCGTACCTAAACTCAGAAAATCCTTCTGGCACGACGAGGAGGAAGATACCGATTTGATAACCGACGAGCAAAATGAGGACGTATTTGAGGAGGACGACATTATGAGTTTAGCACACGGCAAGCTGGAGGAGTACCGCGAACAGCGAGAATATGCCCGCGTTGCTGCTTGGGAGATGCCTCTTCTGTCTAGTGGGTGGTTCTAATATTTCTGCCCAGCTCGAAAGTGATAGGTATATTAACGCTTGAGATTAGAGCTGGCACGGCCTTTCGAACCGCCTACAGCTGAGCAACCCTTGCGATTCCGATACACGTCTTATATGGGTGAATTCCACCCCGCAGAGAATAAGGTCGTTGTAGAATTCTCGCCCAAAGATATGCCGCTGGATGAGGCCCAACAGCTCAAGCTGAAGAAGTTACTGGGTCCCCGCTACAATCCGGAAACGGATATAGCTAAGATGAGCTGCGAACAGTTCGAACACCAAGCGCAGAATAAGCGATATCTTGGTGACCTAGTGGAGAGCTTAATAGCGCGAGCGAAGGTATATATTTCCACCCTATCGTACTTAATCTACACAAATACTAGACCTTTACTTACCCTACCCTTCAAGGATCCTTCCGACATGTTCGAAGATATTCCTCTCGACACAAGACATCATCCCATTAAGGTTAAGCCCAAGTTCCCCAAGGAATGGAGGATAACCGAGGAGCGCATGAAGTTCCTCGAAGAGACGAGGCAGAAGTCGCTGCTACTCGACCAGATGAAAGAGGAAGCCGGCGCCTTGGTCGACGGCAAACAGAAGATCTCGCGGTTCTTCAACGGCCCCGAAGCCGAGGAGAAAGTCCCCCAGTTTATCCAGGAGCAACAGCTAAGTCAGCCCTCGCTGCTGGGTAGACTGGGTAGACGGGTCTGATATGTATAATCCCCCCATGTAAATAAAGACCGGCTCTAGGGAGCTCGCTGTATGAATGTAAAAAAAAATATTAAAAAAATACAAGCACTGCGAACTAGGATGTTGCTGAGCGGAGTTAATCTTCTCTCAGAATAATAAATAACTAGCACCGATGTACAATGTTAATGAGTTCAATTCGTTAGGTAAGAGCAAAAAGGAATTGCAGTTACCTATCTTACAAGCGTGTCTGCTTCAGGGGTACACATCTTTTGTACGAGAGACGTCCACCTCGCTATCTAGACCTAAACATTCCGGCAAGGTAACATCTGATGGCAGGTTTACAGGAATTTCAAGGCTATAAAGTAAATAAATCGTTCTTCCCAATTATATATATAGGATAGCTAGTAGGTGTGTTTTAATAGCTTTCTCGATAAGTACCCCATGCTTAATGGCTTGCTATATGGTTATCTTGGACTGTTCCCGTTTGTCAGATCTACCAGATTAGTCATATCGCATTCTTCCTATTGTAAAGTACCAGACAACAGACTTCCATTTCTGGTAGCAGATGTGGTGACAGGTACGTTGTAATTTGCACATGGACTGACAGTTAGAAATAAGGTCTAGGACCAGGGGTCGTGATCGCTTAACTTAGTTATCTGACAGCTCCACGGAATGCGTGAGAAAGCTTGCCAAGACGGCATTCGGCAACCGTGCGGATGTCAAGACAAGCCTGCGGCTAGGCATGAGTCCCGCGCGGAAAACCGGCTGAGAACAGCGCGCTGCGATGATACCTTGCTTTTTTTTTTTTTTTTTTTTTTTTTTTTCCTGCAGCCAATAGTAAGTATCCTGGCCCTGTTGACGGAGTTGTCGCCACATAATCAAATGATGTATGTGGTCTTCTCTGTACGACAGATTCACATTGTATGAAAAAAGGTGGCGGTAGCGCGCTCGACTCGCGTGGTTTTTAAGCCTTGGTACCAGATCACATCATGTTGAGGATCGCGGTTATTACAGGTTTCAGCAGGTCCAAGATGGCGGTGTCCAAAAAAAAAAAATAAAAAAAAATCGTGGAACATGTGTGTGTTGACGATTTTTTTGCTTTGTCCGATCATGCGCCACAACTTTCATAACATACCTTGAAAAGGTTTGGTCGAGAAGAGAAGAGAAGAGAGCAGGGATTACCTACAGCCACGCGTTCGACGAACTTGGCGTTAAGGTCTACTTAGGGATAGAAAAAACTTGTACAAAATGATCTTTATGAGGTAATTATTAGGTAAACTCATACGGGAAGTTTCAAATACGTATTTCCCCAATCTCAAAATCGGAAAACCACGATTATTGTAAGAAAGAGATACGTCTATTTTCGTATATGTTAACAGTACAATACCTATTTTTCTTGAATTAGTCGATGTGGTGTAGGGACGATGTTATGTTATGCGCTAGGCATCTTAGAAATTGGGAAGATCAAGTGCGTCAAGCCACAATCATAATACAGATAATGCTAATGTAATGAATGTAATGTTCCATCCATCAATGATCACTGCCGAGTTACGCCACAAAACCTGACGTCACCTTGGTCAAGGCTATCCTCTGGCTCGTGACGACGGATTAGTACATGGTAGGTCACGAGCAATTAGGTAGCGTGTGTACAACAAGCTTGGGTAGGCGGATAAAATGTCAAGCTGGAAAGTATATGTATATTCAGCTTATCATAATGCATACACTACCTGTATAGAAACGTGGCAGATATGCATCGAGAATTGATATATTAAAGATAGGTATTGGATTTCAAAGATTTATTAAATCAATAATTTATGAGGTACATAGGTACGTTACCAATCGAAACGGTCAGACGAATACAAATATCAACGATTTCACCTCAGTGAAGGAAACTACTGGATGTATCTCTAAGTTCTAACCACATAAAGTGGGCACAGCGGGAGAGTCGCGAGTTACAAAGGGTACGTACCTAGACGTACCTTCCCGTTACCTACACTAGCATAGGTACTAGTAGAATGTTTGTTCGGGTCCAGAATGTATGACGCAGCAGTTCAAAGCAAATTGGGTTCTTGTTTCGTTGGATATGCATCATAGTTTCCGGGGGCCTGAGGCCAAGGAATACAAGGAACGGCATCTCTTTCCCGTTCACAAAGGACAACCCAAGCCAGACCAGGCCCAAGACCAACCCATTAGTGTACAAAAATCCGTACATATTTTCTGCATTGGATCAGTACCTTGCCGTAGTGACTCAATACCATTCCCAATTCATTAACAAGCCTTGGAGGAACTTTGTGCAGTACTAGTATCACTTATTTAAACTGTATCCCCCCTCGGTCATCTCCATAACTCTTTCTCGTTTTACATACATATTTCTAAAGTCCAGACCAAGTCTAAGACCAAAACTAAAAAAACCCAATCCAAATCCAAATCTGAGTTAAACGAAGCATAAAGCTATCGAAACTTCATATACTACCAAAAAATACCAATCTAAATTCGTCCAAACCAACCGAAATCTCACATAATGCCTTTCACCGCAAGGTAAGAAGAAGCAATTCACCCAACCGGCATCTCATAATTCGGTGCAATAAGACCTACCTACTAACCTGGCTTGCTTTTCCATAGTGATATCTGCAAGATCCTTCTTGCCATCCTCCTACCGCCTCTAGGCGTCTTCTTAGAGCGAGGATGTGGTGCCGACTTCTGCATTAACGTCCTGCTCACCATTCTCGGTTACATCCCGGGTATTCTGCACGCGCTGTAAGTTTCCCGACCTTTTTTTTTTTTTTTTTTTTTTTTTTTTTTTTTTGGCTTTGCGGAAAGAGACCAGCAAGGCAAGATCAGACGATTATTAAGACAACTAAACCTAACATGTGCTTCCCCTTGCAGGTATATTATTCTGAAATATTAAAAGACCGCTCGAGTAAACATATTCCACCACGGCTTTGCTTTATTTTTCAGTGATGCAGCAGCAGCAACAACAACAACAGCAGCGAACAGCATAGCAAGCAAGAAGATTCCACCCATAGAAACGGCGCCTGAAAGGTTGGACCAATCATGCAGTAGCGTAGGGGTTCATGATTTCCCGGCGGCGTTTGCGTGGATCCAGGTCTATGGCTCTTCTTTTCCCATTTCTTTGAAAGCCAATGGTGGGGGCGCAATGGCATGACAATTGGGGGGAAATCTTGGCTTTGATCGACGTCACTCGATTTCTTTTCCATGCGGCCATGTTTCAACCTCTCAGCCCGATTCATTATTTCCGATGGCGCGATTGTATCTGTTTCCTTACTCTATTCTTAATCAAAGCCGCGATGATTCACTGGAAGGAAGGCTGGAAGGGAGTTAGGCTGAGGATCCGGCTCTGCTGAGCATCGATTGCTTGCGACATGTATTCATGACGATTTTTAGACTTCCTCCTAGCATTAATGATTACGAACTTCGATACCCCGATACCCCGCTGAAATATCTCTTTCTCTTTTCTCTAAAATGTCGATGCGGTGATGAAAAGAAGAAAAATTTTTTTCGCAGAAATCCCTCGATACGAGTTGCTTCTGGTTCCGGAACGCTTTGTATCCAGAAGAGTACCAACAATAACCGCGCGTAATGAGCATCGGGTGTTTGAATATACCCTCTCCAGAGAATAATCTATACATGCCAAAGTTATGAAAAAGCTGTGATACTATAGTAATGACATACTGATTAAATGGTTTCATGTGACAATGAACCTTGAAGGTTTCTATAAAAAACACTATAAGATACATATGTTCAATCAAGCGACGTCATTTATCACGCTCGACCTATCTTAAACGATAAGACCTAAGACCGCTGTAAGTGAAATTCTCTGTTCGTTCAAAAGCGTAGGTCGGGTAGATCTGTCACTTACATCGTTTTTGCCCGCGGACACGATAGCATCTTCTGATACTCGCACGCCTCCCACACCTTCTATATAGGCAATTGGCGCGTCGCCCATAACTTTTCTCGCGACTTCACCAACTGTCGAGTTCTTCTTCACGAGGACGCAATCTCGGAACACGGCTTTCGTGTCCGAACCGGAGCCAAAAGTCGAGACATTTCGTACCGGGAAGACGGGGACGAGGCCCAGTATTTCCGCCGCCTTCGAAAGAACCTGGACGACGCCAGTGGAGCCATATCGGAATAAAATCAAATCTCTATACTCCTCAATAATGCTCTTATTCTTATCATCCAACTCCTTTAGACCCCCTCCGTCCGGGTCGCCGTCGGCTATTAGGTCTTCGCGTGTATCTACGAACTCCGTCCCCTCTGTATACCTTATGTAGCCTTGTTTGGCCATCTTTCGTAGGAACAGCTCGGCTTTGGCGGAACAAGCAACCACCGTATTGGGATCCTGCACCTTAGTGATCTTCATGAGGTTCTTATAGGCATCAGGGTCGTCAATTTTGTTTAAGGCGATTACTGTAGGGAACTTCTCGTCGGTAAATGCGCTGACGACACGGTCTACTGTCTCCTCGGTCCAGTTCTCTAGCGGTTCTTTCAGGTTAAGGCGGTCTAGGGTGCGTGCTACTACTGCCGCCGTACTTCCGTAACCCGAGAACTGCCCCTGTAGGGTCTCAACAGCAGTAGCTTTAACAGCAACATGTCGCCTCTTGATAGAGCCCCATTTCTCCCACAGGTTCCCTTTAATCCAGGCGACAATCTCACCGCGCAACCAGGCGATATCCTGCGAGGGGTCATATCCTCGCGTATTCTCGCCCTCGGCATTCGTCCTTCCACTCGCATCGACAACATGGATCAGAGCATCCGCATGCCGGAGGTCGTCTAAGAACTTGTTGCCGAGACCTCTGCCCTGATGCGCGCCGGGAACAAGACCAGCTACGTCGAGAAGCTCGATCGGTACGGAACGGCGGCCTTCAACACACGATCCATAGTTAGGTTTACATTTATCCTGTACGCCAAAACGCTCGCAAGCGCATGCTATTTGGAGATAGCCTATGGCTCGTTGTGGATCGATCGTGGTAAAACTAAGAAATATGTATAATTAGCCAAAGAGCGAATGGATATTACTGCAATACATATATTTTTCCCTCGTCTTCTAAGCTGATGCATAGGTCATCACTATAACAACTATGCACAGGGGACAGGCATACGGATAGTTTCCTGTATGGTATCGCAAATATCAGCGCCCAAGTTCCGGTCGGTAATGTAAAGAATAACATGATATGTTGGATAGGTTCGACCCACCAACTTTGGATGTCGCATCGGTTAAGCTGTTTAGAGTCGTGCTCTTGCCAGCAGAAGGCTTGCCTACAAGGCCGATCAAAGGATCCCGCGGCATGTCGCACTTCTTTAGAGCTCTAGGTAGGGTGAGTTATCTACCTAGGTACTTTAGTTTAGGTACCTAGGTTTGGTGGGATGTTGGAATTGGAATTGGAATTGGAATTGGAATTGGGGTTGGAGTTGGAGTTGGAGTTTGGAGTACCTAAGGTCAAAAGATGTGGGGTGATTTGCACCCGCCGTCCCGAGTTCTCATACAAGGTAGTAAGAAAATTCAGATAAAGTTTCGGAAGGAGAGACCCGCCATAACGGCACCGTAGCTTCCCGTCGTATGCAATTTTAGGTTAGGTTAGGTACCTACCTAGGTAGGAGGTACCTAAGGTATTACATACTAACAGCTACTAGCTAACCTTAGGTACTACCAATCTTACATGATAAAACTTCAACTTCACTACAAAAAAAAAAAAAAAAAAAAAAAAAAAAAACACATCGGTTAACAATTACATTGCCTTAATTTCTTTAATTGTCTTGGTTGTTTTTATTTTCTCTATATAGTCTCATCATCAGCACCCCAATATGGAACCAGGAAACTTTCCGTTAGACGAGTTCCCTACGTGGTGCACTCAAAATGGCGTTTATCTTAACAATGTCCAAGTCGCACTTGTCGATATCGATGAGCGAGGCAACGGCCTCATAACTACGGACGAGATAGTCAGCCGGGAAGATGACTTAGAGCCTATAACCCTTATGAGAGTCCCAAGAGAGCTTATTCTTTCAAGTAAAAGTATAGATGAATTTGCTTTGGAACATAGGTATTTTCGGCAGCTTCTAGCTTTATTCGACGACGGAGTTAGTATGCCCCCTGAATACGAAGATGGTGATGTTTTATACTGAGTACGAAATAGTCAACGAGAATGAAAATGCTACTCTTTCTCCTGTATCAACTAGTGCTATCCTCTTATGACCATTATGGTGGCATCCTAAGTCCTTCGACACATTGGACACCTCCGCCACCTTCGCCACCTGGGGCACTTCCGACAGATTCGCCTCCTTGGACACCTTGGACGCAATATTTCAGTCTTTTGCCCTCATACGTACCGGCTTTTTCGTCATTCACTAAGGTAGCGCATTCTTATTTAAGAGGCACTTCGCTGGAGGTAAGCAGCCTTATATGAAACCCAATTTATTGCCTATTTGAAAATTACCTATGACTACCCAAGTATTTAAATACAAGTTGACGCATTTAGATAGTCGGCGGTAGCCGCTAAAATGAGAGCCCTAACTAGGGAGTTTGAGGATATTCAAAAACGCCTCTCCAGCATGCCGTTTTGGGGGCCTATCGTGGAAGATGCACTCGAGTTCCAAGATTGGTGTCATGTTGATGCCTTGTTTAGGTCCCGCTCACTAGAACTACCCAACTCTGGAACATCCATGGTGCCGTGCATCGATTTGGTCAACCATTCTAGTCGAGCTAATGCTTTTTATGAGCAAACTAGTGAAGGCGACATGGTCCTTTATCTCTTTAAAGGGTGTGTGCTACCTGCTGGAAGCGAAATCACTATAAACTATGGTCATGAGAAGTCAGCAGCAGAGATGCTATATAACTACGGCTTCATCGACCCAGACTCGCCAGTCAGGAGTATGACTATACTGCTAAGACCACAACAGGACGACCCCATTGGACTGATAAAGTTTCAACTTTTTAGTGAAGCTTTTAATCAATACCCAAAATTGAAATTATACGCAGAAGAGGGTGTTGTTCCGCACTGGACCGGCCCATTTCTCTATTTCCTATGCTTGAATGAAGAAGGTAAGGTTGTCTATCACTGCTTCGGCCTGCGAGATAATTATTGTTCATAACATAGTAATCCCGTCTGGGCCTTCTTCTCATTTGGCATTATATAAATACGTTAACGCTAACTATTAAACTTGCAGACGGGCTGCAGTTAATACCCCAACAGTGGCCAGATGGTTCTCAGCAATGGGAGGTCTTCTGGCAGGGTGTCAATATCACGGGACAATTAGATACGCTGAAGGACCTTATTCGAGATCACGAATCATATCAGGTATTTGAACTAAGGGTCTGTTGTGCTGTCCTGGGTTTCGTTCAACGGGAGCTCGACAATCTTCTCAGCACTCGAAATGGGTATTCTCCGTCAAGCCGGACAGAAGGAGACTTCTACAATGGCGCTTCGCGCTTGAAGTCACTTGAGGCCGATATCCTCCGGAAGTGCGTACAGGCATTCAATGAGCAGGTAAGATTAAACTTCTCAGTTCGTCTAGATAGGTGCCTAGCTACTCGGGGACGGTTTTGACTTGAGCTCAATATGTGATGGATGCAATTTTAGGGGGATCGAGTCACCATTCTATATTGGTTATGGCGCCTTGCTAACTTATCATAAGAAGCATAAACTATTCGGGGGTGACACCGTGGTAAAATAACCGACGATGGGATCCGATCAAAACGATCCTACTGCTGAAGGCGCCGGCAACGACGAGGACTTCAGTTAATGCGCGTTTCAACACTAACAACGGACTTGATATACTTACGTGGTAGGGCGAGGATATAGCTTAATTATTGCATACTTCGATAGTTCTTTGGAGATCCAGCGTTACATTATGGTGCTGACGCTTTCGACGAGTTCGCTACGCACCTACCATTAGCCAACTGTATAGCGATGAGAAGCAATTTATAAAGCGTGACTAGTGGAGGTGGAGGGCCTTTTGGGCTTGTAATTCGGACCGAGAACCCTGAGCCAGTCCCAAGCTACATGCGGTCGGTACTTCTGTTATACAAACAATCCAACCCATTATGGGGTTTGTTCCTTACATGACGAGGCCCAGCGCTCTGTACCATGATCTCCCTCGCCGATTTATCCATGACGTGGGTTCTTTTAACCGGTGGTGACTCTACTACAGCCGCACGATACTCCCCCATGTGGCATCTATCTCCATGTGGAAAAGTATATTGATTCCTTCAAGATGAATGCTTAAAACGGGCCGTATATTATAATATTGTTTGGGTGAAATTTTATTGTCTGACTCTCTCAAGCCTATCACCGCGTCCTAACCGACTTTTAGCATGTAATTCAAGTGCCATGATAGTCTCATTGATGACTAGGCTCTCCATTCGCTCATCCTAGAGCGGCTCCGGATCGACAGAATATAGGCTCTTCCGCGGGAATCATTCATATTGTATGTGGTTGTATTAGGAACTCTACCTACCTAGTTAATGGAGTTTTTGCTAGAAAAAAAAAACAAGGCCTTTGACTGACTGTGGTCTGCCGATCGCTTCATCTACGCAGCGAGGTACATACTAAGTCGCGCGTTCCAGATAACAGGGTCGATCCGACAGGCTTCAGGTTAGTTTACTAACATGTCATTATCAGATCACGGCTATCAAGTAGCAATACCAAGATGAATTGGTGAAGTTAAAAAAGCTCAAAAGAGGTATGTTACCTGACAATTCGGACGATACCATATGTTACTATATTCTAGTAAAAGGTTAGGTTAGGTAGCTTCTCGAGTATTGTCAAGTTATAGTGCTACACTCCCTCTATTTCATGAGCACCCCGGAGATGATACGAAGAGTCGCTATCTAACCGGGTTATTAACGTCCTCAGCGTCGGCTCCTGAGTACATGGGCGTCTACGTCGAGCGTTGCACTGCATATAGATAGGATATGGGAACTGGCCGGCCGACGCAGGGAGGGTTGTCTTGGCTGCGGTCACGACCATTCCGAGAGCTGCAGCGGATCGAGCAGTGCGACGAAAAGATGGCGTGGGTAGGACTTTTGGAAACGTGGTTCATGATAGGTATCCCAAGTATTGTACCTCGGTACTGGAAAGGCGCCGGCCTGTAGCTACGGGAAGATGCGGGTTCTATAGAAGATCACACCTCTAGGCTCGTCGAATAGGCCACGAGCGAAATATGTACCTAGGTAAAAACCGTATACGCACCTTTATGTCCAAATTGGTTAAATGAGGAAGTATTTCGCGTTGGTATTTTCCGCGTACCCAAATACCTAGATACAGGTAGGTAGGTATCAGGTAAGTAAGGTATGATTTTGCAACCTCCATAACATTTCAAGTCGACAGCATAGGTATTTACGATAGCATACTGAAACAGTGAATGTGATATAACTATACGCACTTATTATAATACATAGGCAGATAGGCTAAGAGCAGGTGGACCGTCATCACGTCGAAACCTGGGGTAATTCCCCCAGATGAAAGGGAACGGAGATAGCTGGCTTGCTGTGCCTCTCGAAGCTGGGGGGAGACTAAACTACGATAGTGGTACAAAGTGGTGTTATTATTGATTTATTGATTTATTTTCGCTATTTTGGTCATGGCGTGCCAAGTTCCAAGGTTCTCGAACTTATTGTATCATGGGGGTTGGTTTTTATCTAGTAACTACCGGTACCTAAACATCCCTATAGGCTACATCTCAGGCTAAGAGTTTTTTAACCCGTAGGGATTTAGGGGCTTAGGGGGATAAGAAAAGGTCCACGATCTTCTTATTAGCGTCTTTGGTCCATTCAATACCCACACCAATATTGGCATCTAGGACCTAGGTAAGCCAACCACTGTCGCAAGATTATCATTGCGTGTCTTTTGCATTATGTAAATCGTAGACTTCGTATGTAATTATGCGCGTGATGAGCCTTTTCTTGCATGGATAATGCACCGATGCCCTGATAGGTAAAGCGCATGCAGGTAACAGTGCCTAAGGTTGAGTCTTCTCAACATTTTGTTCTCGACACACACTCTTATGTAGTGCTTACCATGGGCTGGGACCGGGATCCCTACTTACCTAGGTACCCGGTACCTTATCTAGGGGGTGCCTACCCTCTAGCTTTACATAGTACGCATTTAGGTATGCACCCCGGTTCTTTTCGAGTTCGGCATCCAAAACACACTTTGTTAATGCAAATACCTGTTAGGACCAATTGCCACTTATATACTTTGTACCTGCCTCAACTAGGTACGTACCTGATAAACTTACTTGACCTCTTCTCGAAATACAAACTACCTATGTAAGCAATTCTTCTATTCGCCCTGATCCTTTCCTTCTTTACTCCTTATTCGACTAGTTCTGAAACTAAGGATTATCAAGCACAAAAAGCTGATGTAATAGGTTTTAGCTATTGGATGTCACAACACCCCCCCATTAATACTTGTACTTCCCTGTCTTCATTTCGGTACCCTTCTTACCCTTTTTACTATGTACATGTAACTTAACCCTTCTGACCTTTCCAACCCTAAAAAAATAAAATAAAAAAATAACACAGTTTTCCCCTTGTCCCCCAGATTCATTAGCGCACCGCCAATTTAGTAGCCATACCCCGCCGATTCTTTTGAAGTCCATCTGGAGTAGCTGGCATCGTAGCTTCCGTTTCTCGCCTTTTCCTCCACTAATATTCTTATCCCCACGCATTCTCGATCCTTTCTTGCTTTTTCCTACTTCCACACATCTCTCCGCCTTATTCCTCCCACCCACCGTTACCTCTATATACTACGCGCCGACCTATCCTCCCGACTTTACATCCGAGCGGCTCTCACTACGACGCGATCCCCCCTGTAACTATACGCGACTAGGCAGCAAGAAATAAGCAAATTTTCAGGATTCGGATTCCTGGTAAATTGCTGACGTACGCATTCGGCGTTAACGAGAGACCAATCACTACCACCTATATCTATGGAATTGGGGAAGCTGGGTATTGGATTTCACGCGAACACATTCGCCTGAAAGACTGAATAGATCAGATATATATCTCAAAATGCCTGGAATTCTACCTATGAAGGTGATCAAGGTGGGCACCAGCTCGCAGAGCCGCATCGCCCAAGCCTGTGATAGGTACGTAAAGCGGGAAGCCTGCGGAACACCGGGTATCCCTCTTAGATATTCCTTGCTAAGACTCTCCCAGGTGTCGAAGTAAGAAGATTCGTTGCGATGGCATCCGGCCATGCTGCTCGCAGTGTGCCAACGTCGGATTCGAATGTCGCACTAGCGACAAGCTAAGTCGCCGTGCATTTCCTCGAGGTTATACAGAATCGCTAGAAGAAAGAGTGAGACAGCTGGAATCCGAAGTGAGGGAACTGAAGGATTTGCTAGATGAGAAAGACGAAAAGATCGATATGTTATCAAAAATGCATGATCATCGCCAACCTTCTATGGGAGTCGGCGGAAGCCCGAGAGTGCCGGAACAGAGAAAGGACCCTAACCCGCCATCGAAAGAAGATACTTTCCGTGTACAGGCCTCTCCATTATTACTCGGCGTCGAGAATTCCGATTCATATTTCATGGGGCCTTCAAGCGGGCGCGGTTTTATTGGTGAGTACCTATATTATTCATATGGTGCCAGTGTGATATGTATCTGACTAGCTATATTTCTAGAATCTTTTAAGCGTAAACTCCAAGAAAACGGAAAGCCATGTTCTGACTTCAATCCTGAGGCTTTCCTTCACATCCAGGGGTGCTATGATCTGCTTGCTAAACCTCTTTCTCAGTCCATGAGAGTACCGCCTCGCCTATTTTCGGACAGATGCGTAAATGTTTATTTCCAGGAGTGGGCACCACTATTTCCTGTGCTTCACAAACCGACGTTTCTGCGGTTATACGAAGAATTTGTTGCCGATTCGGAGAAGATAAAGACTAACCATAAGATCGCGCAGCTTTACCTTGTCTTCAGTATCGCTGCCCTCTCAAGTGATAATCCAGACGCAGAGCAGATTACCGCCTGCGAAGCCCAGTGGCAAAGGGCTCTCGACGCAATCATCATGGACAACACGATGATTACACTGCAGTGCTTAGTATTGGCTCTGATGTATTGCACTATCAGAGCCGATTACAAGCGATTACAGCATTACAAAGGTGTCGCCGTTGGCCTATCTCACAGATTAGGGTTACATCAAAGTCAGAAAAGATTCTCATTCGGCGCTCTCACGATCGAGACACGAAAGAAAGTTTTCTGGACGCTGTATACCCTCGATTGGTAAGTTGTTATCGAACCAATGTCGCTTGGTGGTTGACTAATTGCCCCAGCTTTTCTGCTGCCATGCTAGGCCTTCCTAAGCTGCTGAAAGAAGACGACATCCACGCCGAGTATCCGTCAGATACCGACGATGAATACGTTACAGAAAAGGGATTTCAACCCACACTACCGGGAGAGTACACGAGATTATCAAGCGCCTTAGCATTATTCAGAGTTTCCCGCATTCTTGCCCGCGTTCTCGAAAAGATTTATCCAGCTGCCACATCTTACGAATTATCGTTACAACAAATTTCAGCACTGGATGCAGATCTCTCAGAGTGGTATGAGAATTTACCTACTCACCTCCGACTGAATTTTGTCCAAGACAAGCCGTCGACCGATATTACAGGTAGTAGATCTCCGATCCTGGTATGTTAATTTTTCTTTTCTTTTCTTTTCTTTTTTTTTTTTTGCTAGCTAATAGAGTAAAAACTGACCTTGATAGGCATTGGCATACTACTACGTAAGGGGACTTATTCATCGCCCTGCAGTGGGCTCTACCTTGGGGGTCAAAGCTGCGTCAGCTCTTATCACGGTCGGAGAGTCCAGCAAGCACATTGTGCAGATCATTGAATTGTTAGAGGAGAGAAGTATGTCTTTCTCATTCTGCCTAAATAAGACAGATGTTTTGGTTTTATGCGGGACAAGCTTGCTTTACCAAAGCTTGGACTTGAAGCACGATAGCAAGCTTATGAAAGACGTTGAACGACTGGTCAACAGCGTTCTTAAGATGTTACTAAAAACGGAAGCACCTGGCTCTTACGACTTAAAACGAGTTGCGTCGACACTTATTACTATTGATGTGCCATCCCAATCCCCGTCGATGCGAACCAGCCCCGATACACTTATGGGGGCTCCCCCACCGAGGACATCCCCAGTAATGAACGTCTCGAGGAAGAAATCACCTTATAGTGCCGGCCGACTTGCTGGCGCGACTATGAGCGAGACAGACCTGATATCTCAGCAAGAAAAATTACGCCGTATGACTATTCCCTATGCGCAAAAACCTCGAGCAGAAATTCATCGTGCACAATCACGTGGATCACTTGATATGAGTATGGAACGGGAAACGCACCGACGCGATCACCGATTGTCGATATCCCAACTCCAGCAAACGATGATGCGCATATCTCCGAGTCGCAAGCATCAGTGGTTCGCCGATGCGTCGGCCGAGACACAATCTTCACCGAATCAAACCCGAAACGCTTTACAGCAATTGGCTCATGGGCAACAACAACAACAACAACGGTCCCAGCCATACAATCCAGGCCAAGCAGTTAGCAAAGGTGGTTCGAGCGAGGTTACGTCAATGTTAGAGTGGGAAGCGTTGCTCGGCGCGATCGACGGAGGTCAGAACAATGTGTACGACGCGATATATGGAGGACCAGCCTTATCACTTACAGAGACACCGACGAGTGCGGCTGTCATGGGTGAATGGTCGCCAGAGTCATGGGACCTCTCTATTTTCAACCCTGGTGAATTAACGACCAACCCCGGACCGCCCCAGAGTGTACCCAGCCTTAGCGACGAGAGTCTTAGTTCCGGGGACGACCTCGCGTCGAGTGAGCTGTACCTCGGGACTGGAAGCGAGGACTACCAAAACGTGCTGATGCCGCCGCCGCGGGCAAATCATGACCGGATAATTTTGGACGGCGTTGAGTTGAGTTCAAGGATCTAGTTGTCTTAGGCGATAGAGGATACGGGGATGTTAAATACCGGAGACGAGGTAGCCAGCGACTATTCTGTTTATCTACGATCTGCAAGATGCTTTTCCTTGGTATGGGGCGTCGATATAGAGAAAGGTTATATTTGTGCCGTGGGATCGGTTACCAGCTGCGTAGTTGTCAGAACGACGCAAGGACAGGACAATGGTTTCTAGGTATTTGTAAGAGTTCGGAAGATAGCCATCAAACCGCTACACTACTATAAGATAGAAGGATGTCAACCCGAGGGGTTGACGTTGCTATCTCCACCTATTAAGGACTACCTCACAGAGGGTACCTTGGCGGTGGTTCAAGGTGACTAAACGCTTGAGGCGTTATATTTTTATTTTATTTTTTTATATTTGTTTTTGCGGGATCTGGGTTATCTATGGTTTGTCTATATTTGGTCTATGTTTGGTCTATATTTCTGGTCTCTGTCAATCTGCTTAACTATCTAGGTACTTAACTATCTACATACGTTTTATATTCTTTTCACGCACATTTCCAGGCTTGTTACAGCTAGCTATTGAGGTATGCATAGGGTGTGATAGAAGTGGTGTGATGGAGCCATGAGTTAAGTTGACTAAGGAGAAGCGAAAAAGAAAGGTTAAAAAGTATGCTCGCGTCTCTTGCATGTGATAACAATATTTTATTGCATAAGGCAAGCAGGTTCCGGCGTGGCTAATATGGGAAATGACAAGTAATAATGCAGGTTAGCCACGTGTCGAACAATATAATTAGAATAGGGTAGATTCAGGCTGAATGGTGACAAAAGCACCTCAAATATATTGAGGACTACCTAACCTAACATATGGTAATGTACCTAGTCAGGTGAGGTCTCGTTGTAATTGTGGCATGTACTTATTACCAACCTTGGAAGTAGGAATTCGGGTTTTAGAAAGGGGTTTGGTGAAGTTAAAAGCTAATTCCGTACGTCGGCCGAATCGGCAACCCACATAAGATCGACTAGGTACAGGTAGGTAGGTACACAAAACCGGCCACGTCTTACTATTTTTCTTAAAAGTCTTTCGAGAGTTAGATTTGAAACCACCAAGAAGATTAACTGCGTACCTACCTAAGTTACATCCTGATTTGCTATGTTGTTCCTATGATGTATAAAGTTGGATAACTAAAGTGCCTTCTGTTTATCTCTTTGCTTTCCAAGCGGACCTGTCCCTAGATACAGCGATATACATTGACAGCCAACTACATATAATAATAATAATAATAGTCTCCGAACAAGAAATGGCTAGGAAGAACGCCAAGCCGGCTGTTGAGCAGACGCCGTTATTAAATCCCAACGGCCCTATCATGAAAAACGGGACGCCGGGTAAGTTTCGTCCTAAATAAAATGAGGGTATGCCGAATCTGCGCCGAGCTCGCCAAGAAAACCCGATCCCGTAAACCCCCCATCCAAGTTCCAGTTGCTAATCGTTTCCGCGCGCCCAACGGCACAAAGCAGGAATTCCCGCGCCCCGGTCCCGCGATGCTGCTGCTGCTACTCTAGGTACTACCACCTCCGAGCCGCGGCCGCAGCTGCCGCCGCAGGCCATAGCTCATCGCGGCTACAAGGCGCTATTCCCGGAGAACACGATGCTGGCGTTCCGCGCCGCCGTCGAGGCCGGCGCGCACGCCATCGAGACCGACCTGCACCTGTCCAGGGACGGCGTCGTCGTCATCATGCACGACCACAAGCTCAAGCGCTGCTACGGCGACGACTCCAAGGTCAGCGACCACGACTGGAGCTACTTGAGCAAACTGCGCACCGTGCGCGAGCCCCGCCAGCCGATGCCCCAGCTCGTCGAGCTGCTGGAGTATCTGAACCAGCCGGAGCTGCAGCATGTTTGGATCATGCTTGATATCAAGGTAAACTACCTAACTTACTAACTACCTAAACGAACTAAATCGTCCCGGCTCTCTTATGTAGAATTTGCTAGGACCGTTGGTGCCAACGGTAAACGTAGGAGAAGAAGGAAATATGGCTGATTTACAAACTTTTGTACGTAGAGAGATGACGACCCGACGGAGATCATTCGGAGAACGGCGGAAACACTGCATTCGGTGCCGGGGATCCGGCCGTGGCATGAGAGGGTGCTTCCGTGCTGCTGGTCGGTAAGTGTACCTCCTCCTACCTCATACATATTCGCTCTCTTTCTTACCTCCTAGAGCTGCCTACCTACCTACCTACCTACCCACCCAACCTGATAATTATGCCTAGTTCGTTCCGGTGTGCTAACCGTAGACAGGCGGAATACATCAAACTATGCAAGCAGTTCCTGCCCAAGTACCAGCTCGCGCACGTCGGCTTCTCCACCACGTACGCGCGCGCCCTCGCGCGGCACGAGCCCGCCGTGTCCGTCAGCATGCTGTACCACGCGCTCGCGCTCCCCGTCTTCGGCCCACGCTTCGTCCGCGACGCCCAGCGCGCCGGGCTCCCGCTGTACTCGTGGACTGTCAACGAGCCTGACCGCATGGAGTGGTGCGTGCGCGCCGGGCTCGACGGCGTCGTCACCGACGACCCTGGGTTGTTCCTCGACGTGTCCAGGCGCCTCGCCGAGGAGGGAAAGGGAAAGGGGAAAAGTGGGAAGAAGAATGCGGCCGCGGCGGTTGGTGGGAGATCGTCTGGCGGTGTGCCGCTGTCGGTCCGGGCGTGGCGCGTGTTCGAATGGACGCTGTTCGTCGTCGGCCTTTTCATCGTTGTCAATATTTACGTCTACCGGTGGGGGTTGCCGCAGATGCAGGTGCCGAAAGTGCTGGGGAAGTAATGGATATTTCTAGCTTTGCTGGCTGGGGTTTTGTGCTTGGGGGTTGATTGGTTGGGTTTATATATTTTATGTAGGTAGAGACGGGTAATGGGTACACGCACAGAGAGAGAGAGAGATTTACTTGTTATGTACGAGGCAGGGCGCTGAGGATATACATTAGGTAGGCTAGGTTGGGTTAGGTTCGTACGCTTAGATATGAGACGAGTATAAATTCATCTCCGATCTACTTACATATCTCGTGGGGATGTATATATAGGTCGATATTCATAGACTCTGGATAGAGAACGTTGAGATGAGAATATGCGCAGAGAGTATATCAAATCGAATGAATTATATTAAAAGACACCAAGGCAGAGACGAGCGTAATAAGCTCTGAGGGTCAGTATAGATAGTATGGACTAATAAGTTGATTCGACGGAAGACCAAGTAGCCCCGTGAAAATCTACCGCCGAGCTTCTACAGGCCACACATCCAGGTGACGATGATGTCTTCGCGCCACGGGCCACGCAATATGCTGGTTACCTAGCCGTTACGTTACCACCATCCTAACCTCAAAAGAACCTCTTCCCAAAAGCCACCGTACCTCCCAACCCCTTGCCGACCAAATACCCGGCGTAAACCCCCGCGACAATGGTCACCGGCCACTTCTGCCACTCGCGATCCCAATCGAGCGGGATGGGCACGGCGCCGAGCCAAGCGCCGACGCAGGCGCCGACGAGCCCGGCGAAGGGCTCGTCGAGCGGGGCGCTCGCGCTCAGGACCTCGTGCCAGTCGGCGCCGGACACGCCGCGCGAGTAGAACAGCGGGAAGAGGGCCAGGGCGGACAGGTGCGCCGCGCCGAGGAAGGTGTGCTCGACGTGCGTGAGGAAGGGCGCGCCGAAGAGGACCAGGATGGCGTGGAGGGGGAGAGTGGAGAGGGCGGAGAGGATGAGGGCGACGAGGGTGGTCTGGAGGGATGGGTTAGTTTTATTTGTTTATCACGAGGGGGGAAGATTTAGTTTAGCTCAGTTCAGTTTAGTTTAGTTTGCAAGGAATGAGAATGAGAAAGGAAGAAGGCGAGGGATATAAGAATAAGGGAGGGAAGAGAAAGGGGAAAAAGAAAAGAACAAAAACATACGACAGCGATATTCGGCCCGCTGCTCTCCGGCCCTCCGGCCTTCTTCTTCTCCCCAGGGCGAGGCTTCCTCGCGGGCTTCGCGGCGCTAGAGCCGACGGCGGGCAGGCACACGACGGCGTACGTGACCTGGACGGCGACAACGACGGGGAGCGCGCTCGACAGGGCCGAGACCGGGTCGGCCACTAGAGTTCTGAAGCGTGCCAGGAACAAGGACACGAGCAGCGCCGGCTGCAGGTGTCTGACGACTTGGGCCTGCGAGGACGCTAGGATCTGGATGGGCTGCGTCTGGGCATCTTTGGTATCCTTATCCTTTGGTTTGGATAGCTCACCACTAGCAGCAGCAGCACCAGCCTTTGCTTTATGAGCTGGTGACGATGATGATGAGATTGAAGCTGTGTCCAGGGCAGGCATTATGAATATCTCTAGACGGGATAAGTCATTGAATAAGGGAAATTATGAAATTTGTTAGTTATCGTAGTATCGTAGTGCTATTGCCGAAAGTATTTATTCACATCCATCAAAAATTAAACGGTGCAATTGGCTTCAATTGAGTCGCGCGTTAGGTTAGGTACTAAATTAAATGCTACGTACTTCCTAACGTCTAGGTTACCTAGTGCACAGATAACGATGCTTATCGTAATTATTGCAACTATCGGGGTGGATTATATGAGGGAGACAATTTTGGAGACGAGGCAATCAAACGGTCCAACCCAGCAGATAGTCCAGAGGAAATAAGTTTACATAAGAGTCCCTTTTTAGACCGTTGGATCAGGAACTAGCCTCTGGTTGGGGGATCAAGTTTCGAAGTGACAAATCATAGATAACGTCCTCAACCTTCTTGACGTGATACTTGACGGCATCGACTCGCTTTCGAACGATGTCATTCTTTAGGTTGAGCAGCTGGAACCCGGCAAACAAGTCCTTGATGAAGCCGCTGATCCTGACGGTCAAATCGATGTCGCCCATCGTTACCGAGTTCATAGCCAGACGGCTGAGCTCTTCGGTGATATCCGTCAGGGCCAGGATGTATTCCTCGATGGTGACGTGAAATGCATCTCTATCCTTGAGATTGACGGGCACTGTATAGAAAGAATTAGCACCGGCGATAGTGTAATAAGCTAGGAAGTAAAGCACACCTTTCAGAAGCTGTCCAACTTCTTCGATGGTGAGAAGACGGCCTAGCTCGCCTGGGCGGGACTCGGTCTCTAAACCGCCCAACCATCCGGTCAGTAAGATGGTAGTGACGACATTCTGAATGCTCCGACTCCATCTATGATTGTACCTTTTTTCCCCCCTCGTTAGCTATTTGAATCTTAGACAAAGAGGGAGATTGTCCGTCACGTACTTGTAGTAAGGATATTTAGATGCAAACTGCGCCAACTCGCCAACGCTGTCAATCTCAGGCTTTATGCCATCATTCTCGACCTGCTTCAATAGCGGCGGCACTTCGATTATCAGGTATTAGTTAGCAAACGATATGATACGACACGCAAACTTGGAAGTAAATAAAATCATGTATGTTGTCTTCATATTCATGTTCATGTTTTTATATATATATATATATATACTTACGCTTGGAGCTAGGTGTCGAGTGGATACGGCTGAGAAAGCCCTGGCAGGTCGAAATGTGGCGATTTAGAGCGGAGGTGATATGGTGAAGCTTCTCGCCGACCTCGACCTCCTCTTCGCCGTGAGCCTTGAGGTATTCGAAAATGGAAGGGTCAATCAGATTAGAGGGATTATTGTCAGTCATGATGAAGGTTTGTTGTGTAGATGGAGAGGAGTAAGAGATTTTTATTTTTTTTTAAAAAAAACGAAAATTTGATGGGTTATGACAATGAGAGGGGCAGGGATAAAACGGGAAGGCCCGGCAATGCGTTTGACCTGCCTTGGGTGCAGTTTAAACTAGATATCGTTTGTGATAATTTTTACCTAAGGCAGTATGAAGCTATTCGGGCCTTGAAACGTTGGAAGTATTTACTTGAAATTTGAAACCATGTACAAGATACCGAGCATATAAACTGCCTGAATTTTGTTCGGGATACAGCTCTCTCATCTAAGGATTAGTAACAGTATAGTCATATTCACGCTTAATTCAATGTGACGAGTCTGTGCATCTGACCAGTAGAACATCGGAAAACGCGATGCTACCTAACATCACAAATCATTTTCCAACTTCATCGTTGCGCAATTTTTTTCCATTCCCACGATCAAGTATACAAACGGAACCATACAGAAGGACTATCCCATCAAATTTACTTACTACAAATTTATTACTCTTCCTCACATCCCTAGACAAGCTAGCAGACTGCAACGAAAAGGTGTGTTCGCGTCACCTGGAGGCAGTGTAATACCAGGGACACGGTGGGGGCGATCATGGGCAAGCCCAGAGGATGCGCCCCCTCAGTACAAAAATAAGAATAATCACGATTGAGTTCAAGTAGAACTCTTTCAGAGATTAAACTGAAAAGAACAGATACTACACTTGATCTAAGCCAAAAGGCAAAGAGAGCTGAAGAAGAAAGGAAAAGAAAAGTTTTAAAATCGAGGAGGGGGAGGCCAGATATTTATATTTGCCAGGAGGGCGGTCAGCTGGGGCAAAATCACTAGGCGGCAGCAAGTGGATCACCGCAAGTAATAGACCCACAGCCTCACAGACCCACTAACTGAGCAACCGCCAGGCACATGCTTCGCAAGCTCTCCTTCCCGTCAACGTAAACAGTTTGGGTAGATACGTGCGTAATCCACATCGCACCATCCCAAACTACGGTGAGGAAGGTGAGGAAGAGGAAGTAGCAATGTTAGACTTTAGTAGAGGTAGGTACGGTGCATACAATTAACGTTTTAGTTTTCAAGTCGTGTTTTAACTTACACTGTTTATTACCTTAGGTACCTCATACATACCTGGTATACGGTACCTGTGGATACGGGTACCTGTGGTGTGAGATACGAAGTACGTACTAAATATACCCATTACATCCATATGTCGCCCCAGCCCTATTAGTCACATCCTCTCCTGCTACAGGTGCCTGTCATCCAAATACCTATCTCCTCAAACCTGGCTCGATATGTCTCTGTCAGTTTAGGCAGGAAGCTCCCTGCCATAATAGTTCGACGGCAACTCATGGGGGTTCGCTTCACGGAAGCTACCTGTTACGCCTAAGCCGTATGATCCTAACGAGGTGGGGGAAGCAACAGGTGTCTTTGGCGTATTATCTCCGGGAACTAGAAGAAAATTCGGGGCGTTCAGCTGCGGCTCCTTTTCCTGTTCTTGCCCCCTAGAGTCTTTTCGCTTGGAACGCCAGATCATAAACCAGATCCCCCCGATGATAGCGGCCGCTACGGGTAACCCCACGCCTAACCCTGCGCCCAGTGCGGTCGAGATGTTGGTGTCGGTAGACGCGCTTCCACTTTCTGTGGGAACCGTGCCGGAATCCGTAACTTGGATTGGTATTGAACTGGTCGGTTCGACTATGAACGGCCCTGTTAACGTATCGCTTGTCGTACTAGCGGTTGATGTGGTGGACAAAGTCGATTCAACTGCAGTAGTCGGTACGTCGTCAAATGGAATAGTAGCCAGTATGGTCGGCAACGTAGTGATATTCTCGTATGCAAAGATATTCGACTCGTCGCTACAGCAAGCAAACGATCCCACGCCGGTTGATCCGTCGTCGCAGCAGTATTCATTACTTTTATCGATACCGCCACATGGTCGTACTCCTATTGCTACCTCACCCACGGCTAACACGATGTCAACTCACGTGCTTTCATAAAAATTGACGTTTCCGTACTTACACCATGGACAGACCTGGAAACAGGCCGTGTCACTCCACGTATGGTCGGTACACCCTTCTCGTAACCAATCTTTGACACCTTGAGTTGTGCCGCGACAAACGCCATTAGACCAGCAGACCTCTCCTGCGCTACAGCAAGCTGAGTGGCCTGTCGAATTGTTATCACATCTGATGGCGTTCGGAAGGACCGCGCCGTCGATTCTATAGCACGTTTGAAAATCGCTAGTGTCCACCGATGCTCCCGCTGTTATGGTTACCATTAAGAAAACAACAGCCGAGCCAATGGACCTCATATTACTCAAGATATTCTATTAGTGTGTGAAATTTGCGGGAGATATAGAAACAAGGCCGGGATCTCAGTTGAGCTGAACGAATGTGAATATGAAGATGGGTAAAGGAAATACGAATTGAACATTTCAGGCAGCAGCTTAATTCATCCCATACCTTAGGAACTGCTCTCTAGAAATGCTCTTCCACTCATCCTGCTCCTCGACGGATTGCCTCTTGTGCCACGCAGGCGTTCTTGGCCCATCAGCCACGACGGATATAATTTCCACAAACCATAATTTACGTACAATACGGGTTTGATTGGTGATAGGTAAAGGAACGCGACAAGTTTTTCTATCAATAGTCATTTCCTCAAGCTTACCTACCTTATAGGTACCTCATATATACCCGTATAAAAGAAGTTAGGATCCATTCGAGACCGCCGTTATTAGATTATATTCAGTAGCATTTCTTACTAGGGAGTAGTAAAGCGTTCAGTGTGCTTGAGAATGGTTGGAAAGTCAATGCAATGCAAATCGACAAGTGCTACGCTGGTTTTATTCCAACTCATGCAGGATCAACATTCTACATTATGTATGTTTCACCACTCCTCCTTTTCCCTTACCCCTATTTGCGGACTAGGTACCTGGTATCCCAAACTTTCCCAGGTGCTAAGGAGTACGACAGCTGTCAGGACCCACAGTAAGCAACTTCAATTAAGTGCCTCAATGTTAGAAGCAGTTGGAGATTGTCTCACTTTCTCCATCAGAACTATCAAACAAATAGTCGATTATATAGCTCCTGTACTAGCAATGGCTCCTCCGTCGCCTCTACCGGAATTCGTGTACAAGATTGTGCCTTCGGCGCCTCCAACGCCAATCCCATCTGAGTATCCCCTCTCAGAACTTGACCAGAAAGATGGATTTGTCCATCTGAGCATCGGTTCGCAAGTAAGTGCTTACCATACCTACATGATAACAAATGGCGAGATTTTCCTTTCATCTCCGTTCTGTACTACCTACTTGCATTGGATATATTTACCTATTCATATACCTACCTGCCTGTGCCTACATAGGTATCTAACCTGCCATGTGCCCCCGCCGCACTTGATCGCTTACACAACCTAACTAACTAACCTAACTTTCAGATTCCCATCACGGCAGACCTCTTCTTCAAAGAGGCTACTTCCATCTGGGTCCTCAAGCTGCGGTTCGCGCCCAAGTTTCACTCTGCGACGACGTGGGAGGTCCAAGGATGTCCGCACCTGTACGGGAACTTCGGCGCCGAGGATGTCGATAGCGTCAAGGAGCTCTCGCGATTGGAGGGCGAGAGCTGGAAGGAGTCGTTGGAGAGGGAGAGCGATTGGCTGGTTTAAACCCGACCTGCGTCTTGCTGAACGGCAAGCAAGGCAAGTCTAGGACTTTGGGTAGGTATGTTTCACTGCGGCGACTGGGCGGATTAGACGCCGATTGGGCTCCTAATGGACTAAAGTCTTTGGCCTGGCTATGTACAAGTTTGGTATTAGATATTTACGATAGGTATGTGAAGTGGTACTTATAATTTCGTATGTGTGCGTAAATATCGATAGGTATAATCAATTGTTTTGCGAGTCAAATATAGGAGCACTAGCACTTGGGGTTCATGATAAAGAAGTAAGGGTCGTGTATTTATTACATGCGCGGTTGGACATTTAAAAAAAAATACATATATAGTATTTGAAAAGCTTGAATGCTGGAAGAATAAAAAAAAAATTGATCCCACTGCCCACAATCCCACTGCCCACATTTGATCATCCCACCGCCCTGGGTGCTCGTCCTTTTCTGGAGATCCCAAGATCAAAGAGCCAGACCGATATAATCGCGATAAAGACTAGCTTCTCAGCTGATGAGTAATTGATCTCGGAAAACACCATTCAAACTCGCTCCCACGGGGATTCGAACCTCGAACTGTTCAGATAATGGATGGCAAGCCATTCATACTGACCATTGGTCCCTGACCGGAGAACCAATTCCTCTGTTGAATACAGCCTTGGTAATTTAGGTACTTAAGGTAAAGCGGGGTAGGGCAGGTGCGCCTGCTGTTGCCTGGGTTCCGTGGCGACGGCCTGTTTGACTGCTGCGACGGTTACTGTGGTGATGCAGATTTTTTTTTTTTTTAGGCACGCCACTGCCAGGTCAGGTACGCAACCTGACGTGGAAAGAAAGGCCAGACCCGCCACATCCCCCGGGTTCATGATTCACTTACTAACGCACCTAAATACATTAAATACTGTCCTCCTCATTAGTTACACCTCGCCTCTTCAAGGTAGGTAGGTAGACTTTTACTGTAGAAATTAAGGCGAAGATAAATCATCGCGAAGCAGAACGAAAGGGTGTCTGGGGTACAACTTTGTGATACTGTGAGGATCTCTAACCTCACTACAAAATTCTACGAAAAATACCCTTTGCTCCATCAGAGATGAAGCATCTAGAATCGTGAGATTTGCTATCATTTCTTCTGCCATGCTGGGCAATATCGAGGATTTAGTACTTACCTAAGGTATGTTAGGACGCCGTATTACGAAGTTACGATGTTGAGAGGGATCTATCCCTCGGTAGATTTATTCATAGAGTTGTACTGAAAGACATCGAGTGATATTGAAGACCAATACTACCTATTCGATCTGCCTGTTCATGCCTAATACTTGGAACACTATTTCCCCTTGAGCTGATTCTTAAAAACCAACGTGTGAACCTGATAGGCAAGAAAAAGCCGATTTACTCAGTACTTCAAACCCCGTGAAAGTTGAGCGGACCATTGAAAACAATATGTGAACCTGATACGCAAAGGAAATCCGAGCTTCTCAGCATCGTAAATCCTGTGAGAACGATCAATTTCCACTTATTCCCTTGCTTCCATATACCTAGTCCGTATGGTAGAGTACCGTAGCCTTGGAATATCCCCCGTCAGTAGAACTGGTGTCTTTACCACCGAGGCAACCGAAGCATCAAGGTTCCAGGAGTGTGGCAGCGTAGTGGTAGACGTTAACACTCTCGTTCCAGCATCTGCAGACGACGACGCACTCGATGCCCTTTCGGGTGAACTTATCCACGACGGCGAGGAAGCCGTCCAAGGCGATCTTCTCCCAGGCCTTCATCGATCTCCACGACCTCTCGGCCCTCTCGGCCGGGCGGCGCACTCTGCTGTTTCCCCCCCCGCCGAACGCCAGGCACTCTTTGACGTACGCCTGCTCGAAGGTGTCGTAGTCGGCGTACTTCATCGCGCACTTCCCGCCGCGGATCTCGCTCATCTCGAGGAACCTGGCCACGCGGACGTCGGCGACGCCGCCGAAGTAATAGTTGTGGTGCGGGTCCTCCACGTCGACGTAGATCCTCCGGAGGTTCCTGAACCGCAGCAGCATGTTCTGGCGCGCGAGGTTGGCCGGGAAGGAGACGAACAGGGCGCCCGTGAGCGTGACGTTCATCACCGAGCAGACTTCCTCCAGCTGCCTCTCGTAGTTGTCCTGGATGACCTTGGGGAACACCATGCCGGGGCCGCCCGCGACTTGCGACTTCAATTCCTCGTCGGAACGTCTCGAGAATCGGATGATCTTATCAAGCGAATACAGTCCCAGATAGAGTAAATCCCCGAAGTTGATGACAAGCTGGGGTCGCGCTTTGCGCATATGGAACTTGCTGAGGTACTGGGTTGCTACTGCGTGGCTCTCCTTGTTGATTCGGAATAACGGCCAGAATATTTCACGTAGGTCCTGGAAGACAAGAGGATCGGGATCGTTCTCTTTAAAGGTAAAGCTCACATTCTCGTCCTCGTTCTCGTTCTGGAGTTGGCGTCTCATAGTGTATGATCTATATTTAAGATATGGTGGTTTGTGAGAAATGGTCCAGATGCACTGGTATTCGGGATGTCGGCAATAGAACTCGTCTACAGCATTATCGGCGACCGTTTCCCAGACGTGCTGTCGAAGTTCAAGAGGGAAATACCCAAGATTGAAAGACACCAGGCTGTCAGGATGAACTGTTGTGTTATCATCCATTGTCGAGGAGCCCGAGATTTTGACAAGCTTGAAATAGGATTAGATGGGCAATGTGCAAATAAACAAAGGCGTCGCCGATACAATGCTTTTGGAACTTGTTTAAATTTTCCAGTCTTGAGAAATGGCAAGTCGCCGGGCATCAGTTCACAATGTGTTGAAAATTTTAAGCCTACTGGACAGTAAGTTGTTGCCTAGGAGTAGTAATTCTACTTGCGCCGGCAGCCTTGGGGAACCAAATACTCCAAAACAAGCAATTTAGTGCGGCAGGTACTAAATTTGCACAAGACAGTGGTTGTCGCAGAAGAGTAGGCGTAATCTAGCACCAAGGGCGTTTAAAAGAGAAGAGAGATTAAATATGTATTGTGATATTGTCTCGTGAAGGGTTAGACTACACCTGGAAATATAGCTTAGCCGATCTGGTTGCTGGCCACTTCTAGTCTTCCGGACAGATGCCCAGCGAAACGCATCCAGAGTTACAAACCATTCTCCCTAAGCCCTTTTTCTAATTTACTTAATTTTTCAAAACCTCCAAACTCCTTGATGAGCCATACTCCATGCTGGGAACCAAAATTTTCAAGCAAGCCCCCGGCGTCGAGCCCCTATGTCTTCAAAGTTGCAAATTACTATTTTCCCTACCCAACTCACTTAGTCCTTCTGAACGCGCCATTTTCGGAAGAGCTTGATTCTTTGCCGCCCATCGTCAGCAAGGTCATCTTCGTCTGTAGGGGAGGACGGAGAGCAATCGCCGTTAGTAGACACCTCCATGCGGTCGATGCTCTCGGCCCCATCCTTGGATGAATTTCCAATGCTTCCATTTGTGTCTGTGCGCTTCAGGACACCCACATCGACGGCACTGTCAACCGTAGATAGCATGGTGGCCGAATTGTTTGAATGGCGTTGGGTACCACTCTGGCCGATTATGCCGTGAGCGATGGTACGCTTATGCTTTGCCAGGAAAGATCTATGCGTCCGGTGTAGTGCTTTGGAGGGATCAATATCTTCGGCTGAAATACAGGCCCCTGGACTAATGTTTGCATCCGGATGGCGTAGAGAGGTGGTGTATTCAGCAAAGGCATCCGGAAAGCCGGTATCGTAGTTGCGAATTGTTCGTCGGCTGCTGCTGCTTGAGTCGGACATGGTGACAGAATAGTCTATAAGTTTGACTTAGTTTGTGTACTGTAGAGTAGAGGGCAGTGCCTTATATTCAACGGAAGGCGAAAGACAGTAAACTATGACCGAATCTTATATGTGTATGTATGCCCACAGTTACCCCGAATTAAGCTTTTAGTTCGTGATGCGGGGGAGGCCGAAGACTTTCACGACCCAAGGAAAATACGGTGTAAGGAAAAGAGTAGAATCAGCAAGAAGAAAAAACAAAATCGTAGATTTATCGGATCGAGCGGTTTGGTTGGTACAATAATAATAATGAAAATAATAATGAAATCAAGCTCCCTGAGTGATGGTGATGGACATCGTCATAGTAATATCTAATCCGCTTCGCCGCCTTGCCCCTGGGCCCTGGGCTACTTTCCACTTTCGGGATGCATGGGGGGTTAAAATATGTACCGTTCGTCGGCGAAAGGACACATTTGAACGGAACAAGGTTGGTAGGAAAAGAGAAGCGAGTTTTCTCATTTAATAACATAATTGGACGGCGCCACTTGACGTAGTTTAAGACGTTGAAGATTTCGGGCGGCTTTGTTCTAGTATTTTGGCAGCCTACGTAGCTGCGCCTCCAGCTGATGAATGTAGTTGAGCTAGTTTAGATAGTTGAGCGGATAGAAAATGCCTGCTCACCTGAAAGACCTGAAAGGAGACCTGAAAGTAATGCTGATAATTCCAGCTGGGGCTGGTTACAAGGGCCAAGGTAAATCTTGACAGGGTTCGGCTCTTTGTATTGGAATTGCTTGGCAAGCAATCAACCGCGCGCTTGAGCAATGAGCAATCCCAGAATACGGAGACAGCCGGGTCTTATTAATTTGGTGCCGTGATCCGTTCTAATTCGCGCCGTCAGGAGAAGAAAATATTTTTATTTTGTTTCTCGAAAGCATAAACTTTGGTATGATGTAGTTAGGAGAATGTTGCAAAGTTGTAAAATCGGGTTCAGGTTAAGAATTTATAGCGGATATATCTAGGTGATATATCTAGGTGATGTACGACGGGATATGTAAAGAATTTAGAGTCGAAAATAGGTTGAGCTACGCCGAGGAAGTAAAGGTTACCTGAATATGAGTTCGAAGGTTAGGTCAGGCGTTGTCGAAGTTAAATATAATGAGGAAACGTGGATAACACGGCACGGATGTTGCAGCAACCTGCGTCTTTGCTTTTGACTTAGAAATCCGAACTGACCTCGAAAACTCTCGAAAAGAGGTATGTAACGGGCCTCAGGTAGTTAATGTACCTACCTAACCTAGTTAATATACCTCAAGGTACCTAGGTATCTGACGTTTAGGTGCGTCCTTGCAGTTGACTTTCATGCAGACCTCTTCACCTTCATGAGGGGGTAAGGAAGTTTGTCTCAGATGTTCGATTTCTCTGCTCGAGTCTGAGGAAAACATCTCAGAAGCTTATGTAGGTCTAGGTACTTAGAGAAGTACTTAGGACTCCCAGACTTTCGTGACGAATTACGCCAACCTTGTGGCGATCACGAATGTAAAGGAATCCTGGGAACACCCGTACCGTCCTGCATACCTACCTCCTTGATACCTGGTAGGTGCATAGGTCATAGCTGGCATTAGGTGGGCACATTTTAAGGTGGGCAAACGGAAATCCGATGCCGTGGTACGTACGGATAATCGGAATAGGAGTTATACATGATAAATGATAAGTTATACAATTAGTGAGTGACATAAGGTGACGATGATCCCCAGGTGGTGACCAACAGACGTCACGGCAAGGACGGCAACCTAGCGGTGATTCCGGTGGCCATGCAGCCATCTGCAGAACAACCTTCTGCGTGTCTCGACACCTTGACGTAATAGGTTTAGTGTATTAATATAAGAAGCTAGCAATGCCGAAGTTTTGATAGTAGGACTCGATTGATTGGTTGACTGCTTTCCGCATCTTTAACTCCTTAACGCTTCGAAGCTTCGAGGGCGCTTTCCCAGACGTCGCTTCTAATAATAATGATGATAGTTCCATGTACTACCGATTTTTCAAAGTCGGGAGCTGCTGCTAGGGTCTGATTTCTGATTCAACTGATGGGGTTTAAAATGCGGTAAAGCTTAAATCTGTTCATTCTTACCAGGTAGGTAATCAGTCTCATGGAATTAGATGGATTCTTTTATTGGCTTAATTGGTCCACGTGATGAAACCGGGATAGCTGGTGCTGACCCCACACATTAGGTAGTAGTAAAAATGGAGCCTACATTTTGGGTGCCGATGACCGAATTGTTCCAGCGCAAATCTAAGTGGATCATAGAAAGAACAAGGACTAACAAAACTGAGTCTAACAAATCCACAAGCAAAGAAGTCACATCTCTATGGAAGCTCGGCATACATTAGGTACCTCTGACATACTACCCAGTACAACAGGTCGGGTAGTACCTAAGGTAACGAACGGCCTAGGCACTTTATTCTCCGAAACTAATAAGAGAACTCGGAGAGTACGAATCCAAGACAAGGCGAAGTAAGGGTCGATAAAACATTACAATTCTAATAACTCCTCTTAGCAGCCCTTATTGTTAATTAGGTAAATTACAACTCAAGTCTTCTAAGATATAATTACCTACCTACCTACGTAAGGTAACACCGGATTCCGAGCGAACGGCACATTCTTAGTTCCTGGATTGCCAACTGCTATGTTAGGTGCAGAGCAATTCTCCAACCAATGAGAAGCTGAGCCGATATTCACTATAAACGTTATAATTCATACCTCCACAAAGCTTTAGCTAATTTGGAATACATCTTACTGTCGTGTTCAATGGGTGGATATGAGTGCTGGATTGGCCACGTTGCACTCGCTAGGTGCTGCACATTAATAGAAATCACGAACGATTTTGTCTGGTATAAATTTATCTTCTCATCGCTGCCAGGGTGGCGGCTCGGACATGAGGAGGGTCGGATCGATAACCCTAGTGTATCGACAGAGGAGTGGGATTCTCTTCTTAATACCGGATTTTTAGGGGTAGATAATTACCTCGGGGTCGACCCCAACAAATCCAAGTCCGGGCTATCCATCATCACAAGTCAAGCAATTGATCCAGTAGTGAGCATCTTAAGAAACCCTTTGGCAGCAACGCACGACTCAGTCCAGACCGAGAGTCTCGTCATACTCAGTGGGCGGAAGACGCAATGGCGTAACAGGGCGCTCGAAGCATTACGCTTCCTGAGGCCGTTTGTATCCAACACTCTAGTTGTTGACGGGCTCGAAGATACGAACCTAGTCGTAGCTCTGGGAAGCGCAGTTGTCTGCCTCGCGGATTTGGAAGAAGTCGCTTTTAAGAACATGACACAGAGGAAGTTCTCCGCACTCCAGTTGGTATTTATTCAACAATTCTACTCGCATCATATGCGCAACCAGTGGCCGTCGTGCCGATGACCTCTACGCTAATATGACGGTTGGGCTCGGGCTATAGGTGATGCGAGAATCCCCTAACATTCGTATGCAATTCGTCGATATCGATTCTTCTATAGAAGCTAGTGCCCCGGTTTCGGTGATAGTTTCCCAGTCTCTCTTGCGGATGTTATGTCATGACATTCCCACTACTGTGAATGTCTTGTGGTCAGACGAGAGCGAGGTTGTCATTGAAGGGAACGATACATAAGTACCTATAATACCAATAGTCTTATGAGACAGCTTGCTGAACGACCGTGCTAACTCTGGGAAGAGAATTGTCATAAGCCTCGTGTCGCCGACGACTTGTCCAATTACGTTGACTTAGGTAAGGATTCAGGGGGTACGCTGATGTTAGAAAAGTTCAAGTCAGTCTAGATAAGAAGAAATTCTTCCTTTCTATCGGACGCGTCTTGGGGTCTTTAACACCTTCGAGTTATTCAATATTCGAAGTCCCACGTAGCCATGTGTTCGTCCGTGGTCACGCTGAATCTGACGAGGTGATTTTGAGCGATGCTCTAACGGCTCTTGTTTGCCAAAGCCTCGTAACAGAAATTGAAGGCACCTTTTGGTTGCATAATGCAAACGAACACGTTGTCGATCTTGCACGGGACATTGCAGCCCGATGCGAAATCGATCTTTTCCTTAGCTCCTCTGCCGTAGGGGATGGAATGACGCTTATCTACACACGAAAAAGCGAGCGGGAGCTCGTAGCTCGAATCCCATAACAGGTCCAGCGCCTCGTAATATTTGGTCACGCGCAAGATAACCATCTGGGACTGTTTGGAGTCTACTTCCAGGAAGAAGATAGGCAGGCATTCAAGTTATTACACGTCTCACACACGATAAGTCCATCACACCCTATTATTTGATAGCACTAAAGCTATCGACGTGTTGAGGCAAGTCGTGTCTAGCCCAACGAGGGCAAAAACGTCAACGTTGCCGGCAGTCACGTCAATACCGGAGCCTTCCAGCGTGATAAAATGGCAAAGCGCCGTGAATATCCCGGTTCGTACGAAGAAGTTCAGTTTCACTGGCTTATTTCGGACCGGAAGACATACTTCCTCATAGGCCTAACCGGTGACGTTGGTATATCCCAATGCGAGGGGATGGTGAGCAATGGTGCACGATATCTTGCTGTAACCAGCAGGAACCCCAATACTGATCCACTACGTCAAGGCGTTTCCTCTAGACATCTCGGATCGAGAGGCTCTGCACGGAGTGTAGGAGTGTATCAACAGATTTCTGTCCATATGCCAACAGTTGCTAGGATAGTGAACGCTGCCATGGTGCTTAGGGATAACCCGTTTAGAAGTATGGTACTCGAGGATGTCAATGTGGTATTGGGGCCAAAAGTCTGAGGAAGTAAAGACCTGGACAACTCTTCTACACCACAGATTTGTACTTCATCATGTTTTCACCGATGTCTCGTGTAGTGGGGAATGTAGGACAGTCGAACTACGCCGCCGCAAATATGTTTACGGTAAGCTTAGCTGCTAAAAGAAGGATACAGGGGGGTGGCAGTGTCAGTCATCGACATTGCAAGCTTTAAGGGTTTTGGGTACCTTGTATGGCGGCGACAACAGCTGGACATAGAGTCGCAAACGGCAAAGAATGGACACATACCATTTTCAAAACCAGATTTCCACAGTATATTTGCAGAGGCGATAGGAGCGGTCGGCCCAACTCTTCTTCAAGCCTAACAATGCATACGGGACTAGTTGTATCATCCGACCCTTTTTTGGAGAAGGGTTCCCAGGTTCTCGCATTACGTTAAACCGGAGAACCATAAGTCCAAGGCAGAATACTATAAGGAGGCTGCGGTAAATATCCAGAAGCAACCAGCCAACGCCTCTAATGAACAGGAAGCACTCTCAGTGTTAGCGTTCGAATTTCTAAGCTTGGGATTATGCTGTAGATCTCAAGTGACAAGAGTAGCAGGGATACGCCAATGGTGTCGCTTGGAATCGACTCTTTGGTAGCTGTTGAAATACGGTCGTGGTTCCTGAAGGAACTACTGGTTGATGTACCTGTATTAAGTATTCTGGGAGGCGCCGCGGTAATAGATCTTTGCTTCGAGGCAAAAAGCAAAACTCAGGAGTAATCCAGCCTATCAAGTAACAAGGAAGAGATTGACAACGGCGAGGGTAGCTCACCTTCTGAAGGTAATACCCCATCCTCAAGCACAAGACCATCACTTGCAGTATCATCGCCTGTTTGCGGGAAGGTGTCTGGCGTGGAGGCGTTGCCATTTGCGTCATCTGAAACAAGTGCCAAATAGGATTATGTTCTTGTCACGGACAGCCACCCAATATCAACCCCAGATATATTCGAGAGAGTAGGCAGTGTCTCTCATTCACAAGAGGCATTGTATTTTCTATATAAATATTCCGAGGAGAAATTAAGCCAGAATGTAACGACCATCGGAAGACTACACGGTCAATTTGATGAGCGAAAATTTGAGAATGTCTTGTACATAGTAGTTAAGCGTCACGAAGCTTTTCGAAGGTCCTAATTCATAGATAAGTCTATTCACCGACCCGTTCAGGCTGTCCATACGGGTCCGAGGATTCCTTTCATCCGAAAGCATATTTAAGATCAAACCGAAGTGTCAAATAAGATAGCCAACGTGAGAGCAGGTCTTCGACATCGAACATGGAGACTTAATGTAGATAATCGTATTATACTTCATCTTCACACATCACCAATTTTGGTTGTTTTTCTTTCCTGAGTTGAACCGTGCACATTCAAGAAAGCCATTTGAAAGTTCTATACGGCAGGCAATCGATATCCCAGAGAAGAAGAGGTTAGCAAACATATCCGAGAAATTGGAAGACGAGTTAGCTTTCTGGAGTCGGGTCCACCAAACCCCTGTCGAGCCTTTGCCCCTTTTCCCGTTCTCGAATATCAACAGCCGAGAACCCTTAAAGGCTTACGACATTGAGACATTCGATATCACGTTGGATGAGGAGTTGGCTTCTCTTATCCGCCAGATGTCATTCAATGTCGGACGCAAGGTCGTCCTTCTTCAGACTCCCTACGGGTCCGATATTGTACTCACTCAGATTTTCCAAGCCTTAGCTAACGGTGGCACCCTTATTGTCGTGGGCCAGAAGAGTCCTGGCAATCCAGTACATATTTCGCAGCTTTTGCTTAGGTAAAGCATCACGTACACCCACATCGTCCCCTCAGAGTATCAGTTACTTTTCCAATACTGCATAGGCTTTTTGAGGCAGTTCCGGTCGTGGCGGCTTGCTCCCGCCGCTGGTAAAAAGGTGACACACCATCTCCGCCGGGCTTTCCGACAGCTATGTCTTCCTAGCGTGTAGCTTGTCAATGTATATTCGGCGAGAAACAAGCTTCGAAGTTATACCGAATAGGAGATAAGGGGATGACTTTGAAGAACGGCTCGATAGCCGTCCTTAGGCGCATCGAAGGTGATAGTCAGGTTAAGATTCGCGGTATACTCGTTGAACTAGACGAAATCGCCAATGTAATAATAATGGCATCCGATGGCGCCATAATTAACGCCGTGGCATCTTGAAGAGCCAACCAGGAGATACCGGCAGCTTTCGTTGTTTCCCGCCTTGAATTCGACGGAGATAAACCAAGGTTCCTGGAATAGCTCAAGAGGTCTCTTCCACTCCCATCTTATATGAACCCATCGTTCATCATCCTAACAGAGCACATACCAGTAATGCCAGTGGGAAAAGGGACAAATCTGCCATCGACAGCTGGGAGATTAATGGCGCCCAGCCGGACCATACTCTCCATCCGCTAATGGGAGCACAGAAGCGTGTGCTGAATATTTGGAAGGAAGTCCTTGGTGACCGTCTGTCCGCGTTTTCTAACATTGATGAAGCACTGACCTTTTCCACGTTGGAGGTAACTTCATATTGTTGATCAAGCTTCGCGTCCTTAGAAGCAACTTCGAAAGAAAATTTCCTCTTCCAGAACTATTCCAATCAAGTAGCGTTGGTTCTATGGCAGAGCTGGTCGACCGACTTGGCTCGGGCCGCCTTAGGGTCAATAGGCTCGAACCGAATGACAACCCCTCATTTCGTGCACCACTGCAACGGTATCAAGATTCAGCCACAGAAGTTCCAGAATAGCCAACTCGATAGACTAGCCGCATGGAAATTAGATTGGGTCATTTCCTATCCTCGTCCGAATTTTAGTATTAGTACTTGTTCTATGTGCATCTTATCTTAACTTGACTTAGTCTACATTACTTTTCTTCACAGCACGAACGAATGGTGATGGGACTATGTATAAATCCTTCTGATTTTACGGGGTTGAAAGAGTTGGGAACACGCGAGGTTGCACAGTTAACGGTTGCAAAAGTGGTGTAATGTCCATAACTGGGGGACCCCTGTTAAAGCTGTTAAGCTTGTGCCCGAACTTGTTCGGGATATTATTGCTCATTTAACTTTCGATTCCGCTAGGACGGTTACATCCCAGTCTCTGGGGGTCGAATCACACTGGAGATGGAGATAAGCTCGGGCTAAACTACGCGGGTCGGGCGGACCGTAAAAAACGTTAATGAGAAGTCCCTCCAAGATGCAAGGCGATTGATTACGTGTCTTAGCTTAATAAATCGACCCAACCGTCTACCGGAACCTTGCCGGAATCCTACCGGAGCGGATTGGGTACAAATTAGCCCCTGAATTATACTATGTCTCTTAAGTGGAGAGAGATGTTGGGAATGTCAAGAAAAAGAGAGGGTCTTTCCAAGAAGGGGGATACCTTTTCTGGATAGTGGGCAATCAATGGCTTGACCTTAGATGCATGTTGGTACCTGTTTAGACTGAGCTAGATACGAAATGGGCTATCATAGATGCTGCTTTCTCCTTGCTTGTCGAGATCAAGTCAGTTACCCTAAAGGGCACTATACACAACGCGATGTTACGATAAACTGCTCGTAATGGCACTCCATATTATTAGGAGTCCCCAGGTGTAACATTTCTAGATTATCAGGGTCCAGAATGATGTGTTATACGCACTGTAGTTGCGAGGAATACTATGCTATCTTATTGTAATGATACTATATTGACCGCTTTTATCGCTTTTATTATTTACCTATGAGTATTTATCTGAGCCCTCTTTCCCTCTAGTGAGGCATAAAAGAACATAGCAAAGCACAAGAAATCTCAGTCTTATTACCTACACCAACAAATCTGATCCGATGTCGTCCGATACACAGCAGACTCCCAGCGGCGTGCAACGTGCACTAGAATCGAGCGACCCGTTACCAGTAAAGCCTGAGGAGATTACCGCGGAATGGTGCTCTAAGGTCTTAGGACACGCAGTCAAGTCAGTTTCAATTGTGAAGCAAATTCACTCGACATCAAGCAAGATCCTCATCGATCTAACTTACGAAGATGATGGAAACGCTGCCAATGTACCAACTCAGCTCTGTGTTAAAGGAGGCTTCAACACCGAAATGATAGCCCTATACCCTAGCCTCTCCTGGACGTATCGTCGAGAGGCTCTGTTTTATCATTCTCTTGCCCCTATAGTCAAAATGGAGCTACCAAAGGCCTGGTACTGCGGTACTTACAAAGCCAGCGGCCAAGGCCTTGTCGTTATGAGTAACTTGGAGGCCGAAGGTTGCGAGTTCGGCGAGCCACTGAAACCATGGTCAGTTGACAGGGTGCGCGCTGGGGTTGAGCAACTCGCAGCACTACACGCCGGGACATGGGGTGCTTCCGAGGAGCGATTCCCTTGGCTTTCCGAGGATAAGCTTCTAGGTGGGAACCCACTCAAGGGTATGATTACGAGTCTGATCAGCCCAAAAGCATGGGAGGTACGATTCAAGGATTCTGCGCCACCGCCCTTGCCGAAGGCTGCCTTGGACCGTGAGAGGTTGGAGAGAGCCTTTCAAACTATGTGGGCTACTGAGAACCCGAAGCTTAAATGTATTATCCATGGTGATCCGCACATCGGAAATACATTTATCAGGCCAGATGGCAAACCCGGATTCCTTGACTGGCAGGCCCCTATCTCAAGTGTCAACTTCCACGATGTGGCTTACTTCATCACCGGTTCCTTGACTATCGAAGAGCGTAGAAAGCATGATACCGACATCGTCAAACACTACTTGAAGGCCCTTTACGAAGGGGGCGGTCCCAAGCTAGAGCTGGAGGAGATATGGGATGATTACCGAAAGCACGCGTTACATGGTTTAGCATGGGCACTCACAGCACCAGGGATGCAGCCAGACGAAAATGTTTTCGCCATGACAGAACGCCATGGAGCAGCAGTGGAAGATTACAAAACGTTAGAGTTGTTGGAATCTCTCCCTGAGTATACAAAAGTGTAACTAGACTAGATCTCGTCACGAGAATTCCACTTGTACGTGTGATTAATGCAGGAGATAACTTGTTGTCATTACATAACCTAGCCTTTTGATGTCATAATATTGATCCTGGTAAATTATTCCAAGTAACCTCATGTTTTTTCCTGTGCCAAGCTAGGAGGTTTCATATGATAGCTACGAGTACCTAGTAGTAAATTCGTTTTTGTTTTCTTAGGTACTTCTTATCATATCTAGTAGCCATAGGAAACATGACGACTTCTGACAAATACAAATCGCTGAGCCAAAAGTGTATTTGTTCATAGCACAATTGTTATTACAGTCCATCTGACATGAGTGGTATTACCACTCACAACTTCGTTCGTGATACCTGGCTCTGAACCTTCTCGCCTAGGTCAATGGCTCCAGGAAATAAGAGATATTATTTAGTACTTCACTTAGGTATGAGTCAATTACTCACAAAAGCAACATCTATTTATAGAAGTAGGTATTAAAAAACAAGTAGGTATTAAAAAACTAAATAGCTTGTCTGTGTATATGGTAGGTGATATTAACTAACATTATGAAGATCCCTGGACTTCTCATTTCAGATTGTTCATAGGTAACACACGCTTCTTCGGGATCGTATAAGGAAATTTCCTCTCTTAGGATGTAACATATGCCCTGAAAGTCGAGTGCAGCCACACACATCTATACCGCCGGATTATCCCTCTGCTGCGAGGATACTCTCCGTACTGCCTGTCTTAACAGGTCTCGCTTGGTTTGACCTATTGGATTCGTATTCAACCCGGTATTCATTGGCAACGTAGATATCTTTGCCGGTACCTCGCGTCCCATCACCGAACATTCCACGCTCTATACTGTCCAATTTATACCTCTGATGACTTCCCCCACCTGATCCCCAGGTCCGCGGTGCGTTACCACTCTGGTTCCGGCCGAAGCTTCCAGGGGTATTTGAGTTGTCCCCTGAGCTTCGCCACGAAGGAAAATGTTTCTGAATTAAAGGCTTCATACGTATGAGGCAATTGCCTATGATCCCGATGTTCAATTCCAGCGTCGACAATACCGCCGTGGACGCCTGCGTCCAAGTTACATCGGTGTTCTGCAGCATCGTTCTAACATAAGCGACTCGCGCAATAGAGACAATAACGACCCTAAATTACTGTTAGAGATTGTTCAATATCTGTGTTATAAAAGACTTACGCCGACCCCATTGCGATCAGAAGACCAACAGCTATCTTCTGCTTCATGGGCATCTTTAATCCATGGATCATAGGGATAGGAAGCACCACTATAATGACATCGGACACAATATTCAGAACAGCCTGTGCTACCGCTATATTGTTCAAGCAAGCACCGCTGCCGGTGGACAATGGATTACAAGGACCGAGAAACAAGGCCGAGAAGACGACGGTGAATGTAATAATGAGAAGCCCGCTAGCATAAATGCAGAGATGGAAAAGCTTGGATGGGTTAAGTCGAAGATAAAGAACGAGGAGTGCGAGTTTCGTTAGAGAGGGCGGCCAGATGTACGTGAGAGCAAGGAGTGTCAAGACCTACGCATATGTTAGCTATCCGACTGTCGTCATGACTTTGTTTCTCGGGCCCTTTTTCTTGAAGAGTAGGTAGGTTTACTTACTTTAAAGTATCCTTGTAACTGTTGTGGCGTAACATCCCAAAGATGGCGCCCAAAACCTGCTGGTATTGCTATAGAACGGTTAACAAAAAGTAACAAATGTTGGAGTCGATATAGTTAGGTACCTACCTATTATTGTTCCGATATAGAATGTTAGGCTAACTCCCCAGGCTGCAATAACGAATACTATACAAAGGTTAGTTAGTAACTCCAAGAGAGCCACAAACACTTCGCGGTGAACTTACAGATATCCCAATCTACCTTCTTGACAATACAGAAAGCCGTATATAACCGAAGAACGAGTAATATAGTTGCTATCCCAAAGGTGACACCAAAAAGTACAACGATAGTAGTTTGGAGACTGGTCCAACTGTGGAAATCGGGCGTCACTCCTGGCGGAGGCTGTATGACACCAACTTCAGCCATCTTGATGGTTTTTCTTATTCCACCATGCCGGGAAATAAACTATTAACCTAATAACTATTATGTACTTGCTATATGAGGATACGATCTAGTTTATACTAAATGTCGTAGACGAATTTTGAAAATTCTTTATAGGAATTGTTCAACGAATGATCAGGTGCTGATCATCCTAGACCCCCGGCCCGCGCCGATTAGAGCGACATCCTAACGTCCCGAACCAAAGGTCGGCCAATTTTGGACACTTCAAGGGGGGTGAGACTTTTCCGCATATGAACCCCAAGGATGTATGTTTTTTTGCTGTCCGTGCATCAACCTTATCGAGGGGGATGACAGGACTGCGGAGTAGAATTTTTCGAACATTCGCCAATACCTACTAGGTGCCTAGGAGGTAGGCAGGTAACTTAATGCTTAAGATTAGGCTAGGTACGTACCTAGGAAATTATTCAAATAATTACCATCTTTGAATAGCCGGGAGGATCTGCAGCAATAAAAACAACTTCGGGACATAACCGATCTGTGCCACTTTAAGCAAGACTAGGTAGGTTAGGAGGTAGGTATTCCCAGATGAGCCTTGTACTAACCACAGTACAGGAAAGAGATACACACATGTCTAACGTATTGTGTGTTGATTACTGATAGAAATTCCTTGGCTTTTACTTGTTAATCTAGAATCTTTAGTCTAATGGCTGGTGCGAAGAAAGTCGTTTCGAACTTACAATAGTATAATGTATTTTTATTAGTTTACCTAGGTGGAGAAATCACCTTATAAGCTATTTGTGGAATACCTACCTTGTACGGGGCAGTGGAGCCTACTAAAGTTTACCATCCCTACGGATGTGTGTTTAGCGACCCTTGATATCACATTAATGCAAAGAAGGGGAGAAATCCTTCAGTTAAAAGCCTTCAGTTAAAAAAAAAAAAAAAAAAAAAAAAAAAAAAAAAAGGCCTTTACCGAGCTCCAGAGAACCCCTTTACCATGTTTGTTGTATATAGGTACCTCCTAGGTAAGTTACCATGAAAAGCACCGCCCCTTTTCAGAAAATGATTATGAACCTTCTGAAACGAGCTCGGTCTTGATTCTCTCTCATTCAAGTAGGCAATTAGGTATGTTACGTTCACGATTGGTAATATTACTAAGGGGGCATATCCAATTGAGAACAGCTTATCAGACCCTGGGCACATTGACGGGTGTAGTGACCTTACGTCTGAACAGAAAGGGGTCATTAATAGATTCAGTCAACAGAGTCCTTTTCTCTCAGATATCCATTGAAATTAAGAGAAAGTATGGGGAAAGCACGATGTTAATTTGATATGTTGTTGAGGCTTGATTGTAATCTGACCGGCTATGAGCCGTTCCCCCCGAATTTGAGCGGTCAGCGCCAGCGAAGACTAGGCATCGGCTATCATTCTCAGCCCCCTGTCTAGGCAGAGCCCATGTCCAACACGAACTTGATATCCTACGAGGATGTTAGCTGACAGTAGAATTCATAGACCTGGTTATTCCTTACATCAAGTGCCCCTGATTGGGTTTCTTCTGTTCCGGCATCAAAAGTAAACTTTGCGAGATGTTTTTTCTTCCTTTGAAGGCTGACGATATTCTACTGACTATTAGTTTACTGCTGATCGAAGAACAAATGCCCGAATACACAACCTGCTCTACTGTCTTCTCCATGACATATCGAAAAATCTCGACCTCTTTGGTCTGGCCCATACGCAAAGCTCGCGCAATCGCCTGTTCTTCCACCGAAGGGTTCCACTGAGGTTCGACTATGTGAACTTGGTTGGCGACGGCGAGGTTCAATCTAGGCTCATGTAAGTGTTGAGTAATAAGATTACTGGGCTCAGATAGAAATACCCGACTGCACCGGTACCTATCGACATAAGAAGAACACGGATTTGGGGATCTTCTTTGAAAGCTCTAAGGCGTATAGACCTTTCGACTGGGCTTACTTTACCATCTATTTGCCGACATGAAATCCCTGCCTGGTTGAATAGTTGCTGCAGGATATTCAAAGTTGATGTCCAGTACGAAAATACAATACTGAGGATGTTAGTTAATACGCACGTACGTACCTACATATTTCAAGTAAGAAATAGGACTTTACCTCTTGTTGTCCGCGTCGCCCCTTGCCACGTTTTGAACAACGGCAAACAGTTTCGTAGAATATCCCTTTCCAGGATAGAGATCTCTCTGCTCCATTGGGGTTTGACTTAGTTCTCGGTAGGGGGTGTTTGCACCGTCGCTAATACTTCCTGCATCGCTTCTCAGCCCTGAGCTTGGCTTGAGGCTGGAACTAGGCCGATATAGCGGCTTTCCACAGTAGGAGCATGCCGAACACCCATCAAGAAGTAAACGCATCTCCTCGCTCGAAGACTTGCAGTATTCACATCCAATTTCAGGATAGGACTGTTCGAGTTCTGATAGGGAGGTATCATTGCAGGTCGGACGGAATGTTCCTAGGTTGCAAAGTATGCGTAACTTCAGCATCGCCGTGAATAGTTTGCTGGTCCTCATCTCGATTCTTTTACTAACGAGCGAATCAATTTGCCGTCTAGTTTCGTCTAGAAGATTATCATAACAGCGTCGCTCTTCTGGTGAAAGGCTCAGCATTACATTCTCGTGAGAAGACTTCGGCAAATTCAGACACTTTTCGCTTCTACGGAGACAGTAAGCTTCAAGGTAAGCTCGGAGAGGCTTCGCAAAATCCACGCCGCCTTCGGAAAGTGGACTTAGAATATGTCTTTGAAAAGCCGCCTTAGTCTCCGTATTTGGAAGTCGTAGGAATTGTGCTAAAGAGGCCAGGTCTTCCAGTTTATTTTGAATAGGAGTTCCTGTAAGACACCATCTTCTTGTGGTGTATAGCGTCGCCGACGCCCGGAACTGTCTTGTATTGGAATTCTTGATAAAATGAGCTATTATCCGTTAGCTATTCCTCACAGATAGCAATGGATTAAGGCAATCAAGACAATGCCCGGGGTTTACCTTCATCTAATACCACACGAAACCACTGCATTTGGTGGAGAATACCTTGATCGGCGTAGTCGGCAGCGAGTGTTGCATATGTGGTCAATACTATATCATACAGATTCAAAGTCTCTTTGTCTCGAGGACGCCCTTTCCCGTGGAAGGAAATGAAGCTAAGCATCCCAGGATCAATGTGACTTCAAGACTTAGCTAACAAACTCAGCACATGAAGAGTATGATTGTTCTACTCACGTTTGTATCTCAGATTGCCAGCTCTCGAGAAGTTCTGCGATTTATCAGGGTATGGTCTTAGAAGCGGTTGTTTTTACTGACGAGACGATGGTACAACTATTAGAGTTGCTTTTGTGCGGTACTTTCCTGTACAATCGCTCTCAGCTTCGTTGTAAAAGCTGCTGAAAAGTTCCGCGGCTGGCACCGAGCCTAAAATCGCCGCAAGCATAGTAAGGCTCTTTCCAAGTCCCATCGTACTTCACAAGGACAAAATTAGCATTCAGTGTAACTGACAGGTAAACGAATTGTCAAGGTTGGATTCTCAGGAGAGCTCCAGGACCGAACCGTAATGTTGTCTAATGTAAAACAAAAAGGGATAGGGGTGGCTTTAATGATTACATACTCCGCGATCAGTCCCCCAAAAGATGCAATTTGCAACGATTTTGAGCTGTACCACCGTTAGCACAGCTTTGTTCTCTAAACTGAAGAACAAGTTATAGCGCACTTAATCGAAGCATTGTGGCATACTTGTGCTGAGAGTTTCTGAGCTACTGTTTCGTTTTCACGCTGATATATAAAACGTAAACCGTCTTCTTGATGTCTGTGTTTATTAGTCATTTGTTCAGTTCATGGCCTTTGATGTAATGTGAATACCGTTTTAATTTTGAGTGCAATGCTGTAGGTAGTCCTATGTCCTCATCTGTGTTGACATTTGTTAATGACTCAAGGATATTGTTTATCTCGCCTGAGATATTCGTTTGTGAATTTGGTACATTGCGATTACCCGTACCAATGAGTCCATTCATACTCTGATTCTCGTCGCTAAATGTTAGAAACTGTGGATTTTCGTATATTGCCTCTTTTTCCAATGACTCGGGGTGTTGGAGATATGCAGAGGCCTTCGACAAGCTATATGCTACATCAGTAGCCGTTGGCTTTAACCCAAATATGTTTATTGACAATGGATATAATGATGGACCCGACGATCCTTTCCGTCGGCGCTTAGTGAAATATGACGCTGAAACTACGGCTTCAAACCGGATCATTTGGTAGTTATCTAGACTCTTCAAGCTTAAGCTGCTTCGTGTGTCCAAGATACCGAACTCAGTACCGTCTTGAGACAAGAGAACATAGTAATGATCTTTTTGCCGTAGCGGAAATGCCATGAAAGCTCCATTGATATCTCGGGGCACTTTGTTTATTTTCACTTGTGCAACGGCATCATACAGCTAAAGACAATTAATTGTAAGCTATCACATCTGATATTTGATAGGATTTCTATTTCTTACTGTGCCATAGCATATTTCGTAGTTATCCATGTTCTCTCAATATGTATATAAAGAGGACTTTCGCGGGGTATAATTCGTTTTAAGCTAGGTACCTGGTATGTATATCTCTATCCGTTTCCCGTGCAATTAATACGTAGGAAACGTCTCATGAGGTACTATAATCATGACACAATAGAGAAAAGCTTGAGGAGATTTATAAGTCTTCCAAGTTAGGGGTAGTAGAAAAAGGTCTTTTTTTTTTTCAAAAAAAAAGAAGAAAAAGAAAGAGAGAGAGAGAGAGGAGAGATGTAGGAATGTGCAATGTGGGCTTTGCGCAAGGCTCTCTTCCGTAACTACAGTAAGTACCTAACCTAAAGTAACGGGTTGAGTAAGAGGTACCTATACCCAATACCTGCTGTGCAATGCAGCACTGCCCAGTTCTAGAGTGCCTAACATAGGGAGGCCCCTATTGATTGGGAGAAATATGGGCGAAGTACAGGTGCCATAAGATCATTGATTCATGTAACGTGAGGATGATAGGCTGAGGCTGTGAGGATAACGAGGCGTTTTTCTGCTACAAGTTAGGTAGATTAGGTACGTGATACCATTGCTTCATCATAATCTTACCTACCTTCTTCGCGATAGAAAATCATATGGACCCCCCCCTAAAATTCTTCAAATTCTGAATGCGGATGGTAATACTTCATTATGCACTAACGGACACCTTTGAGAAGCTCTATTGATCATGGCACAGCGGAATGAAGAAAAGTTTCAGCGAGCTCTTACTCGATTCAAACAATCGCTTACTCCAGACCTTGCTAAGGAATTTTCTATATCTTCGTTGGCAGACGTAAAACAAGTATGTACGGAAATTCAGCAGAAGCATGGATGCGACGGCAAATTACGATATATGGGACGACTCAGGGGTTTCATCGAGGCGATGGAACAATTTGGTAAAGTAATCGAAGTATTTTTGAATACGAGCGAAATTCTTTGCTTCCTGTGGGTGAGTAGTATTCACAGCAACTTCTAACATTTGCTTCAACTTGGCGACTGATTATTTGCAAAGGGACCTATGAAATTCCTACTTATCGTACGTAGCTGAGATATATTCCACCCTTCATACCTAAATTAGGTAGTAACACTTATCTTGTTATTTAGACCGCCAGCACACATATCAACTCCTTCGACAAACTACTTGATGCATATGTTCAAGTCGGGAATGCTATTCCTGGCCTTCAACGCTACGAGGCAACGTTCGCAGAACATCCTCCCCTCGCCACCGTTCTTGAAGACTATTACTCAGACATCCTGGAGTTTCATCGCATTTCACTTGCTATCTTCAAAAGGCCTAGTAAGTATCTATTTCATTATTCAGCAAAGCCAATTATAGGAGCAACTGCCTTATGGCTACCTCGTTCCCTTAAGTGCTTACGAGAAAATTGCAGGATGGAAAGACATGTACCATTCGGTATGGAAAACCTTCGATAGTAACCTAAGCCCCATTCTCCATAGTTTGGGCAAGCGGCGAGAGCTATTAGAAAGCGAGAAAAGCTCAGCGGTCCTCTACGAGATCCAACGGCTACGCAAAGACCATTCTGTTTTGCAAACGGAATACCGACAGCAAATTGATGAAGAACGTCTTCATAAGCACAAGACACAGATAGCTAAGATTAGGGAAAGGCTAGATGCTCCAAACTACGAAATAGACCAAGAGATGGCCGCAGAAAATACGCTTATTGACGATTCGGGCAAGTGGTTGTTCGAAAGCAATGAGTTCCAGACATGGTATACCGATGGTTCGGGGCATAGGATCTTGTATCTCAACGGAATTCCAGGTGCCGGCATGTTTTATTCCAATTATATTCCATTATGGCGGAGTGGTGCTAATGGTATTCAAGGTAAAACAACCCTTGTCTCTGCGGTTGTCAGGAAGCTTCTTGATGAACGAAATCCTGCGACGATTAATCACTCTATCGTCTACTTCTACTTCAAGCACCTACAGCCGACTAAACAGTCACATAACAGTCTTCTCCGCAGCGTTTTAGATCAACTCATCAGCCAGGACTCCACGATTTTAGATCACTTATTCAACAGAATTTTGGCAATAGATCCGACATCTCTACGACTAACGAAGACATTAGAAGGGTTTGTTAAGGAAGCCCTGGGGAGCCACCAAGCCACCTACATTGTGATTGACGGTCTTGACGAAAGTGCTCCCAAAGAGGCTGCGAGATCAGTGGAATGGCTCTTATCACTACTCAAAGGGTCTTCAGATACTACCACCACTACCTCGCTGCGCGTACTGTTCTCCGGTCAACGAGACGGCATTCTAGATAACCTTTTAGCCGACGAACCATCTATCACTTTGGAAAACACAGATCACGCTGAAGATATCAAGAGCTACTGCTCATATATTTGCGAACGTATAGGGAAAAAGTTCAACATTTCACAACAGCTTCAAGAAGAAATCTGCCACCGTGTCGCGGAGGGCGCAAAAGGTAACGTATAATGCATAAAGGAAGCTCTTCGGTGAGGTTGACAGAATCATAGGCATGTTCCTCTACGCCCGTGTGGTCTTGGACAACTTATTAAGTCAAACAAGACTCTCAAGTTTAAAGGCTGAAATACAACCAGGCACGTTTCCAGAAGGGATCGAAAAAGCGTAAGTATATTCTCGATAATATTGCTTTGGACATTTAGCTTATGGCTGTTCTTGATAGCTATGAAAGAGTAGCTGCTCGAGTTTTCAAAGAGTCCTCTTCTTCCGAGCGTGAGGACGCAAAGAAGATATTGGGCTGGATTACTTGTGCTGGACGACTCCTCCGATGGCGTGAGATCCAATCGAACTTTTGTATCGCACCGAAGAAGGGAGTTGTTGAATATGAAGAAGGAAAGCTTAGAGTCACTTGCAAGGAACTATGCAGTTCCCTCGTCGATGTGCACAGTGGAGGTGACAAAGGGGATAACCCCGATGATATTGTCAAAATTGTTCATGAAACTGCCCGAGAGTAAGTCATCCTATAGAAGCTTTTGACGTTAGCTAATTTCAGGAGATACCTTATTCGGAACAGTTGGATTGATGTCAACCATGCGCACGCCACCCTTGCATTATTCTGTTCAACATATCTGACATCGGATCCATTTCAATGTAACTGCGACGAGAAAACAATTTATGACAATGCAGTCGCAGGGTATTATGCTCTCCAAGACTATGCCGTCCAGTATTGGTTCTATCATCTCAACGAATGCATTAAGTTAAGCAGAACGTTGGACATAGCTCTATGGAAGGAAGTCGTGAGCTCGGCAAGAGACTTTCTTGGTTCATATGGCACCTTCGTGGACACTGGAAAGCATGATACGGGCGACAATGAGGGAGTAATCAACGCCCTCAACAACCTTCCTCAAGATGACATGGAAAGAAACACACATTTCAATATTGAACTTCGGACTATACGCATTCGAAAGGTACTCGAGTCAGTCAAGAGCGAGAATCTAGAAGGCATGACCCGGGAGATACTAAAGAATCTTCACGGGCCAACAAAGATATATAAGTGTTCGAAACCATGGTGTGAATTATTCACAACTGGATATGAAGAAATCGAAGACTGCAAACTGCATCTCAACCGCCATGATCTTCCCTTTTGCTGCACTTTCGAGGAATGTCCTGCGCATTCAGTTGGATTTGATACTCTGTCAAAACTAAACCAACATGTGGGGAGTTATCATCAAGAGGCTAGCAATGAATTGGAATTTCCTAAAGTCCGCTCCAAGAAGGACCCAACATTTCATCAAGCCATTATTCAAGGTGATATAACCGCAATCCAGACAATGCTGCATTCCGGGATGAGCATCAATCATCCCCGCGCCTGGAAATATCAAAATGGCGGGTCACTTCACACGGCGATAGAATATGGCCAGATTGAGGTTTGCAAACTACTGTTGGAGAATGGTGCTGATATTAATTACAGGTTGGGTGACCATGGAAGAACACCACTACACACTGCGGTAAAGAGCGAGAGACTTGAAATTGTTCACTTATTGCTCCGACAAGAACAATGCCTACCAGACAAATACGATAAGGCAGGTGTGTCACCATTTCAATACGCTTGTAGAGAAGGCAATTTGGCCATTGCCAAAATGCTTTTTGAAACAGGGAAGATTGACGTCGAGAAATCAAGAGCCATTCGTTCGGCCATTGAACGAGGCCATTTTCGAGTCGTTCAATATCTTTTAGCGGAAACTCAGGTTGGACCAGTGACTAAGGACGACCTGCTAGCTGCTGTTATGTGTGGTCACAAATCCATTGCTAACATGTTGTTACCTGCAATTGCGAGTTCACCACAAGGTCGCGTACTGGGTAATCCATACATGACTGGGTTTCCTCCTAACTGCGTAAGGTTAGAGAGCGACTGGCTCGTAATATATAACCAATATGCTCCCCATCGTCTACCCAGACTCGACTTGGTTTACACGTTCTGTGTCCCCGAGGACATACTTAAAATAGTATTCAGTTACTGTTTTAAATACGTCGTCTTTGGTATTGGAGAAGATGTGCTTCAGATTTACGATATTGTCTCAATGAAGCAAGTCGGTCAATGTGAAGCAGATATGTTTCCAACAAAAGCGTTTCTGAGTTCTGACGGTAGACGGCTCGTGGCAAAAGTAATGACAAACGAAGCTTATGTGAGTTTACTTGTTTCTTTCTAGTTATTTTTAACTAAAGCTAATCAACGAGGATAGGTCTGGGATATAATTAATGGATCGCCTGACGCCAAACTACAACTAGGATCCTTTGTGATGTCGGTCTATTTCGCTGGGGACGGGCGCACACTCATTGCACATGTCGGCCATGGTATTCATGTCATGAAAGTCGAAAATGGCCATCTATATCATGAAAGGACAATCGCGGTAAAAGCTCCTCCTACCGTGCTTGTATTCTCTCCTGATGGTAGGTACATCGTTGCGGGAACTACAGATGGCACAATTTGCGTCTGGGAAACAGCGTCTGGGAACTTCTTGGAAAGGTTCGCGGTAACAGAAGCTGTGCCGAATTCGATTGAAAACATCTGGTTCATTCAAAATAATGAAAATATTATGATTTGCCGCACATCCGTACACATTCAACTTTATGAGCTTTCGGGATCTAATACGGGCCGAGGTATTCAAGCAATGAAGAAAGTTGATGGAAGCAGCTGGATAATAAATCTTGGCGGTAGGACATATTTCAAACCGAAAAATATATGGAGAATTTCCGATCTTGATGAACTTCGACATGGTTCTCTCACATATTTCGCCCAACAGTGTCGTCCCCTCACATTCGATTTCAATTGGTTGCTGTCATCATTCGAAGGTCACAGCGTGGAGTTCGTGGATGCGCATAATAGCATGTCGCGACTCGTCCTGCAACTTCCTAAAGACGAAAAGAATTCCATCATGGTGAGCCCAACTCAGCCTCTGTTTATTACCTACAGCAGGAGAAAGCTTCGCCTCTGGTCATATACCTCGGAAAGTGGGAGATTACACCAACCCTCAGAACAAATCAGTTAGAGTTGAGATTATATTTGGCAGCCAAAATGGGCGGAAATTCTTGAAGCAGGGGTTAGAGCACCGTGTTGACATGAAATTTCTTTAACGCTTTCATGAACTCCAAAAGTCACACCCTACTACCGAGTCTGGCTTCTATAGATGTTCAATAAAATTCAATAGCAGTGGACGCACAAAAATTGGTCGACGTCACCGAACGCGTGAAGTTCATGAAGCACGATTTCCTTGATGGGCAGCCGGTATGTGGAGAAGACGTATACCTCAGGCGCTCATCCCGGTATTGAAACCGGGCGCTCGTGTGATAGTTAATGATATCGTTGTATCGGTACCACGAACCCGCAACCTAATCATCACGATGCTGTTTAACATGGGCGACCGCGAGCCACCTGAATTGACACACCCGTTTGAGACAACAAGCCCAGGGTTCCCCTTTGAAGGTGGGAATCAGTCGTCGGGTCAGGGGTTAGGGGTAATTACTGGTAGCAGGTACTTGGAAGGGAGTACAAAAATAGCAACTCAGGCTTCAGCTGGGATATTCAAATATTCCACGCCCTAACCTCGGAGTCCTGGTCCCGCAACAACAGTTCACCGATACCAAAGTTACTTTATATACTCTAAATATATTCTCCTGGATCTTACTTGAGTGGAGCTACTTCATTAACATCGCAGCCGCCATATAAGCTAACTGTTGAGTTGTTTTGAAGCGACTTTATAGATCATCATACTTATCAACTACCAAGATAAGTAACCTTGACAGTGTTTCCTGATACTTCCGTCGAAGTTTGCTGTACATTATTATCTTCGTCGTTGATGATGTTGACGATCGTGACGTCGTCAGGAATCGAGGTGTGAAGTTCACCTCCAGCTGTATACGTAATGTCACTTATAGCCTCCGTACCAAAATCGATAAGACCAACCAATCCGGACAGCGAGTAGGCACGCTCGACAATCCACTCGGCGCTAGACATACACAATGGCTGCGTTAGGTTCACAGTTTGGCTGAACCCCCGGCCTGTAGACTAGTTCTCCAAAAGCACGGAGGCCTGTGTGCGACTGGGTGCGTCGAGCGCTACTTTGATAATCTGAGTACACCTTGGTTAGTATAAGTGAATGGTTATCAGGGATCAAATGAAGAAAAAGTGAGCCAAGAAAACGTACATCTCCAGCTGAGATATCGCCAACGTCGACAAATACCGGCGGGTCCGGATACTCAATGCCTATCCACGTCATGCCTTGATACGCATGTTTGCCCGTCTCGTTGACCTTCGGTATCTTGGTGTCCAGAACGGGGAACGTCGCCGTCACCCCGGAGATATTCTGGCCTTGCACCACGGCCCCGGACCAATTGATGCTAGTCTTCTCGGTCGATCGCGCCGCGAGAAAGCCGTCGTGGAAGCTGGGAGCTACCAGCGCGGCGGCGAAGAAAGTATTCAAAGGTGTTGCGGCCTTCATTTTGATGGTAGGGGGCAAACTTCACGATTGGCAGCAACAGAGACAGGTAGATTTTTACAATTGGGTTCTTTCATTAAACTACTTCATATTGATACCGCTGGGCGTATCACTTCTTAAGAGGTATATAAGTGTTTAAGCTGAGGCCAATGCTTTTCGTATTTCGATCGTACGAACATGCTCCATTGCAATGCTGTCGTAGCACTTGATCCAGTCTTGGTGGATCGCTTCGTAGTTGAATGCGACGCTAAACATCAAATCGAAGCCGTTTACCCCTGTGTTACGAGATCTTGGCGGTCGAAGAAGCCGCTGGTACCTGGCCTAACCATACTGGGATGGAAACGAAACAAATGGTAGCTGAACGATGCATCTTTTTACAGAAAACCCGGGGAAGCTTCCTCTTTTCGGTGTGTACTATGCGAAGACGGCTCTTCAGTCTTGTATAAAATTGGCAATCATTATTAGAGGTGCACTCCGGGCATTACTTGCAATGTCAGAAATATATCTCACCGTTTAGCCACAACGTCGCAAAGACAGTAATTTCGCCTTTAGAACCTATCATATATTCGACCAACTAGTAATAACAGGTAACGACATGTAGAACTGCGATACTCCCAATATCAATACGCCTGATCCCCATTCATCTATTCACTCGGCCAATTCATCCCGTTCGCCGAGGCCACCCAGCTGTTCCAGTCGATCTCACCGTCCAAATCCATATTCATATCCGTAGCCCCGAACTCTATATCGGCAAACACGTCGACCGATGGGTCTGCATCGGCCCATAACCATGCTCCAAAACCTGGTCCCAGATCCGTAGATGCCGAAGAAGATCCGTAGGCCGGACCGGCATATTGGGCTGCCGGTGTAGCCAGGTTATGAAACATTTGTTGACTGTTAAAAGTTAACTCTGAGAAACTCTCGCCGGGAAGGTTATGCGGAAGTATTCCAGTTCCCGACGTCAAGATCGGCTGGGAGTACGCCAGTCCGGGTTGGGCTACTAAGACGTTGGGGTCGTACGAAGGAACGGAGCGGAAATCCGGTTTATTAGTTTCGGCAGAATAGTTAGCACTAGGTGGTACCGTAACCTCTCCATAAAATTGCGCAACAGTCTGCGTATGATCCTCTGGGCTTTGCGGTATTGCTAGAAGCCGGCGCCAGCGCTCCCGGAAGGTCTCGGCACTGTCGGGACCCGGAAATGGACCGGAGCTGCTCGGTTGTTTGGCACTACGGTCTTCTGTTTCCAACTTCCGCGCTGCCTGCGGGTCACGCCGAAGCCGCTCGATCTCGGCTTCGCGGTGCCGCCGAGCTTTGGCCATAAGCTGCCGGAGAGGGACCCAGAAGCGCAAAGTCTTATTTGTACTGCTGCGAGGCGGGATAAGCCAACTGCTGTGGAGCGCAACCCATGCCCGTTCGACCATAGGCGACCAGGGGCGCCGTGCTACTTCGATCAGAAGGTAAACAACGGCATACCAGTGCGTATACGTTTGGTAAATCCAGCGCCATTGCCGACAGGCTTGTTTTGAGTTGAGCATGTGGTTATACTCGGCTACTTCGATCGCGGCTATGAATAGCCTGTTGCGCATCTCTTCAGAAGTGTGCTCGCTTTGGGGCGAGAAAAGCACCGGGAAATAGACTATTAGACTCATCTTGGCCATTACCAGCCGTACAATTACGACAGCCACCCAGTGGGTGATATTTCCGTCGGCTCTGGAGTATCGAAGGTATATCTTTTCTAGCCTCTCGTAGTACTTGTTTAGCAGGTGATCCTGGACATCTACCTGCGGTATCCCGTCTTTGAGGCTGACAGCCATTAGCTCTCTTGTTATTTCGCATTGCGAGCTAGTCACGAGAGAAAAGGTCATATCTGTTATCCCTTCTCGTTCTTTAGGGATTTCCTTTGTCTCTGGATCAATATCATCATTGTTGATATTCAGGGGTTGTCGGGTGTCAAAACTTCCAGCGGCGATAGTAAGATCCATGCCTTGATCCTCAGAGGCTCTTACGTCAAGTAGGCATACGTGCCACCATAACCTTCGTCGCATCTCAACTTCGAAGGGAGTAAGATGAGGGAAATGGCTACCATCACGATGCAACCCCAGAGATAGAGCCATCCGAATGACAAGTCCTGTCATCATGTATATAAATCTCGGACTATCATACCGGCGGGCCAAACATAGGAAAATAGCAAACGCTTTTACAAGTAATATATCGGATACATTCAGGAAATCCGCTTTTGCAAGCGCATGCTCCAAGCTTAAACGGTACTTTAGGTTAAGTTCGGACTTGGAGGAGCCGAGATTAGTTATTGCCTGTAGAACACATAAGTACTCGTTTCGGGCATGTAGGCTGGCAAGAAGCTTACATCTTCCTCTTCCATCGACGTGACAGCGGCATAGTATATAGCAAACATGAGAGCTTCGTTGGCTGGTGTAAGAATCGACAAGCCGTTATCTTGTAAGTTCTGTACCATCCTATTAACTGTAGGCATATGAACTATCTGAGTCAGAACATTGACATTCTGATCGAAAACATTAACAAGAAAGGGGATCCGAGATAGCGACGGATGAAGGTCGCGGATATCAGGTCCGTGAGAAGTAAGATTATGCCGGAACAGAAACGCGTGGCGCTGTGAAGGAGTCCTATCCAATTCCTGGGTAGACGGGGCCTTACTAGGTGAAGCCTCATCCTCGGAACTATCATAGTCTGCAGTGGCTAGACCTTCGGTTTCAATTTTGAGGCTATCAAGCTATGGAAGTTATCAGCAACTTGAGCTGTTAGAATATACCTAATATAATATATAATCCTTCTTCTCTTATCTCGTTATTGACGCGCGACCAAAAGCCGTTGCTTACGTAGTGACTCTGCCCAGTATTCCCAAGGACAATCCTGCCGAATTGCTTCGATAGATCGGGATTACTTTTGCCAGGCGATGGAACCGCATGGTACTCGGCATCACGGCCATGGCCTGAACTTCCTGGCGAGTTGGCCGAAGGAGAACTGTGACTACTCGCTTTTGTAGCGTTATGCGCTTGCTCTAGCTGGCTACTAAGTTCCTTTACGAGGCCCTCAAGATTTCGGAGTTTTTCCATCACTTGATTGACACCTGGATCGACTGCTTGCTCCGCCTTAGCATTGTTGGCGATGCGCTCAAGTCGGCGAGCCCATCGCGGGGGCTTGTCACCGGACGGAACGACACAAGGGATCCTTGCACGGCGGCAATTGGAACATGGCGATATTTTATCACATCGAACTTTACGCGTACGGCACGTTACGCAGCTGCGTGGTTTTGGTCCAGGTTTCGCAGACATTCCTACGGAGATACCGTGGCGGGAGGCATTCGCGTTGATCTCGGGGGATAGACCCACGCCAAGATCTGTTGACGCTAAACCCCCTGAAGTTTCCGGGGTAGACATAAGTACCTCCTACTACACTTCGACGAATCAACTCTTCTGCCGGACCTTTATGCGGTTTTCTGTACATGTCTGAATTATGATGATATGGTTTATATGACCGAATTAGTCACAAAACTACAAATAATGAGAAAAGGGGGTCTTCCGTCAACGTCAGCACCGAATGGAGGATAGTACTGGGGGACATAAGCGTGCCAAGCCGGGGCAATTGAGCCCCGAGGTGCCCGCGCCTGCCCCGAAAACTTCGCGAGAACTTGGCGAGAGCTACGCAAGAAGTTGTCAGCACCTGAATAGATTTAACTTATGGATATAAATGTTAGCATTGGAGTAACTAGAAGAGTGACTGTGCCGCAAGTATAAAACATAAAACGCATAGGACAGACTCGTTCAATGTTAAATGAGATTCTTTGATAGTTCAATAGCCAACTCCAACATTTAATAACTTCAACTTTGGATCAACTGACATTTACACCAAACTAGTAATCACGCAATTAAAGAACGATTCATCACGAGATAAATAATCTCCCTCTTACCAATATCTGCGATGACTTCTAAGACAGTTGCTTTTTTTGGCGCGAGTACAGGTATAGGTCATTCGGCCCTGAAGCACTCTCTCGCAGCTGGGTATCAATGCATCGCGCTCTGTCGCAACCCGTCTAAGCTTACCTCAGTATTAACAAGAGAAAGTTGGCCTAATCTTCAGGTCGTGCAAGGTAATGCGCACGACACTGCGGCCGTCTCGCGCTGTCTCAAAGCTTCAGACAACAAACTTGTCGATGAGATTGTTTTCACAATCGGAGGAAAGCCTATACCAGCGAAAATGACTATCGACGATCCGCATGTATGTGAGAAGGGCATTACTACCGTCCTCAACGCCATCCTCACGCTGAGAGGGCAAGGTGTCGTCGGCAGACCTCACATCATCGTGTGCAGTACTGCCGGCATGTCTGAGTTCGGGCGAGACATACCTGTTACCTATCTGCCGCTATTCTCCCTTTTTCTCAAGGTACCCGGCGCGGACAAAAGAGCCATGGAGAACAAGCTAGTCGCGAGTGGTGAAGACTTCACCATCGTACGCGCAGCTATGTTCCTCAACGATGGGGAGACAAATAAACAAGTGCGCGCTGGCGTTGAGGACCCCCAAACCGGAATTGAATCTAAGGCTATCGGATACAGTATCTCCAGGGAAGATGCGGGGAAATGGATCGCACGGAATCTCGTCGTAGAGAGAAACCCGAAATATCTCAACAAGACTGCCACGATTGTTTATTGAGCAGTATGTTAAGAGTTTGGAGCCAATGCGCATAGAATTGTATAGTAAGGTGTTTTGGGATCTTGAGGACAGTTGTATAGATTAGGAGGCGTAAAGTTTGGGCGTTTTGGATGCATAATGTCACTGAATATATCAAGAAAGGGTTGCATTCAAGAGAAGATACAGCAGGAGATAGAAAGAACATTAGGTAGGTGCATAGTGTAAACTTCAAACATTCAATTGAAGTGCTCACTCACACAAAAGACTCTGATCTATAAGCCACAAAACAGAGCCACATCTGATAAGATCGCGATAAGAAATAAAATCCCGACGCGCGACAATTGATGTCGTCACCCCAACTCGTTCCCGATTTTCGGTGGCGTCGCCTTATAATCGTTGAACTTCAATAAATCTCATATACCTCATGGACTTCTTTCTCAATTAACTATCGTTAATTAGACTACTCGTTCCCCCATACTACCCCTAAGTATCTCGTAATTAATTAAGAAAATAGAAAGCTCCAATCCCTTCTCAGGACTTAGAGCACCATCGGTTCGGGATGAGGCATGACATTCCGATGCGCAGTGTCCGGGACCGCTTTGGCCGCTCACGCCGTCCGCCCTCGGCAACACATGCTCCTCCTCTACTCGACCTTTCTCCTCGCGCCGACTCTCAGCCCGACAAAGTCCCAACAGACGACACAGCACCAACCGAAACCGTTCCACACCACCGCATGCCTCCGAGATGAGCAGATCGACAACTCCCGGAACCACTATGAGACGCTGAAACTGCAACCGGGCGCAACGCCCGCCGAGATCAAGAAGTAAAGTAACCCCAACCTTGAAATTCCACCCCTCTATCCCTCTCTACCTCCCTTACTTACATCCATCCATCCATCCATCCACCTATCATACTAACAACCCCTCCCCCCTTCCCAAAAGGTCCTTCTACGCCCTCTCCAAAACCCACCACCCAGACGTCAACCCCTCCAGCCCGCACGCCTCGCGGCGCTTCATGCGCATAAGCGAGGCCTACTCGGTCCTCTCCATCCCCGCCAAGCGCGCCGCCTACGACCGCGACGTCTTACGCCTGCACCAACCCTCTCCCTCGTCCCACCCTCCCCACCGCGGCTCCTATAGCAGCACCTCCAACCCCGCCGGCGGCCGCCCCCCCTCCGGCCTAAGCCGCCGCCGCGGGCCCTTCCAGGGCCCGCCCCCGAGCTTCTACCGCAGCGGCGGCTGGGGCGCCCACGGCGCCAAGCGTCGCGCCGCGCACGACGAGAGCACCGGTTCCGGTTCCTCTAGTTCCTCTACCTCCTCATCCTCCTCTTCCGCCGGCGCCCGCGCAAATTCTTTCGGAGCCGGGGGCATGGGCCCGGGACAGACGCCGTACGGGCGGGGCGCGGAAGACGACGTGTCGCACTTCGACCGGGCATCGCACGAGCGCACGGGCCGCCACATCGACCGCCGGCGGGCGGCGCGGCGCGCGGGCCTCGACGGCAGCGGCACGCACGTCGACGTCGAATCCGAGCGGGGTACCGCGGGCATGTTCTTCCTAATCGGCGGCGTACTAGCACTCAGCGTGCTGGGCCCGTACGCGATCGGCAGGATGTGGACTCGGGGTAGCGGAGGAGGGGGCGGGAGCGGGGCCAGGGACAGGGACACGAAGTTGGACAGGAAGAGTTAGAAGTAGGATTCCGTTAGTCTAGCGGCGCAGTACTTTTTTTTTTTTTACTGCCAACGTTTTTTACCCTACCTACATCACAATTAAAGGAATCTCCGGGTGTACTATGCAGGTACACAAAATACAAAGGTCACGGACAGTTAGAGAACGCATTTGCGGAAATTTGAAAGAATCCTGTATATTCAGAATAATGCACGTATTAGCATTTGGACGCCAGGAAGCGTCCGAGAGGTCTAATGTCTACAATTGAGATATTTTGACCCGTATGCGAAGAATCCTACTTGTATCGAGTACAAATAATGAGAGGTTATTGGGTATGATCCACTGGAATTCGTCTACAAAAGTCCGAAATACTCCTTTAGCCATGGGCTAACCAATTTAGCTCTCGAAGGTGAAGCTGACGCCAACCTGCGATATTTTGTTAGAATTTGGTAGCCAAGGTTTGATTTGGGCTATACAAACCTTGTGGGTGGCCTGCTCAAGCTTCTGAGTGTCGAAGGAAGCACCGAGACCCAGGGTAACGCCAGGGCGGAGGAGGACGTTGTAAGAGATAGCGGCGACACCACGGTCATTGATCTTGGCCTATTTTTATTCCATTAGCTATTTGTCTCCTCGTAGTGCCCAATTGGGCTAGGAAATAGACGAACCTTGGCGAAAGAGACGGGGTCGAGACGGTACTTGCTAGCGACCTCGAGACCGACGGCACTACCGCTCTTCGAGTTCCAGGTAGCCTTGGCACCGGCCTCAACTTGGCTGTTCACTTTGTGGTAGTAGCTAGCCGCAAAGACGCTCAGGTTGTCAGTGGCAGTGACGGCAGCGCTGTACTGAGGAGCGATGTAGCCGACGGCGGCGCTGTAACCGGTAACAGCAGCCTTCTGGACATCATATCCAGCCGAGGCACCAGCAAGGAAACCTTCGTGGCCGATAACGGCATCGACGTTGGCAGTGGGGCCCTTGAGAAGGTCGAAAAAGGCACGGCCGTGGAAAGCGGATTGCTTGAAGGTGAGGTTGAGCTTGACGCCCTTCTGCTGGGTGGCCGGGAGGAAAGAGAAGATAGACTCGGCCTTCAATCCCTTCGCAATAGCATCGGTAATCTCGACCTTGGTGTCGAGAGCGTTGGCGGTATTCCAGGTTTGAGTCAGAACGAGGCCTGCGCGTCGATATCTCATTAGTAATTGTGAGCTGTATTGACTGAGGAAGATAGAGAACGAGAGAGGCCATTTTGGCGCTTTTATAGGTCCCAACCATGCCGTAGGCGAACTTTCTCGACGGCGTTTTCGGGTATACACCTCAACGGTCTGTTCAGGAGGAATAATGGTGGTGGAATTACCGAGCGACTTGTCTGTGTATTTGCCCTCGATCTGCAAGAGCGTTTGTTAGTCCAAAGCATACTTCGTCGCGGAGCCATCCCCAAAGCTAGCACGTAGGTAATTATTTCCTGTTGATCGCTGGCTGGTGGGAAGACATTAGGTTGGAGATACGTACGGCACCGCTAGTGGCCTTCTCATGGCTGCTCTTGCCAGTGACTTTGAAGGCGACGTTGTTGGGAGTGTTGCTTTTAACCTCGATAGTTCCCGCAGAAAGGTGGTAGAAGTCCTTGTTCAGTAACTATGATTGTTATAATTAGAATGTTTGCGCAATAAAACTGAAGCTCGAGCTGAGGGAAATTTTTCGCATATTGAACATTGAACAGCAACGACCGAAGTGGGATAGCTTCGGCCTAAGAGTAAGTTCTCTTTTTCTTTTTCTTTTTTTCTTTTCCTTATTTTAGTTACTCACGTCATTTGCCGACTTGGAAATATCAGCGAAGGCGGGGATAGACATCTTGGGTAGATTGGTTCGCGGTGCGAGTATTCGTGGTTGAGTTGAAGGTTGGGTAAAAGGAAAGAAGAAAATGTTTTTGTGGATGTGGAATTGGCACAAGATAAAATCTGATTGAAGAGATGCAGACCTCAACAACTTCGTATGACAACAGCGAGGTACAAATTTGTTTTCTTTGGCTCTTTCCTTGCCGGGTTCTCATCGGCACCTAAAGCTACCTAGGTAGGTAAAACGGCTGAACGGGGAAGCTAATTGGATACCTACCTCCTAAGTAACAGCTGACAGAACGCATAATGATAACATCTGCCACCTGCCAACTCCCATAAACAGAATCGCTTTGGAATACCGGTACCTAGCTGCTCAACTAACCCCCGCCCACGTGGGAATTGTCTACGCAGAGAGTGGTTTAGAGCACTATCACCGTGATATTACAACCAGGAATCAATTCAATGCTCTCTATAAGTTGTAGTAGCTACCGAAGTTAGTTTGTCTCGTTCGAGTTGTCCTGCTACAATATAATGGCAAAAGTTGACCCTATTGAGTTCATCCCCTATCAAAGTAGATTTTGGCTACCTTCTTTCTTTTAAATATTCGACCATAAAGTCAAACGTCACATTATATATACATGTAATAAAAGCCAATACACTCGATGCTGACAAGGCAAATCTCTATTGGTATTGTCGCGGTTCCTCAAAGGCAAAGTCTAACTTCCCGCCCCTCCGCAAAAGACCAACCAGGTTTAGTCTCGCCATACTTGCTTGGGATTCCCCATAATGGTGCAATCCCACATCGCTAGTTGCGCGATTCCATTCTCAGTAAATTGACCGTCTTATTTAGACCTTTAGGACCCAAGGCTATGCGTTTCTGCTTCGTTTCATGCCTTTTCCCCAACAAAATAGGATCATGTTTATGCGGTGCTTTCATACTTGGCAACATGCGTCGAGATAGCTCTGCATGCTATGTTAGCATCTAACGGGTCTAACTGGTGCACCGAAACAGTATTCACTTACCGTCCACTAGGGTCAGTTTGCTTCGACCACGTCGGGGTCCATCTCATCACAGTAGAAGCGCAGTGAGGAGGGAAGTGCTCGTCGAACATCATGCGGTACCAGTAACTTCGCCAACGAATTAGCAAGATCTAACGTAAGACGTGGAGAAAAGAAAACTTACGCCTCTTTGGTATCGGGGATATCATTGCCCCATTCCGGCTTAGGGTTCTTCATCATCTCATCGGTAACATGAAGTTCGGCGTTGTCTTTCAGGGCATCGATCCAGCCATAGCCGACACCGTCCGAAAATTGTTCCTTCTGTCTCCAGAGGATCTCATCCGGTAGGTAGGGCTCCGCGCTAGGGTCATCAGAAGTATCGAATGCTTTTCGCAGAATCCATTTCTCGATTCGGTCCTTGGTGATCATCTTTTCTTGGGGGTCGATGTTCATACAAACTTCAAGAAACTATTAAGTTATGTTAGTAAGAGAACAATTGGAGTAGCGGACAGACGATTTGATAGACATACCTCCTTGTCGAGGAAGGGAACTCGAGCCTCAAGACCCCAAGCCGAAGTAGACTTGTTGGCTCGTAGACAATCGGCAAGATGGAGGTTCTTGACACGGCGAACGGTCTCTTCGTGGAACGCCTTCTTATCCGGCGCGGCGTGGAAGTAGAGATATCCTCCGAAAATCTCGTCGCTTCCTTCACCACTCAGAACCATCTTAATTCCCATGGCCTTAATCTTTCGCGATAGCAAGTACATAGGCGTTGACGCGCGGATGGTCGTCACATCATACGTTTCAAGATGGTAGATGACATCAGACAATGCGTTAAGACCATCTTCGATAGTGAAGGTCATTACGTGATGTTTCGTACCGAGGAACTTAGCCACCTTGATAGCGGCTTCGTTATCAGGGGAACCAGGTAAACCGATAGAGAAAGAGTTGAGTTGTGGGAGGTATGTTACGGTAGAGAGTTTGTTCTCATCGTCGATACCAACTAGGCCTTCGCCCTTATCGGGGTCTTCAGCCGGCTCGGTAGTGCTGCCGTTAGCAGCGGCTAATGCAGCCCTCTTGAGCCTTAGAGTTTCCCTTTGGGCAATGGCTGCGACCAAACTGGAGTCAAGACCACCTGACAATAACACACCATAGGGAACTTCAGCCATAAGCCGCTTCCTTACAGATTTCTCCAACGTTTCTCGGACGAGCTTTAGGTCTAAGGGAGTTTCCGGGATCCTTGAGCCGTCCCACCAAGTAGGCTGGAAATATCGAGTCGTTTCGTTGGTCTTGGTGTCGAAAATGTGTCCCGGGGGAAAGGAGCGAATCTTGTCGCAGACTGTGTGCAAGCACTTTAACTCCGAAGCGAAGTAAGTGGTGTTGGGCTCCTTGGAAGACCACCCCTGGTATAGCGTAGTGACGCCAATGGGATCTCGAGCCGCGATCGTTCGGTCAAGTTTCTTGTCGTATAGCACAAATGAGAACATGCCGTCTAAATATTTAGGAGCGTCGAGTCCATGTTCCATATACTATAGGAGTATTAGAGAATTGTAGGGTTATAAGGTGCAATGTTAGAAGCATCCTCACCAAGGGAATGATGACCTCGCAGTCAGAAGCAGTCTTGAAGTGATAAGGGGTCTTAAGACTTTTTCGGATTAACCGATGGTTGTAGATCTCGCCGTTGACGGCAAGGATGATGCTCTCGTCGGCATTGGTTAGGGGTTGTGCGCCGGACTCTATAGCCTTGTAAGTAAAGAGATATTTGGTACGGTCAAAAAAAAACCGGAAGGTAATACATACCGACGCCTACAATGCTCAACCTTTCATGGCAAAGGACTAGAAGTGTACCCGTTAGATGACATTTCAAATCTGGGTTTATGTTGACAGGAAGTCATACTTGTGTTGTTGCAAATAACACTTCCACCTATACCAAACCAAAATTGTTAGAATATACTAATAATATACAATTAGGTTCACCATGTAATCACTTACTCCAGTCGGGGCCTCTATGTCGAATTCTACATAAAACATGTTAATTAAACTCTTAGAGGTTAGGGATGGGTTAAAACATACTGCTTTGCCAGTTTCAAAGCCGTCGGCTTGAATTTCTGGACATCAGGATGACTAGGCGCAAATGTCTTGTTAGTATACGCATAATAGCATCACAAGCAAATCCAATCGATAATTATTTTTTTGGTGGGGTTGTTTGCCGGTTATCAATTGCCCCTCCATGACCTTGCTTTGCTTAATCCAAATGCAGGGGAGGGAAATAAACTTACAGGTGACACGCAAATATTCCACACATCTTGTCAACCTCAAAGTCTAGTAGGCGAGTAAGTGGAATGTAGAATAGAAGAGTTAGAGTTTGGGAGGAAAGTTAAGGTAAAGAAGTAAGGTATGGTATAACGAGAGAAAAAAAAGATGGCTATTCTGATAGGAAGAGGAAAAAAAAGATGGGCAACGCGACTTAAACTTTTAGCGAAACGTGGAGAGGCAAGGAAGGGGACCCCGGAGGCATTGAGTCACAAAATTTTATTTACCTAAGGAAGTAGTTATCAGTTCGTACTTTTTATGTGTTATTTTATTATCATATTTACCTCTAATGCCAAATTTAGCCCGTTTAAACTTAAAACTTGACGTAGGGGCAGCTCCGGGCCTCTTAGCACAACGACAATCTTTTGCTAGCTGAAAGTGTCACACCGGGGAAAAAAGCCGATTTCGGATAGGGTTTAGGGGAACGACTGATAATTCTGGAATTGACCAACCACGAAATGCCTTTTATTGAGCCTTGACATTCACGTTATCAAAACATAAGACGATGAACGGAGATTTAGATCAGGTACCTAGGCAGGTTAGGTAATTACCTATGCCACTTAGTTATAAGTACTTACATGTAAATATCCAAATTCAAAAATGGTGGTCTTCATTGCTTCTGCTAACCTTACCATTATCATCTAACCCTTTTTTTTTTTGTACGAATCAAAAGAAAAAAAGTTTGATACTATTTGAACGACAAGCGCCGAAAACCAAAGGGTAGAAGTAGAATTGCTGCATAACATTTGCATCATACCCAGTATTCAGATAGCCACGTGCTACCCAATGCCTTATCACTCTTCGTAACACTGACAATATGCAAGAGGATAGCAAAATCCTTCTTAATAGGCTGAATCGAACCATACCTAACGTACCTAAGGTACTATTTACTTCGCACCAGAAGGGCGGACAGGGACCAGGATCAGCCTACACTCTTTAAACAAGTAGCTTTAGTAATAGAATTATCTTGAGGCCAGCAGCGCTATAACAGGCAGATTACTAATGAGATAGAAATGGGACATGGATATACGAAAGGCAAAGTGTCATAGGAGCCATCATAGAGATTATTAATTGCATGGATTATCAATTCATACGTTAATCAACCTCATCGCATCCATGTAGCCCTATTTTCTTTTTCACGGCAAAGGCTAGATCATCATTCCCGGCGAAGAAAATCGTTTAAATACCGCAGCTGCAATGCTAAATACTGCTCGACATTTTCACATAGCCCTCCTGTATCAACTCCGAAGGGCCTAAATGCAGAAAGCAGCCATCCGTATTTGGTATCCGTGACCCTGAACTCCGATGCCGAAAGTACCCTAAGTATAGAATCTCCTTTCTTAACACAACTCCATGGCACTGGAACCGTTCGAGCGCTCTAGGAGGCGGGATTCTCCTTGACCGTTCGCCTGACTCGTCGCTCATACTCGATCTTGTCTCGCTTGAAGAGGTTATACGCTTCGGCCTGCGCAGGAGACTCCGGGTTGGGGTTATCTAGGAGATCTTGGATGCCGAGCGCTATCTGCTTAACCGTGATCGCCGGCTTCCATCCTTCGTCCTCGTTCAGGATCGAAAGGCAAACGGTGCCCGAGGGGTAGACGTTGGGGTGGAACAAAGGCGGCGTGAACTTGCCTATTTGAAGTCAGTATTAGCCTATTAAGTTCTGTACTTGAGCTATAACTTGAACGTACACTTCGGGGGCTTCGTAGGGTACTCTGAAATGATATAGGTTAGCGTAACCCGTTTGCTTGATGTTCTATTTCTTGCTCGATGCTTACCATCAGGAAACGTCATTGTCAATTTAAAGAGACCGCCTTCCCACATCGTCTTTTCCTTGCCAGGAATACCGCACTCCCAGACCTTCAGATCGAGAACGCCCTGAGCATTCTTAACTGGTCGCGCCCAGAATCCGAAAGGATGGTCCTTCCTCCATTGCTTCCTGTAGTATTACATGAGGATCAGTACGATAAATAATTTATCTTTTTAGGTCGTACAAAAGCCTCGCAACGACAGGCTTGACGTACCTCTCCTCCCCAAGGCGCAATTGGCACAGAGACATCGTCTCGAAATAGACTACCTAATGATAACCTTGTATGGTTCTCAACGCTTATAGCAGGCAGGCTTCTTGTTTCGCGAGCGATTGATGAAGTCGTAGAAAGCACTGCACGGAGCTCAAATTACCTATTTAACAGCTTCGGGGCTCCGCTACGAGCAGAGTAGGAAGCTAGAAATACTCTGATGACTTGGAAGAGGGGGGATAAACCAAGCCGATGAGTAAAAGAGAAGAAGAGAAGGAGATGAAAGAATGGCAAGTTGTTTGTTGTAAGCTGCAAGAGTAAGAAGATGCGTGAATGTGAATAGATGTTAATCGAGCCTGCCTTGTTGCAGGGGTCTCAGCACCCGGGAAGTGGTTTCCCACACTCGAATAATATCGCTTTACCTTTTTTTTGCTTCTGCGTATATGTAGGTAGGTACCAAGGTACTACGTAAAGTCCGAGCAAGATAGGTACCTTCAACGTTTCTCTGTTAGCACGTCCCAGACAAGGGTATATTCTAGGTACATAGTACATAGTAGCCAATCCATTTTACGTATATTCTTATCTTATCAAGTGTCCCACTGAATGCATATTTCATCTATCTTTTACTTACGGGGATCCTGTAACGGATCTGGAAACGGTCAAGTACGAAATCAATTGTGCGAATCAGGCAAAACGTCCAAGATACCTTCAATATAACGGTACAACATCCCTCCTAAAACGTTGACCATTGATGCCAAGCATCTCACAACTTAGAGGGCCTCGGCAACTCGTGGGACTTTCGTTAAACCCAAGTCGCAAAAGTGTCGTTGCCTTACTCGCCATTTTATACATCTATCGCCTCGCTTGATTTCTCTAGTTCCACAGGTGACCTTCGTCATTACCGTTGTCGCTTTCCGGCTCCTAATTAAGATACCCTTTTTTAAAAGTCAGGCTTGGACATCCCCGCGTGTCTATTCCTTGAAAAGTCATAAGTATAAGACGGTTGAGTCCGTGCCACCCTTTTTGTTTCACAGCCTGCGAATCCGAGTTGGGTACGTCATGGAGGCAGAAAAGGCGACTGCCGATGCCAAACCGGCTGGGCAGAATGCGCCGGAGAAAGCAGACCAGCAGACAGCGCCAGTCCCTGACCTGGAAGACGCCCCGGATCCCGATGAGGATGACCTCGACGATCTTGATGACATGCTGGATGAATTTTCTAACGTGACGCTCGGCGCAAACCAAGCAACCCCAGCGCCCACGGCTTCTGGGAAAACTCCTGCGAGCGCACCGACGTCTGCTCCAGCAGGTGCGTCATCGGACACAGGCAACCCATTAGATGCGCTGGATGAGTTGTCCGAGGAGGAATTCCAGAAGCATCTCCAGGCTGGGATGGCGGAGCTAATGAGCGGGTTCGATGATTCGGTTAGTCGCGCCCCTATCACTGGTAAGGGGATCTTAAATCTAACTAATATGACGTACGTAGCCAGAAATGCAGGCCCAGTTTGAGAACATATTCAAGGGACTCGGAGGAAGCCGTCCTGGAAGCTCCGGAAGTGGATCAGGGCCAGTTCCACAATCATCTGACAAAGCAGCCTCAGATATAAGTCAGGATGCCTCGTTCCAGGAGACAATTCGGCGGACGATGGCCCGAATGCAGGAATCCGGCGATCAGGCGACAGCAGCCGCCACTGCTGAAGGCTCTGAAGACGACTTTATTGCTGAGATGATTAAGGCAATGAAAGATCTTCCCAGCGAAGGAGGCAACGAGGAAGATTTTTCCAAGGTGCTAATGGGGATGATGGAACAACTTACTAACAAGGAGATTCTATATGAACCTATGAAGGAACTGAATGATAAGTTCCCCGCATGGATGGAGAAGAATAAGGACACATTACCAAAGGACGATTTAAAACGATACCAGGAACAACAAGTTCTTGTTGCGGAAATGGTAGCTAGGTTTGAGCTACCCACGTATGCGGATTCGAACGCGGCAGATAGAGAATACATCGTGGATAGGATGCAAAAGGTGAGTGATATGATTGTCTCATTATGTCATTCGCTAACGAAAGAGCCATAGATGCAAGCAGCAGGCTCCCCTCCTCATGACCTAGTTGGAGATATGCCATCAGCCAAAGAAGTATTGGACGCGCCCGATGAGTCGTGTGCGCCTCAGTAATAATATACAAGGAATGCATCTCCCAGCTTTTTTATACATGATCTCCTTGAGGTCAGAGACCAAAATTGGCATGTACACACACCATGTCATCTCATATCCTACCATACCCAGCCCGTAGACTCCATAATCCTAATTTTCACACAACGCTAAATTGATCCTTGCCGAAAAACTCCCGTCCGTGTTGACTAACAACCCCATTGAAGACTCTTTGAACTTCATGACATGTCCATCTGTCCCGAAGACATGAAATTTTGGCTATTTTGCTCTTGCTGCGACAAGAAGTCCATGAAGAGGTGGTCATAATCTTCGTCGTCGGAAATTGTGGTTGATGCTGCTCCTGCGAGTGACTGAGATGATTGGGTTTGGGCCTCGAACATGGATAGCATTGCATCCAGCTCCTGTTCCTCTTCTTGCGCTATGACGTCGACCATCATATCGTCGGGGTTCTCTGTTGCTTCGCATTGGAGCCCCGCAAAATCTTCGATCTCATCTTCAAACACCATACCGTCGAGGTCAGCGTTTTTTTGCTCTCGCCGCTTCTTGTCTAACATGGACCACTCGAGTTTCAAAGCCTATCGAGTTTGTCAGTATAAACATAATTCCACATCCAAATCAAATGGGAAAAGGCCGCTCATACCTCCTGATCACCTCCTCTCCTTTCCCACTTCTTATCGTCTGCTCGCTTCCGTACATTCTTCAAGAACAGATTTCGCCGGCTCTCTTGGGCATTTTCTCGGTTCAGTCTTAGAGGATTTGGTTTTGCATTACGCGAGGCAAATCTGAATTTAGATGGTGGTGCTTGTATGGGTGAAGATTGAGTCTCAAATCTGGGAAGGGTGTTGGGATCGCGAGGAGATAATGATGGGGAGCTCGGTCTAATGGGAGAAGACGCCAGTGGCGATGGACGTGTTGGCCGATGCGGCGATGAGAAATCAACATTGAATAACGGCATCGTGGCTAACATTTCTCCGTTATGACAATATATGGTTTCGAATTTTGAGGGGATGATATGCAGATTATGTGTTTTCGTAAGAGAATGTGGTTAAGTTTAAAAAAAGCAATTGGTTAGGTAGACTATTTCAAGGAGAGTTTAATGAATACAAACGCGGGTCTGAAAGCAACGCGATCCTTGCCAAAGTGCGTAGGCGGGATCTAACGCGTAAAGAGGTACCTACCTAGGTAAAAAGACGTTGTAAATTGATCGATAATAGAATAGTTCGCGTTTTAAGAATTCTGGTCTCCCAAGCTACCCTAATTGGCGCATATCGTAGTACCTACAGGTACAACTAGGTACCTAGATACCTAAGTACCTGTGCTAAGAGTTTAGTTAAGCCACAGAACCCTGGAACTTTGCATGGGACGATCCAGATCTTCCAAATAGGAGAAAGAACATTCTTTTACCCCTGGTCCCTATGACGCCGAGGTTTTCCACGAGCCCGGGACTTTGCATGTCCCGACATATGGAGCAAGAAAAAAAAAAAAAAAAAAAAAAAAAAAAAAAAAAGATGCTGAAATTTTATTAGCCCGGCATCCCAACATACCGACCACCTAATTGAAGATTCAACAACTAAATCGCTGGCGGTCAAGTTCTCCACTGATTGAGGCGAGAAGGACAACATGTCTTCATTGTTCTCTTATTCATAGTATTATTTTTATAATTCTATTTTTATTTATTTTTATCCCTTCAAATGACTAGAACAGCACCACCATGAAATGCCCCTCGATCAATTCGCTCGGCCGTCTTGCCAGCAACAGGTCGTGGACATGTTCGAATTGCCGCACCCAATTACTTGTAACCCACGTTAGAACAACGCAACCTTCTATTACAAGAAAATATACGACCGGTCCTTCAGGATATTCGTCTTCGGGATACTCGAGAAAAACACATAGATCATCAAAGACAAGAGTTACCGTCTTGACCGCTGCTGGCACAGTCGCCGCCGGAGCAGGAGTCTTAGCGTTTACCGATGACATTAAGGCCGGGTACGATGCTACAGAACGTTCGGGAAGAGTTGCTGCAGCATTGGCATTATGTATCAACGAGTACGCTCCATTTCCCATTTCCAACATTACCCAAGACAAATCGAAAAGGGTTTGAAAGACTAATTAGTCCTCTAGTTATCGAACTTCTTTAAACCAACGTGACCAGACAGAGGATCCCGATGAAAGAGACCACATACTAAGGGGATGTCACAAGAGGTGCGCAGAGCGGACGCTTAAAGTACTCGAGAAGAATGGAGGCATTTTCATTAAATTAGGACAACACTTGGTAATTCTTTATACCCAGCGACTCGCAACACACAGCGGTTTTGGCTGACTTCCAAGGTAGAGTGCCATGACTTATTTACTCCCGCGCGAATGGACCGATACGTTTATACCACTACAAGATAAATGCCCCGTGTCTTCGTTCCAGTCGATCGAGGAAATGTTCCGCGCAGACACAGGCGAAGAGCTCAAAGATTATTTCTCCGAATTTTCGGAACAGCCAATAGGGGCTGCCTCTCTTGCCCAGGTTCATCTAGCGACGATTAAGGAAACTGGTAGAAAAGTTGCCGTCAAAGTCCAACACCCAGGGTTGGCGCAATGGGCGCCCCTCGATTTGGCCTTGACCAGATTTACTTTCTCGACTTTGAAGAAGTGGTTCCCGGAGTACGATCTAGAGTGGTTATCTTCTGAGATGGACGTTTCTCTACCCCAGGAACTCGACTTCCAGCTCGAAGCTGCAAATGCGATCCGAACACAGAAATACTTCGCGCAACGCCCCGAATTACCCCTTGTGGTCCCCGAAGTTATCTGGGCGAAGAAGCGGATCTTGGTCATGGCGAACGAATCGGGCCATCGTCTTGATGACCTGGAATACTTGGATTCGAATCATATCGATCGAGACGAAGTTTCTGCTACGTTAGCCCATATCTTCAATGAGATGATTTTCGGTAAGGGTGCTCCTCTGCACTGCGATCCTCACGGCGGCAATCTTGCTATTCGGAAGGTGACTCCTCGGAGAAGAGGCCGCCACAACTTCGAAATCATCGTATACGATCACGGCCTATACCGAGATATTCCTGAGGACTTACGACGCTCTTACGCCAAGATGTGGCTGGCAGTTATTGACGGAGATATGCCCTCGATGAAGCGATATGCACACGAAGTAGCCGGGATCACAGACGAACAATTCCCTCTTTTTGCCAGCGCCATCACAGGCCGCGATTACACCGTAGTCAAGTCGTCGATCCTAAAATCGCGATCTGACGAGGAAAAGAAGACGATGGGCGACGCGCTCCAAGAAGGCCTTCTATCCGACCTCGTAACCTTGCTGGGACAAGTGCCCCGAATTATTCTACTTATCCTCAAGACGAACGACCTAACACGCAGCCTGGACGAGAACCTACACACCCGCCAAGGCCCGATGCGGAACTTCATGATCCTAGCCCGGTATTGCGCGCGCACGGTGTTCCGGGAGCAAGTCGAGGAGATCCAGGAGCGGCCCGGGTCCTTGCTGTGGCCGGGCAATGCGCTGCGGTTCATGGCGGCGTGGGTGGGGTACCTGCGCGTGGAGCTGAAGCTCGAGGCGTTCGAGCTGTGGCTCACGGTCAAGAGGATCGTAGGCCTGAACACGACTGGCTACGAGGGCCCTGTATCATTATAAGTGAAAAATAAAATAGAATAATAACTGCCGGTATTAGGTAACTACGACATAATATACCAGGTACCTGTATTACGCGGGGGCGGTAGGGGCAGCGGCATCATGTTCTTACTCTCTCCCTTAGGTACCTACTACTTTTTCGAAGCGAGAGTCTTTTTCTTTTGATTTCTCATGACGAGACGGGATGAGATGAGATGAGATGAGTTCGCGGATGAACGGAACACTGGTTACTGGATACCTCTTATAGATGGATGGATAGACAGATAGAGGGTAGAAAGGGGGGAGAAGGGAGAGAGGAGATATGAGCAAGCATTAAGCGGCGTCGAAGGGTGGGTAGGTGAATGAATGAATAGATACGAAACTTTGTTAATGAGATGCAACGTGAGTGATGCGGTTTATACATATACCTTAGGTATTTACCTAATTTTACTTATATACCTACCTAATGTAAAGCTTTGGCTTGTGTTATTTACCTACCTAACTTACCTACCCCCTACTAATACATGCCACGAGGCTCGATGTGCTTGGTCTAGTGAAAGGGCACCTTATTCAATACGCACGCGAGAGTAATACCATAGTAATAAAAGCCGAACCTTGTACGTGGGAAGTTTCTGCCCGTTTTAGAGTGCCACTTACACTCGGACATGTTGTTGACCTTAAACTATTTGCACTCCTCTCTCCCAAGTAGCAGCATGTGCGCTGTGTGAATGCATAGCTAGGAGGTACCTAACTTACCTCCTACACCGTACAATACTAGGTAGCTGATATCATCGTCCAAGGTAGCTTGGACATCCAGGTAGGTACCTAACTCAGTCAGTCTGGGCCAGGACATGACATGATTCGTCGAACACGACGTCTATTAAGCAAGAACCCGTGTGGACGTGTTACGACAAGGGTCGGCGTGGCAGTAATAGAGGTAGACACCGTTGTGGCATCTACCATTTTTGCTTTGTTTATTTTTTATGTTTTATGCTTTGTTTTCTTTTCTTTCCAAGTTCCATGTAATAGAACTTGAATCAGGTACCTTAGGTAGTTTCATACGTTCCTGAGACTAATTTGAAGACTATTCAATATACTTCCGGCCTTAAAATTTATTGTTCAAGGGTTGACCTTTTAATATGGATCGCAAATCAGATACAGCGTATTAATCGTAGTATCAACAAATAATCACGTATTTCAAGGCAAATACAATAATAGACATGATTGATTAGGTTAGGTAGGTACCTAGGGAGGTATCCAAATATATATATATATATATCCAGGGCTTCATTGCACCCTTTTCCGGCCTAATAATAAGTCTGCAGCAAAACACGCTGCCAATGCAGACTTCGCATCACTATCTCATTCTTGTGATGCGTCGCATGATATGTTCCTTTCCCAACAGAAAATATCCATAATCTCCAGTTCGAGTTCGACGTGGACAGTTTCCAAGACCAGGCGATAGCAAAACCTCAACCCCAAATAGGTAGCCTTAGTAGTAGTCTGCTAGCAGTAAGCTACTTCGTTTCCGGTGTTGCAGTGTACAAGTAGTGATGACGGTTCCTGTATATCTTCTTGTCGGTGACCGATATACTTCAGCGTTGCGTGATCAGAAGACTAGGTGGCGCCATTTACTCGTCCGTCGTACGTTGTTCTGCCCAATTGAAGTTTCGCTAGTAAGAAAGGTTTTTTTTTTTATTCTGTCGCCAATTCCCGCTCGGTTCAATAATAATAAAGGGGTATCAAATCCATTCCCATTGCTCTCCAATAGCCTATACGTCATCGCTAAACATCTCCACATACTATTCCCCAAAGCTTCTAACCTAGCCAATAGTCGTTAGGTGTTATACCTATCAACTACAGCAGGCTTAACTTAGCGACGACCCCACCTCCAACTGGAACTTGAACTTGAACTTGACGAAACGGTGTGAGCGCTGGAGTCGCTGCGATCGCTGTCTACGCTAGTGCGCTTCTCTGGTTGAGGTGATGGTGACCGGCGCAAGTACGTTGGTAGGTATGAGGTGGTCGTGCTGGGCGGTTCGGGCGAAGTCTGACGCGTTTGGAACGACTTCTGGATTTGTTTGCACAAGTGTGCCGACATGGTGTAAGTGGGTGACATGTTGAGACGAGTAGTAGCACTTGGTAGTAGGAGCGCGTGACCTCGATTTGAAAGTAGAGATAATACGGATTGTCCAACAAGAGAAGGTTGGCGAGGCAGTAGTAATACGCTTGTATGTAGAACAGACGTGTAAGTCGCGGAGACCAAGAGGAAAGAGTATCAAGGGCTGCTTGCTGGCTTCAAGCTTTTTAAGTATGAAAGGCACCGTTTGACAGGAGCTTGGCGGTATTGGGTGATAAGTCTAGGTCGAGAAAGGAAGTCGAAAGATAGACGGGATGGTCAAGATGGTAAGTAGTGATATGTATGGGAAAGACTAGAATGGGGAAGAGGAAGATAGAATAGGTAAGGGGAGGGTAGGAGAGTTTTATTTATTTGTAGCTCGAGTAAATCCTATTTGAGCATTCCCAAAAATAGAAAGCTACCTACCTTAGGTTAATATCTAACCTACCTCTGTATGTGATGATCTACCCATTTGTCGTGGGAGCCGTGGAGTGAATCCAGAAGGGTAAATAAGTTCAGCTGGCTTTTTTTTTTTTTTTTTTTTTTTTTTTTTTTTTGGACTGACTGACGACGCATCTTGGACTAAAAGTTTAGGTACAGGTAGCTTGCTAATCTGCATGGTAAGCAAATGCAGGGTTTACGAATGGATTTACATGGGGGAAATTGTGTGAATTGGTTGGAATGGAATAGGTAGAGTACGTCTGAAGTCCCCTGGAAAAGGGGAGTGAAAAAGGCGGCCAATTACAGGTAACTACAGTTGGAGACCAGTGGATGAGTCCAGTACCTAGCCCAGTGGTGTTAAATCGACTGTCGTAACTCGTAACTAGTAACTACCGGGCGTCCCCGCTATACCAGGTCACCATACCTCCTAAAATAGTTACTTAAAGCCCTTGCGACGAATCAGAGCGTACCTAATTCATATTACACAGCATTCTAACGAACCTTATGTGACTCTGTCTGCTCTTGTGTAACTCTGTATGAGCTGATCGGATCGTACGACCACACCACCTGGAAGTTCCCTTCCCGGTCATTCGCATTCCCACCATCTATTCCACTAGGTACCTAATCTAAGGTACCTTCTACAGACTACCTCAACCCATCCACCCATCCGTCTATAACCCAGCCTTAGGGTAGCGAGCGTCAAATCTCTAGAGCACGGAATTCCATCTTTAAGAAGCATCTAGACTTGTATGGTAAGAAAGTAAGAAAGTACCTACTTTAGGTAGGTTAGGTACACATACGTTTTGTCAAATAACCATACAGGAATACAGGATTAGAGGAATCCGGATTGGATGGATGGATCTTTTGACTTTTTTTTTTCTTTTTTCTTTTTGGGCCACTGCACGCGACCACACGATACTACAGATATTCTAAGCGTCTACAAATCAAAATAGATTGAAAGATCTTTTTTTTTTTCTTCCGATTGAACCCCGCAGGTATAATAATAGGCCGCCGGCTTGGGTCTCGGTTGTCGGGATACGTCATCCCGTACTAAGTTGAAGCCATCACCATTCCTCAGTGCAGGTCAGGTTATGTAAGTTCAGTCGTCGTGACTCGTCTGACAACCTGTACGGGTTTACAAACCAACCATCCTCATGCATGCGTGCAATGTGCATACCCAACACTCGACGCATGAGCCGCATCTTGTCAAAATGAACTTGACTAATTCTGTATCTCCGTTATCATATTCTTAATTCCGTCAGCCCTATGCGATACAGCTTAATTGCATGACATGGATAAATTATAAGGTACTACGAATGTAGTGCGCTATACTTGGTAAAGTGAATAGATCCCAGTGAAAGAACATACATCAGGTAATATCCATTACGGGGAATAAATAAGAGTAAATAGGAGTAAATACCTAGCTCTGTTAGAAAAGTTTCTGTTCTGAGTACCTAGACTTGTAATAAGTTTCAGCATTGCGTTGTATCACAAACTATCAAACTCTTCTCAACTCAACTCTTGTCTCTGGGATAACATGCAACTTGTATCTTTCCCTTATGTTAGAAACGCAATAATTAAACTCATACTTTGTACAGATATCATGCCACCGCTCTCATCCGAGGATAGCTACACGGTCGTACGGGCCGGAACGGAATGCACATACCCCTTTTTACCGCGGTAATCTTCCGGAGAACTACCTACGGGAACAACCTTCAAAACGAAAATACACCGCCGAGATATCACTCGAGAAGGCATTGCTCACCATCTGTTTGTGAGGTATGTACAAATTCATTATTTCCACGTGGTATGACTGTCACTCAGAAACCTGATGATCTCGTGGCGTGCGGCGTTGGTGGCGAAGAGAACTTTTTAAAATTGCACTATTTGCCCCCTGCATAGATCTACGGCTTTTGTATCTCAAACAGATCTTGAAGTCGAATGAACATGATGAGATCTTTTTATTATTTGACGTTAGGTATACCTACCCCTATGACAGGTTAGGTATCTACCTAGACCTTGTAAGTACCTACCGCCCGGTCCGCTGCGTATACGGGAACGGCTTCCACAGGGCCTTGACGCCGAACCACCACAGCTCGTCCTGCCACGTGTTCCAGTAGTGCCCGCCGAACGGCGATACCCGCGACAGGAACCCGACGCCCAGCCCGTCGAGCGCGGCCTCGAACACGGAGTCGTACAGCCCGTACGCGACGAACAGCCCCTTCCGGCCTAGCGCCGGGTTCGCCGCCAGCGCCCCCGCGTCCACGTACGACACGTTCATCGTCGCCGGCGAGAACAGCCCGTACCAGTCGAAGTAGTCCGTCGCGTGCGCGTACATCTCGTACGCGAGCCGCCCGCCCCACGACAGGCCCGCGAACGCCCGGCACCCCGGCGCGTCGCACACGTGCGGCACGTTCGCCGCCACCCACGGGAACAGGTGCTTCTGGTAGTTCTCCCGGATGCGCTCGGGGGCGGGGAGCGCGAACGTGGTCGACGCGTCGCCCATGACGAACCGCGGCAGGCTGTCGTCCAGGTTGTAGAACGACGGCATCACGACTACCGTCGGCGCGATGTGCCCCGCCGCGATCAGGTTGTCCATGATGCTCGACATGCGCCCCTGGTTCTCCCAGTCGTTCCCGTTACCCCCCGCGCCGTGCGACAGGTACAGGAGCGGGTACTTCTTCCCCTCTACCTTCCCGTATTCCGCCGGCAGGTAGAGGGCGAGGTGGTGGACATCCGGTGCGGGATGGATCGATCCGGGCGACGTGTAGTTGACTGACTTGACGGTGCCTCGGAACTCGGCGGGAGCAGGAAGCGCGTAGTTGAAATTCGCAGTTATGTCGTCGGTTCCTTGGAACCGCGCGTCGAATGGCACCTGGAAGCTGGATGATACCTGGTCTCCTTTGACGTTTTCGAAGGGAGGCAGGTCCGGGTCGGTGACGAGTTGGCCGGTAACGATGCTGCAGTTCGGCGGGAAGTCGCAGTCGATTAGGTACGCATAGCTATAAATGCCCGACGGGAGTGGCGTTGTATAACTCCACACGCCATCGCCATCGCTCTTCATCTCGTACGGCCACTGGTAGCCGTCCGGCATCTGTCCGCCGGCTACGTAAAAGTCTCCGGGCTTGTAGTCGTGAGGATCATACCACGCGCGGTTGTTTAAAGTCGTGTGAAAGTGATCTGAAAACGGCATCAACCCTCCACCAATGAGTACACGGTTGGCTGTTGTGTTGACGTATTTGAAGTCGACCTCGTAGCCCGTTGGGCCCTTATCGGTCTTCCGCACGGTGACTGAAGCAGATGCTCCGACTGAGTATAAGGCCAACAAGCCGAGAACTGTTTGTACGATCATCTTGATCTCTCCTGCATTAGGATGAAGTAGAACTTGAGACGGCGTAGCAATACGTCTTTGTCTATGCAGCCCATTTAGGGCCCTTTTATAGAATCGAGGTCCTCGGTGTTTACCTCAGCGAGAGTGAAGATCACCCGAAGGAAACCCGGTTCCCGTACTTGACAGCTGTTCTCCAAGGCCCCGTCCCATGCATCATGACGCTTAGCACTTCCGACTTGCCCGGGATGCCAACCAAATCCTTGCGATGGTCTCGGCTGAATGCTCTTTCAGGCACAGCTCTGAGGGGAATTCTCGACGTTATCCTCCCGCAATGTCACCTTGCCTGCCGGAGATGATCCTCTCTTTTATATTTCCCCGCATTCTGGTCTCCAAACCGACCAGGTGCCCAGGAAGGCCATTGGTTCCCTAGTAAACTAGAGCGCACTTGGGAATGTTTACACTCGTAGGTTCGGCACATAAGGGCGCAGTATAAGCATACGACAAGAGAAAAAAACAACCATATGACCATATGATGCTTTAAATTTTCTATCTTTACCAATGTAGTCTCTTACAATAACGTGAAATCGGTCCTATTTTGAAGTGCCTAGCCAATGTCAATCACACCGAATGTAGGTACATTAGGTACCTATTATCATAACTATCGTGACTGTCCATAAACCCCAGAAGACTCGTTACGATAACATGTTAAGCACTGAAACTATAACTTATTAAGAAAACTTAATATGCATGAGAGAACTGTGGCAGCTTTCAATATGGAGTAGAGGAAATATATCCATTAATTATATATGAAACATATGACAGTCATTAATCGTTGACAAAAGCCGTAACGTTCTCATCTCTTCCAAAATAAATTCCAATAACACGAACTCTAAATCCTGAAGGAAAAATGTAAAAGAAACAGTCGTAAAACTAGAAGGGCGTATAGGTTGTAACTCTAGTCGTGTATCTCATCACGGTATCGTTAAGAGAGATGCCAAGCCAAATGGAAAAGAAATGTAGCTAAACCTCGCTTTCTATCCAACTCACTGCCGTAATCATATATCTCTTAGCGCATGTTCAAATAAATTCAGTAAGCTGCCTCCAGGCCGTAGGAACCCTCCGATAGTCTGAACAATGTCGTTAAATAAAACAGGATCAGGATCGCCGAGGGTTTTCCATGCCCCACCGACGTGCCAGCCATTCCCATTACGCGGGAGGTATTCAAAACTACCTTGTCTTGGAAGTCCATCAATCGCGGTATTGTTATTGCCAAGTGGCCGTCCAGAAAAATCGAAACGATCGGGGAGATACTCGATTTCACTGTCGTCGGAAACTGGTGAGTCGTCGCCGCGTACTCTACGTCGCTGGACACGCGGTCTATTGGACGATACATCTGAGCCAGAACGTCTTCGTAAATTTCCAGGTCGTTGAAACTGGACCAGTTCCTCATCGATATCTTCCTCCGATCGTTCCCCCATCCGGCGGCGATGTCTTCTGAGAGTCCGGGAAGACTTCGGCGAAAGAGGGATGAATTTGACTTTAGTTGCAGAGGGCTCTGCATCGACACTTCTCAACTGTGGACCGAGAGATCGGTGGTGTTCTTTTATACCATCTGAAGACTAAGTTAGAGCTGTGGAATTTTATAGCCTGCTTAAAATACTTTGATTATACAAAGTAGAGTAAACTCAAGGAGACGCACCCTTCTCAGTAGCCGTGCTCTGAGAGGCATCAAGATAGGAGTTTATGTCACCAGAGCGTGGATGACTCACATTTTCTGGTCCGGTTCGGTTACCCGAGCCAGGTGATGGTCCAGACGGCGGGTGGCCGGGAGGCGGAGGAGGCATATTCAGTGGAGATTGACCTGCGTAGTCTTGGGGGTTATATGGGGGGTAAGGGTTATAAGCATTGAAATTAGGGGTAGATGGATTAGGATGCTGCGTAAAGCCAACTGGGGGTGGACCGGTAGGTTCGGATGCCAGAGGCGGAGGTGGATAATATGCTCCACCCGAAGCGTGAGGTGGCGATGGAGGTGCCCCGGCGTGATAATCGTAATATGGATCATCAGGCGCCTCCTCTTCGTAACCTATTTCAAGTTTTAGCTACTTAGGTGATGCTATGCGGGAAACTTGGTACTACGTACGCCTTCGCTCGCGATCACGGGACCGTCTGGCTTTGCGTTTTTCTCGGTCTCGATCCTCTTTATCTAGTGACTTGTCTCGGCTTGCATCCGTGGATTTAGCTTCTCGTTCTTTACTCTTTTGGCGATCGTGATACTTCTTGATACTCATTGCCGCTGCTGCAGTGCCTATTCCAGCCGCAACGTCACGAAGCTTGCTACGACTTCTTTTCTTGCGAGCCTCTCGATCGGACGTGGATGGTGAGCGGTGATCGTGTTTACGACGGCGTCGTGGCTCTTCGGTAGCAGACTCGTAGGCCCCGATGGGCTCACTCCCGTATTCTACCCCGGGAACCACGGGAACCAGGCCTAATTCTCTATCAGCCGTAGAGTCTCGTGAATGCGAACGGCGGCTAAGTGACCTAGAACGGGATCGGCTCTTTGAGTAGCCTCGACCTCTATCGTAGTACTCGTCATCTGAGTCTCTATGACGTTCACGTTCTTTTGACTCTTTTCTTTCCTTGCGACGCTCCCACAGCTTTTCAGCTGCAGCGCCAGTCAAACCAGCAGCCGCAATTTCGGCACCTAGAGGGTTAGATACTGTCGCATCTGGAGGTTGCGAATCTTTTTTACTTACCAGTTCTTAGGCGGGACTTGGATCGAGATTTTCCTCGTGATTTGGATCTATAATGTTCCGCTATACCCGCTATAGCACTAATAGGTCCCGCTGTCAGCAGTTGGGTTATCATCATGATAAGTAACGGGAAGGCGGGTAGTAGGTAGTATTCAAAAAAAGGGGAGGAAAATCACGTTCGAAAATATATAGGAGGTAACTTACCCGGTTGCTAAAGCTGCCTTGGCTGCTTTAGACTTAGATTTGCTTCGGCTATGACTGCGGCCTGACCGACTTCGGGAAGTCGAATACTCGTCGTCAGAATAACGGCGTCGTGCTCGTCCACGATTTGCTTCTTCTTTCTCGGCCTTGTTATTCTGCATGTACTTAAGTCCACCAGCAACGGCTAAAGCAGCGGCACCCTTTATAATTGTTACTATATTCTGTGACATTGCTAATTCAAATTTTTGGAACACTTACGATGGCCAATCCGGTTGTTAGTCTGCTGCGCGACTTGCTCCGGTGTCGATGTCGATAATCGTCGTCGTAGTGATCGTGATCTTCATACCTGTCCTCGTGTCGATCCTCGTATGCGCTCTTTGCGCGACGCACAGCCTCAGTGCCCAAGGCTCCTAAGGCAGCACCAGCGAGAACCTTGCGTCCTCTATGCTCATGGTGCTCGCCATCTTTACCACCACGACCAGAAAGTAGGGCCGTGAGGCCGGCGCCAGCAAGGGCACCTTCGGCTAAATGTCGCTTCTTATGATGGTCGGAGCTAGAACTACGTTCCCGCGTTATGATCGTCCTCTTGATATAGTAGTCCTCGTCGTAGCCATCACTTTCATATTGGCGCTCGTCACGACGCCGTCGGTCCTCCCGACGATAATGATAATCTTCCTCCTCCCGGGGTTCCGGTCGAGGCGCAACTTGCCGACGTTCGTCCCTTAGAACAATATACGTCGGTTCTTGCCGCGGGAGTACGACGGGGGCAGGTTGGGGAGCTTCGTGGATAACAACCTTTTGCTCTGGAAATTTCTGGCGGATAATGACGGGCGCCGGCGCAGGTGGTGGCGGCGCGTAATACTCGACTTCTTTTCGGTATCGCTCAACATCAACATCATGGGGTTCTCTCTCTATATCAACACGGCGCTCAATCACTAGGTCCCGTTCTTTATAATCGCGAGGCTCTTCCCTAAAATCCTCTGTTTTTTCCCTAATTTGTAGCTCCCCATCTGCTTCTTCGCGTACGATACGTCTTTCAACACGAACATCTTCTCGAACATCTTCCCAAGGGTAAGCTTGTCGACGATCCCAGTAATTGTCACGAGGTGATGGAGAGGATGTCTTGATCTCCTCAACAACTTTGGTGCGAGAGTGCCTCTCGGGGTGATGATCGCGATCGACGTCACGCTCTCGCTCATATTCGACAGTTGTATAGTGGTCATGCGAGTCGAAAGCCGATCTGGGACGCTCGGGATAAGTTCTCTCAACACGGCGATCCACCTCCAGCAAATCTCCAGACGCACGGCCGGCATGGGAATGCGAGTGTGAGTGTGAGTGCCTTGATCTGCGGTCGTCGTCTTCTTCATAGCGATCCATGCGATCTCGCTCCACAACTCTGCCTCCACTTCCTACTTTGTATCGTCTCACAGTTGTGCTTTTGTATCTCTCATCATCAGACGAAGGACTATCTTCCCTTGTGTAGCGCACATCGCGCTCACGATAAACTTGAGCCATATTGTTGCGAATGCCAATAGCTCGGAGATAGTGACGTCACCGAAGCGCAGGTGGTTTGATTTCAAATAAAATTGCGAAGATGAGAATGAACGCGAATTATGAGAAATTATGAGGGGTAGAAGGTATATAGCTACCTAAACTAAACTAAATGATGACAAGTACCAAGAACTATATATATCGCGACTAGAAGAAAAGAAGACTGGTGACGATATGGGATGATGGAAAGCGTCACGCAGGACTTTCGCCCGTTAAGTTGGGCTCGAGAATGATCGGGAAGAGCGACAGATCCTGGGTGATGGGCAAATGGATGAACGGGTTCCCGAGGGGGCGCCGACTGTGACTCTAACGAGCAGCCCAACGTGGTTGGTTACTTGGCGTTCGGAGCTTTTGTGGAGGAGCAGAGGGAGGGGAGGAGTGAGACTAAATGACAGTATTGCAGTAGTTTGGTAGGTAATAAGTGATGTTAGTTGCTTCTCAACCTTGCCATGCTTGCCCTGCCTCGTGGCTATTTAGTCTCCAGGCTTGCCGGTTCTCCAGGTCCCCTGGATTCTTGATTTTCCTTGGAAGAACGTATGGAGCCCGCCCTTTTGCGCTGCGCCTTGGGATCCGTATGCGTTTGCAGTTTTATTTGCGCAGATCGATGTGGAAAAAAAGACGAGAGACCCTCAGCTTCCAAGGTTCAGATAGATGCGGGGTTCCCGAACTAATCAATATTCTGATTCGTCTTTATATCGCTCAGTTGTTGGTATCGAACATGAAATAACACAGCCGCGAAGCAATAACTAACATGAACAATTTTAGAGGAAAGTATTTAAGAAAAAATTGACATAGCCTCCGTTATCGATTGTATTGTAGGACTTATTTCTTATTACAGACTACCTAGGCAGACAGAGAGGGTTGTGGTTATTGCTGCTGATGATGATAAGAGGTAAGACATTTTTTTCATCACCTTGTGATCATTGTTTGGGCTGTGGCTGTGATAGCTTCTAGTCTCGCTTGCTGCGGTTTAATTGGTATTTAATTGGTAAGTGGGTTGAATTATGTGCATAGCATATGCAGCCTTTTACCCATGTACTATGTAAGTTGGGTCCCGTGGCCTATAGATGCGCACTTTCCTCTCCAGCTGCTTCTCAAATATTCTTCACGTTTTCTGCGCTTTCCAAAATATTCGTCAGGCCTACTAGGTAATGTTCTCGTGTTCCGTAGCACTGGAAAATAAGAAAGGCCAGAACTATGTCGTCATTGGGTTTCCTTTACGAAGTCTGGCCTCAACACCTGCTGCCCAGGTGCCTTATACTATGCCGGCTTCTCAAAACCGGGCCCGGCGGATTGAGTGAGGCGTTAGGCAGTTATTGTGGATCCTACCAACTTTTAGTGGTCTTTCACCAACAATTGTAACAACCTACCTCATCTTCGGAATAGTTTACAGACATTCCCAATAATTTGATGAGAAACCGGTTACATTCTTCTCAATTTTTCATGATTCACATCAAATCTTACTAATAAGAAGCTGAAGCCTCATACCATATAAGCTTACTCTGCGCTTTCAGCCCACTGGTAATAATCATTGTATTAATTGCTTGTTAGGTAATATACTGTATGTTAGGTACGCTTACCGTATGCCCGTTCTGCTTTAGTCCACCGGAGTCAAGTCTCACCACTGAAATCTAGAAATTCAATAGTCTACCCACTTGTGTATAATATTTCTTTTCTTGCCTACCTTATGTACCTGGGTACCTAGTAAAAGGATCCACGATATATCTGACCAGGCAGAATGGCGTCAAAAGAGTGCCTATTCCATTACCAAGCAGGTTATTTTGCTATACGCATAGCTTTACCGAATCGTCTCGTAGGCTATCGAAATGACTACTAGAATAATTATAAAATTTTGCTCTATATGGAAACTTTTTTTTGAATTTAATTTGTCTTTATATTCGCTAAAAAAAGGTTGGTGGAAGGAATATTGGTTGGTGTTAGGCACTTATTTTGACGGCATTCTGCTAGCTTAACTCCCACCGGCTAATATGTAGCTTAACGTTACCTACCTAGGTAGTTCAGGTTAACAACATTGTCAGATTCTAGGTTAAGGTTAAGTCCTTTTTGCTACCGAATTGAAGTATTATTCATGTATGCTAGGACTCTTCAATCACAGATACCCAGCTCTCACACATTGACTCATCCTTCTCTATTCCTGCGACACAGGTATTCAAAGTCTTGAGAATTCCAGCTTGCTTGCTTCCTAGGTCAGTGTTTGTTCGACCCTTGAAAAAACGTATTATGATTGACATGTACTCCTATTTCTTCAAACTTTTAAGATTCTCGCTCCGCATTCCCCAAAGGCCCATGGAGCAGCGTTGCAATTCTCTAAACAATACGGGTTCGGTTTGCAAAAGTCATCACCCTAGACAGGATAAATGGATAAATTACGGCAATTACCTGAAAATTAATTACCAACAATGAAGGGATTCCCATAGATGTTACAGAAAAAGTGCAACGTTATCACGACCTAGACAGGGACGGATGGCATCACAACGACTGTAGCCCTTCTTGCAACATTCCAGATGACGCGTCAAATGTAGTATTAATGACAGGACAGGATTCGGTTAATCAAGAGAGTAATTTACACATGTCGATCTGAATGGCTTCTAAGCTATGTGTACCTAGGTAGGTTACGTGTCGGAACCGGCAGGCTGAAACTAGACTGCAGCTCCCTTCAATTGACCAACCAGCATTCTAAACCTCTTCCAATGCCATGCGTCGCCTTGCCCTTTTGAGCCTTGGCAAAGCTTGTTCCGATGTTCCTGCATTACTTGATAGCTATCCAGTTTTGCACCGTACTACCTACCTGTTTGTGGCATCCGATAATAGGATTGGGAACAGATTTACAGCTGCATGAGCGAGGAGAGAGATATGTAGATTAGGCTTCACATATACCTTTTCGATAATTCGCCGAGAAGTTACATCCTCTAAGTAACTATGGGCATGGGCCGGTGGTTTATAGTTTTGGAAAAGGAGAAGTCTCTCCGCCTGGTCAGGAACACATGTATATATATCCCTATGACCTCCTCGTAAAACAAGAACTGAATCAAATCACTATCAAGCCTTCACTCAGTCATAAGATAATCATCATGAAAGGAATCGTAACTCTCCTGCTCTTCGGGCTCGCTGCCGCAGCACCTGTGAACCAGGAGTCTCAAAACCAGTGTAAGTCAGATCTTATCCAGGCGTCAATGATACACGACTAACGCGCATGATAGTGCCTGGTAAAGACGCAGAGGGTAAATACTATTCCCCCCCATGGGCTTAATTACACACCTATGCTAACATATGTCGTCTAGCTCACCCGCATCCTACTGGTTTGCCTACCGTCAGCTTTTCGCTTCCCCCACTGCCTACCTCTTGGCCATTCCCGCCACTACCAACTGGCTCTGGCTGTAAGATATTCCCATCTATCTGTCTATTCTATCATACATATAAGCTAATAAACCTTACAGTCCCTGGCCGTGAGTTGATAGATCATGATATCGCAAATAGCAATAAACTAATATAGGTTGGACAGTCCCTCGCCCTACTAGTCGTCCTCAACCAACGGGTCGACCGAAGCCCACCAGTCGACCTCACCCTACCGGTCGCCCTGGCCGCCCTACTACTACGTGTTAGTTACAAATCACAACTTACCTATATAAGGTATATATATATATGACATGGTGCTGTTATCTAACTTGCGAATAGCACCACTTCCCACTCCTACGCCGACAGCTTGAAATGGTGTAAAATGATAGGCTATCAAGAGCGCCAAGGGTACGACCTTACATTATATGGGCTATTATACTAAAGGTCTATTGATAGTTCGATTATATAGCAGAATATCGTTTGTACTTGGGGCGGATGTGACGGATTATGATTCTATGTCAACAAGAAAGCCATCCCATTAGGGGCTTGCCAAGACCTGACAACGTTATTATATTTTATTCTTGTATGCTCTATTTAGGTACTAGGTTACGTAGTTATACCTGGGCACCTAATGCTTACAAACTCAGGAGTGGAATTTTTATCTAACTACTATTTGATCGCAAAAATGGACACATATGGTTCCTTCCGTTACTAAGGTGGGCAGTTTATATTCATGACTTGTAGTTGCCCCTTTTGCCTTAAGATGGAAATGGAGGATAAGAATTATGCATCTGCAACAGATGAAAATCTAGAAAGCGCGCATGGCGGTATAGGTATAAGAAGTATCGCTGAAAAGCTACAATCGATCATACTCTTTTACTAACAACAATTTTACTATGAACGCAATCCTTTTCCTCTTTTCACATTTGCCCCTAATGGTACCTATATTATCACTATCACACAAATATCTGGTACTTACTAACAACTTATAACCTTACTCCGTGTTCTGCTTTTGGAAACCTACACCGAATTCCTGTATTTCCGAGGCGAACTGGCTATGACTTTTGCTTTGGAATTCGTAGGACTGGTGGTTTGTGTTAGTTTTTCTGCCACCAACCAATATAGAGGCGGCGGGTTGGTAACCACTTTTCGAATAGGCCTGCGCGGCAGTTGGTCAAGAACCAATGTTTTCGGTCGGCGACATCGGACTGGTATCTTAAACACTGTCTTCTAGGATAACGACAACCATGGAGTCAAAAACAAATATGAGCCTGCGTCCTAGTAGCTCAACTCCCTCGCTGAAAGCTGCGAAAAAGCGCCCAGTATCCGCTCATTCTACAGGGTCAAAATCATACCGCCATGCACTGTTGAAATCCGAAGATGTAGAGGAGCAACTAACCAGGGACTTGCCTATACCTCCGGTTCTAACGAAAGGCTCTGTGGAACTCACTAAGAGTAAAGTTACCATGAAGCAAGAACTCTCATCTGTATTGATACCAACAAGAAAGTCGTCAAATGCCGACCTCGAAAGTCAAGCACAAGCAATCCCTGCTCTTGACGAAAAAAGACGACCCGGCGTGGTGTGCATTGACCCTACGATACACCCCGCGGGCAAGCACGCGGAGATCCACCACCCTGGTCTAATCGTGGGCGCTGATTTCTGCGATGCTGGGCTTGCTGTTGAGCGTGATTCTCCCATCAGGACGCCACCGAGCAAGCCAGCTTCTGAGCTGTCTGATCCCATATTAACTGGCTGGGTACGTCGTGATCTTTCAGGAGGTGACATATGCGAAGACATGGTTGATGTTTCCGAGCATATTCATAACAATCATACCCACGCTACCAAAGTTCGTCCAGCCGTTGGGTTACCATTTACCAACGAAAAACACTATGGGCACTTTCATATGTCCAAGGTCAAACCCGCTTTTGAAGAAGCCGAGCAAAAGAAGGTTATCCACCAAAGCAAAGTTTCCACCCAAAAGGACCCCATTACGGAAGAGCCTTATGTTCCAGAGCAGATCCATCATGGCCATAGTCTTGCACCAAAAATCCGCATGCCGCAGAATACACCTAGAGCGAGGACACACCGTAGTGAACCGCACGAAGGCCACATTGGGGTTCAGAAAGTTCAGCCCTATCATGAGCCGGCATCTGCCACTTTCAGAACAGAGGAAAACTCAACCCCAAGGCTATCTGTCAAGAAGAATGCTCAACAGATTCAGGACTTAGAAAAATCGACTCCGTATTGGGGATTCCTACGAGGGTTTGGGAGCCAAGAGGGTGAAAAGGCCGAGGTCAACAGTGAACTTATGGATAACCCCATATCTCAGGCCGAAAATAGAGAGGCATTTCCTATTTCTTCATCGGGACCGATAGATAAATCTATTGGTGCGCCTTATATTGAACACCACCCTTCGCTAAGTGCTAGCCAATACTCAGCTTCTCCAAAAAGCTTCGATAATGCCTCTAAAGCTGTTGCAAGACTTACAGAATCGAGTGGCAATCAAGAAAACATCCGTTATACGAACGCAAGTATATCATCGCTTGGAAAATACTTTAGCAATAGTCCTTCGCAAGACAGAACTGCCCTTTCGCGCCACGGGCAAGACGTAGAAGTCCAAACATCTTCCGTTTCCCCAACTTCCTTTGCACAACCTACCGGCGGTGATAAGGATACTACAGAACAAAGCATATTGCCAGAGGGGATCGACGCTGGGCGTGCCGCAGCATGGTTTCGTCAATTTTTAGGGTATGAAGAGTCCAGTCCTTCAAACCTGACGCAACTACCGGAGAAGGTCCATCCTCGCCACGCCAATCATGACGATTACCCTGACGACAACGATGATGTATTGATTTCTAGAGCGACAACATTCTCAGGGAAAACCTCAAAGGAAGCCGGAACCATAGATACGGCCGTGCATAACCTTGAAAAGCTGCTTAGCGAAGCACTTTCCCTCGCCAACGAAGCTACAGAAAATGACCATTGCGGGCATGGAGATGATGGGGAGCTCATTTCTCGCCTAAAAGATACAACTGGGGCGTTTGAGAGCCATCCAATCTTATCAGATACACCAGAAATCCAGGGGAGAGACTTGACGAAAAACTCGCATCGTCATACAATCTCTGATGTACCGCCTGATACTGCCGTGGATACAGCTGGCGAGAAGGCCAACGACCCTGACACTTCTTCGAAGTCGGAAAGAGAAGAAGGTGAATTGGAGCCCGATATACGCAGCGGAAATGTCACGCGGTCAAATATACAACATGGATCGAATACCCGCGGCGTTCGAAAGTCCAGACACAAACATAGAGCAAGCGGTGAAGTGCGTCCTCAAGTTTATGGTGGGAACTATGCCTTGCCTATGCCACCGCCAGGTAATGAACTCAAGAGACGATACTTATCTCCAATGCCTCAGGCATATGAGGAGGATGAACCCACTGGTGTCATAAAACCACATACTAAGGGTGTCCCCAACAGCAGAGAAGTTAGAGAGTATATCCGTGTGTTTCATCAACCACCAATCACTCTTCGGAACAGTTCCAAGAACCTCAGCGAAGACTCTCTAGGAATTGAGGGTTATCACCGTCGAGCTGCTACCATTTCAGAGGGCTGCCGCAAAGATGCAGATGTGTATAGCTTAAATGAAACCATATCGAGTAATCAGAATGGATTGCCTTCTAAAGTCGGAAGAGTTCGGAGGAAGACGGCTCGCAGGAAAATTCACGAGTTGCGAAATATTAGTCTTCGAAAGAGATCCCACGTAAGTATCAGGGATGGTCAGAGATTCAGCCTTGCCAAGTCTGTGAAGCGACAGCCTATTATAGCTCGCGACTGGTCTCCTATTCGTAAGAGATTTGTCGCCTCTGTTGCATGCATCAGTACTGCCTTAATTGGCGTCTTGGTAGGAATATATGCAGGATTGGTGCCGTCAATTCAATATTTCATCGCGGATTTTCACCATTACTCGATCATTGGCAACGTCGTGTTATATCTTGGAATGGCTCTCACGACCTTTTTCTGCTGGCCGCTTCCGCTGTTACATGGCCGGAAGCCCTACATCTTATGTAGCCTCTGCATAGCTATGCCGCTTCTGTTCCCACAGGCCGTTGCAGTAAGCATACCCAGGTCTCCATATACCAGCATTTGGCGCTGGGCGTTGCTTTTGCCCAGAGCCATCATGGGCTGTGCTTTAGGGTTCGCAAGTATGAACTTTCACTCGATACTTACCGACCTCTTTGGCGCATCTCTAATGAGCAGCAATCCGCATCAAGAGGTTGTCGACCAATACGACGTAAGGAGGCACGGAGGCGGGCTCGGAATTTGGCTGGGCGTTTGGACATGGTGCTTCATCGGCTCATTGGGCGTTGGTTTTCTGGTCGGTGCTCTGGTCATCGACACCTTAAAACCATCGTGGGGGCTTTACATCAGCATAATGCTGATTGCAGTCGTTCTCCTTCTTAACGTGCTATGCCCGGAAGTGCGACGATCGGCTTGGAGACGTTCTGTGGCCGAAGTCAGAACGCCGTTAGGAGTATCTCGAAGAGTAGCTCGCGGGGAAATTATGATGCATCGAGTCAAGGATGGACCTAAATGGTGGGGACAGGAGATGTATCACGGAGTTGCTCTGTCTCTTGAAATGCTTCGTCAACCAGGGTTCGTTGTTATGGCCGTATATTCCGCATGGATATATGCGCAAGTGGTTTTGGTCATGGTTGTAAGTCTATCCCACGCTTCATGAGCTTGTGTTATCCGCTAACAATCTAAAGCTCCTGGGTTCTCTAACTTCTAGAAACTACCACTTCCGGTCTCCGTATGTAGGCGCTACTGTCTCATCAGTCGCCGTAGGTGCGCTTGCAGCTGTGCCATTCCAAAAGGCAAATCTCTTTTCGCGGTCTCGCTGGACAGGCCCGCCGACAAACGATATGACCTTTGACAGGTCAGTAACATGGACCTCACACCTCGTTCGACGAGCCATTTTCATTATCGTACTACCCATTGCCGGAATTCTATACACCATTGTTTCATCTGGCCCACCTATTCATCTAGCATTCCCCTGCTCACTCGCGGCTATAATCGGATTCTTGTCGTGTCTTGCAATAGCCGAGTGCAATGGCATATTGATGGAAACATGGGATTGCTCCGACCTTCAACCGGGTATGACTGGTCGAACTAGGTTGGGAAAGGATGGTATAAAGCGAACGAATTATTCATCTTTTCCCCGAGTGACCGCTGGATGGAACATCATTCACAGCATCGGTTTTATACTTGCTGCTGGAGCCACCGGTATTGGCGGCATAGTCACACGGAGTCTGGGACAGAGAGCTGCAACTGGCGTTGTCGCTTCCATCTTGTTTTTACACTCTCTTTTACTCCTAGCCGTGTTTGCTCGTTTCCGCAGGGTGCAAATAATACCCAACTCAAAGAGCCTGGAGATGGAAAGATGGACGGAAGAACGTCGAGACAGTTTACGCCGTCGTGCCTCCGCAATAGCTGCCGCCAAAGCTAATGGTGTTAAAGATGTCTCCGAGATCACTGAAGAAGTTGGTTAGAGGCCTATTATTCTTGGTAACCCATTAGAAAAATTCCGTCGCATGAATATCCTAGAGCTGGGTTCCTTGACTCGATGGAGCGAAATTCGCAAGAAAAACCGACTGATTGACAAAGGTATCCATCTCAATCGGCAGACGGTGAACTTAGCACGGGATGAAATTGACCGAAGACGCCATGAGATGATTGGTGATATCCACCAGGGCGCAGAAATTATTGGGGACATTGTCCGCAAAGCAAGCAAGCGGAGCAAACGCAGCCGCGGTAGTGAGCACGATGACACTTCACGCGATGACCCCGACGATATAGGTCCACTAGGTCCACCTGGGGCCGGACTTGAACATCAGCACGCCTCATTACCCCGTGAGGTCTATGTCGAGCGCGAGTGCGTCATGGGTCAAGCTGTGCTGGAAGAAGCCGAAGCTTCGTCATTGGACGACGAATCGGACAACGAGTCGGACGACGATCATGAATGGATACCGATGGACGATCATTCATCCCATATGATCTCCAAGGTCCAACCATACAGCGATTTCAAGAAGAAGAATCTGCGAGGCAGCGAATCTAATACGGGAGATTGTGTGATCGAAATGGACGCAACCCAGGGCGAACATATATCTCATACTGAACCAAAGGTTAGACCTGCTGAACCCGGGGGCTCAGAGCAACGCGGTGAAGACAAAAGTGAGATCAAGCCAGGCAAGGCGGAACTCGAAATAATAGCTCAGCAACATGGGGGTCACATGTTTGCGAGCAAGGTCAAATCTGCAAGTATGGAATTCGAAGATGTTGGCTTGGGCGGGAAATCCAGCCGTAGAAATTCGAAGACAACAAAGCAAGATTAATGAGCAGTGCAAACAAGGGGCGGGCGACCGGAATTCCGAAGTCGAATCGGAGGATAGTATTCAACCCTATATCAATATCGTTAGAGTACCTGATTTAGTAAATTCTCGACCTAGATAGGTACCTAATCAACTTTGAACCTTTTTCTCATTTTGAGTGTGTTTGTGTTTGTCTCTGTCTCGTCTATTTGTAACTCTTCTAGTCGTGCCGATACAGAACACATCTGTACCTAGGTACCTAGGTAGGTATGCATCTAAACCCTTATATGTAACAGGGAGTTACCTTATATCTATATCACGTTTTAATGCATAAGGAAAGCCATAGGGTTCTCATTCCCAGGTACTGACATTGTACGAACGGAAAATATAGAGTAAGCAAGACCCAATTGGCTCTTCGGGCATAATGATAAGCCTACGAAATTTGTTGAATCGCAAGTCATCAATTTTGATTTACTACCTACCTACCTAAGGTACCTCATTTCGTCATCATCCGAACTTATCCTAGGTACCTAAAATCAAGCAATGCTAGCAACCGCGCCATTATGAAGCTCTACGCCATCGGAGATCTCCACCTGAGCTACGAGTTCAACAGAAAAGCGCTGCAGGAACTCAAGCCGCACCCGGACGACGGGCTGATCCTATGCGGCGACATAGGCGAGACGGCCGAGCACCTGGAGCTCGCCTTCTCGGCGGCGAAGCGTAACTTCAAGGAGGTGTTCTGGTGCCCCGGCAACCACGAGCTGTACACGATGCAGTCGTCGCGGCCGGACCTGCGCGGCGAGAGCAAGTACGAGTTCTGCGTGGAGACGGCGCGCAGGCACGGCGTGCACACGCCCGAGGACGAGTTCGTGCGATGGGAGGGGGAAGGCGGGCCCGCCGTCGTCGCCCCCATATTCACCCTGTACGACTACAGCTTCCGCCCCGCGGACGTGAGCCGCGACAAGGCGCTGCGGTGGGCCGAGGAGACGGACACGGTGGCGACGGACGAGTTCCTGCTGCACCCGGACCCGTACGCGACGCGGGACGAGTGGTGCCGGGCGCTGGTGCGGAAGTTCGAGGCCAAGCTCGCGGAGGCGGCGGCCGCGCACCCAGACGCCGGGCTCGTGATCGCGAACCACTGGCCGCTGCGGGAGGACCTGGTGTACATACCGCGGGTGCCGCGGTTCAGCCTCTGGTGCGGGACCAAGGAGACGGAGGACTGGCACACGCGGTTCCCGGCCAAGGTGGTGGTGTCGGGACACCTGCACGTGCCGCGGACGGACTGGAAGAAGGGCGTCCGGTTCGAGGAGGTCAGTCTCGGGTACCCGAAGCAGTGGGGGGACGTGCACGCCTCGGGCAGGGATATCAACGACGTGCTGAGGGAGATATTGCCCGGGCCGGAGGCGCCGCTGGGCGGGGAGGCGGAGATGAGGTGGCGGAGGTGGGTGTGATGGAAATACTAGGTAGGGGTGGAGGGAGGTCAGAAGAGAGAAGGGGGGGATGAGCATGAGGTATGGGGCATGAGGTATGAGGTACGAGGTACGAGGACAAATACGGATTACATGCATGATAGAGGTATGAGATACGAGGCATTACATTGTTTCCCGGTATAGAGAAGGCATTATACGGCCCATACATTCTTTGCCCGCTTTTAGATTGTTCATCACCGTTCTAAAGTAGAGGTCTAGTGACACGAACTTAGTGTTTACGAGATCCGAATCAAGATAGATGAGATATAGAAGTTAGTGCACCAAGGAAACGTGTAAGTTTTGCTCGTAGCTTGAGATAGCCCGGCGCGGAAATCGATAAGATTTCACGAGAGCTTCATGATAAGTTAAGACTCTTAAGGAGGTAATTAAGGCAGCATGATAAGACGGAGTGAATGATTTTTAACGACTTAAAACTCCTCTAATATATACTTATATAGAATGTTCGTTTCATACCGGCAACGGAGTATGATTGAAAGTAGTAAGAATGGTAGCAACTTACTTATGATGACCTCTTTACCTAACGGCAGCAGCCAGTTCTTTAACATACTTGCAGGTAGAAGGTAGCAATCATTTTTCACCAATCATAGGTATATTTTAGTCGCTCTCACATAAATCAACCTACCTCCTGCCTAACCTATTAAATTAGGAGTGATCTAGTTCCCCTAGTAAATCATAGATTCCAACCAAATTCACTACCTACCGCTAGCTCCATGACTTAAGTACAAACTACGTAGCTCCAGCCAATCAAATAGCTTTAGACCGGGAACCAATGCGGAGGTAAGGTGGAGGTAATTCACATTACAAACAAGTCTGAGAGTAACGCCAAACCCCTCATACGCAATATAAGACAGCTAGCTGCTCACTCACATCTTCATAACATTAACCCGAAAACTCACTACCACTCAACTCACACATACACACACAGAGAAACACAGACAAACACCACCATCATGGTCTACACTATAGTCGTGCACCTCCGCGCCAAGCCCGGCGAGGAAAACATCGCCAAGCTTCACGCCAAGCTCAACGAAGCTTCAGCCATATACTCCAAGGACAAGGAGACCATATCTTGGTTCGTCAGTAAGTCGCACTTATTACTTATTACTCATACCTTATACCTTAAATTTTATATCTACCTCATACGTACCTACTACCTAGACCTGATCAAATTCTCACCTCAAAACTGCCAGTGCAATCGATCCACGACCCGCAAGAATTCACCATCGTGGAGCGCTTCGAGAACGAGGGGAGCCAGAAGTACCACCTCGAGAACCCGTACTGGAAGACCTTCGACCCCTTCGTCGTGCCCCTCCTCGAGAAGCCCATGGACTTGAGACGCCACGAGGAGTTGGTTCCTAAGCCCGGCGAGGAGGCCCTGCTGAAATAGACCATCTATCTGAAATCACCGCGATGAAGTGAATGACCTTATTACTTTAGGCACCTCCTTAGGCACCTAGCATGGGTATCTAACATAATAGAACTGACCTATTTATCACGACTAGTCACGTTATATGTGATTGCTGTGTATGCTTCGCATATAAGAGTGAGCTAAAACTTTAGGTACCTACCTAAGCCTTCGTATAGGAATGAAACGTTATCATGTACTACGTTGAACATAATACTCGGAGTTAATATTATATATCACTTATATACCCTATACGGCTGGCTTACTTCATAGTTCCGCTCATGCATTCAAACTCAATTCCCAACTTCGGTACCTAGGTAGGAGGTAGGTTAGGTACCTAGGGAAATATATCCAAGAAACCAGCGCTCCATTCATCATCATCGTCCAGAGTGTCCCTTGGGCATCTTCCTCTCCTCGAGCTCCTCCAGATCCTTCTTCTTGTGGAAATGGGGCGCCACCTCGTTCAACCACTGCGGCTTGATAGGCATACAGCTACGCATGTACTCCTTGTTGGTGAGCACCAGCTCGTAGTAAATGACCATCTTCTCCGGCGGATCTGATTTCATGAGCACCGAGCTCGGGTGGATCCACACCGTAGTATTGTTCTTCACGGTCCGGTAGCTGTCGCCGCTTCGCTGGAGTTTGGCCGCGTTCGGGAAGAAGCCTGCGGTAAGCGCCTTCTTAATAGGCTCGATGTTGGCTGAGCCGCATGTAGATGGCGCTACTTCCACACGTTCGCAGAGCTTCGCAAGTTGGTCGCGAACGTCCCGAGCGCGAGTTAGAGAGCGCTGCTGCAGGAAATTCTCGCGTGCCCAGATGGGTGAAAAGTCACTGTCAACCCACTGATTCCAGATATTCAGAAGCGTTAGATGATCGCCACCCTCCTTAACAGTAAAACGGTTGCGGGCGCTATCAGCGTGTATCTTCTTATCCTTTGGTCGGAAGAACAGGGCTGAAGCTTCGCTCAGCATGGATACAATCGACAAAACCTCGTCGACACATTTGAACTTATCCGCAGCAAGGACAGCCTTCGCAAGCATCGGGTCCGTAGGGAATTCGGCCATCTGTCTGCCAACCTTGGTAAGTTCTCCTTTGTGATTTAGAGCCTGCAGCGCGAAAAGTTGGTTTAACGCCCCAATTAAGGATTCGGTAGGAGGTGGATCCATAAATTCGAACTCGAGTAGTTGGTTAATACCAAGAGATTTCAGCAACAACACGACGCTGTTGAGGTTGGTTCGCTGAATCTCCGGTGTGGTTGACTCGTCCATTTCGTTCATATACGCGTATTTGGTGTAAAGGCGAAAGCATTTACCGGGGCCAACACGACCGGCACGTCCGCTGCGCTGATTCGCAGAGGCTCGGGAACACGGAACGACAACAAGGTTAGACATGCCTGTTGCTGGATTATAGACGTTCTCCTTTACGTATCCAGGGTCAATCACATAGGTAATTCCATCGATGGTTAAACTTGTCTCGGCGATATTGGTAGCAAGTACAACTTTACGGGCACCTTCTGGAGTCGGTTCAAAGATTTTACTCTGGAGCTCGGAAGGCAAATTGGCGTAGATGGGACAGATAATCAGTTCCTTGACTCGATTTCCGAGCTTTCTTGCCGTGTCTGTTAACTGTTGCTCTGCAGCTTCGATCTCGTCTTGACCTGTCAAGAATACCAGAATGTCTCCTTTTCCTTGAGTAGTGTGAATCTGGAATATAGTCGTAATAGCAGCTGTCAAATAGTTCGCTTCGGGTGCCGGGGTATAGTAAATATCGACGGGATACCTTCTTCCCGGGATGTTGAAAATCGGAGCGTCGTCAAAATATTTTGCAAATTTCTCAGCATTCATCGTAGCTGAGGAAATGAGCAGCTTCAAATCCGGCCGTTCCCTAGCCAAATCTTTCACTAAAGCGAGTAGGATATCGGTATGAACTGTCCGTTCGTGCGCCTCGTCAATCATCAAGGCTGAGTAACCTGCAAGATCTGGCTCCGTCATAAACTCTCGAAGTAACATGCCGTCAGTCATATACTTCAGGATAGTTTTATCGCTGGTGGCGTCTTCGAATCGGATGGAGTAACCGACTTCGTTGCCAACCTTGACTCCCATTTCTTCTGCTACTCGAGCTGCTACACTCATAGCTGCAACTCGTCGAGGCTGCGTACAGCCCACTTTCCTACCCCCTTTCGTATAACCGGCTTCGTGCAAGTACTGTGGTAACTGTGTAGTCTTTCCACTACCCGTCTCGCCAACGAGGACCAAGATCTGATATTGGTCAATTGCCGCGATGAATTCGTCCCTGTACTTATAGATGGGTAAACTTTTTCGAGTTTCTTGGATCGATAATGCTCTCTTCTCCGCAGCCTCGATTTGCGCTTCCAGGAACCTCTGTTCCTTATTTAATGTTTTCCCCTCTCCTGCCAATGTCGAGCCCAGATTCCACTGGATGTACTGCTCCGGATCAAGAACAGGGGCATAATCTCCTTCGTACTCTCTTTCTGCCCTGTTGATTTGGGCCTTCGCCTTTTGCGTCTGCTCTCTTTCCCACTCCTCGTGTTCGGTTACAAATTTCTCCTGGCCGTATTCGTCTCTTTCGACATATCGTTTATACAAGGCTTCTTCTTTTCGTTTCCTATCTATTTTCCCCTTCTCTGTGATGTAATCTTCTGGCATGTAGTACCCATCCCGGTGATCGTCTATCCGCAGTCGTTCTTCGGCTAACCGCAAAATTTCTCTGTTCTTCGCGAACTCGGCTTTTTCTCGTTCGGACAGACGCACGCCACTATTTAGCTCTGCCGTTTCCTCTGCGACCTGTTTCCGTAACAGTGCTAATCTTTCTGCCTCCCTCTTCTTTAGATAATCTTGTCTCGAGCGCTCACGCAGATCTGGCATTGCAGCCCTGCTTGCTGCAAGCTCCTCGGCTAGACGTTGTCTCTCTCTTTCGGCCTTGCCTTCACTCTTTGATTTGCCCTCATCTCGCTCCTTTAGACGTTTAGCAAATGCTTCCCGCTCGGCAACATCGCGCGCGGTATCAGAATCGGCTCCGTCGTCTTCCCTATCCTGTTCATCATGGCTCAACTTGACGCGTTTCGCGGCGGATTCTTTGAATTCAGGCTCCTCGTCGCGTCCATCGTCTGAAGGTTCCGGTTCGCTCCCTGGCTCCTCATCGCCCCACCTGTCGTCGAAGTCGTCGTTCGCGCGTTTCCGGATCGATTTCGATTTATGCCCATGCGAATCGCGATCGCGCCGCGGCGAACGATTCCGGCTACGACTCCGAGTGCGGTGAGACTTGTGATGGGAATCTCGATGAGAACTAGATTTTCCGTTCTCGTCCCGCCGCTTATTCTTGGATTTCTTCTCGACCTTTTGTGGGCCAACTTCATCTTCATCCATAGGGATGAAGGCGTATCGTCTGTTGTTGCTCATGATCGGTGTTTAATATCATATGCAAAGTGTAAATAGGGAGAGAATAATGCGGCGACTCGAATTATTAATTTCGAAGCATGTGGACAATTGATGGGAGATATATGAGTAATGAGCAAGGATGGAAAAATGTTGTTGTAGTCAGAAGCTCGTCACAGCTGCCTTGTATTTTTCTGGATTACAGATCCATACCTCCTTTGGAGTCACCACGAGTTAGCAGCCAATCACGATTTCAAGTAACGCCAAGATCTACCCACTTTTTAAAGTTGCAGGGCTTATCTTATCAAAGCGGGTCTTGCGCCTTAGCTTAGATGGAAGTTCTTACCACGTTGACACACACGTTGACACGCTGGTATTTTTGAAGGGTTGTTGCTTCATTTTTAGCAACCTAGCAGTACCTAGCTCAGGTACACATTACCTTAGCTACTATCCTTTCTTTGCATTCCTTTAGCTTGAATTTTCCTTATAAATTATTCCTTACCACTTATCCCCCCCCCCGGACGCCCTCAAGACACCACGTTGGCCCAATTCCTATGCTGATCTTCCGGTACCCATGGGAGAATTATCCTTCGGTGCTTTACACAGAACCGCCTATACTTAATATTCTTTCCAGTTAGCTTCCATATACCATACCTTCTTTTCTCCGAGATCTTGCATACCTAAACAAGGCCTTTGCAAGCCTACCACCACCACCATCACCATCACCACTTGCTTGGAATCATGTTATTCCATTGGGCAACCCTAGCATTGCTTTTTATTCTTGTCCAAGTCGCCTTTTGCGCCGAAGACTTTTATAAAGTACATCTCCCCAGAATTACCTAGTAAATTGGTAATTCAATAATGTTAACTGGTCCTTATTATTAGGTTCTTGGGGTAAACCGACAAGCGACAGATAAGCAGATCAAAACAGCATATCGACAACTAAGTAAAAAATACCACCCGGACAAGAACCCGTAAGTTTAGTTCATGCTAGGCCGAACAATCTAGCTGTGCGAATTTAGTAGCTTATGCGACATCTAGAGGTGACCCAACAGCGAAAGACAAATTCGTCGAGGTCTCCGAGGCCTACGAGGCTCTGATCGACCCGGAGTCCCGAAAGATCTACGACCAGTATGGCCACGAGGGCCTGAAGCAGCGTAGCCAGGGGGGCGGACACCACCATGATCCGTTCGACTTGTTCAGCCGCTTCTTCGGCGGGGGTGGTCATTACCAGAGGGGACAGCCGCGCGGGCACGACATCGAGATCAAGGTCGGCATCTCCCTGCGCGACTTCTACAACGGTCGAGACACGGAGTTCCAGTGGGAGAAGCAGCAGATATGCGAGGAGTGCGACGGCACGGGGTCGCAGGACGGCGTTGTAGACACGTGTCATCACTGCGGCGGCCACGGTGTGCGCATTATTAAGCATCAGCTGGCGCCAGGAATGTTCCAGCAGATCCAGACCACCTGCGACGCGTGCGGCGGTCGGGGCAAGACGATCAAGCACAAGTGCCCGGTATGCGGCGGCAACAGGGTTGTCCGCAAGCCAACTACTGTCTCGCTAAAGATTGAGCGGGGCGTGGCCCGAGACGCCAAGATTGTCTACGAAAACGAGGCCGACGCGAGCCCTGATTGGATCGCCGGGGACCTCGTTGTGACCCTCACCGAAAAGGAGCCCGATTTCGAGAACGATAACCCTGATCACGTGGACGGTGCTTTCTTCCGCCGCAAAGGCAACGATCTGTTCTGGCGAGAGGCGCTATCTCTTCGGGAAGCCTGGATGGGCGACTGGACCCGCAATCTTACGCATCTAGACGGCCACGTCGTGAAATTAAGCCGGAAGCGCGGCGAGGTTGTGCAGCCGGGTCATGTTGAGACTATAGAAGGGGAAGGCATGCCGATATGGCACGAGGACGGTGACTCAGTGTATCATCAGACCCAATTCGGCAAGCTATATGTCGAGTACGTGGTAATACTGCCGGACCAGATGGAGTCCGGGATGGAAAAGGATTTCTGGTCGGTGTTCCAGAAATGGAGAGGTAAGGTCGGGGTGGACTTACAGAAGGATAGCGGGAGACCGGAAGGCGCCGTGCCTATAAAAGAAGAGAAAGATGAGCTATGATGAATGATACCTGCCTATATAATTGATAGAGAGGGTGAGAGATATGAAAATAAAATGTACGAACAATGTTGCATATAATTAGCTGTGTTAGGTACCCCTAATGTATAAGGTGGTATATATAATATGAGACGACGCTAGAGAAACATGCTCAGAACAAGCTTATAACTTCTACGACTTTAATACGGTCTTTTTGGCACTGTGTGTGATGGAAGGATGCTCCACTGACTAGCCAATCGAAAAGTTGGAGATATTTTTCTGCCGGCCAAAATAGCTTTCCCCCCCTTAGCCCTGGCCCTATACGAATAATAGGAACAACTCGGTCCACGGTTGCGTGGTGCCCGCCTGTCGGTGCTAGGTTCGAGTTTTAATAAACAAGGCTTACGCATGCTCGGCTCTATAAATACCCCAGGCAGTCGCCGACCCCGGGGATCACTATCAACTCAGCAGTCCCCCTTTCCCTTTCTCTCTCTTTTTTTTTCCCTTCCCCTCTTACCTTTCCTCACACCACCCACCCTACCATCCCCTCTCCCCCCTAACCCCTTAAATTTCCTCCTGGGAGAGTCATACCTCCCACCTCCTACTACTCCCACCATGTCTCGCGCAGGCACCCCCCTAGCGAGCCTCCTAGGCCCCTGGAATATGCTCCTCATGTCGGCCTACTGCCTGCCGAGGACCCTCCTCAAGCTCCTGCGCGAGGGCAAGTACGCCGTGCTGCTGTCCCCGGGTCGGCTGCAGGACGCCTGGTTCAACGACTTCTGGGGCGGCATGGCGGGCCCCAACATCCGGCGCGACGCCGGCATCCGCGTCGTGCCCCTGCTCGAGGGCCGCGCGAGCGCCGGCGACGTCGTCGACAGGCAGGTGGTGCCGGGGCTCGCGGGGACCGTCGTCGAGGTCGGCGCGGGCGCGGGCCTCTGGGTCGACGTGTACCCAGAAGTAGCGTGCGTGCGGGCCTCGGGCGAAGGTGAAGGCGAAGGCGAGGCGAGGCGGAGGAACGTAGGAGGCAGCCGCGCGGCGGTCGACGGCGTAATCACGCGCGTGTACGGGATCGAGCCGAACCGGGACCAGCACCCGGCGCTGCGGCGGGCGATTGCCGCGGCGGGCCTGGAGGACGTGTACCGGATCGTGCCGGTGGGGGTGGAGGACCTGGACGACGCGACGAAGTGGGAGGGGCGCGTGGAGAAGGGCAGCGTGGACTGCATCGTGTCGATCCTGTGCCTGTGCAGCATCCCCGAGCCGGAGAAGAACGTCCGCGAGCTGTACCAGTACCTGAAGAAGGGAGGGCGGTGGTACGTGTACGAGCACGTGCGGTGCGAGCATAGCTGGTACATGAGGGCGTATCAGGGTAAGCTGTTTCCCTTGTCTCCCCCTTCCCCCTTTTTTTTTTCCTTTTCTCTGTCTTTGCTATTTTCCATGCACACGAAAAAAAAAGTGACATTGCTAACCTCCCGGCGATCTCTATACAGGCTTTCTCAACCTGTTCTGGCCGCATATGATCGGTGGATGCCAGCTTAACCGACGTACTGAGAAGACGCTGCGAGAGGCCGGGCCTTGGGGGAAGATCAACGTCGGGCAGCCTTCGGTCGAGCAGTGGCATCAAGTCATCCCGCACGTCATGGGTGTATTCGAGAAATAAATATATGGCATATATATCATCACACTAGCTAGCTAGTCGTGCGTACCTCCAAGAAACGAGGAATGGGCATATCGCAAGAGCATGGCAATGAAGGTGTATGAGGTTATTTGAGCTGTGATTAAGGGTGGTTTCATTCTATAGTTTTGCATTCGTTTTTTCTTTAAGCTTCAAGGAATTAGATCACAAGGTATATAAATGTTTATAGTCAATTTCATTATTTTACCTGATATTACGTGTGTAATCCCGTCAGTAGAACTTCGAAAAAGTTGTGCTACGTCTACCATCACGATCACTGGTAAAACCACGCCGAGCATTTTTACCCCTATTTTTTTTCCCCGACTATTTTGTGGGAGGAGCGCGCTTAGCTTAGTCAAGGGGCTTGATATACCTCGGTACCTTTTTTGTGTTATCTGTCGCGAATTATTGCCAAACAGGCATGTAGTCAACCCCTTGCCACATGTTGTAATGCTGCTTATTGGCTGATCCCATGATACCAGGAGCAGTCCTATCTTTCTGATTAACATTCATAATCGTCATGATACCAAAACTAGCGGAGTTTGTATATGCCCAATTATGGTGATATTACCCGCTGCATAGCTTATGTCTTCATGTGCGGACTACATAATTGGCCGAACTTTTTTCTACTATTCCTATAATAGCAGGTAGTTAGAGGTAGCTATATTTTCATCATTTGGGAGATTTGGTTTGTTGGTACAAGTGGAGTGCATACATATTTCTGCTTAGTTCGCACTTGAGGACGTAGCGAAAATCAATATGGAGAATTATCACATTAGAAAAAAAGACCGTTCCGCGATATTGTCATAGGAATAGTTATCTTCATTTCCCGTTTGGGATACCATGCAACAGATGAAACTAGTATACAATTATCGTATCATAAAATTGTTCATTCCATCATTACCAAAAAAAACTTCCCCCCTTATAAGTCGTTATGCCTCTCCTGAATCGACCCAGCGGTGTTGCTTTTTGTTCAGTGGTGTTTATGAGTGCCGTGAGCAGCTACCGGCTCCCCAACGTGCGCGCGTAAGGTAGAAGGGGGCACCTGAGCAGCGTCTGTAGGGTCTTTGGCAACATGGTTCCCGCTTCAGGCAATCGTTAATAAAGTTTTGTCCACATACGGAAAAATCGCGAGCCGAAATCAAAGGCGACAATGGCGCACTTACGACTGGTAAGTCTTATCGCCGCCGACGGTCCGAGAATGGTCAAGATCGCTGTCGACTCGGGGGTCAAGCTTGTTGGCAATGTTGCTGCTGTGGGGACCGGCGGTGTCGGGAGCGGGGCCAGGGCCGGAGTGGGCATTATGGTGAGTGCCAGTTGTTCCATAAGTTCCGGTTGTGTCGTGAGTTCCGGTTGTCCCATGAGTTCCGGTTGTACCGTGAGTACCGGTAGCACCGGTGGTTCCACCTAAGCCGTGGGCTCCACCTAGGCCGTGAGTAGCACCGGTGGTAGAGTCATACCCGTGAGTTCCGGTAGTCGAACCGAACCCTATTCCTCCGGAGCTTCCCAAGGTGTTACCTGTGGTGCCTGTGGTGCCGCTGTAGCCGGTGCCGGTAGTTCCAGCGGTGCCGGAGCTACCGTATGTGTTGCCAGCGGTGCGGGAGCCATCTCGGTCCGAGTCGACGCGAGGGTCAGCGGCATTGGCTATTCGAGAGTTGTGGGGTCCAGCGACACCTTCCCGGCCACTACCACCATAGTCTCCGGCGGTGTTACCCGCGAAACGTCCATCTCGGTCTGAGTCAACTCGGGGGTCGGCAGCGTTCGCTAGGCGCGTGTTATGGGGTCCTGAGACACCTTCTTGGTGAGCACCAGTGGTGCCAGCTCCAGAGTGAGTGTAGTTGCCTCCAGAGGTATATGCGTGAGAGCCATCAACGGTCGAGCCTGGGGCGGCGCGGTTATCGCCTTGAGTGAACGTTAGTTATCCTGTAATACGAGTAGAGATAAGTGGCTACATACGGTCACTGTCGACTCTTGGGTCTGCAGCATTGCCTACTCGGCTGTTGTGGGGTCCGTGTGTACCCTCAGGTGCGCTGCCGTGAGTCGTGGAAGAGTGGTGACCGGAGACGGCTTCCTTAACTTTGTTAATAACGCCGGACATATTGAATAGTTGTGTGGGATAGCTAATGAAGTAGATATAGTATGGGGTATCAAAATTTGCTTGTAGATTTTAGGACTTGGTTGGTGTTGATGTTGTTTGTTACTGATGATAATAAAATATTTTGTTTAAGAGGTCCGGACTTGTCGACTTCTTATACTGATGTGAAGCCAGCTTCGATAACAGTGATTGCCCTTTGTTTCCAAGGCACTCTCGATTTGCCGCCATATTTCATCATCCAGAATCTCGATTAAATGCCCGCAAACTCCTATTTCCCAGATTACGCCTTCTGAGTGCAAGTTGAGGGAGACTTGGCCAATCAATACGGGATACGGAGCTACAAGACGATGTGCAAACGTCTCTGACTTCATCAGTCGTCATCACCCCTGGCTAAGAAGGCATGATCCCTGCTCACGGGGTGGTTAAGGACTTCTATGCGGTCCGGACAAACTAAGCCCGGAGAACTACCAGTCAGGTACCTAGGTAATGCCAGGCACTTCATCAATGATCAGTGTATCCAGGTAGGTACCTAGGTATGACACGGGTCTTTCAAGCTGACCCCGGCCTACGCTACCTTGAATACCTTCATGCTGACCTTGACTGGCACTCTCGAAAATTAATGGCCGGGTCTTGGCATTTACTTCCAGAAGCACTGCTTGCATTTAGTATTCAAAATAACTACGAAAGAAAATTTGAAAAATAAACTAAAGCGGCAGTTATATAGAGAAACTTTTCTCAAGTCTTATGATATATATTTCAATAGATTTAATAGATTTATTAGTATTCGTTGGTTGAATAATTCTTTGGAAGTTAATAAGATAAGTATGCCAAGACCCGGCCATTAATTTTCGAGGGTGCCAGCTTGAGCAAACGTACTATACTGTGGCTTGCCCTCTGGCGTCATATTAACGACCCCGCGTGTGGGATGCACGTAGTAAATAATACAAGAAATATCCCAAGTGTACGTATCTTAAAATCATCTTGCCGATATCCGGGAGATCTTGTTAGATGAAAAGAAGCTAAAGCCGATTCCTTCCATTCCCAGGCCCCAGGTTTTCATGTTAGTGCTTAAAGCCGTGGCTAGTGAAACTGAGACCTGTAGGATGTGGCGTCACCTTAACCAATCGGCCAATCCGCCACAATAACTTCTTTCTCCTAATCCCTGTCCAACCCCACTATGCTGTCATAGACTTTTCCCTGTTGCCAACTTCTCACCACAGCACCCATAAACAAAAGACATCATCTTTATGAGTTGGGATACAATATCCATGCACGTCGAGCTTTCGGCAGAATAATCACCTCAAGGTACCTAAGATGTCATACAGATTACATTTTACATCAGTATGATATTTACCTGCAAATGGTTCGGTAGGAGAAATACGTGACGGGACCCATCGTTGTACCTACTAAGCGTAGATCAGGGTCTTCCTTAGCCTAACGATCAGCAATTTTACCATCTTAGACCGTGACCCAGCGTGTAGCCGATTGCATTCTCATGGTAAGCAGGTAAGCAGGCATGGCAGGTAAGATGGAAGAGTAGAGGTCTCGATAAAGGTGGATAACATCTATTATGTCTAATCGAATACTCGCACTTCAGTCCGAATAATTCACAGTCAATCAAATTAAGTAGGTACTCATGGTAGGAATTAAGATTATCTTTCATTAATTATACGGGTATCTTTCGTGTAACTATTGTATGCTAAAGTCGTCAAGAAGCGTTAATCTCCAAGTGGTGTCCCGAAAAGCGCCTAGTTACTCTTAACCATAACCTTGGTTGTCATGACATCGTAATTCAAAGAGAGAGAAAAAAGGGGAGGGTCTTCGCCGCCGATAAACGGTATACGGGGTGGTCGAATGTCTTTGCGGATCGGGCGCCGAACATAAGCTACAAGCGGTATAAACCCCGGGTGTTGATTTCATTGCGAGTGTCTAAGAGCGAGTGTCTCTTAGACACGGGAACCGCGCCATCTTCGGCGACGGTAAGCTCGGGCCTCGTGATCCCGCACCCAGACGATACCGACGATTGCTGAAACGAGCCAGCAAATAGCGGACAGGAAAGAGAAGGCCATGACGGCTTTCCATTTTCCGCACTGGTCACTATTGCGGAAGGAAACATTACCCCAATCGAAGGCATATCCGCAGCCGCCATTGAGATACTACTCGAGAAATTAGTGCCCGATCTTCTGTTACACAGCTACTATTACCTTAGGTAGATATTACTTACGTCGACAAGGAGCCCGAAAGCAACGAACCAACAGATGGAAATAATAAGGTCGACAGGCCAGTGAACGAAACTACCCGAGAACGGGAAGAGCCAAATAATGGAAAGGAAGATGGCAATACCAGCTACCACTTCGGTGTAGATGAAACGGCCCTGGTCCCAACTATCTGTATGCCTGACAGCGTGGAGATACTGCCCGTTGATTCCGGCGACGATGGCTCCGAACGCCAGCTCCGCCAGGCGGAGGATCATGGAGAAGATGTCTGTCAAGATCATCTTGAACGTATGTAGATGTCAACTATTTTCTATTGTTCTTATAAAAAACTGCTTATACCTAAGCAAGATATGGGAGAGGAACAGGCTCAACCAGTGGTATATGATGGTTATGCCAGTAAAGAAGAAAGACAAGGTGAAACATTTGCTAGGCAGCTAACCAGGTATTTATTATCGGATTGAACTGTTCGATCAGAACCATAACAGGGAAGTTTAAGGCATGACGACGTAACCTAAGTAGTCCAGACCAACATCACGGCATTTTCGGGTTGGGGGCTCTGGGGCCTTGTCCCGAAGAAAGCCAATACCACCTTGGCTCATGGGCTTAACATATCACATCGTGCAGCTAGGCACACAAGTCAGGATCTTTGATACTAGGTACCTACATACATATTCAGTGTCCGAGTGTTAGGGAGGAAATACTCGACCCTTGCAGCGGATCGGTCAATCACCCCAGAATCTGTTAAAAAAGGGTATGGGCCTGGACCTTGTAGAGTTTGCTTGGGAAAACCAGTCGATGCCGGTGTAGTGAATAAAGCCATGTCATGCCTTAGGTACCTATGTACCTAGTTCTTTCGAGAATTACGTGGAAAATTGTGGCTAACCAAATCACCAGTCGTGTGCCGCGTGTTGCGTTGTCAAACCAGATGAGGTCATATAATTCAAACTAGGTACGTACCTGCATGTTCAAGTCCCGATGTACGTGTGATGTGAATCCCCCGGCGCTAACGCAGCTATCGCGGGAAAAACGGCACAGTTAATCTAGGTACGAAATACATCAAATTCTGGCATGCTATAAGCAGTTCTAGCTAAAAACATTGTAATTTTATCCAGACTGCGATATGATAGGATGAACATTAAAAGAATAGTTTCTATAATAAGACACTATTTAAAAAGAAAAACATTCCATCGTAGATGCTCAGAGGTAGGTATACACGTTGGAAATAATATTGTAACATAATTATTTGTTCCTATAAGGTATGTTACTATTTTTGATATTCTTAATTGCTTAACTAGCCCCTTTTCCATACAAGAGTATAAGTATTGTTCAACTTTTGATTACAATAGATGCTGAAATGAGTAGGCAAGTAGGCTACTGATAAAAGAGACCTTATTAGCTCTTGCGACATTAATGGTTACCTTCTAAGTAACTAAAAAAAAATAAAAAATAAAAAAAACCCATACCCAACTATGAACCGCCCATGCATCACAGCCCGAAGTTGACTGAATATATCTACATAAATCACGAGTAGAATGGTTAAGTCTTAGAACAATGACAGCTGTGGCTATCCCCGGAACCGCAGCTTCCAGGAACCGTCTCCCACATACAGTTATTCTCGACCCTATGGATATCGCAGGGCACTTCGATAATCTCAACAGGCGTGCAAGCCTGCCTGTCCGGAGTAAACGTTATCGAGGGGGTCTCGCTCGGACACGCGTAGCTGATTCCCTTCCCAAAGCCGCCGAGACAGTACTTCCCGCAAGACCACTTCGTCAGCGTGAACACGCCCGAGTCGCCGAATATCGAAGTCCTGCCGATGTGGCTCCCGTCAAGCGCTCCGTTGAGCCACTGGCTGCCTTGGACCTCGGAGCTTTGGGCCGCGGTCCCTTGCACGTCTTTGATGTGCACCGGGTCGTTGGGGTTGACGCTGCGGCCTATGGTGCAAGCTTCGTTGCCGCAGATCTTGAAGCGCCCCGGTCGATGCTGGTTCGAGTGGTCCGCTGTGCTGTAGTATAACTTTCCGCTGTCGTAGCCGAAGGTATGGCCGTTTTCCGTCTTGAAAGTGTAGCATTTTCCTATCAAATTGGTTAGATTTATCTGCAACTATCGTGAAATAATCAGGTAGCGGATTAACACGTACCGGTCGTGATGCCAGAATCGCAACCTATCGGCCCCCTGCAGCCACCGTCCGCAGTCGGCGTGGTTCCCTGCGGGCACACACATGTGCCGTCCACCATAACCTTTCCGTTACCGCATATCCAGTCGCATCTGATACCATCGTACGACTGGCCTGCCGGGCAGCACCTGTAGCCGGTCTGTCCGCTTCCGACTAAATCGTGGCCCTCGGGACAGCAGTCGAATGCCGTGTCGGGGCTCCCGAAAAGCGTCTGGCCAGGGGCACAGCAAGCCACGAATTCCTGGTCCGCGTCGAAGGTGAGACGCTTCCCGGTGCGCGGAGAGCACCGGAAAATGTCCTCGAAGTCGGAGCCGGGTTCTTTGAAAAGTATCTCCTGACTCCGCTGGTCGATGCGGCTGTCGTGGTCAAGCTGGGCTATCTCGACATTCTTCCTGTTCAAGTCGCGGCGGATCGCTGCGGACGCGAAGGGGAACCCTGAGCTAGAGGCGAGGAGGCAAAGCTGTAGGAGCTTCATGATGGTGATTATGTTGAGTAGATTCCAAGCATGCACCATAGGCAGGTATTAAGAATTAATGAAGATGATGTCCCTGGAGTTTCTGCTGGGACTGGATTCCTTCGTGGCTTCATCTTACTAGAGTTTTATTTATTTGTATTGACATTACTAGTTCACTTCAAAGGGCCGATTGTGAAAACCACCCTTACAACTCAACGAGGCTGTCGCACGGCCCCGAGATACACGTTGAGCGATTCAAGAAGTGGTATAAATGTAGCATCATTCCTCACTGCACAGTTATGTATGGGCTGTCAACCAACACGAGACCTACGTATATAAAGTAAGAAAGCACTGTTTATCGGCGTGTTAGAAGTCGAGGTAGGGTTAGTCCGGTTGCCTAATACTTTGAGTCATTCGATAAACGAACGTCGATCGACGCGGGAAGAACGACGTTCCAGGTACCGAAGTTGCGAATCACAACTGTTGCACAAATTGTGCACTACGTGGTCGAGGGGTTCAGAAATTTCGCGATAGGGTCTGTGTTACTGCCACGTCTGGGGGCGTTGGCTTTCAGCTGGGAGCATAGTTGTCTCTGCCAAGAAGCCCAACGAGAGACGGAAACATCGTTTTGGAGACCTTCGTCGGTTTGAGGTATGGGCGGAGATGCCTGATGCGAGTTCGCTTCCTACTGGCTTGGCGGCGGTGATGGAACTGAGGTCCGGATCAACCAGCCCCTGGAGGACATCACCGCAATAGGGTGTCAATATCAGGATTCACACGAGTTTGAAGGGTTTGTAGGCTCGCTTATATACATAGGTATCTATAAGGGTGTTATAATCTATCGAGGCATATAACCCAAGACTTAGAGTCACGCTATACACTGAGACTAGGTTAGGCGTAGGTACTGTACCTCTCAAGCCGGCGAATTAGCCCCTTTTCCGCTGTACAATTTCTTTACCTTTAATAATACAAGCACTTGTTAGTTACCGCGTCTATATCATGGCTACAAAATGTCCTCGATTAAAGGATATGTAGTAGTTTGTTAACTTAAATGGCATGTGTATTTGTTGCTTTTGGTTACATTTCAAATGTTATCCCACTGATTACGGCTTCGGTGTTCAAAATCGTAACTAGCTAGATTTCTGTAAATGGATATTTGCCGTAATAATAAAGGGGTGCTATATTCTTACAGCTCGTCTGCGCTAACATGTCTATCAATCTGCCCATTATCTATTCCACCGTACTTCTTCCCGGGAAGTTCCCATAGGGACCTGGATACGACCCTAGGGGGCAAAAGCCACGAACTTCCCGATACCGGCGTGTTCCGCCGCCACGTCAAGAGCTTCTTTCCAATCTTCCAACTTGAAGAGCTTCGTATCCACGAAGTTCTTTCCCCGAGGAAATAAGCCCCTTTCCAGCATCTTGATGAATAGAACAATGTCCTCTCGGTGGTACATCAGGTTTCCTTTCATGACAATGTTCAACCCGACAACTGCAGCTGGGTTCATGGAGTCCTCGTTCCAGCCCATTAAGCTGACACGTCCGCCACGGCGGAGAGCCCATGTGGCACTCTTTACATGCTGAGACCTAGACGCCTGCGGTGGCGTGAAGTCCAGGACGGCATCGACGGCACCAAATGCCTTCAGTGCAGCCGCGTCCGCCATCTCATCTCCGGTCATTTTCACCGTCTCGATACTTGCAGTTGGCGTGCCTCTCAGCACATGTTCCTTGATCCTAGCCAACTCCTTCTCGTTCCGGCCAAAAGCAATGACTCTTACCCCCATCCCGATGGCGGTCTGGACAGCAGAGCCTCCGTAGCCGCCAGTAGCCGGGCAGATGATGATGGTCTCGCCGGGCTTGAGATCGATGTCCCGAAATCCTCCAAACCCAACCAGCATGTGGCAAATATACAGGATATCCGGGACCGCGTAGCCCAGCTCGCCGCACAGCCTAGCCTCATCGAGAGCGAAGCAGTTCTCCAGCGGTGCCTGGGCGTACTCGGCCCAGCACCCGTCGCGCCAGACGTCGCGGATGAGCTTCCTGCTGCCCTCGGTGAGGCCCTCGTGGATGGCGGTGAGGAACAGGTCGCTGGGGTTGTCGCGCGAGCGGATCACGCAGTCGACGTAGACGAGCTGGCCGGGCTCCAGGGCCGTCGCGTCTTCCCCGACGGCGACCACGCGGCCGATTGCGCTGATGCCGCCCACGATCGGCTTTGGGATGTTGTAGTGGCGAGTGCCGCCGTAGATCTCGTGGTGGTAGGAAAGAATACCGGCCGCGGCTATGCGGACGATGGCCTTGCCTGGTCCGGGCTTGGGGGTTGGAATGTTCTTGACGTGAAGGCCCTCGCCGACGGCTTCGACCACGAGGGCGCGGTGTTCCGTAGGGATGTCGGATGTCATAGTGAAAGTTGAGTTGAGAGTGAACCTTAAATATAATACTAAGTGAAGATACAAATGCTAAACTTGATTTTAAGTCGGAAATTGAGTGCTTTATGTAGGGAAGATGGTGCTCTACCTCGACCGGCGATGATCGGATATATGCAACATTTCTCCGACACATTAGGATGCGCCTTTCCCCCTTTCATATGATATCCGTGGAGGACATTTCTACTAAACTGTTAAGATTATGGTATGGTATGCCCGGTCTTGTTTCGTCATACTGTATCATATCATTCCGTGCTACTCATATACGTAGCACCTAATACCCCTAATCTCGTCAAAGAGATGCGATACGAGTGAGTAGGAATGACCGCCGGTAAGTTGACAGGATGTACTACAGAAGGCAAGTAGAACATAAGGCCAAGTCTTGTAGAGCTCTAAACGAATATATAAGGACCCAGAATTTAGTATATTTTTTATAGTAGCTATAATATCCTATAAGGACGTCATACAAGGTAATAGAAATACGACCAAACTTATCATGAACTCGATTCAATTGGTACTCTACGGACCATACCGAGCAGCCGTTAGAGTTATCCTGCGTCTTGAATGTCTTGTGATTTCTCCGGATAGGTCTATGGTGCAAGATGTGGTGGTTCGGAGAAAATCATTATGAAAGCCGCATGGGATACAAAACTAGGGAGGGAAGAGATACGAGGATTATCACCGGTAACCCAGCTTTAAACTCCGCCAGTTAAAATGTGCCAGTGAAGAAGAGAGAAATGCTATCGCCGGTACCAAAGTATTAACTCCGAGTTCTGAAATAACTTACAACATAGGAGATACCGGAACGACATCTGAGTTGTTGCGTGGTACAAGAAGGCCGAGAGACCCGACAAGTAGTGCCGTACATAGGTACTTTAGATACGATCTACGAGGGCGCTTCGCGCCCGTATATATACTACTCCCTCACCAGCTACGCTGGCGCTACTCTCCGGTGCTATCCTTCGGAGTAACCGGGGCTACTTTAGCTCCACGCTACACTAGTCATGTACATATCTCTGATAAGCAAGCTCGTCGACTACCCTTCCGATGATAAGCTGTGCGAGCAAGGCAGCTAGAGAAAGCATGTCGTAGTTAATAAATCTTCGCTCGTCCGATGTTCCACTTCTTGAAGTATGTATTTTCGGTGTGTTTCCAGGGCTAGGCCTTTTCATAATAAAGGGGCGACGGGGATGATAACGATCAGGGAATATGGAACTAGCTTGGAAGAAGGCGATGTTACCCAACTCGACAATCTTTGCTATCCACGAGGTGTCGTATAGGCGTAAGAAATTTATTGAAAGAGCCAGTGCGATTTCGACCTTTTCAGGATAATGGAATGAGGGTAGGCTGATTTTCGCTTCCATTAATGGCCTGTCGAAGCATAACTTTTTTCTGGACGTCCAAAGGTGTGGATGAAGGATAGAGGCCAAATTTGTTCCCTTCGTGAAGAACAAATCCATAACCTCGTAAATGAGAGTCAAACTCTATTTAGAAAACCTGATAAATGCTATTAGGTTCCTTGGACAGAGAACTTCGTATCCTCGGCCCAATTACTAGACATTCGACTTCCTTTTCTAAGCGTCCTGTAGGGCTGGGGCCCGTCATGCTCTTGGAACTATATTGAGCGCTACCGAATAAGTTTTCTTGGGGCTCCCTTTGAGGGGTTGTCGAGTTGGACGTCTGGATAGTAGACGAAGGACCTTGAAAGTTACTGAAGCTTATAGATCTCAGTTCTATAGCATTCCAGCGCATTGCTTCCCCCCTCCTTTGCTACACTAGCCATGTAGTCCTTGCCTTCGATGTCAAAGTTACCGTTGGGTTCTAGTCCAACATTAAATCTCAATGATGTGGTAAGTTCCTCGTCGATATCTCCGGAGAGAAAGAAATAAACACTAGGTACCTCGAAGCTCGAAGCCTAAGCAATGTTCTTTGGTCCTAGAGATATCACTGTATAACCTTGACGATACCTATTAAAGAAGAACCCCAAGGACAAGACCGGTTATCTCCAGGCCAGACATGGTCGACTTAAGCTTATTTAAGCAGTTAGTAGACTGGATAGGTGTTTCGTTAAACTTGGAAAGCCACAGGAGCCGCAAGCTGAATTATGCCTATATAATATCACGTGTGGTGGCCCCTAGGTGACACTTTCGACTGTAAGGCTACATGTGGGGGTTGAGCTATAGAACTCATAATCCATTAGGTACCACTTATGATGTTTTATCATAAAATGTGTATGGATATTGACAGACTCTAATCCCGTCACCTCAGCTAAGCACGCCGAAATGATCAAGATTAGAGTCTTATTAGTATCAACAAGCATTATACAGTCAAATGGCCGATCAATATTAGATTTCAATTCTTGTCCCTAAGATCCAGGGATGCTTTAGGATCTTGGTCCATGCCAGACCATTTAGTGTATGAGGGCTACTTACATACTAGATTTTCGCCTCCGCGGAGCCTCGTCACTTTAAAAATACGTCGTCTCGCTTCTAGAATAGTTATATGGATTAGTCCATGAGGTTTAGTAGGGATATACTCTGAAAGCGTGATATAGGTACCTTTTCATTCAATTATTGACAATTATCGATAATTATCCAGGTCACGAAATGGATCCCGGAGGGTTTTTGCCTCAGGCGGAGCCTTCAAGACCTGATAGATAAAGAGTTGGCTAGGAGGGGCGCTAATAACTATAGTCGACACCATATGGGATACCTGGTAGATGCCTATACCTAATGGTTAGTGACACATTTTCAGATCCAGTTAGCAGACGAGGATGATGGCATCACATCTCCTATCACCGCACGAATGTACCGGCGCCATCCTATCAGTCAATAATCATCTTTCGTCATCAGACTCATGCAACACGATAGAAAGCAACGTGGGGTGCTGCTGCACTCATGTAGCAAAGTTTCTGATTGGTGCTATGGGTTACTCGTCAGACCACCGTGTCTTTCAGATAAGCAGTTGCTGGTCCGACCGCGATATTGCCAATATGAAGCGCAGCCAATGCGGCGTGGGAGGAATTGGTGACAGGTACGTAACAGACGTTTTTTATGGTTGAGTTGGGAGTTGGATAAGGTAGCCAGTCAATATAAGTTAAGTATCTGATGAAGACCGGCTGCTATGGCAACGATGTTTAAAATCCGATTCAAAAAGGTACCTAGGTATCTATACCTAAGGCAGTCCAGAACAGAATTGAGGCAATTAAGATGATTGATATGTTAAATAGGTTCTAATTGCAAGGATGAAATTGTTCCGATTCGATTGATAGCTGTCATATTTTGATAAACAAATAATTCTAAGTTGCATGCATTGGCACACATCCAATATACCTGATATTGGACCCTGATGTGAAAGTTTGGAGGAGCGGCAACTTCCGGTTATTGTAGGTGACATCGCTGTAGATGGCAGGATGGTTGGTCCTTACTTAAGCGGCCTGAATTGATACGTTTATTGGAGCCTTTGTTTGGAACTAAAACAACGCTAGAGGGTACCTAAATCAACCATCCCACCATCCACACCACCTCCCGCTGCTTATACCGGTAGTCAGTTAAGTAAAGTTTCATGCCTTCCATCCACTGGGTTTTAAATGTTAGATACCTACAACGTACACGTATATGTGAGGTGTAGGTACTTATCTACTGTCCTTACCTAAGATACCTGGTACCTATATGTACCTAAAGGCTAACCTAACCAGCTTTAGGTACTTATCCCACGTACCTTAAGTAAGGTTGTAGTACATAACTATACTGGGTACAATCATAGTGCACTACTTTATTCTTCCTCCCCTCCCAAACGAACTTCCATACAAACCACTACCTAACGAAACCACCCACCTCGTTCGACCACATCTTCTTCCCAACACCACCCATCCATTCGCAAAGCCTAGCGGCAACGAAACAACTCACCTGTTAAAAGACCCGATCCTTTAATTTGAGGCGACATTCGCGTACTTCAACATGAACCCTCACCAGAAGAACAAGATTGATGTCAAGGTCGGTTTTCTATTCACATTATTCGCATTTACATCTCTCCTCCCCTTCCACTTACTATACCCAAACCAGGGGGGTATGAAGACGAATACAATGGACGAAACTTAAGCCTTTCATCCTAATATTTGTTTTACTATGGCGAGGATTTCTTTTTTTTTTTTTAAAAAAAAAAAAAGATCTTGTCTTTGTTCTCTATACTACCGAACATATCTCCATCGCTCCACATGACACCGCTGCATAATAACCCCACATGCAAAATACTACCAGTTCACATAGTGTGTATACTAACTTACGTACTTTACCTCAGACGCTCACCCCCGATGAGCAACGCCTCTTCCGCCTGTACGGCAAGCTGCCGTCGAAATCGGACCACTTCGCCAAGCACTTAAAGGAGCGCAAGTACTTCGACAGCGGAGACTATGCCATGTCGAAGGCGGGCAAAGGCGACAGTGTAGACACAGGCAGCGTTGGCAGCCAGCACCCCGTCCCCGAGAACATCCCTCACCTGACGTCGCCCAACGGCCAGAACGGCGGCAGCACCGTCGCCCACCAGCACCACCCCAGCTTGCACCACGTCCACACCGGCCAGCAGGCCACCTCTACCGGCAGCCCTGTCAAGGAGAGCAGCTTCCTCAACCGCGAGACTAGCGCCGACGACAACGAGGCCGCTGCCGAGAACAGCGACAAGGAGAACAAACTCAAAAATACCGAGACTACGGCTGCTGCGGCGACAGACGCCGATGCTACCCAGGGCATTCCTATCCGAAGATAGGATGACGATAAGGTGATACTGCTATTAGGGCGGAGGAATATAAGACGAGAGGAGACTAGACGAAATGAGACGAGTCTACGTCTACAGTTGGCAGTGGAGGAAGAGCATTAGGTACTACCTGAGAAAAGAGTGACCCTACTTACCTCCCTAGCCCGGCTATATCTTACCAAGAGGAGAGCATATGTACTTTTGTTTACCTGTCGTTGTACGACTGAGAGGTAGTTGAGTTGCGTTTACGCGAGGGAGACGAGAAAGGTGTAAAAGGTGCTAGTAGCCGACTCCCTTTCGTGATGGGTTTACGAGGACTTTTTTTTTTCCTAAGTTCTGATATTTTCATACTCCCGCGGCGTTTGGGGAAGTGGTGATTTTGTGTGGTATTGGCAAAGGGGGAAGGGGGCGGGGGGTATTTCGTCACAATTGCAAAAATATGTTACGAAGACAAATAGGTGCTATCGTCGTCGTGGTCTTCTAGGGTATATTCCCAATCTCCCCAATCGAGAACTTTCGTTAAGACCGCTGATGGCTTTTCTTTTGTTCTGGTTTCCCTGCTCTGGCTTGGGACTGCTATTTTACATAGGTACCTAGGTACCTACCTTTTGCCTACCTATGTATCTAACGAATACTGCATTGGTTCTGCGTTGCTCTAATGTCAGTGTCAGATAGCTATTCTGATAAGAGGTTCAAATCCCGAATATGAGGCTATTGTGCCGTGTTCTCGACAAGCTCATTTGTCAGATTGTACATAGCTTCCCATTGGCTTATGTCTTTTAATTTGACACATACCAAACAGCTATGGCACTTTTCCTGGTTCATATTTTTTTATGTTGTGTTCCTCTAAACCTAATTCACGGGGTTCTATGTACCTTTAAAATGCGCATGCCTTTTCTGCCAACGCCTTCGCGCCATCAAAGGTCTTGTTTCCTCCGATAAACCCTGACGCGTGCACGAACACACCACCCGGAACCCCAGAGACCTCATCCAACTGCTCGTCACGCGCGCCCCGCCACGGCTCGGGCAGGGGTTTCCGGCTCTGGAACGAGCCGTCGGATACGGGCACGCATTGTACGCGCCACTTGGCATCGGGCGCGGGCTTCTCCGGGTACAGGACGTAGAGGACTTTCTTCGCGGACTCTCCCTCCTCCTCCTCCAGGGTATACAGGTGGTCCTTCCACGGCACGGACTGGCCCTCGAACACCATGATGCGGCCCTCGGGGTCGAACTCGAACCGCTTCTTGTACGCGTCCTGCACGATAGTGCGCGCCGGCAGCCACGACCGCGTGTAGTAGTCGAGGTCGCGCGAGAACTCCTCGCCGATGCGCGTGCTCGCCGCGAGGAACCGCTCGTCCTCGGCGGCCTGGGCCTGGGCCGGGTCCGCGGGGGCCGGGTCGTTCCAGTTGGGGTTCAGGCGGGCGACCATGGAGCCGAGGGTGAAGCCGCCGGTGCTGAAGGCCTTCTCGATGCCGGCGGCCTCGAGCTTCTTCGGGTCGTAGGCGGAGATGCCGTTGTCGTGGGCGTCCAGCGCCTCGACGAACGACTCGTACATCTTGTTCCACACCACGCCCACCTCGGCGCTGTCCTCGGGCTGCCGCAGCTGCTGCGCGATGATCGACTTGCCGAAGTGCAGGTACACGAGCCCCGCGCTCGACAGCTTCGTCGACCGGCCCGGGAACGTGGTGTCGAAGGTCCGCTGGTGGTGGTCGTACCGGTTGCGCGCGGGGTCGTATTCGCCGCCCACGTCGACGACGGTGTGGCACGTCTCCAGCAGGGCCGGGTCGCGCGTGCGGACGAGTGAGGAGTCGGCGTAGGTGGGTAGCAAGCGCAGCATGTAGACGGCGAGGGCCTCGTCGGCGTGGAAGTGGCCGTTGTGCGTACCTATCCTGACGCCGCTACCGCCGTCCGAGGTCTTCAATCTCTTCGCTGCGCTTTCGGCCATCCTGAATATCTGGCGGAACATACAACTTTCTTTATTTATCCTCTAGGAATGAATTTGTACCTAGGTAATATAAGGTATGGTATGTATAATTGACTTTGTAATTTGTTTGCAAAAGGGTCAGCTTGTGAATATTTCCATTCGCAACCATTGGCTGTAGATGCGGATAGAGATGGTGGTGGGGGGGCTTGGTGGGGTTCAGGATTTCACCTTTTCAGGTTTGGTGCTCATGCGGGTACGTTGGTACGGTACCACTTTTTTGGTATCGATAGCTTGGGGAGTAAGAACTTGCATCTGATGGGGTGTGGCTTTAAACAGGACAATCCATTTGGAGAATTGATGCTTTTATTAGCCCCCCAAAAGAAGGAGAGATGGCATGAACGCGTGTTGTTGGGAAGGAACCTTTTGAGGGTGCGCGGTATGGACATCAGGTGGAAGGAAGTGTTAGCTCTTGCCAATAATACATGACATGACATATTTCTTACCATAGAACGAATGCAATCCCTTTCTCTTGAATCACCACGTAAAATATTCCTAATCAATCAAACTTCAGCCACCCAAACTTTTTCATTTTCATTGTCTTTCTTGTTTTTTTTTTCTAGTCACGTTCGGAGGTATGGGCCATGTTTGACAATTCCGCCCTGTCGTAATCATTTAGGATAGCCTCTCCCGACTCAAATTTTATCTCTCATTTACTTTTCTCTTCGCAATTAATCAACCCAACCCCGTCTAAATTCTTACATCTTTTATTTTTGATTTTCTTTCTCCCCGGCGACAATTACATCTTCATCCATCATCCGTCGCGTCTCTCGCGTATCACTTCCATTATCCTAAACAATGGACCGCCCAGTTAAGGCCGAATTCGATAAAGACGCCGGCCATGGCGATCTTCACATGGCAGACACCAGGCCATCATACAAATCATGGAAGAAGAAGTACCGGAAGATGCGCATAAAATTTGACCATCAGATGCAAGAGATAGAGACTCTGCATAAATTGGAACAAAAGGCTATGCGAACTGCTAAACGTCTCGCAATCGAGAACGAGTAAGGACTATCCCTTTCTTCGCACTTGAAACTCACTCAAATACTAACCGTGTCATTTTACAGTCGCCTACTAGACTTATTAGTAGACATCAACGAGTCGCCTCAGATCCCATTTGAGCGACGCATAGATCTCAATTTAGAAGACGAAGAGGATGATACCGATTCCGATACCACCCAAAAACCTTCAAAATCTCTAAAGCGCCTAGAAGAAGAAGTTCCGCATAGATCATTTGCTGCCACTGTAGAGCAATATCCAGAGATTTTGGAAGACTTAGAACCTCGAGATCCCCAGATACATCCTACTTCTTTTCTTACTGCCGATGACATCGACGAGTATCTTTACGAGCTCGACACACGGTTGGGCCTAAAGCCAAAGCCTACTCTCGCGCCCAGCGCTATTGGCAAAGAGATTCCGAACCCGGCGGCCAATTTCGCGCTGCGCAATCCTACGAGTGTTTACAACTGGCTACGAAGACATGCACCTAAGACGTTCCTCCAGGATCTCGAGAAGGAGAAAGAGAAGGATAAAGGCAAAGATAAGGACGACCACCATGATAAGGACGATGACGGTCGGAAGCGTAAGGGCGGCGGATCTGCGCGTAATAAGAGGCAATCGGGTGTCAGTCGCAAGGAGAAAGAGAAAGAAGCTGCCGAGTCCATGGACTGGGATGACGACGCGGGTTACGATGCGCCGGCGAAAGGGAAGAGGAAGCGGGACGACGATGGCGGTTATCGACCAAAGGGTGGATCGAGCCGACCTACGAAGAAGCGTAAGAGCAAAGACTTTGGTTCTGTTCCGACTAAGGGTTCGCGGAAATCAGCCGCTTAAATTCTTATACTAGCTCTTGCATGTTATCGAGGGTTTACGAGTGCTCTTCTGCGGTGTATTTTTAATGTGTAGTTGCCAGCCACGGGTGCAGGGTTCAGGGTTCAGAGGCAATCAAAAAGTACCTACGTTTATCGAGGTTAGTCTGGCATGGAATTGGTATTAGAAAGGGTATATAATACAGTTTGTGCTTTCTGTTCCGAACTCATCGTTGTTTACGGATTATCTGGATTCATACTGGAGGTATCTAGGCAATACCTTAGGGAGCTAACCTAGGTATATTAATAAATCCAGTTGCGTGTATGTACCTAATGGAAAACTGAAGTAAAGTGAATCAAGCTGAGCTTCAAATGACACAAGAGGTCTATCTAACTTAAACCAGGTAGGTACCTGACCTAGGTAACCTAAGGGACTTGGGTTACGCCGAATTGATTGGCTCCCGCTCTTTTGGATTTAGTGGGATTTTCTCAATCGGGTTGCAAAATCAGGGCTTTGCATGTTTGGGCTTTTTCTTAGGAGCCAATCAATTTCGTCAGCACAGATCATCGTAAGTTCTTCGAGCTTCATCCGTCGTTTAGCTGAGAGAGAAAGAGAGAGAGGTTACATGGAATGACTGGAATACGGAACTGAGACTGGGAAAAGAGGTGTGAAAAGATTCAATCTCACCGTCGTTGCGAAATATACGAACAAATAAAATACGCTACGATTTACATATATCGGAAATCTCGGATTTTATTAAAAAAAGATCAGACCTGGAAAAAAAAGAGGTGTGCTTCAAGCTCCTCCATTTTTTCCACATTTTTTTACCCACATAATCGGAGCCCAGCCACATCACATACCCAAACAACAGCGGCCAGCAGCAGGCAGCACTTGGACCAACCTACCACAACAAAGCGCGAAAAGAGAGGAGCAAACGAAAAATGCCGGAACGCAAGACGTACGTGGTGGAGCACCTGGACGCGGAGCTGGGGCCGTGGTCGGAGCTGGAGTACGCGGCGATCGCGGAGGAGACGCAGCGGGCCAACGGGACCTTCATGCTGTCGTCGCTGCCGCACGGCTTCAAGGTCCCCTACCGGCTCACAGGTTACCCGTCCTTCATCGCCGAGGGCAGGAGCGTCGAGGACATCTACAAGGACGACGAGGAGCGCGACCGCGTCTGCCTCCTCGATCCACAGGCCGATAAGGACCTGAGCCCCGACGACAAGAGGGACTTTGATGTTTTTCTGTTTGGTGGCATTTTGGGGGACGATCCCCCGAGAGGTAGGTATTTTTTGATCTTTTCTTTTTTTTTTCTCCCCCTCCCCCACGCTGGGCTTTTCGGGAGGGGGGAGGAAAGATGAAGGGATGGAATAGAATGATAATAGTACTAACGAGGTAAATAGATCGCACGTCTGAGCTGCGCAAGAAGGGCTTCCAGGGTCGCCGGTTAGGGCCCGTGCAGATGACGACGGATACGGCGGTGCGGGTGACGCGGATGGTGATCGAGGAGCAGTGTGAGTTTATTTGTTTCCACTCTTTTCATTATTCTCTTTTCCTATCATATCCCTCTCTCCCATAGCGAGCTATCTCACTGGCTGGTAGTAGAGGTAGTGTATGGGGGTTAATACGCGGAACTAACGAGAAAAAAAAACAGTCACGCTAAACAAGATACCCTACCTCGACTACCCCGAGCTCAAGTTCAACGAGCACGAGAGCACGGAGATGCCGTTCCGCTACGTAAAGGGCAAGGACGGAAAGCCGATCATGCCTCAGGTGGGTTTTTTTTTTCCCTAAATTAACTTCCTCGCCCCATTCCTCTTCTTCCTCTTCTACTTCTCTTCACCGCTCCTTTACCTCACTCAGTATTTAGCGTCGAGCTGGAAGGAGGGCTTGTCTAATAACATCTCGGTAGGGAATGATAGATCTTATCAAGAAGGATGCCGACAAGAGTATCAAGGACCTATTCTAGATTCCGCTATAGGCTGTAAACTCTTACGGTCATGGCGGATAAATCAAGCTACGAGTATTTTGGGACAGGTTGGGTGGGTTAGGCACCCTACCATTACTTGATCATTACCTCATGACTGGTTCAAGGGAGTTTGGGTTATTTTAGGATGGTCTGCGACTTTTGTATTATACATAATTTGGAGAATGAATGTGAAGTTGGAATGACAACGTGCTTACATACTAAACAATAGCAGAAGCAAATAGCAATGCTGAACGGGCTAATCAAAGCACAAAGATCAATCGACATTTCAGAGCTCCCATTGAAACTACCAAGTAACACATCAAGAATGAATCTAGCTTATTAGAGTAGGTAAGTACCTACATTTAGATCCGCATACTTGCAAGATCTTCACATGTCATCCATGTCCACATCCTCATTCTCGTCCCCCTCTCCTCCGGATCCATAATCCTCGCCTCTATCCACCTCATCATCATCATCCTCCCCATTCTCATCCATCGCCTCATCCTCTTCTCCCTCCTGCTGCCTATCTTCTTCCCCTTCCCCTTCCAGATCATCCCAATGATGCGGAGTAGGCGTGGAAACCATAGTGTCGGCCACGCTAGGCGACGGCGAAGTCGCGGCCGACACATCACGAATCGACAGCGTCCGAAGCACGCTAGCATCGTTGACCCTGCTTCTCCTCGGACCCCGGGTATGCGGTAAGTTAAACTTTCCCCGGTGGCCCTGTTTCTGCTTCCTGCTCCTGTTGTGCTGCGTGCGCACTTCCATGCTCTTGGCAATCACCGTGACCTCGTCCGTCTCGCCTAGCTTCTTCTTGAGCGCGATGAACTTCTCGAGAAAGTTGCCCTGCGCGATTCTCTCCGGACCAGCCCACTTTTCGGCCGGGGGCACGATAGGTTGCGAGGTCTGTTGCTCCCTGTACGTGTTGACGTCTTGCTGCCGCTTTATGGCGGCGTCCTTGGGCTTGAGCTGCTTCTCCTTGACGTTGATCCGCGCGCAACTAGCCGCGAGGAGATCCACGTCGTGGTCCAGCTGCCGCAGGGCCGGGAGCGGGTTATCGTAGTCACGCTTCGCCATGAGGAGTTCCGTACCAATGTTCTGGTTCCACTGGCCCGAATAGACGCGACCCTTATAGGAAATTATCGGGTTCGTCGTATCGAGGTCTAGGATCTGGACCTCATGGTCATCTCCGTCGTCAGGAGGTTGAGACTCTTTCGGCTGCGAAGTTCGAGATACTTCGCCCTCTTCGTCGCTATTATCAGGACCGTTATCTGTACTCATCCGCCTATTCAAGTACAACTTGGCCCTTTCGGCTTTCTCGCCGCCTCTGTAACCCGGCCTGTTAATAACACTGGCATCACGGCTGGTGAAGTCTGCTTGAGAGAGATCGAGAGTGACATAGAAAGTCTAATATCGGTTAGTTTCCAACACGAATATTTGTTTTGTACAGAAGACAATTAATTACCTCAGTTTCCGTTTTTGAATATTCATATTCCCATTCGGACTCATCCTCTTCGGGGGGTAGTTGGCTGTGTTGAGTCGCGGGAGGTCCGTAAGGTCCATAATGAGGATGAGGGCTGGCCTCACTTATACCACCACCATAACTAGCCATCGGATATCTCTAAGATAAAATTACAATAGCTTAAAGAAATGCAGAAACGCATTTGAGATGTTTGATCGTCATGCAACACGGACGCAGAAGCAATGTTCAGTTATAAAGTTATATAATTGTAATTTGGCTGGTAAAGTTTAATTTTAAACGAGGTTGTGCAGGTTGTATGTAAAAGTTGATGAGCTTGAAATTCAATACCGGTAACAAGAGGTACCTAAAGTAAAACGTGCAAGTGACCTAATTCCATGTCAATGAAAGTTTAGAAATGAGGAGCTTGCTATTGCTAGCTAGTTCTAGCGGTAGCGTAGGCGGTCAGCAGTAGCATTATGCGCTAACTTTCCTAGCTTAGGTAGGTACCTAAGGCTAGGTACCTACCTGTAGGAGGTATTGTATTGCATCTGGTAAATTTTTAGAGGGGTCGTTCAAGCGCAATCGCTCCCCTAAGTCCCAGCTGCCCCTCCTGCCCCTCATCCGCGACGCAGTAAAAATTCCCATTGTACAATACAATTTTAATTTGTACAACAGCTGTTACTGCCCTTTGACTCACTCATTTCGAACACACATATACACACACATTCTCTCTCTATATATTAGCTTTCTTCTTCGCGTACATAAACCTTTCCAAGGACCTCCAGCTTACCTTTTGCTACGTAGAAACATATAGTTACGTAGGTACCTAATCTTTCCTCTTATTTAAACGTTCTACAAACTTTTCCCGGGCTTCCTATCTACATACATACATCTATCTACATACTTCACTTATACATTTACACTTGCACTTGCACTTGCGCGACACTACCCGATCTCGCCCGCTATGCCTACCGTCCACTTGCTCGACTACGTTGCGGGCAACGTACGGTCCCTAGTCAACGCCGTCGAGAAGTGCGGATACAGCGTCGAATGGGTTCGCAGCCCGGACGAGGTCTCGCGCGCAGACAAGCTGATTCTCCCTGGAGTCGGCCACTTCGGTCACTGCACAAGCCAGCTCGCCTCGGCCGGATACCTGCCCGCCGTCCGCGCGCACATCGACGCCGGCAAGCCGTTCATGGGCATCTGCGTCGGCCTACAGGCGCTATTCGAAGGCTCCGTCGAAGACCCGGCCGCCCCGGGCCTCGGCTTAATAAAAGGCTCCCTGGACCGCTTCGACGACGCCCAGAAGTCCGTCCCGCACATCGGCTGGAACAGCGCTAATGCCGGCGGCAAGAGCTTATACGACCTGCGCCCGGACAGCAAGTACTACTACGTCCACTCGTACAAGTACCCGTACGCGAAGGGCGAGCTGGAGAGCCAGGGGTGGACCGTCGCGACGGGGGAGTACGGCGGGGAGGTATTCGTGGGCGCGGTCGCGAAGAACAACGTGCTGGCGACGCAGTTCCACCCGGAGAAGAGCGGCGTCGCGGGCCTCAGAGTACTAAAGTCGTTCCTGACGGGCGAGGGCGCAAAAACGGTCGGGCAGGAGGTGGCCGGACCGGCGCCGACGGGGGGCCTGACGAAGCGCGTGATCGCGTGCCTCGACGTGCGGACGAACGACCAGGGAGACCTCGTCGTGACGAAGGGCGACCAGTACGACGTGCGCGAGAAGACGGACGACCGCGGCGTGCGCAACCTCGGCAAGCCCGTCGAGCTGGCTAAGAAGTACTACGAGCAGGGCGCGGACGAGGTCACCTTCCTCAACATCACGAGCTTCCGGGACTGCCCGCTGGCCGACCTCCCGATGCTCGAGATCCTGCGGCGCACGTCGGAGACGGTGTTCGTGCCGCTGACGGTGGGCGGCGGCATCCGCGACACGGTGGACACGGACGGGACCAAGGTCAGCGCGCTTGAGATCGCGAGCATGTACTTCAAGAGCGGCGCGGACAAGGTGTCGATCGGGTCGGACGCCGTGCTCGCCGCCGAGGAATATCTGGCCGTGGGGCGCAAGCTCTTCGGCAACACGGCCATCGAGCAGATCTCCAAGGCGTACGGGAACCAAGCGGTCGTCGTCAGCGTCGACCCCAAGCGCGTCTACGTGCCCAAGGTCGACGCCACCCGCCACGCCACCATCCGCACCGAGTTCCCCGGGCCCCGGGGCGAGGAGTACTGCTGGTACGCCTGCACGATCAAGGGCGGCCGCGAGACCCGCGACCTCGACGTCGTCGAGCTGGTCCGTGCCGTCGAGGCCATGGGCGCCGGCGAGATCCTGCTCAACTGCATCGACCGCGACGGTACCAACTCCGGCTTCGACCTCGAGCTGATTGACCAGGTCAAGGCTTCGATACGGATCCCCGTCATCGCCTCTAGTGGCGCCGGCAACCCGACTCACTTCCAAGAGGTATTTTCCAAGACGCGGACGGACGCCGCCCTGGGAGCAGGTATGTTCCACAGGGGAGAGTACACCGTCAAGCAAGTCAAAGATTACCTAGCAGAAAAGGGGCTAGAAGTGAGACAATTCGAGGGAGAGTTATGATGGAAACCCGGGGTCGAAGGAGGTATAAAGGGTCTGGCGCATTTATCGCATTATGGCATTTGGTAGAAAGGCGTTTACGGATTTAGAATAAGGATGTGGAAAGTTAGAAGCTCGTTTTCTATTGATAGTAATTTGCTACTATACCATTGCCTTCTCAATACTGATCCATTCTTAATCTCAATCCTCTAAGCTTATGATGACGCCTATGGTGTGAATACAGCAGATGCGATAGAAACGACCCATGCGCCAGAGCTAATGAGGTGTAAAAGTACGCCCTTCGAGAACTCCCAAGCAAAAAGCAACCCTAACCTCAAGGATAGATATTTATGCGCCGAAACAATATAAAAAAAAAAAAAAAAAAACAGCTCCCTCGTATAATATAATTACTTCAGGTAGGTTAAACGATCGTCTGAACTCGGAATATCACGACTAAACTTCCATGCCCATAAATAACCATTTGTCGCTGATGACGTCGATGTCCTTGGCCCAATGGTCCAGGGTAGTCATTTCGAAACCAACCCACTGGAGACTCTTCATCAATGCCTTCGCGTATTCGGGCGGCATTAAGCGGTCCACGCAGATAACAACATACGAACATCCGATTGGACCATCGGCTAACTCGATCAAAGCAATGAGTCTGGAACGGGGTCAGAAGAGCCACGAATAGCTCAACGGAAGAAAGGGGCAAAACTTACGCTTGCTTAAGATCGCGGCCTACGAGCCCACTGTCAAAGAATGCAAACAAGGACTTCTCGTCGCTATCTTCTGAGACAAAGGCTCGGAAGCTAGCACCTCCAGCATAATCCCAAAACTCCATCCATCCGTTCACATAGACGCCGGGCTTGGCGTTGACATTGCAAAGGGCAGACTGACCCATAGGATAATCATCAGGTGGTGTAAGCGCGTAATTAACACCAGTCAGGCAGGAGCCATTACCGACCGTACTCCACTCACCCTGGAATACGGCTTTCATGGTCTCACAGAAGAACCTCTCACATTCTTCCCTGATCTGAAGTGTTGCCCCCCCTCGGCGGCTGCGGCTAATCGGTACGTTGCTGCTGCGCTTCTTGTTCTTGGGCTGGAGAGCGAGCTCGTTAGACGGTGTGATGGCCGCGAGGGGGGGACTTGACGGAGGAGATGGTAGACCTGAGATAGGGACCTCAGGAATACCACTCGGCCCCTATTGTAAAATACTAGGTTAGAATATATAGAGTACACAACGTAGGGCTTAAGACAGTAAGATCGGGTCTCGGTTAGGGAATAAAGTTCAAGACATACCTGCAGCCCCGGTAGTGCAGTAGTGAAGTCCCTTTAGGGACGCAGCGGGGTCGACTATGTAGCAACTGGCGAGGACATTGATCTCTCGGGCCACGGCCTCGCCATTACTACTACTACAGTTATTTTTATTGTTTTTCATTGGCGCCATTGCTGATGATAGAATCCAGGGTTATCGCTAGAGATCGGGGTTTGACTAGTCTGGACGATAAATTTAGGGATTCGAGGAAAATTGGTAATCGTAGGCAATTAATTAGTTTGTGCGCTACAAATTTAATTTTCTTCGGAGTTTGACAGTTCAGTCGAAAGTCGAAAGGTATTGATTGGGTTCGGTTGTTTGGATAATTGGATTGTTCCGGAGTTAGTTTGGATTGGGCTGTTTTGCGTGTTGTTTAGTTGAGGTTTGGGAAAGTTGATTTTATAAAGAAAAGGTCGTAGGATGAACGGACGAGGCGGCTTCCAAGTCAAATAATCTTGGAACCAAAACAACGGCGGTCAATGTGGGAACTCGCAATTGCCAGATTTAGGTTCTGGAAACGGCTAGAGTTTGCAACTTTTTTTTTCAGCCAATGATTTTGTTGCATTGAAGCCATGCCACCCCCGCATGTGTATCACGTGCTAATTATCCATGAGGTAAACCAATAGGTTGGGAGCATAGTGATTGGTAGTTAATTCTTGTAGAGTCTTGGCAAATCCGTTTTGTCATCCCTTAAGAAAGCCGCAGAGCCGGTCGATTGCACGTTTTTTATCTTAGGCATGTCTGATCTAATAATCGCAATATACGCAACCTAATGTATTAGAACCCATAGTAGACCAATGATACAGGTTCGAAGGCATTAACCACCTCTATAGCATACTTGCGTGATATAAGAAGCGTATCACAAGCGTTCCCGACATTAACATTGTAGCTTAGCTTTCTTTAATGACTCGCAAGGCGGCAGCTTTGCTCCGCAAGCTCGGCTTTGGGCTTATTTCGTTGGTGGATATTATAGTTGCATAAGACTGATACTACCTAGGTACACTCAGCGATAGCGAAGCAGTTATGTGCTTGCGAATCAGCACGCGGAGAAGCAAGTCGATCTTTTCGCTAGAGCCGTGATGACTAGTATGTAAGATATTCTTGCATCGGAGCTTGGCAGTTTCGGCATTCAAAATACTACCTAGGTAGGATCTGAATTACACATAATAGTTGCAGTTGTACGGTTTACATACACTAAAGTAATAATTTTAGTGTGACGCCATCTACACATTTTAAACTTTAGATATTATGAGATATACAGTAGCGAACTACATAATTAGGCCTATTCCTATTATAGCCGTAGTGGGATCCATTCAAAGGGTCATCTCTCAAACAGTAACCCCGCCTGCCCGCTCCATCCGTTCTCTTAGCCTTATCGGGTGGACGATCTGAATGATAAAGCTGATAAAGCTTGGGGGTGGGCGCACCTTTCCCTCAGAGTGATACGATGAGGTGATGCAACACGGGATCAACTCTAAATGGTAGTGTAGCGCAGACGACGCAGGTAAGTGTCACATACATGTACATGTCTACCTAACATAACATTAGCTCTATATGTACCTACCTAATATATGAAACCATTCTTTTCCAAGGTTGTTGTTCATTGCTCTCCTCTGCTTCTCCTCCTGCTTCGTCGATGCGGGGCAGGCTGATGGTTACAAGTCAAACGTCAAATCATAAAACCTCGATTTTTCTAACTTTCCTGTCTTTGACGTTTTCGAGAGTACAAGTTACTCTCGTCTCTAATTTCTAGTGCCTGCCTAACATGTATTCCATAATGTTCAGCGAGGCGCTTCCGCTTCCGCTTCCGCCTCCGCCTCCGCCTCTGACTCTATCTGCGCCAGCTCGAGAGGAGACTGAAGGACCTAGGTTTCCCGTTTACTTACTCCCCAGCCTATCTCTGCCGTTTCGCCGAAGGCGACAAAGCTCTCAATCAAATCCCGGAAGTGCGCTAGCCGATACTCCGCCGTCTTTGAGTTCATCTCTAACGGACTCGATACCACCAAGTCCTACGAGGAGGCCTTCGATGCCCTCATTTACTTTGCCTACAAACTTATTTGCCAACTTCAGATCCAAAGGGAACCAGCCATCCTTAGCACCTTTGGATACAACTATCACTCGGACACAGCCCAACACTATTAGGTGCTCTACATGCGCTGCTGATTTCGCTTTCGCCTCGCAAATTGTAAGTAAGGGCTTTACAGGTCGATATGGAAGGGCATTCCTAGTTTCTCCCCCGGACGGACCATTGCGTAAACGCACCAAGGCTGGGGATCTTATCAATATTAAAATTGGCAAACCCGAAACTCGTCTTCTGGTTACCGGATCGCATGTCGTCGCAGATATCTCGTGTGCAATCTGCCATGCCAAGGTCGGCTGGAAGTATATAGACGCGAAGGAAGAGTCGCAGAAATACAAGATCGGAAAATATATTCTCGAGACTCAGAGAGTTGTTGTCTACCAAAACTGGGAAGATACCAAGGTTGGCGATACCCTCGACCTTGGGGTAGAGCAAAAAGGTATGCCAATGGAAGACGACGCAGAGCCCGTCATTTTCGACTCAGACGATGAGGATGAATGCGAGGACATATTCATGGGAACTTGGGATGCGGAAGCAGTTGCCAAGAGGAGAAGCCGGAAAGTCAATCGACGTCTTAAAACTACCTAACAAACGGCAACGGAACAACTGAAATAATTACGTGGAGTTTTTTTTTATGACGGTAATACCCCAGAATGGATTTATTGAGTGGTGGGCGAAGCACATCAACATCTCCTTCTGAGAGGACTGAATGAATCTTTCGTCGTATTGGGATTGGGCGGTTATTTGGTGTTCTTTGGTATGATCACATTACATGTGACATTTGCATTACATTCACATTGATACCCTCACTATGATAAGTCTGAGCCACGGTTCTATTCAACCATGGCTTCTGATTATAATATGTTTAATAACCGAATATGTATTAAGAAGACAACCACTGCATCGTTCTAAACAAAGAGAAAATCAATCCTTATTGTTGATTTAGAGTTGGTGCTGGTGCTAGTGCTGGTGCTTGCACCGACGTAGGTTTTTGACCAGCTGATAGTTCCAACGTGACCTAAAAAAAAATCTAGATTAACATCTCACATTCCGGCCACATAGTAGAAGCAATGGGGAATTCAAGACATACAGGGCCATCGTTTATCAAAGCAACTTCCATCATAGCCTGGAACACTCCGTTTTTTACTTTATCGGCCGCGTAACCTTGTTGGACCTTTTGGAAAAAGTAATCGTAGAGCCTCTTGGCCTCCTCTCCTCCCATCGCTCCGTGGAAGTCGGGCTTATTGCCCTTCTTAGTAGAGGCAAGTAGGGTAAACTGGGACACTGAGAAGTCATTTGTTAAACAATACAAACTCTCTTCCTCAAGGAAATATCAAAACTCACCGCACAGGACCTCACCACCGATATCCATCACGCTCTTTTTCCACTAATTGGTTCAAAATGTCGGTTAGACATGATCCATCAAGCACACGCGTATGAGACATTGGGAAGAAATGAAAGAATGGGATGCAAATATGTCACCATACTCTTCCCCCCGCATCGTCGTCCCACAGCTTCAGCTTTAACACTTTGGCTGCTAGGGAGTCTGCTTCTTTTTCCGTATCGCCGGGGGCCACTGCAGCGAAGACCAAGACACCCTTTCCGATGGACGACACGACCTCCTTTTCTACCGTTACGGAAGCGGATAGAACACGCTGTAGGATGGCTGCAGGAAGTAATATGAACGATTAACAACGGGTTGTGGCAGTTGTTTCGATTTCAAGTACACCAACCTTTCATCTTGGGCGATATGAATATTTTATAACGCTAATTGGCTCTGAGAGCCTTCCAAACTGGTGATATCGATATTGAAGATTGTGAGGTGGACTTATAAAGCGAACTGAGAATATATTTATTATTTATTACATATCTTGACCTCCAATCTCCAATTACATGGGTTTACCTAAGTGAGTACCTAACCTAACCTACTATGTACCTACTAAAGTAAGAAGGTAGGTACGGCGATGTTCAAGTCCCCACCATGTACCCAATGTACCTTCTAATGCCACGATTCCACCTGTCTGACTCTGTGAGCCTTGAGGAGTACAAGTGAGGGTACCTTAGGTAGACACAAGTTAACTATGAATCTATGATAGGCAAGTAATAAGGCTGGCTGTGGGCTGTGCGCCGTGTGCTGTAGGCTGTAGCTGCACCTAGGGCTGTGCTGAATGTGCTGAAATCGCAACCCTTCATTAAATCTTGGACTCATAAGAAAAGATTCAGCCTTCCAACTGGGCAACCAAGATAACAGATAAACCCTAGGTAGTCAGCAAACAAGAATGTTTTAGACATTACTCAAAATATTATCTCTTCCACTTCCTGCTGGCTGCTGGAAAAAACAAACGGAACGATCATTTTTTTTCCTCATTCATTAACATTTACGGATCTAAACCGTACCTACCTACCTAAGCCAGTAATAAAAGCCTTGCACTATTTCGCACAGGCTGCACTACACAGGCCAAGGTTTCACAAACTGCACACGCTACACACGCTAAAACCAGTGCGATACCGTTGAATGGTCTACGCTATTAAACTTTACTTACATGGTAGACTTTTTTTCGCCGTCGCCGTCGCCGTTGCCGTCACTGTCACCGTTACTACCACCGTTACCTAAGTACTATATTTGTCGCCACGTCCTGCAAAGTTCGCGAATACGACCTTCGTATCCGGCCCCTACCATAATCACCTCCAACCTCTTTGCTCCGGTTCTTTCCTGAGCACAAATCTACACAATGGCAGCAAGGAAGTTACAACAAGAAATAGACAAATGCTTCAAGAAGGTCGCGGAAGGCGTAGCCGAATTCGACGCCATCTACGAGAAGATCGAGCAGTCAAATAATACGGCACAGAAAGAGAAGCTGGAAGATAACCTCAAACGCGAAATAAAGAAGCTACAACGGTTACGCGACCAGATCAAGACATGGGCAGCCAGCAATGACATCAAGGACAAAGCTCCGTTGCTGGAGCATCGGAAGCTGATAGAAACGGTATGTGTTATTATATCAGACGACATTCCGCAAGCTATGCTATACTATAGTTAGTTGTACTACAGTTGGTATTATTGCTAACTTCTTTCCTCTATCTCGCAGCAAATGGAACGGTTTAAGGCCGTAGAGAAGGCGATGAAAACCAAAGCCTACTCGAAAGAAGGCCTCTCCGCAGCCGCCAAGTTAGATCCGAAAGAGCAAGCCAAGGTAGAAGCGGGCGAATTCCTAAGTAATATGGTCGACGAGTTGGAACAGCAAATCGAGGCACTCGAGGCTGAAGGCGAAGCGATACAAGCCACCATGAAGAAAGGCAAAAACCACTCCGCCAAAGCAGATCGCATGGCAGCCATCGAGCGCATAATCGAAAGGCATAAATGGCATCAAGGGAAACTCGAGTTGATTCGTAGATCGCTGGACAACGGAGGTGTCGATACGGAACAAGTGAACGATCTAGAAGAGAGCATCCGCTATTACGTCACAGATGGCACAACAGATGATTATATCGAGGACGAGGGACTCTATGACGAACTGAACCTTCAAGAAGAGGAAGATGTTTATGGTATGACCCAGGAGAATGATCGTGTCTCATCACAAGACACGCAATCTATACAGGAAGATGTTGCGGATGCCGAGTCGCGATCCGGTAGTCTACCTGGAAAGTCACGAAGTGTTGTCGATGCTGCTGCTGCTGCCGCCGGCCGGCGCCCCTCCGCACAGATGAAATCTCCTCTACCGACTCTAGCAACTTTACATAACCCCTTAGCCAACGTCACTAGTAGTAGTACCGCCAATGCAGGCATGAAGCCCGCGTCCTTACCAACACGACCAGCTGGGGAAGGATTGAAATATGCCTCGGCTGCTGCTGCCGCCGCTGCAAGTGATAAAAACAATGTTGGTATTGCGCCTCTCCCTCCTCCACCAGGCTCGCAATCAGTATCAACTACACCGGGCATCTCACCTTTACCGCCTGCTGCAACGTCTAGAGCAAGTGCTGCAAATTCGCCAAATATAGCATTCTTACAGCCAGCTCCATCGGAGCCAAAATCAGCAAGTTTGTCTATTCCAACCAGCGCACCTGAACCTAAGGTCGCGGAGCCAAGTTCCTCTACTGCTTCGAAGAAATCAGAGAAGGCATCTTCGAAAGCTGCAGGCAAAGCACCCGCCACTGCGGATCACGCTGAATCTTCGAAAGGTATATTGTATCGTATACGTAGTGTTTATATCCTACTAACCTGGACGTGTAGCGACTCGATCCAATGGCGTGGCTAATGGTGTCAAGCCTATCGAGGAGAAGGAAGAAGAGTCCATATACCATCTCCCTGCTTCATTACAAGATCTAGTAGAGTCATTCGAGGTGACGAAGAAACGCTCGCTACCAGTGAATAGCCCATCGCACTTACGCATGATGGCGGCCTCTCAGGCGAACCTGAATTCTATTGATGCATTTGACTCCGAGCCAACCCGGACATATAGACCTGATACCCGGTATCCCTCAGCTTCTGGGTATCCTCAGGAACCGCTCCCGATATTCGAAGACCCCCGGCTATACTCCCGGATAGAACCGGATACACTATTCTACGTCTTCTATTACAAGCAAGGGACTTATCAACAGTACCTAGCAGCTAAGGCGCTTAAGGACCAAAGCTGGAGGTTTCATAAGCAGTACCAAACTTGGTTTCAACGGCACGAGGAGCCAAAGAGCATTACCGAAGAATTCGAGCAAGGTACCTATCGCTTCTTCGACTACGAGTCGACCTGGTAAGTGTTTTGCGATTATTTATGTTAGCGCTGGTTTTCGACTTGCAAGCGTGCCTCTTTCACTCTTAGACGTGGCCTTATGGAACAATATTATTAACCCATCCCAGGATGAACCGTAGGAAGGCTGATTTTAAATTTGCGTATCGATTCCTCGAGGATGATGTATGAATATCCTGGTCTTTGCTACCGATCCTAGAGGAAATGGACGATCAATCGAGGGGGCCATTTGCCTTTCAGGGCTCACTGTATGGAATACACGGCGGTTGCTAGTTGAGGCAGAGCCATCACAAACAGTCTGCCTTTGCCTTAATATCTCTAAGGAAATACAAGAACAAATTATGTTCTTTCCCGATGAATTCTCCAAGATTATGCGATGCTGTGCGATGATCCCGAGTACGGAATAACGTGTTTGAGTAGCTTTACTAATGATTTTCTTAACAAATGAGACATTCGGTACCTCAAATAGACATAGTAGGTTCCCCTGGTAGCATATTCGCTTTGCTAACTTTTATCATCTACTGTTTTCAGCTGTTGTTTCGTTTCACCGCTCAAACTTCGAAGCTTAATGGTCTACCAGTTATAAGCCAAGTTGAAGAAGACCGGTAAAGTAAAAATCGGTCCCTAGGATACGCGCCGTTTTCGGCTGCGGCCTGCTCACGAATAAAATACGCGAGCAGCGTCCGAGTGGACGTCCAACGATCGAGCTGGCGTTTTGCTAGGATAGTCATTTGACTTTCATCAGGTCTCGTGATGTCTATGATTGGGCTGGTGATAGAGAATTTGAGGCTACAAACCGACCTATCGGATTTCTTCCCATAATGGCGTAGTCACAACTTGCCTAGGGTCGACTCACGGAGTACCAAACGGTTGGGTGCAGAGTTGCGCTGCTAGCATTATACCTCCGTTCCAAGTTTGTTTCTGGAAGGGCATGCGATTCGTGCTTGTCTTATACTAATCCACGAACGAAGCCGTTTATTTTTATTCTATTTTGTATTTCTTTCACCGCAAAACCAACTGCGGTGTCGCTCCAATGCCAATTCCAATATATAACCCAATTCCGCAAATGAGAAGTGTTCCCCGCGGCGTGTCCCGCTCCCATTTGTCCAGGCCCTCTATCGATCTCCGATGCAAAGCTACAGCAAGGGTTACCTACCCCTGGGCCAAGGCAACTTAATATGAGCTGTCTTGTGCATTTGCATCCAACGGCTCTCCATGGAACCAAACTCAACGGAAGTACCGAATCTTGGGGAAAGATAACATTTACCAGGACTACCCTCCCTCCCCCCCCCTCTTGCTGCTCTAGACCTTGTTGTTGTTGCCCGTTACGCCCAGGAAACCTCGTACCTATAGTAACAATACACTTCAAGGTAACATCAGTATGATGGAAACTAGCCGCTAATCCTTTCCTCTCTCTGTTCGTCCACATTGCATGCGTCTACCTAGTTTGCCGTAGCCGCACCCCTACCTAGTACAGAAACCGCCGCCCCCTCATTCGCACGGCAGTGTTCTCTTTATACACTGGGCTACAAGAAGTGTGGACTTCGCAATAGGTACCTAGCATGTCTAAACCCTGGAACAACAACAACCTTGCCCATTCTTTTCCGTTTTCGCGGTGAAAGTAAATTCTAATTTTGTCGTAAATCATCTTGCCCTTGCAACTCCGATTCCCGGTCTGGTTCCCATATTTTTTTTCCCTTCTCGTGACGACGTAGCACCAGTTATTGCTTGGGATTAGCTAGCGTAAGGGCAGCCATGGAGGACTATGCCGCTTCTCTTCTTAAACAGCTCACTGCCCGTTTGTATGTCCGTGATGAACAACAGCAACAGCAACAGGAACAGGAACAGCACCAGCACCAGCAGGAATCTAGACCCAGGACTGTTTCCTCCTCTTCTCCCTTCTTCCTAAACACGAGACCCGTCGCTATATCAGCCATGGCCCACCCGCAGACGCAGTTCGCGCAGACGGAGTTCACGGGGCCGTCCGTGCTGCGGGCGCGGCGGACGACGGTCGGGCGGGCGACGGCGAAGGCGCAGCTGCAGCGGATGAAGGACTCGGGGCAATACGACGCGTTCCGGGTCGACGAGAGGAAGAAGAAGAAGAAGGAGAAGGAAAAGCAGAAGGAGACGGAGAAGAAGGGGGAGGAGGGGACCCGTTGGCCGTGCACGCCCCAGGTCTACTGGGACAGCGACGTGGCCAAGTGGATCGAGGGCGCGTGCTACCTGCTGGCGGAGGAGTACGACGCGGAGATCGACGCGGCGGTGCGGGAGCTCGCGGACACGATTCGCGGCGCGCAGCGGGAGGACGGGTACCTGAATACGTGGTTCACGGTCGAGGAGCCGGAGGCGAGGTGGACGAATATCAGGGATAAGCATGAGTTGTACGTTTCGTTTCTTCCACCAGCCCTCCTCCTTTCCTTTATGCCAAGTTAGCGGTCTGGATCCATGGAGGGAGGAATGCTTGTTTGTTGGCTGACCTTTTGTTCGTGCTCGTATTCAAGGTATTGTGCCGGACACCTGATAGAGGCGGCGCTGGCGCATAGCAATTACTACAAGAACAATCTTCTCTTGGAGCCGCTGGAGAAGTATGTCCAGCTGATCAGTACAGTCATCGGCCCGGGTCCTGACCAGGTTAGTACCTAGTAATCTTCCTATCCTTCTTCGATCCTCCCCCCCTTTTTTTTTGGGTTACGAAGTCAAGAAACGATAGACTTACAATCAAGAACCCCCATGAAGATCTGTTTTTTTTTTTTTTTTTACTAATAGTCGGCGTAGAAACATGCCTATCCAGGCCATCCGGAGACGGAGCTCGCGCTCCTGCGCCTGTACACAGCGACGGGGAACGAAGACGCTTACAAGCTGGCGAAGTACTTCGTAGAAGAGCGTGGCAACCCGACCGGCCAGGATGGGCTCCCATACTACGAGTGGGAGCGGCGGCAGCGTGGCGAGAGTCCATATCAGCGCCCTGACAGCTACTTGATGCACGATAGTAGCTGGTACAACCAAGCTCACGCTCCGATCCTAGAGCAGAAGACTGTCGAAGGCCATGCTGTCAGGGCCATGTATCGTGAGTGCTTTTTCTTTCCTTGTTTTTCTTCTCTCGGAATGTGTTCCCCCTTTTCAGCCTTTCTTTTTCACGTCTTTCGTTTAATGGCGACCATTACCGGCTGTCGAGAGTATATGGCTGTTTGGCGATTGTGGGAGTCTGGGGCGTCTTGTTATCGAGATTTAAGGGGCGAGGTGCTTTCTATCAGCTAAGCGTTGGGACAATGGCGCTCCTGCCGACGCTGGAATTTCCACAGTAACAAGACTAACTATGCAAAAGCAAGTGCTAACATTAGTATCTTAGTTCTTACTGGTGTTGCGGATCTACTTTGCTTAGACGAGCTCGGAGTAAGGCCCTATGAGCACAAGAGCGAGTATTTCGAAGCCCTTACCAGGCTGTGGAACAACATGGTCGACAGGAAGATGTACCTCACGGGGGGGATCGGGTCAATGTGGCAATGGGAGGGCTTCGGTATCGATTACTTCCTACCGCAGGGCTCGGACGAAGGGGGGTGCTACAACGAGACGTGCGCGTCTATCGCTGTGATAATGCTAGCTGAGCGCCTGCTCCATCTAGACCTGAACGCGAAGTACGCCGACATAATGGAGCTGTGCCTCTACAACGCGGTGATGACGGGGCTGAGCCTGGACGGGACCGCCTTCACGTACGTGAACCAGCTCGCGAGCTCGGAGTCCGACAAGAGCCGCCGCGAGGACTGGTTCGACACCTCGTGCTGCCCACCGAACGTCATGCGGCTTTTTGGCTGCCTCGGCGGATACCTGTGGGACTACGGAGGCACCGGAAAGGGCGGCGACGCCTACATCAACGTGCATCTGTATACATCGGCCAAGGTAACGTTTCAGGTAGAAGACCAGCAGAAGCAGCAGCAGCAGATCATGCTGGAGCAGAAGTCGAATTGGCCGTGGGAGGGGAATACGCTGTTCGAGCTGCAGGCCCCGGCGTCTATAGGCGTGACTATCAGATTAAGGATTCCTTCCTGGGCGCGGGGGAACTTCACGGTACGTTCCCGGTTTTTCTTTTACTTTTCTTTTGCTTTTTTTTAATGTATTTGCGCTTGATTTACATACATACATACCTACCTACATAGTAAGGGGCGAGGGGAGGGGGCTTTGTTGTACCCCTGATGCAATGTCGCTAATGCCAGGAATCCAGCTCACGCCGAGCCACAAAGCAGCGCAGGTCGAGAAGGGCTACCTGGTCCTCCCGGCCGCTTACACCTCGGCGAATAGGGCCTTCTCGATCCAGATCGACGGGTTCGAGCCCCGATTCATCGCTCCCCACCCGTATGCCAATCAGAGCACGCTGACGCTCGCGCGCGGGCCGCTAATCTACTGCGTGGAGGATGTCGACAATGCATGGGAGCAGGACCACTTCCGCAACGTCGGGATTCGATCCGACTCTGCGGTAGCTGAGAGGGAAGAGGAGATGACGATAAAGAAGGTGGTGGACCATCACCACCACCATCACCAAATCGGGGAACGCTACGTTGGCCTCCGGTCGGTCGGTTGGATCCGCAAGGTCATAGGTGATCGGACCGAGTCGGGATCCGGCATCGAACCCGGTACATCCCTCGGCCAGACGGTGGTGGCTGAGGAGAAGGAGCTTAACTTCATCCCCTACTATCTCCGTGCGAACCGTGGTGGCAGGGGTCATATGAGAGTTGGGCTGTTAAGGGGCTAAGGTTTCTAGTTAGGAGGTAACTACGAAGTACTACTGCTACTATTATGTGCCTGGTATTATGAACATGGGGGGCGGGCGGTTTGGAGGGGCCAGAAAATAAAGAAAATAAGGAGAGAGAGGGGGGGAGGCTTAATGCTAAGACGATGAAGAACCCGAGACACCCGTGTCGTAGTAACATGGTTGGTTCCACTACTACCCAGTTTTGAAGTGCGTGGGATTTCTCGATAGTTACCGGGCAGGTAGTTAGTGGGGGAAAAGAAGAAGAAAACGTTGTTGGAATATAGTACGATAGAGCAAACGATTCGGCGCTATCGTCATAATCCTAACCCCTTGCATACCCCCATCGGGCAAGCTGCAGGTTCGGAGCCTTATCGCTACCTTGTCAGGTAGGTTGTGCGCAGCTCATGGTACGCTAGATTTAGTTGAAACTGGGAATCCGCGGATGCAACTTGATTATCTCAGCCTTTTTAATCATAGGTACCTATTCTTACATGGTCATTATTCTAGTTGGGTGGGTAGCTTCAAGATGGAGATGACGGATGGTGTCTTGAGATATACCTATACAAAGCTTGATTTTATATAGGTGGTGGTATCAAGGGGCTTTCTTGACAAGTCTTCTTTTTTTTTTTTCTTACGAGTTATTATTCGGCTTGGAGAAGAGCGAGACGGGGGTTAGCGAGGAAGAAGAGGGGGTTTACGAAAACAAGAATAATAGAAAAAGAAAAAAAAAGGAGCTAGGGTGGAATATACCAAAGTGTCCGCAGAGCAGGTCCGCAAAGACGACAACTACACAATACCAATCTTGGTTTTACCCATTTTTCTCCCATCAATGCATATATTCATTCCGACTACTCTTTCGCATACTCAACGGAAGTGCTCCGCGAAAAGAGTGTATACCTGGTAAATAGGTAAATAGGTAAACAGTATAGCCTTAACTTCCGCCAATCATTTCGCTTTCTGTATCGGTCCTCATTCGCAATCTTAACCCGAGTTCCTTCAGTCAGCAGCATGGATATGCCTCGAACACGCTTCAAGGTGAGACGGTCAAGCTTTGTCTCCTCGCATGCTTGGGCCAATGGCGTCCTCGTCTCCTCATTGATTTTACTCAATCGGTAAGATGTTCCGACGAGCCCTTGCTCTAAGCGCACCACCAACCTACCAACTTGGCCCTCCACGATCGTCAATGGCCTTCGCACCGAATGAGAATGCTTCTAGAAACCCGTGCCGTTTCTAGCCCGTAGTGTTGCATCAGGCCGGCCCAGTCTCGAGATTGGATAGTCGCACACATATAAGTCTGCGGCTTATAATACATCGGGAGACAAGCATCGTGAGTTCGATGGATAGGCCAGAATCTATCATACATCTATACCGAAATGGAAATGGGTAGCGTTACAGATGCAAGTAATTGGCGCAAGAGCCCTTCCCCTGGAAATGAGGCTCAAGAAAAGTATCAATGTCCTCGCTGTCCTAGCAGCTTCAAACGACCCGAGCACCTCAAGAGGCATCAACGCAGTCACGACGGCCACAAGCCGTTCGTCTGTTCCATCTGCTTGAAGCGATTCTTTAGGAGGTACATCACTGTTCCTTTAGAATTCTAAGATGAGGACTTACACTGATGTCTTCAGTGATATTCTAACCCGCCACGAACTGATGCACATCGCCGCCCAGAGAAACAGCCACGTCTTGAATCGAAAACGGGCCTGCACAGAGTGTGCGAGAGCGCGAGAAAGGTGTTCGAGGGATGAGCCTTGTCTGAGATGCTCAACCAAGTCTCTTCAGTGCTTTTATCCCGACGATACATCGCAAAGGTCTCATTCCTTCGGCAACGAGTCCTCAGCTGCCTCTGGGAGCGAACAGGGACAGATCGAGGACTACCACCGATATGAATCCCAGTGTTTGTCGATGCACCCCAAACAAGAAAACTTTGCAACAACATCAGCATCAAACCTTGTTCAAAGGAAGTCCGTTAATGAAGACGACGGCCCGCTTCGCGAATTCATACGCACACTAAGGTCCCCGGTTGGCCCGTCCTTCATGACGGATGCAGACCGTCCGTCAAACTTACCCTTCAAACCCTCTATTTTCCACCAAGACCATCAATCATCCGTTTCATCGCTTGCTACGCTGAGCGGCATAGCAGGCGAGCCCGGTGGTTTCGATCACAGGAGACTCAAGGCGGCGAGTCGTCAAGCCTCTCTGTTTGATCAGCCGGGAAATTCTCCCTTCGCACGCGCGGGCATCCACGACCCAATCAACCTCGGCGAAGGTCCTTTTGGACAAGCGCTGGGGGTTGGTGAATATTCCAATCTCTGCCCCTCGCCCATAGCCGTACCTGCTGAGCCGCCTTTCGACTTCCATCCCGAGGCTCCATTAGGCCCGTCGTCCGAAATGGGGCCTGGGACAAGGGTTAGCGGTAATATCGACCCGTTTTTGCCCATGCGTGCCGGTGGACATGGCGTGGTCGATCTCTCGGAAGCTAGTGCCCTTGCTCCGACGACGACCCCAACGACAACGAGTGCAGGGGCGGCACCGTTGTCGGGATTGTTGTCTATGTCTGATTTCAGGTCCAGACCTATCAACCTCAAAGCGTACGAAGTGATTGCAAGTAATTTCAAAGAGTTGTCGCTGGAGTTTGGAAGAGCGACCTCGTCGACTCACAGTAATGATATTTCGGAGTCCCAGCGCACTGCTCAGCACGAACTGCTTGTGAAACTATACTACGAGCACTTCAAGCAGCAGGCTTATTGAAACCGGGTTTGCCCGGTTGTGGGGGCGGGGGAGGCACGCACTTGTGCCGCTACGAGCGCGGGAGCTTAAGCTTGCCTGGGGTAAGAGTTTCGTAGCTCCTGTCAAGAGCCGCGAACCGGCGGCCAGAGGCGAGCGAAACCTCTATCCCTGCTACAGAGCCGCATTTGGAGAGAGCATCAATGGTGTGGTGTTACAACACGGGTTACTTCGCATGGTGCTGGGTTATGGACGCACAAGCACAAGGCTATTTCCGAATTGTTTGCCCCCCCCTGGTTTCGAGCATTCTCCAGCCTCGCTCGTGCAGATAGGTAGCCTGCTTCAGGTAGTCCATGCACGAAGGAGGCAATTCTGGATATAATATATACCTGTGGAACATACGAAAGATCGAGGTATCCAGGTAGGTACCTAACTCATTTTCTTACAATCCTTGGGCTAGGTCCGAAGGAGTTGTTGGTATTGACGTAACCTATGTGGCAAGGAGGAGGAGGAGGGCTGCACTACCGAATAATGGTTATGGTTTTGTTATGCACACTTAGTAGTCATCGCTTATAGATGTCTAACCAGCTCCTCGCGAATTTGGAAGCCAATGAGTTTTATCCCGTTTGTCTCGCCGTGATTATGGATTAGACGTCGTAGCAGCCCTAGGTACCTATTACTCGCTTTCCTGAGATATGTTTTCCTTGGATATGTGCATTCTGCACTTGCGTCGTCCTTAATGAGGCGAATAGCTTTCTGGCTCGTTACCCAAGAAGCTGTAAGGCAACTAACCCCATTACATAGCTGTAAATCTGACTGCAGAGTGCATTAGAAGCCTCGCCTCCTCCAATTATCTCCAACTTTGTCTCCAACGCATATATAATCGCGTATAATTGGAGATTTGTGCTATGTGCGAATGTCGTTTCTAAGTTGCAGATAATATATTACTTACATGTAATCATGTAAGGTACCTTGGGTAGGTAATGTACATAAACAAGATGTAAGTTGTAAGTAGGTACATTAATATTTTTACATTTAAGATCAACATCACATAGAGTTCGCGCGTTACGTAGCACTAAGTACCTCTCCTTGAGGTACCTATCACACCTTAGGAGGTTAGGTACCTTAGGTACCTGGTATTGAGGTATAAGGTATATAAGGTAGGTACCTAGGTAGGTATCGGAGGTAATACGTCGAGCGGGTGGAGACATGCTTATACATAGCGCTAGCTCTGTAAGCAAATAGCTCTTCGCATTTACTTTCTCAATTTCAATTTATGACTTTGTTTGTTTACAACTTCATCTTCATCTACAAACCCCAAAGAAAAAAATAAAAAAATAAAAAATTATAATCTAAATGGACGTGGCACCAATGTGATCTTGCCAACTCACCACCTGCATGGCTGCCCAACTGCTCCCACCCGTGTCTCGCGCACGACTATATGTACTTGAAGGTTGCCTTCTTTTTCAAGATTCTCTCAACCCGGTTCCTGAAGTGCCGCGATGACACGCTCTTCACCGAATTACGCTCCTGCGAAATGTTCCCTCCCCGCCTTGTGCTCTGCCTTAATTTTGGCTGAGGGACTTAATTGTCGGTTCCTGGATCGACATTTATCATATTTGCTATGTTTATCATGTTGACTGCTTGAGGGCTGAGGGACGCCAAGACCTGCAACAATGGGCGCGTCGTGGAATTTTAGCCTGCAGAATGCGGGAAAGCATCACTGCATTAAAACGAAACATAACAAAAACAAAATAACCAACCCGATGTCGATGGGGGAGCATCAAGGCGATATGCAATTCAGAGCTGAGCCTTGCCAATTCAACATCGCCAAATCGGGTTATTGATATCCGTAAGCCCTTTCTTTGGCTTTTCTGAATGTAGATTTCGGTCAGCTTCCTTGACCGAGTCTCGTGGGCCTCAGATCTCTATTAAGTGGGACGCAGCCGCAGAGAGAAGCCCATGCCTCTGTCTTGCAGATTCCCCTCAGAAGCCTCACTTCTGTCTGATATACATATAAGATCACTATATACGTGTCTGGGGCACGGGGCTAGAAGCGACGAACTACGACACCGCACCGTGGTCCATCAAATTCTCTCATCTCTAATTTTTTGGGGGCTGGTCGAACAGCGAATCGCAGGCAAGCAGAAGTGCTGCGTTGGCAAGGCATTCGGTAGGCGAACTACGGGTTGCCTGAAAGCAAAGGATAATAATAAAAATACTAGAGAAGTGTCGTAGTTCGCAGCTTACATTCTATTCGACAGCTCATCCCTATTGAGGCTGAAGTCATACCCTTCAGTGGCTGTGTCGTACGTGTCTTACAGGCACCAGCGACGACTAATGTCGTACAGGATTCATCGAATGCCCTCAAGACGACCTTCGTGACGTCCACAGATCCCCGGAGGGGTCACAGCATTGCCTTAACGGCTAACCATCAGCGTTTGGTCGTTGATATTGCTTACCCCAATGAATCCACAGGGTGTTACCGCCGTGGGCTACTAACCACGCTTAACCACGCTCTGCTTTCAGCTCCATCTACCAATCCCGTCTCGTGATCTTCCGCTAATTCGCTCGAATGCTTACACTTGCGCATATGTTTCCACATCATATTGCACTTGTCAGCCTTACCTATGAGAGTAGAATGCATTCATGTGCCATACCAGTATCTGGGCTGAACTCTTCTTGGCCAAATGGTCCACATTTAGGTGGCATTGCCTCAGAATGCTATGCACCCTCTCTTCCAGAGTCCGCGGTCCATGCCAATTGCAACCGACAGGATACATTCACCGAACCCAAACAGGATGTCTCACTTTGACGTTCCATAAGACTTGCATCATACCCTGGAACAACTCGAAGACTAATTCGCAACGTGCATGTCGCTTAGTTGCATTCCCGCGAGCGGAGGGCCGGCGGCCTCGGTGTGGTTTTATTCATTAACTGCCAAACACATAATAACTCGGATGCTATCCGAGGCGTTCTTATGCATTGCCCAAGGACAATGCCACTATTTGCTATGAGCATGTGTTTTCGCTTGTTGTCTAAAGTTAAACACTGGCCTTTTGCGTCGTGCCGGAAGGAACTGAAATCCTCAGCAGGACATCTATTGACGCATCTCGGGACCCCGACTGAACTCAACGTCCGCCTCACCTAGAAAAGTATGCAGTTTGAGCCTTAATTGTCCTATCGACGCAAGTTGACTGCTGTTGTACTAATAGATGATCACCCTGTATTGGTTAGAGTAAGATTTTGGCAAATTTGATAACAGAGACTATTTCGACTCCCCAATGAACACCTTTGACGAAAGGTCGCAACTGATAGTCTTGTATTACCACACTTTTATATTTGCTACCACTTGTCAATTCTAAACTATCAACTACCTTGCATACGGATCCCCGGCAACGACAAGTTTACCCTGCCATTCAAGTTATGTCCCTTGTAGGGGATAGCCTCTCTGTCGCTATAAGTACAGCTTCATCCCGGACAGACACTCGCCATCTTTCCAACGAAGATACCAGTACAACAGACTATTGCACGAAAGGAAAAATCCAAGACATTCTCACCTTACTGACAGAGCTATGGACAATACATACATCCCTGGAACTAGTTACGGATACGGTGACCAGTCTTATTGGCCGACAAGCACAGTTATGGCTAGAGATGTATCACACGGAAGCGAGTATAGCAACTACTCGGCAACTAGTAACGGACAATACGATTTTACAGTGCCGCCGAGTCCTGAAGTTATGGGCAGCTATGACTTCTACAATGTGGCAGACGCAGGGACATTCGCAACGGGTGGGCAAGGATACGATGTAAACAACCAAGTAGAGGAGCAAGAGTTTCAATATCAGTTCTACGACTTCATTGCCAATGACAATTCGGGACAAGGCCCGTACTGGAGATTAAAGTCCAACATTCCTCCATCAGCGAAGCATCCGGATATCCTTCCCATTCCGGCTGCCAATACGTAAGTGCGGTCATAGAATAACTGCATGCTATATTGTCTAGGTCCTAACAGACTTTTCTAGCTCACCTCCCGCTAATGGAAAATCGACCGTTGGTGACGCTGCGGGCCGCCATGTGTGCCTTGAGCCATTCTGCAACGCATCCCCTTTTAAGCGGAAAGCAGATTTCCTACGACATTACCACCACAGACACCGCGATGCAAACCAGAAAACACCCTTTCATTGTGATTGGAAGAGATGCCAAAGGTCTAAAGAGCCATTCTATCGACTCGATCACTGTCGGGAACATTATCGTGACTACCACCAGGAAGACTTGTTGCGACGCGGCCCCAATAAGGAAAATGGTGAATGGTGGAAGAGTCGCAATATTGACAACAATTGGTGGCGCTGTCCCAAATGCCTCAGCCGCATTGCCATCGAAAGCAAAGGTTTCCAATGCACTAAATGCAAAACAACTTGCGAACCTGAGAGACGGAAGCTGAGGGGCTACGAGTAAGCAGCCACACAATGTAGCTGAGCGACAACACAACTCCCAACTTCGTCACCTTAGGTACAGGAGACTTAGCCCGTTACACCGATAAAGACTGCGTTGCTTTAGAACGGTTCAGCAATAAGTCTACCCCCTTACCATTCCTTCCGTACCTCGTGCCTAAGCGAAACTTAGCATGAGGGAGGGATGAAATTCCCGCACGCCTTTTTTCTCACTTTCTCTCATTCCCTTTTCTTACCCCGGATTGATCCGCTGCACAATGCCGCAGCTAGTGGCACCTTTCCTCCCGATATACGGCGGTGAATGGCGTAGGGCTGAATATACATTACATAGAAGGCGGTATGCTCCCGGCTCATCTGCAGATCACTGCATAGAAGGACTGGGTGGTAAAGAAGATAGTGTAGGTATTTTGGTTACTTTGTCCTACTTGTTTCATTATTATTCTTTAGCCCATGTCGAAATGAGCGATGAGGCTATGCTCGTTGGTTTGCTTCTTTTTCCATTTACGATGAACCGACTGGGGTGTCACCCCCTGTCAAGGCGTTTCTAGGTGGCTGTATGAACATCATATCATGCTTATTAGAAATTCGAGGCACGAGGCTAGATAGACTGTCAGGTACTTTGGACGACCTGTTCTTATTTTTTCCGGGATTTCTTATCTCATGGTCAGTTATCTCTTATTTATTCACGAGTCATCAACGAAGGCAGAATGAGCAACAATGCGGCATTGTACGTGGAGCATTCTGATATCGATTTTTTTTTTTAATTTTTTTTTTGGCTACGAATTTCTTTGGTCCGTACTTGGCTTGGCTACCTATCCACCTTAGATGTTAGTTATTTGGAAAGGTTACGCGTGGATGGATGAATGGATGGTAGGATTGCCGCTTCGGCGGCAGGTAGGGTTACGTTTTATGCTACGGCAGACATATATCGTGGTTCCTTCGATTAGTCGGTCAGCCAGGCAGACTTTCTAACAGGCCGAGGTCTCTTATCCTTTCTGGAAAGGATTCCTTGATCTACGGTCTTCCAGTGGGGTCGCATACAACACACGTGTGCTTGCAGTAGCTGTGGCAGTCCACGGCAGGGGGCTCTGCGTTACAAGAGGAACAAATAGAGTAGAGTCAAGTTAGATTTATTACATACATGCATGCATGTAACCAAATCAGGTTCTACCATGGGCATTTTCTGGCTAGGTCTATCTATGATCATCCATGAGACATCTCTACACGCGGGTCTGCGCTCTTTGTCCATCTTCTATTCTCACTACCTAGTATCGCTGCAGCATGGTGACCGAATAAGTCACCCAAGTAAATAAAGGACACGGTATACGAAAGGAGGTACTTGCACGTACTTGGCCTTTATCCCATTGAAACCCGAGGCCGATCAGGCTGCCTTACGCTTTAGGTATCCCCGAGGATACATGAAGCGGCTGATATATTAGGCTAGGTACTTTTGTGAGCATATCTAAGACATCGGCTTACGCGTTATGACTCGAGTAAGATAGGCTACTGTATAATGGCATAAAATTAGCTGGATCTTTTACTATAAGAGAGTTTTTTTTTTCTCTTTTTTTCAAATATAATTTTTCATTATTAGGTAAATGGGCTGTAATAAGAATTCAGGGGCTTTTGTTGTCGAAGCAGACTGTGGCAAGTATTGATATAGTTGAGCTTGCCTAATGTACTATACACCAACCCCCTATTTTTCCCTGAGATGCCTACGGCAATGGTACTACTATATATATGAGTGGCCTCCATCTTATCGAGGTATATTAGGTATTCACCCACGCTAAACTTGCCATCATCGCGTACCTTATTGGTTTGAAACATACGATACACTAGATGATATTCAAAGTACCCCTAAGCCATTGTCCTTGATATACGAGGCTCAAGTAGTTTAGGCCTGGTGTAACTGTGATACTTTGCTGTTTCCCGAGAAACTTTAAACTTGGCGGCTATGGGAATGTCACAGTACCGTCTGTGAGGTAGTCATTATAGGCCGAGATAGAAACGTGAACCCCTCGAGTTGACATCGTTCTACCTTTTGGTAGCGTAGCGGTTTAACAGCTATCTCCCGAACCCTTACAGGGAACGTGTATGTATTAGGTTAGGTACTTATGCATACTATGAGGTAACTAGTAGTCCTCTTGTCCTAGATATCTCATTTAGAATTGTTAGAGTAACATCTCGTTTAGATGCTAGAGACCAAGTCACCTAAGTATTTACATATCTATTTTTACTAGCTTGGATCCTTCCTTACCTTATGGTTACATGATACTCTCTGGCGGCCCATGGTTCATACTAGGGGATCGTCATGGAGAGGCCGGTAAACTTGGCCTACGCTATGCAGAATTTGGCTCAAATTCCCATTGTTGGTTGTCGAGTTGCGGTGAGTTGAGTTGAGTTGTCGCCGTATTTGTTGGCCTGGCGGGCCGGCGAGGTCTCTCAGGAGGCCGGGCGCAGCAAATTTTTCTTTTCGTCGCCCCCATCTATTATCTTATTTTTGATGACAAACAAACAAACGAATAAATAAATAAACAAATAAATAGAAGCATAAATAATAACAAATGAGCGTATTAATACGAATATATTAAGAGTAGGTAAGTAAATGCCTAGGTGACGTGACATGTCTTTGCAACTCTGTAGTGGAACCCCTTTCTGAGGCTGATGGAAGCCTCCTATCTTTGACATTTATCCGAGCCTCGGTTGATGTTCCGCTGAAGTACTTTAGTAGCAATTTATTACTATAATTGTTGTTAGATATGCTTAATAAGTGTTGGATGAACATTTGGGGAACAGTTTTGCGTATGTTTTGCCGGAGTAGGGGCTCGCTCCTTCGATAGGCGCCCAACTACCTAGCTGACCTCTAAGTTCTCCCAATTAATAATTCCCTGCTAATTAGTAGGTGTGTATTATAAAGCATGAAGTTCTTTTCTAACAGCATAAGGTGACCTTGCTCTCGGAGTGGATATCGCAAAGTAAAGCCACCTAACATCACGAGAGCACGCAGGTTATTTCCCTACCTAGTACCATTCATTGAGAAGCACAGTTAACCAATTAAGGTCACTCGTACAACTCGATATAGATTGTCTATCTCGCTACGTAACGTACAAGCTGGAAACGTCATCTTTTTTTTTCCTTTTTTTTGGATATGCCATCTAGAATCTTGATAGTAGAGCTTACTAGGTATATCTAAACAGGTAGGTGCATACGACTTATTAAAAGGTGACTACGGGAACCTATGGGGTTAATCTTCGGCATTGTTTAAGTTAGAACCCAAGTTGAACGCTCCTGTAATGGAACCGGACCGTGCCTTAGGTTAGATGTCTCAAATGTAAATTGTAGGCCCATATCATGTATATGACTTACTTCGCGGTCTCCTCCGCATTCATTATCGAGTGCCTACCTATTCCACAAGTGGACTACCTATCCAGCTAGAGGCTGCGTAGCACAATTGAGCAGAATCGCCAGGATAGGTAGGTATCTCTTTCCCCGTTCAATCTCGACCCCCTGTCTCAGCTTACACAGGAAGATATTGGAATTTGAGAACTGATAGCCTATCGTGAATAGGATAATTCTAAATTGTTGTTACGAGATAGAATTAGAATATATTTCTATCTCTTCTTTAGTCGGTGGAAGATTCCAGCCCGACATCTCGCAGCTATGTTAGGTATACGGTATACGGTGTACCTACATACCGAAAATATCCGGCATGCTGGATATCTCAACTACGAGGTAGATCCCGAAAATGGTAATTACTTCATGGTGAGTATATAGAACACGGATTCGCCGATAGCAAATACAATCTTACTTCCGAGCACGGCTAGAGACTCGCTACTACATGTAGGCTACCTAGATAGCTACCTGGTATCTTTTAAATTATCCACATGTGTCCTTGCCACTCTAATGTCTTGTTAACTGCAGTATACCTATCACATAACTCGATGAAGGTTGCGAGTATGCGATAACATCTAGGTAGGTATTTTATTTGTTTCAAGGAGTCTCAAATGAGACTCCTGACAACAACAGACACCTAGAAATATAGAAAAAAAGGAGGCGGGAGGCAGGACTAGAATGTTGAATCAATTATACGACGAGCTTGCTAAATATTATCAAGAGGCTATGCGGAATAGAAAAGGATGATCATCTAAGGGATAGGTTGGGATGTTCTACATCTTAATCTTGTGATGGCCTCAGGTGCACGCTGTTTTGGGTGGGAGGTTTTGGGACAGGATAATTAAAATCAAATTGGAAAGGATGGGGACAAAAGGGAAGAATAAGAAAAAGGCATTGTTGATTTTTTAAAAAGTAAAAAAAAAAAAAAAAAAAAAAAGTGAGATCTAACCTGGCGCTCGTCCTGAACGAATAGACCTTTTCGTCGGCCCCGACTCAAGTCCAACCTCGGAAATCGTCCCCTTCGTCCCCTTAACCAACTAGACCACGGTCATTTTGGCACTGGCTTCGGGTCAGGGTTTCATGAAAGACAGTCTGCTTATTGGGCCTTTTAACCTTAAGGTCGGGCAGGTACAATGTCTTGTCACCTGGTAACCGCCATAATTTTTCACCGCCTAGGGCGGCGACATAGTGCACGACAAAACGGATTTTGGCAACTGCAAACTTGTGGCAGGTATATTACGTACCTAGGTAGCTACACTACATACAACTCCTTACCTGCTGGTATTCCATTACAACATTGAAGACCCCGTGATATTCTTACCTTACCTACAGATATTTCATTTCCCGACCAACGTATCGTGCAGAATGTTTTTGCATGTTTACCGTTGACAAAATCGAATTGAAAACTCGATTAACTACCTCTTACCGCCAATATTCATTCCAAGGATACATCTTACCATGGGCCTGCTTCGACTCAACTTGGGAAAAGTGTTAGTGACCTCCTGGTCCCCCCCCCTCTGAGGAGCTGTCTAGGTCTGCAAGGACCACGATAGTTGATTGGATCATCAACATTTAATACACGGCCTTCAGAAGCTAACACTTGAGATCAACCTGGAATTTTACCTCGTCACGCTTGTACTAAGAAAACCAGCCTCGAGCTTCACTGGTATGCCAAAGTCAACGCCCGCCAACTCGGGATGCCAACGCTTAGGATTTTGGCGAGCATACGCATTGAGGCAGCCGTGGCGTCTGCCATAACTCGCGCCAGAGCTTTCTACTCACTTTGATTCAAATATGTCAGCCTCAAGGGGTATGGTATGACTTAAGGAATGATTGCTTACGAAGTCTCGGGTAGGTCATGCCTGATTTTACTCGGTATTAACATTAGATATTATTTTCCAGTTACCAAAGCGAAGTACAAACGACGTAAGTTGACTATATCGAGATGGCTCAAAGAACCAATCTAGATTCAACTTCATACGTCTCATGTAATTGAGGTTGATAATACGTATAGTATGTATGATCTACCTCCCAATTTCTCCCAAACCCATACCTTAACCCTTAACATAGACCCAACCCAACCCATCCCTATAATGCTCGCCATGATCTAGCCTGTTAAAGCAAACTACCACGACCGTTTATATCCAGCCGTGATTTAGGTATAGGTATAAAGATAGGACTAAATAGTATTTAGCCATGACTGAATGGAATCGTTATTACCACCCGAGTTGTTATTTAAGTGAAATAAGTAGGTAGGTATGTAAGGGGAATAGATAGCACACATATTGTCCACCTTCACCAGCTACTGTTTATCGGGGTATCCGAGATGCAGCAGCCTATATAAACTAATATGGAGCTGCTGTCGCTTCGAGGAGGAACTGCCTATGTACGTACGCCTGGACGATTAAAATATAATACAGGCCCAAGTCGCTCCGTATTTCATTTAAAGCTTCCTGTTGCTCATCTCCAGAGCTCGTAGATGTATTAGTGTGATGGAATGGACCGCATATTTAGTTACTTAAGAGACATGAAGTACTTGGGGTGTCTTCTGGTTGAGCGGCGACTATGATGCTGGTGTAGCTTAGCTCAGCTACCGCTCGACCCAGCCCTCTCAGCTTCGCCGTCATCAGGAATACCGTTCTTAGCGGGGGTTTTGAGAAACCCCTTCTCCTGGGCTTCCTGGATCGCTTTGACGAAAACGCTGCCCATCATCTCGTAGCCCCGGACTGTAGGGTGCGAGCCGTCGGGTCCGATCTCGTTCACCGAGGGAACCCCCGCAGCGCCCTCGCTAGGATGCATCTCGGCCAGAACGACGGGCTTCCCGTCTGCTTCGAACTTCTTCATGATACTCCGGTATTGCGCGTTCATATCCAGGACCGTGGCCTCGAGGTTGCCGACCTTATTCGTGAGCATCGTGCTCAGGATGACCGTGGATTTATCCGACGCCTTCAGTAGGTAGTCGATCATATCCTCCATCTGTGCGCCCACTTTGTCGACGTCTTTATTCTGAAGCAGGTTATTGGTTCCCAGGTTGATGAGGAACACGTTGGGTAGTGTCTTGGGCACAGCCTTCTCGGCATAGCTGTGCATCTCCTTGATCTTCTTGCCTCCGTACGCCTCCACGTCGTTGTCGATAAAGTCGCCTAGCCTTACGGAGCCCACCATGTTTACTTTATAGCCCAAACCGACCAGCTGGTCGCGCAAAGGTTTGCGGAAGCCTAAATATCCCGGGGAAGTCTCTCCCTTAACGATGGAGGCGCCGAGCGCCATTATCCTCAGGGGAACATCGCTAGGGCTTGTGGCGGACTTTCCGTTAGTTGGCGTAGATGATGATGTGGAGTCATCCGAGGTCGATGTAGTAGGTTTGGCCTCGATAGTTTTAGATGTGAATGTAGTTGTAATTGATGTCGCGGTAGACACTGAGATAGATTTTGATGCTGATGTTGGCTCAAGCACACCGACTGCCGACTCTGCAGTAATTGCCACAGTTGCTGACGCAGGTGACGATGCAGCAGCTAATTGTTCATTAGATTTCGCTCCATCGGATGAGCCTCCGGCATGAACCACACCCGTCGCAGCGAGAGCTAAGGCAATGCGCGTAATGTTAGTATCCGTATTAACTCTATTATGGTTTAGAGTCGTCTGGGAACGTACCAATTACTGTTATCGCCGCGACGAGAAGGCAGGTGACTCCGGTGAAAATTGCAATCCCCTTCTTGGATCGCATAAATACCATACGCGAGCTTCGCGGCGGGGCGTCTTGTAACTTCTCCATATTGTCCCAGGACATCTCTCTGTCCAATTTTTAGACGCTCCAGAACCTATAGGCTATAGAAACCAAATAGGAGATAGATAGGCCTTCTCTAAGGGCGCGGGACCTGCGAGATTATTTCAACGTCCCCCTACATGGCTGACTACAAAGGCTGACATACTGTCTAGATCATCATGGACGCGGGAAAGGAGATTTGCCAAGGCGTTAGTCTTATGTACGACGGGGTTCCTGTCCAAATCGACTTCTTGATTCGACAGTAATACGTCACATCCCAGGGCGTATTTGCTAGTGTATACTTATCTCGACCCGGATAACGGCACGCAAATCATCACGGTTTAAGCTTAATAGACGCGGTGACGGTACATATCACCAATGTTTACATCGCCGCATTGCTTTTCGGAGAGTTTAGTCCACCTATCCCATCGTACACTGGAATTGTTAGAATTTTTAACAAGACGGAATTGGTAAAAGCTACCTGACCTATGCTTGCTTACCTCTTACCCAGGTACTTTAGATGCTACATAGTATGTGCAAAGCGTGTGGACAAAGCCAATTAGTTTAGATCGTTATATTATCTTTGATAATCATTGCTTTGGGTTAAATACTGAGGCGGAGCCTCGTATATCCCTGGCACAATCCCACGACAACAGCTTTAATTATCTGACACGTCTTATTATTCTCCGGTTTTCTTGCTTTCCTCGTAGGTAGTAGATAAAGAATTCAATCAAAAAGGTACTATGATTCGTTGTTGATTTCCTTGTTTTCTGCGCATTTACGCCACTCGGCGCCAACGATTTCAAAGGACGAATATCCAACATCAGACCTTATCATCTTTTTCCTCGCCAAGGATCACTGATATTAATGCTCCATCTTTTACTATTAACCTGGTATAAAATAGTCTCAACGCTTATGCGATTAGGGTGGCTATAGCGGAATCCAAACCCACAAACTCTTGTTCCCCCCCCCCCCACAAAAGTTTACCAAAAAAGACAAAAAGAAACTCTCGATCGGGGAATCGAACCCCGGCCACCTGCGCGCTTGTGCATGACAAGCAGGTATCCTGACCACTAGACCAATCGAGATTGTGTACGAAGCTAGATTCTTAGCTTGTTTCTCAGGAGATGAAAATTTGTCTTCAATCTTTCATTATAGCATGCAAACACATGGTTTGTTCTGTTTAATGGCAATTGATCGTGCTGTGGATTTGATTTTCTTGATAGTACCGTCAAGTAAAATCATGTGCCTATCGTTACCTATTTAGAAACTGGGTGCACAAGGCAAATTGGTCTATAAAACTGGAATCCCAAAGTCAGGGCTTCGTATAACTCTAAAGCTGGCAAGCAAGTAGAAAATATTCTTTCAAGTTTGAAATCTGGCAGTTGATCCTATCGTCTATGATCCGGCAGGTGTGATGGAAGGGACCTTTTGAAACTCATAACCCTCCGACTCAAGGATCTCCGGGTTCCGACTTTTCTTGAAAATAAGCCCCGGATGAGCAATCATAAGACAATAAACGGCAGATATGACCAAGCTGGAATGAACGATTAGCGTAACCCATGATCTATCATGTCAAAGCGAACTTACCATCCTTCCAGACCTATGAACAACGGTTCGTCACGGATTAGCTCGCCTCTATACCCATCACGTAATTCCACAAGTCGATACACGCAACGAATCAAGATTAGCAGTATCGCCAACGCCATGAAGCTGAAGAAGAGCTTGAGCCTAGTCCCAAACCCCAACCCGGTTATTCTTCTTCCCAGGTCGGCCTGGTACTGCGCAGAGCGGAAGTAGCGAAACAAGTAATCCGCAAAGAAGCCGCAGAAGATCAACATCATGGCTACTTGTAGACTCAAACCGACGAGCGCCATGTCTACTCCGATTTCGCTCTGGCCCGAGGACGCTGTCGATAGCCCGCCCCCGGCCGCTTGGAAGATCAGACAGATGACGTCGGATGGAATGAAGATCCAGTAGAAAAGGTCGGGTTTGAAGCGGGATAGTGAGGGAGAGAAATCTTTGATGCTACGTAAGGTACGTACATTAGCTGATTGGGAGCATTCAGCAACATGTAGTTGAAAGAGGCGGAAATAGGGAACCGTTACTTACGCTGCTGCAAGTGTCACATAGATGGCAGCCGAATAATAAACCGGGCCGCTGGTAACACATACTATTTGTACTTTTGGTTAAATCTCCGATATAGACGACGAGGATATAAATAAGAGGGACGAACTGATCTGAAGTATAAAAGCGACGAAGTCGAACGGGTTATAATGCATGGCAATCCGGCCTGCGTAGCCCAGGGTGGCATTGACGGCGCCGAGAACCATGCAGCCCATAAAGAACCAGCTCTTCCACCGAATCCCCAGGTATACGTGGATGCATGCGGAGATGAGGTAGAGAGCTAGAAAGATGGCATTCGCGGGGAGGCTGGGCACGTAACCATACACACTGATCTCCACGGGACAAACTTCCAGAGTACAGTTGGCACCGGGTCCGAAGACCTTGGTGCCAGGCGGTACGCCTGGAGGAAGACCTGTTGACATATTTTCGAGTCGGAGTGGCGTCTTTTCGAGAGTGTACTTATGACTAGTGGAAGGTGTCAGGATATGGCTTGGATAGAAAGTCGACGAGTTTCAAGGCTATCAGCGTAGGACGTGTTGTTGAATCGAAAATATATAGCAGCTGAAAGGTCATTATGAGCATTATGACTTGGACCCTATTATAAATTAGGTACATATCTCCCAAGAACTGAAATACCATTGCAATCTCCTACTATTGTAGGCCGCGTGGCGATCCCGTCGTATATCCTACGAAACGCAGCGATCATAATCCATATAATACTTAGCTTCGCCTCCCCACGAAGGTTGCAGAATACGATTTTGAGGTGATCGATCATGGGGTTGTCGCTATCCCCGAATTCTGTTCGCACTCGCTATTATATATCTCTTTATTGGGTATAGTAGTATCCAGTCCCGGCTTGGCGATCAACCGAATGCGATCCAACTAGGGTTCCCATTGGCGAGGGGCCGGATCTCGACCAAATTTTGAAGACAGCGGGCTAAGATTCGTCCGACGTTGACTCAATCGTGAGGCTCTGTCGTATCCTTATTTAGCTGGTTAGCCACTATAGCTCTTGTTGATAGATGCGATGCAATGGGCTCAGGGGTGATGATTAGGAACATATTAGACGGAGGCTTGGATAGTACGATACCACATATATGTCACGTTAGGTAAGCACCGACGTATATCCTTCAGGTCCCTGTAGGTACCTAATCACCAGTTAGGGCAACATCTGGACTGGACCTTGGAATAGGGGCTCTAAGTGATAAGTACTCAATCTGGAATTAGTCGAGATTTCACTAAGAGGTAGTAGGTACCTATGCATGTGTCTTTGAGAAAATAATTACTATGTAAAGTATATCGAATGCCCTACTATGTAGCGGAGTTTATAATACTAAAATTAAACCCACCTTAGAAGATGTGTACCTAGTATCAGCCTGAACGAAGAATCTGTCGGCACTCCCAAGCAACAAGCTCCAAGCTTCATGCTTATAAGCACGCCTACACACTACCATTCTATTAATGAGCTAGCGTACGGATCGGCTGGTCCCTGACCTCATCAACCCATCGAATCTTGCGGCTCCACGCATTCGGATCAACAGACTCACGGTTACTCAGCATATTCCCGATATGCACAGCTTCGAGGGCCTCGATGACATGCTCGCCCTTATCGACATCGTACAGCCTGGCCGAGCGCTTGTGCTCCACAGGCGTTCTCGACGAGTTCTTCTGGTACACCCGTCGTTCGTGGTTGTCCACCCAGCTGTAGGCGCGCAGCAGGGGCTCGTAGCAGAGCTTCTGGACATCTCGACATGCCTCTATCGCGGACCCGTCGAAGCCGGCTTCGAGCGCGATCTCGATCGCTCTGTCCGCGAGCTCGAGAGCGGAGCACTGCTCCGCGCGAGTCGGGTCACGACCGATCGGGCGGATGGTTCGTAGGGCCTCGGCGTGGAGGGCGTTGACGATGTCGAAGGCGGACATGGTGGGTTATGATATCGATGGAGCGTGTTTAATATATATAATATACCTTATATTTTAGCGGCGAGGCCTCTCAAGCTGTTGAGTAAAATTGATAATCTTGAAGAACACTGCAAACAGTAGATGTTTGCTAGATATATATTTTATAGGATGCTGTGGAGTGCAATGGCCATTGTGAATATTCTGAGACTCGAGGCTCATTATGTATAAACTACGAATCTTACAAAGGTTGGTCCTGAAAGAACAGTGTAATATGCATTGTTGGAGAAGAAAGCGAGAAATCAAGAGCATAGCATTATTAGCGAGAATTCTTTCTATTTGTCTTTCTTAAAGAGTCTTCTTTATGCTTTCCTAGTAAGATTAACTCCTTTTTTCAGTAGATTGTTAGAGTGTTGTGGTAATATTTACACTCCTTGGCTTGCATCAACTAAAGGGGTCCTCGCCGGAAAAATACTTACATCCCGATAGGTATTCGGATGACAAATCTTATTTTAAAAATGCCCCCTCAAACAAGAAGATCGCCACCAGGTTTTCGTATCGATGGTTCACGTACCATGCTGTCTATCGGACAATGTAGTAAATGCCTGCGGAGATTTCGGAGATTTCGGTTAGCACCGGTGTCTTAGGTACCAGGGAGCTACTTAAGACTCAATGCGAGTAAATCACGCCAACTAAGAACGTGCATTATAATTGATAGTGCGACCATCAGATGCCCATTGACTTTTTTTTTTTTTTTTTTTTTTTTTTTTTTTTTTTTTTTTTTTTTAAAAAAAAGGTTTGATTTGAAAAGAAAAATATAGAAAAAAAATATAAAAAAAAAAAAATAAAAAAATAAATAGAAATAAAAAAAAAAAATATAAATAAAAAT